CTATCAAACCACGTAATGCTCTCCAATAAAATTTAGTGAGTCAGCAAAATTTCCATAAAGACCTCTGCTAGTTGCCGTCAGTTTTTCAGTTTATACCAATTTTTTAAAATATTTTTCAAAGCAAAATCGAGGTTTTTAGAAAGAAAGCAAAAACTTTTAATAGCGAATCTCGGACGAAATGCTCTGTTCAAAAAGGTTCTTCAGCTATAAGGTCCTATAAGCTCATCGTGGGTTCGAAAAAAAAACTATTAGGACCCTTGGGGGGCCATATGGAACCGATGGGTCCCCATATCTGGACCCCCCCTTCCCCTTGGCCACGAACATGCCAAGGGCCCATCGGCAAATATTTTGCGGTGGAGCACCAGCAGCAACCACCACCACAACCACCCCGCTCTTATTAATCCAGAATATGAGAGGTGAATTGAAAGCAGAAAAAGACCCCCGCCGACAACCCCCCGAAAATACCGTTTTGTAGCATCTCACGAAAATCGGCTCGCGCGAGAGAATGCTATCAACAACCCGATGGTGGGCTTTGGGGAAAGCGAAATGGAGAATTAGTTCCTCAGATGGGAAACGCGCAAAAATCAGGTTCTTATGATGGAAAATACTTGAAAATAGCGGGTTCGTGAGGGCGGAAATCAAAACGCGATTGGTTAATAAAGGTACTTTACAAGTATTTTAAAAGTTGAAAATTCTGGGTTCTTTGGAATTAACGGGGAGAGGGCTAATTTTTTCCTACTACAAGCCTAGAAATATTTAGTGGCGCAGCAACACGTATTTTTACAACGTTCATTTGTAAAATTTACCAATTTTGAGGTAAAAAACCATCTAAAATAACTTTCAAATTCCTGACATTTTGATCGAATCTCCATTTTCCGTCGAAAACCAATATTTTTGTATTTTTAAAGACCATTTGCAAAGTTTTTACGTTTAGAAATTGCAAAAACAGCTTATAAGCACTTACTCTTAGATCACCTAAGAAAAAGTTGCCCCCCCCCCGATAATGAGAAAGCACCTTAAAAATTTGAAATAAACGTAAAATAGTAAAAGAGTCAAACTAATACAGTATAAACTGTCTTTAAAAACTTCGAAAAGCGACGCAGCGCAACGCAAACGTGACGCATAAAATTTTCACCGTGACTTTGAGCGCTTGCAGCTCGATTCTTCTAATAATAAATTTGTCAATTCTTGCATTTCAAAAACGAATAAGACTTGTAAAACTGCCGGTTAAAAGATTTCTGATTTAACCCGAAGCTGAATTCCGAAAATCTCGCTTTTCCCACGCCAAACCCAAACCCAAAAACAAAAACAACTTACAATATGAGCCATGAATGCGCAGGGATCTCAAGCCTTTTCATCGTTTGACGCACTTCCGCCATCACTCTAGTGATCAGGGGCAATAGTCAGGGGAAAGGTCGAAATTTTTGAGCTGCAACTCGAGGGAATGGGCCGTTTGGGTGGGACCGGTCGGGGGCACTCGAATCAAATTAATCGGCGCCGGCCAACGAACCTAATTTCCCGTCCATCCACCCCGGAATTCGGTCGCCCCGCTTTTTGACTTGAGATGAGGGGGTAAACGAGCATCCGGTTAGTCTGCTGTGGAAATTGGTGACTCGCCAATTAGGGGTACGGTGGATGGGTCGCAATATAGGAAATGGGCTTCCGGGATAGCGTTGGTTTTTTTCGAGCAAATTGTGCGAATTTGGGGCTTTTTGAACCCCAAGGGCATTTTGGAATGGAAAACCGGGCTTGAAGCGCTTATTAAGCCGAATGGTGCTTTTTCATTATCGGGGGGGGGGGGGGTTGGCTGTCAGGGGGGAAACCAATCTTTTCCTTAGGATCCATTTTTTCCAATTAAAATAGAGGAAGTTGATGGCAAAATGCACAAAACATCGATTTTCGCCCAAAACTGCCGATTTTCAACCAATAATTCGTGGTTTTAGAATATTACTACCGTTTTTGAGGTATTTTCCAGCTTAGATATCAATAAATTTTATCAAAAACAATGTGAAGCATTTATTATTAAGCTACTAGGCATTTTTCGACTTATAAAAAAATCTAAAATTCCGTTTCTTAATCTGAACTGAAAATATCGTAAATCATACAGCACGATCCTAAAATTTTATTTTTATGCAATGAATTAACGACATTAAAGGGCTAGGAACCCCTAAAATCAACTCCTTAAATCGCCTAGGCGTCAACAGCTGCGTGATGCTCCAAAATACGTCGACAATCGTGGCTTTAACATGGTTTTACGGTGTCTGTCAATAACTAGTCGATCCGAGGGGTCGATCCCAGCACTTCCTAGTCCCCTTAAAACATATTTTTAACTTCTGAGCCGCCTGCTAAAAACGGCTGACCCTGTGACCCATCTAGGGCCCCTTTAGAGACCAAAAAAATCTCATAACTCATGCGCGAAATCGGCCCCCACCCCTTTCTTGCCGTCATTAACCGCCACCCGAAAAAGCGCGTAGAATAGCGAATGACTCCCCGGGCCATTCAATGGCCCACAATTGGCATCAACGGTTTTCGGGGATCGAGGTCCACGCTACTGAGGAAGCAGGGATCAAACGGTACTGGTGCGTTAGCGGGGGAGGGGGGCGCGCGGGGCGGGCGGGGCGGGGAGTTAGGCTGATAGCTTTTTCCCATGTTCCAGTAGTCAGGGCCCTAAAGAATTCAAAAAAATCTCGTTTTACTGGCACAATTTAGAATTTTTAAAAACAGGTGAAAAAACGTTCTTTAGATAGTTTCCATTTCAAATGACCGAAAATATTTTTGCGCCATTTTTTTTATATTTTATGGTTATAGAAATTAACAAAATTTGCGCAAATTTTTGAAATGATCAAAAAGATATAAAAATGATCAAAAATTCAAATTTTTAATTTTGAAAAATGATTTTAAAACTGTGTACCAACCCACAAATATTAAAGACACTATAAAAATCGTCTATGTTCTATTACTATCGAAGTCAAACTTAATACGTTGGCGTTAACGCGTTACGTTAGACGTTGGCCCCCCGCTAACAAACCAGAACCGCGGATCGTAGTATAGACATTACTAGAAGTAGCCCGCGTTAAACTCAGATTAAACGACCGGCCGGACCTTCGAAACCAATAAAACGAATAAGCGCCCCCGGACCGCTCGCTCGCTCAAAAGTGTGCAAATATGTTGACGCAACACCCGCGCGGATAAAACGAATTTTCTGCTAGAAAACAGCGACGAGCGCGGTGTGCTCGAAACGACCCCGAAATCAGATGATCCTTGTGGATCTTTATAAATCGGGGAAAATTTCGTGAACCGCGTCTCTACGAAGCGCCAAAATGATTTTCAACGAAAGCCGATTGAAAATTGAAAATAATGTCTAATATAAATAGTTTCTAAACTTTTTTTTAGTATTCCTAAAAGTAAAAAAAAAACCATAAAGAAGCGATTTTCGACCAAAATTTCGAACTTTAAAAACTTCACCTCAAATTTTTTTGAGTTTGCTACTAGAAATACAGTTAAATGTACTAAAACACCATTAAATAGTTGCTAATAAATAGCGATTGGGTAGATGGACACCATCCCGAAAGACCATCCCGAAAAATTTGCATGCGAAAAGTCAGCTCTACCATATAAAAAGGAGCTATTTTTCTATGCTAATGAAGTTTTCGCATGCAAATTTTTCGGGATGGTGTCCATAATTCAGCGATTCGCCATTTTTCATGGTCCCATCTAAATTACGTCCTATACTCCCGGTCCCTATCCAGAGCCGGAAACCTGAAAACTTACAGCGCTTCCAACGACTCTGCCGATTCCGAAATTTTACCAATAGACATCCCAGCAAAAATCGCCGATAAACCAATACAAAAACGGAAGTAACCAGCCACCTTCCCCAAAGCAAAAATCCCAATTTCCAAAAAACATTTAGCAATTCTGAGCTGCCGTGCCGACGGCGGATGACCACCGGGAAAAGTGTCCGGCGCGAAAACAGCCATTTCGCCTTTCCAGCCGCCCTCACGTCCTTCTAACCTTTGTCGGGCCTGATTCGCCGGAAGTGCGCCCCCCTCCTGCACTTCGCCTAAGAATAAACACCGCCGTTGGCTGCTACGTGTGCTGCCGTTAAATTAAGTTCTGCTAACCGGGCTTTATCGATCACAAAAAATCATTAAGCTAAATTGATATTTAATCAAAGGCGAAAACCGGAACAAGTTATTTGGTGGAGCGAGGAGAGAAAAAGCTCGAGGTTTATCAACTAAACGAATAAACTGGTGCTTTCTTCTTAGCGGGGGGTATGAGCGATTTTTGGTAAGTTTTCATAGCACTGGAACGAAAAGTTCAGAAATTTTAATCTTGTCTCTAAGCTTTTTTTTAAGCTTTTTAAATCTAAGAATATGCAAACGATGGAAAAATAATTTTTTTGCTTTAGAGAGTTGTATGAGAATTATAAGGCCCCCCGCTAATCAAAAAGCACCAAAAAACCTAGTAATGACAGTGGAAAAGCTTTCTTTAATAAAAAATCTAGAAGAGGAAACAGACGGGAAAGACAATGCACCAGAAATCAAACCAAAAATTGAACATCCGAGAAAGTACCCGTGACAGGGAAGCTGCACAAATTTAAACCGCCAGAACCATGACTAATGCTAATTTTAAGACAGTACCCTGAAAAAAGCAAAAAAGACTAGACTTAAAAAACCTAAAATTTCAAATCTACGCATCACGGGGCTTGTTCTCGGGGTCGTGGAAGTGGGAGCGAGGGCTGAGCGAGCGGCCAGTAGCGCGACGCCACTTCCAGTAAATCACCTAAAACAAAATAAAAATTGAAAAATAAAATTAATTACCTCCTTCAAATGACCCCAAAAATTGCGCTTGAGCGGCATGCGCCTTGACCTGCGATTCCATTCACGCGACTCGAGTTGACTGATGCGTAGCTGCCCGTGATGATAGTTAAGAAATTCATATCTAGGGCAAGAATATTGTAAGGAATTCGGTACTCACGGATCTGGCGGTTTTAATTGTCACATTTCCACTTTCGGGGAGATCCCGAGTAGGCTCATGCCATCGGCCAACGCTTGGCGAGCGGTGGAGAGGAGTCGAAGTCGAGGTACGGCTACGTCGATGGGCTCGTCTTTTACCTGAGAATTTAATGGTTTTATGGGCGCTATAACCCTATAGATTTACGAAAGTCATTTTGATACTCATAATTTTCGAAAAGTCATAATTTCCGTATAATCAAAATTTGAAAAATCGCTCAGGTGCCAATAGAAAAATGCTACGATGAGTCAGAAAAACACTGCAAAATTGCTAAATTTTGAGCTTTCGAAAAATGCCTCGAAAAATGACTTTTCGAAAAGCTTATTTTCGAAAATTCAATTTCGGGCCTTTTTTAGAGTTTTATAGCCGAAAATAATACAAACCCTCAATTGCGCCATCACTTTCCCGGATAACTGCGCCAAATGTATCAACGGAATCGTCAGCTGGCACGGCTCCAACTTTTGCATGCTGAACATGATCGCCCGCGGCAGCTCTTCCAGGTGCTTGATCAGCTCCTTGGCGACGTCATCTAAGGCTAACTTCCGCCTCCTTGCGTTTTCCATACCTTCCGGCAGCTTGTTGTCTTTGTCCAGATGCGGCATTAGTTCCGCGTTCTTCTTCTCCAATGAGCAAAGCCGAGAATGTTTTTCCTAAAGTCCCAATTAACCGGAAATTGCGGGAGGTCAGACCTGGAGGAGGAGTGCATTGTTCTGGTTGAGGGCGAAGGCGTTTTTGAAGGAGAATTCGTATTCGGACAGGCGAGCGCGTTTCAGATCGTTGACAATGATTGTGTCGAGTGCCAAATCACCAGAGATCTAGAAGAACGTATCAGTTACCGAGTTTCTGGTTACCTTTTGCAGATCCTCATCTTTGACCTTGATCGTCGGGCTTGCCTTCAGAAATTGTAGGGCCAATTCGGAGCCTCGCGTCAAGATATCAGCAACGGCCTCGGTTTTCCCGTGGCTAAAAAATCCAATGCTTTTAGTGAAAAAACACATACCGTGTCGACAGTCCGTGAACACGTCCGAAGGGAATGTGCTCTATCTTGTCTGCCAGGTCGGCACGTCCGATTTGTTCAAGAATGTAGGCTATGTCCTAGAAAGATGACACCGTATGCAAAAACCTCAAAAAAAAAAATACCTTGAAATGATTCCTCTGCCCCCGATCGACAACATAGAGGTATTTATCGGCTTTGAAGAGTGCGTCTCGTCTGATGATGGAAGCCACGTCCCTAAAAATCAATAAAAAAATATATATAATATCTAGGAAGTAAATGAAATAGAAAAGATAGACATTATATACCTTGTAAGATAAAGCGTAGTGTCGTCACTTTTCCTCACTATACAATAAGCGTCCGTGCCATCTGGATTCTGTTTGCCAGTCTCGACGACCCATCTAAATGTTGATTATCGAAACGGCCAGACAACTTACAGCCCATCGACCCGACGAACAGCTTTTTTCGACTCGATTAGCTGCTCGACAATTTTGCGTGCTCCGGCAACTTCCTCGGATTCGAAAAATAACCTAAATACTTGTTTAGCTTCTAATTTTCCTGATATACTGATCGAATTGGATGCCGAGCTGTCGGTAGAACTTCTTGAGATGTCGCTCGGAGAGCCCTCTCATGTCATTCCAGAACAGCATCACCTCGTCTTCCATATCTTTTCTAAATTAAAATGAATCCTTTGCTTTTCGAAAGCGCAATACCGCCGAATTCTGAAACCAAGAGCACTGTTAACTTACTCCACAATAAAATCCTCCATTTTCTTATATGTGTCGCGCACCTTTAACCGGAAGTCGCCTTCAGTTTTCAATAACTAAAGCAAAATTTAAGAGACTAAACTCGATTCAAAACCTTGTTGGCAACCACGTAGCACTGCTGGATCATCTTCACCTTCTCGTCATCGCTCACCGTCGTCCAGAAGGCATCGGATGGGCGATTCTAAAACCGATTTTGGAAAAAATCCTCGAAATACCTGAGGCCAATAACTGGCAATCAAGGCGAATTGCGTGCCCCAGTCTCCCAGATAGTTCAGCGCGCAGACATCCTCTCCCATGGTTCGGTGGACCTAGACAATAAACAGTAATTTTTTAATATTGTGTATTTTTATAGATAAGTTAAATTAATTCTATATTTTTTATACATAAAATTCTAGAATCTTACCTGGTCCACATATCTTCCGATGATCGTGGAGCGCAGGTTTCCAATGTGGAACTGCTTGGCGACATTTGGTGAGGAGAAGTCGATCACATACTCAAATAAAAGTTTAAAATAGATTTACAGATTTCTTAGAAAGAGTTCAATCAAAACTAAAGTAAACGATTTCAATAAAACACTACCTTTTGCGGCGGCTTTGCTGCCCTCAGGATCGCCTGCGCTTGTAGGGCCAATCCACCGGCCTTCCGCAGGCCCTCGATACTCATATCGGCATAAGAATCGCCTGAAAAAGCATAGGTTCCGCCCGGATTTAGCCGACAACTGAAAGGAATTTGCGAACAGCCCAACAACAATCTGCAAAAGAAACGCCCCGCATGACGGCCAGCCCCACAATAAGTCAGCTGTTCCGGGTAACATGGCAAGTAAGTGGCGCCGGGCTTCTGGCCCGGGGCTCAATGATCCAGTTCCGGTAATAAAATATGGTTTTCTGACGCTGGGTCATCCATCAAGCCCATTCTGATTAGACACCCCGTGGCCTGGCCGTGCCCTCTTTGAGCCTGCTGTTATCGCTCGGCTTCTCGCCTTGGCGCTAGACAGCTTCTCATTGTTAGAGACAGGATTTCAGGACCTAATATCAGATCGAAGATGTCTTTTTTGACGGAAGATTAGAAGAGTAAATTATTACTCTTTGAAAAAGAGTGGAGCTAGGCGAGAAAAAGCGCTGTATCTATCAACTAAACAAAAAACCGGCGCCTTCTTCTCAGCGGGGGCGGGGCTGGGGTGTTTTAGTGGTATTAATTTGCACTGCCTGTCAGGGCGCGCATGGGGGTGGGGGAGGGCGTGGCCTAGTGGTCTAAGGCGCCGGTCCCAACTCCAGGCAGAGGGTGCTGGTTCGGTTCCTCTGACTGACAGAAGCCCGTTAGGGTTTTGCACTTTTTTGCAAAAGGTACAGATGGGGATCCAAAACCGATCTAAAGAGAAGCCCAGCGGAAAATACAAGTTTTGCTATTTCCCGGGCTCTAAAGAAGAAATTGTCTCAGATGGTGCCGATTCGCTCAATAAAGGAATATCATAATAACAAAGACATGTACTGCCCAAATTAGCACCAATTCAATGATTTCAAGCCCCTTCATCCGTACAAAGCTGAAACCTTTGACTAGCTTCAGTTGTTCAATTATTAGGATCTCTCATTCAGCACCTTTTTTACTTCCCAGGACCGCAGAAGTACCCAATTTGACAGTACCGATTCTTTTCCGATGAATATCGGTTAAAAACCCCGGAAGAATGAGGCTAAACGCAAAGAAAAACGCGGCGCACAAAGCTCGTATTTTCGCAATTTTTCCGGCTTAAATCCTAGATAAATCCTTATTTTCACGCTAAATCACCCTTAAAACCCCTCCCATAATGTGCGCAAGAGTCTTCTCTATGTTTCGTATCGGTGGACTCCCCACAACAACGTCGTTTTCGAAAGTTATAGGCATTTGAAGTTGAAAATTTGTGAGTTTTTTTTGGCCCCTTTCTTTGCCTCTCTCTCGAAAAATCATGGATCGGTAGGCAAGCATAGTGTGCGCGCGGGCATAGGAACGCTACGGAGCGCCCCGACCTCTCATGAGCGCATTTCTGAATATCTGACAGCCAGTGTTTGATTGGCCATAGGTGTCTTTAGCTTCTTTTGGTAAAAATATTGTTACTGGTTTACAATACTAAATTTTAGAGCAACCATAAGCATCTGCCCAAAGATACCGAGGCTAGTTGATCCACTGTGATTTTTTTACACACAATAATATGGCTAATTCTCTTTATTGCACACAAAAAAACGCAAGTCCGGGGAAATTTTTGGCCACAAAATTTCGCAAATAAATAATATACACAGCGGGACGGGAAGACCAGTAGAGTAGGTGGAAATTGCTTCACAATCGTTGGCTAACCTGCGAGAAAATATCACGAAGCACCAGTGTCAGTTCAATATGGGAAAATGGAAATACCGGGGGGCAATTTAGGAAATTTAGGCGAGGTCTTCCTCTTCATCAATGAGGTCCTGGCGCTCGATTTCGAGGGAGTCGGCTCCGCAGCAGCTGAAGCAGCATCTGGAAAAAAGGAAATAAATATGGATTCTCTCTATAAAATCGAAAAATACGTTTTTATAAACATACCGGGTGAGCGGGTTATCCTCGCCCATGCGCGGGATGATGTTCCGGCGGGTGAATGGGCCGAAGAAGATGTCGTTGTACACAAACATGCCGAGAAGCAGGAAGGCGAAACCGAAGAGCTGAAAAATTGTTTTGAGACAGATCCTCACCGCTTTTTATTTCCTTTCCAACTGCTTTGCCAAAAAAAAAATCAATATTTTACGATGCTTTTTAAAATCATCAGACCTTTAAAACCAGTGTTAAACGCTCTAAAAATAGTTCATGTCTTAGTATGGCATCGTAAGGGCGATTTTTTGAGAAAATTTGCCTCCCCCTTCGCTAAGCGGGAGCATTCCCAAGCTTGGTTCTAGTTTCACAACAAGCAGCCAAACCCCAAACAATCTCAGAAACCGAGCCGTTTTTCTCGTCGGCCCGCCAACGCGTGGGTCCTTATCAGCCCGGCGAGACGGCGCGGAAAAACGAACTGACCACTCACAAATTTCACCCAAGTTCAAGGTACAGACCTGGAGCGCGATGAACTTCTCGCCGAAGAACGGGATCGACACGGCCCAGATGACGAGCGTGCGCACCGAGTCCAACACCATGCGAGTCGTCGCGGACAGTTCCTTAGTGACGGAGACGCCGGCAAAGTTGAAGAAGGCAATGCTAGACGGGGTTTAAACCCTTTTTACGCGTTTACCTGATGACGGTTCCTCCCAGAGCAACGGCAATGGTTGGGCACTCGGCAATTTCCTTAAGGGCAAATGGCACATCCTCGAGACGGCCGAACGGGTTCGTGGAGAAAGTGGCAGGGACGTGGATGTAGTACATTGGCCACATCAAGAAGCCGAGGATCGTCATTCCGAAGAGACCTGAAAAGCCATGGATGAAAGCGTGAAAATTCAGAAAACTGTAGCTCATGTTTTTTTTTCTGATGGCTACTAGATGTCCTAATTTAGGGGGTTTTAGCAAAAGTATCTTTCTATACTATATTGTTTCAAAATTCAGCATGTACATTTACGTGCTCAATTTCTGCAAAATATATAGGCGTCCAGCAAATAAAAGTAGCTAAATTCACCTTCAAGCCCGACAGCGAACAATGCGGGCACGTCGTACTGCGTGAGGTACTTCTGCTCGTACACCATCTGGATGGCCACGATGATCTGCGCCATAATAATCAGCAGATTTCCGGTGATGATGGCGTTGGTGTCGTCGGTGGTCGAGTCGTCGTACATGATGTCGGTCACTCCGACAACGACCAGGCCCAGGGTGACGAACAGCATGCCGACCCATTTGAAGGGCTGGAAACGGTGGCCAAGGATGCCGACGGAGAGGAGACCGGTGAAGATGATGACGGCACCTTAAAAACCCCGTTAGCTAGATCGTGAGAATTCAGTTCTGGGCTCTTAGCGAGGTGTCACCTGGTCCAAACTTATCTAGCAAAATTCTCAGCGTTATGGCGCATTTCTATAAGTTTTTGACGTTTTTCCTACGTTCCAAAAACCAAATACATAAAAATCAATAATATCTTTAGCAATTTTCGATACTCGAAACTGCGTAAAAAGAAAGTTATCCCCCCCCCCCCCCCGCTAACAGCCCAGCACTAAAAATCCTTTACCTCGAAGCATCTGGAACGAAGAGGCAGTGGTGAGGTTGAGACCAATATACATCAGCGAGGTGGCCAGAATGTCGCAACAGGCGGGCGGCAAAAAGACGAACGGGCTGAATTGAGGCAACGTCGGCTCCTCGCCCAAGTCGAGGATCGATCCGTGATCTCCTGAACCAGAATATAAAACGCAGACTGCCAGTTATACCTGCTACATTAGAACGATTCCACTGGAAACGACGATAGCCGTAGAACATGAAGTAGACGACGAGGCACAGGAATTCACCGAAGAACATGCATGTCGCCTGTAAAATTCAGGATAATAGCAAAACTTCTTTTCAAACCTGTAGGAAGGGATGGTTGAAAGCAATATTAGGCTCGGGCTTCAGACTATCGGCCCACCTAAATTTTCAAGGTCCAAAATTAGAAATAAAAATTACTTTGCGCAAATCGTATTCAGCGATCCGGTGACCACCATCAACACGGAGACGAAGATGGCGAAGGCCCGCCCATTTGACCCTTCAGCCATACCTGTAAATGAAATAATACAAAAATCGAAAGTTCGATCTTTCGCAAGAAAATTGTGAACAATGAGGTGTTTCCAGAAGAAGAGGGGGCTTCTCGACAAACAACTGATGGAGTGGCTAGAAATAAACAGGCAAATCAATACGTCGCTGCCAGGCTAGCCGGACGGCGGTCATCCACAAAGAAATGCTAGTGTTATTGACCCGAAGACGCATGGCGATAATAGGCCCCAAAAAAGATGCCCAGAAATGGCGGGATTTCGAGGGGGAAGAGCGGCGGCCGCGAAACTCTATCAGCAAAAGGCGTTGCGAGCGCGGATAAGAGGTCAAACCTTCTTTTCTCGGAAAGAACGATATTGGGTGCTATTTTGTCATAGAGGCTGGGAATTTCTAGGTAAGGCTTGTTGGGGTCGGAAGTTGGCCACGATCAATAAAGTCTAAACGCTGTACTGGTTTGTCCATCGTAAGGGTCAATCAAGAACTTTTTTCAGACTTGTATATTGTATCCAAAAGAGCTTGGAGTTTCATAGCATTTCCGTTAAACTCTGGCGGCTAGTAAAAAAAAGTAAAAGAAGCCAAAAAAACCATAAAATTGGGTTTTTTGTGTTATCGCAAACAAAAAAAAGATGGGAGCGTTAATCTATGAAAAATCAGCAATGAAGGACAAGTTGAAGCTAGAGATGGTTACTGACTCAATTTCGCTATGACTCGTAAATTTCACCTATCGAACCATCCGTTTCAAAAAATTACCACACGCAAGCAAACGCCTGACCAGACCAGTTGTTTACGAGGAAGAGAGACAGGGGCTCCCCACTGGGCTGACCCGGCTGGCCGGTGAGAACTCCATTCCATCCGTTCCGACAGGGCTCCCATGTGCGCCCGCGAAAAACACTGCATCCAAATCGCCAGCCCCGATCTAAAACACTTTGGTGGCACTTTTCACGTTGAAGCCGCTACCGAAAAGCCCTGAAAAATTGATATTATGAAAGAAAAATTTTAAAACTATAAAAAACTTTTTTCGGCCCGGTCAAAAATTCCGCGAGACCTATTTGGACGTTGAAACGTCATTTGTAGCGTTGCGTCGCTTATTTGTACTTGTTCCGCATCACACCACTTTACGTTTCGTTTTAAATTTTTAAAACTATGGAAATTTCGCTTTTGTTTCAGATTTTTCGCTTGAATGACGAGAACCTGCAGAAAATCTGTGTAGAAGATCCAATTGATGTATCTACCGGTAGGTGGCTTAAAATTGGATTATCTACCTGCGTTGGTGAATTGTTATGTTTATAATGAAATTTGTATATTTGATAATATTATTCATATTTTTTTATTTTAGTATGGAAGTGAAGAACAGCTGCGCATCCCCAAGAACCATGGCCCTGCGACGATCAACTCTATTGTAGCGAATCGGGATCGGTCTCTAATCGCAACTGTGACGGATGATACGCTACACATCTATTTGGCCAACGTAGGCATTACAGTTCTCTCCTAAGCTCGATTTTAGCCGCAGCTGCTGCTCGTCTCCTTGCCAAGAGATCCAGCCGACGTTCTCGACAAGGGATCTTTTCAAAAGATCATATGGCGATACGATTCGCAAGCACTCGCCGTTTTGGTAAAGTTTGAGTGCAAAATCTCATCTTTATTTCAGACCTCGAGGACCCATATTTTGATCTATCGTGTGGAATTGTCGCAGGAGAACTGTTATAATTTCACCGACCCTCCACATATCGAGACTCAACGTCATAGCCAAGAGCTTTTTCTAAAGGTCGGAAAGTCTTTTTGAGCCTACAAGTTTTTTTTTCAGGGACATCGCCCGATTACCCAGCTAAATCTTGCTGTTGTCGTCAATTTGGCTGCTCGAGCTACGTGGCAAGTGCCTGATTTTTGTGTAAAATTCTTTTTCTAGTGCTGCTTTGATACGGGAGGACCTGCTGGTCTGTCTGACAAATGGGTTTACGCATCGTATATCTTGGGCTGGACAGGTTCGAGGTTTCAAAAAGTTAAAAAACGTTTTTAGGTTGATGCCGAATATTCCATCCGCCTTTCAACTGTGCCTTTCGCTTATGATCAGTTACAAAGTCGAGGTTAGTTTAGTAGTCTATCACAAAAAATAATCTTTTTTTTCCAGCCGAATACATCCCCGAGGGAATCTTTGTCAGGGACATCGTCTTCGCCCCATTGATTGGTGGCTATTGCATGGTGTTCAGCGATGGACGAGCTGGGCTCTTGACGTCGCAGGACGTCAAATTCCATCCAAAGGTACTAGAAATCGCAAAAAAATATGTTTGCCGATTTTAGACCCTCCTCGGCGTCTGGGCGCATCAGCTCCGGGATGCAGTTTGCGTCGACATGAACCACATCCATCGGTTGCTCATTTTTGGCTGCGAAAAGTATGTCTCAGCCTTTTTCCCTAATTTTACTTTAGTGGTGATATCGCTGGTTTTCACGTCGACGAGTCGAGCGGGGCACTGATTTTGGCGTTTCGGGTGGCGCTAAAAGTCAAGGATGGGCCAGGTAATTTAATTGCTTCGTATAACGCAAATTTCCTAGAAATCTTAAATCGACTTGGCCCCGTGCTTCGCATCAACGTCGTGCCACACTGCGCCGCGTTTTCCGTTTTATGGGGTCCAAAATCGGCGAATAAAGAGAAGGTCTGACTGAAAAAAACTGAATTGATTTTTCGTAGAAAACTCAGGACGGCTTCAATCTGACGGCTCTGGCGTTGTTTAGTGCATATGGAGCCCAAATATGGTCGTCATTAGAAGGCTCTTACGATGCGTAAGTTGCCATATGACTTGAGATGTACAAATCGCCTATTTTAGACCCTTGCCATCGGAAAATCTAACAGCCGTAGAATGGGGCCCGGAAGGGCTGCATTTATGGTTGGGTCGACTCTCTGGACTCTCTTTACTTCCAACGCTCAAAAGTGCCGCTGTGAATAATCCAGTTATGGTAGGTTCTTGTAAAAAAATCGCCAACTTTCGCTTTAGGAAAATGCAAGTCGTATTCTGCTCGTCGGCTCCTCGAATCTACTCCTTTCTCCTGTGCGAGAACGCGAGGCAAAAGCTTCAGCCCCACATTCCGTCTGGTCGAGCATTTCACCGCATTCCGAATATCTAGCATCAAATTGGCCGATTAGGGTTAGTGAGATCAAGCTGGAAAGAAAGATGTTTTTTTTTAGTTTGCTGCCATCGATCGTGAAGAGGTGAAATATCTAGCGATTGCTGGCACTCGCGGATTGGCGCATATGAATATAGAAAAGGGAAAATGGAAGATTTTCGGAAATGAATCACAGGTGATTTTCCTTACTAGATGCTCATCCCGTATTTAGGAGCGCGAAATCAACGTCACCGGCGGGATTTTTATCTGGAAAGGAACAGTTGGGGCAGCATGTACACAAGTGGAGAGCGGTGCGGAATTGTTGAGGTTTGTGAAGACATGAAATTCTTTGAAAAGATTCTTAGATTCTATCCTCTGAGCACAAAACTTGACAATCATTATTGCTCGGAGCTGGAGACGGAAAGTCGTATTGTTGCTATGAATGTACGGTAAGTAATATTAGTGTTTTTCATGAAACCATTATTTTCAGTGAGGATTGCCTGGTCACGTTTGATTTCGACTCTCGAATTCTGCTTTATCGGCTGACGGCCAGTCAGGTAAGAGATAGCTGGAGAGATTGAGGTTCTGTTTCATTAGCGGGGGGAGGGATCGATGTTTTTTTTTTTTTTTAACCGATGTAGGCATGCAACATAAACTTTTTTAGGCGTTTTAGTAGCTTCGATTGACTACAAAGTCATAGACCTTTTTTGAAAAACTGCTCAATTTACAATGTTTTGGACCGAAAAGTCAAAATTTTAGTACTTTTTAGGCTTCAAAAACGTAAAAAGCTTTTAAAGTAGTCAGTAATTATTATAACTCGAAATAAGGTCTTTTTAGAGCTCAAAATCCGCGGACGCCTACATACGTGTTGCTGTCGATCGCGCCGCCGAAATTCGCGTCGGCGATTTCATCCCGCATCCCGTTTGCCTGACGTCAATTCATGTCACCGAGCTGACCCACGATAAGCCCAAGACCCATGGTAGTTCCATAAAATTTTTCATAATTGTTTTTCTATTTTCAGCCGTCGAATCCTCAATGTTCATGCGCGGTGTGGACACGGTGCTCGTCAACGTTTCCGGCAAGCTGATCACGCTCAATCCAAAGGGAGCGACAGCGGCGGATGAGAGGGACGACATCAAATTTCAGGTTTAAAAATGAAAAGATCTTTTACGTTTTTTTTTAGTTGAGCCAACCGATCGTCATCGCGTCGTTTGTGGAGCATATTTGGCACGATTTGACGAGCCGGGCGACAAAATCGGGTGAGTTTTTGACACTGTATTTTATGCTTTGTCCAACGGTTAAATATTGGAATCTAAAATTATTTTCTATATGAAAATTGTCAAATTTTTAAATGTAGAAATTATGTCTATTTTTTAGGCCGCACCCAACACCTCTCCAACGCCATCTGGATCAACTGCGGGGCGAAAGGATTGCGGGTGAGCTTGGTTTCAGAAAAGTAGATGACCTCTGTCTTCTACAGGTCTGGCTCCCCCTGCTTCCTGGCCGTCGGCCCCAGCAAGATTCGTTCAACGCCCGTCGCATCATGTTGCCTTTCAGCCTCGACATCCGGCCAGCTAGTAATAATATTTTTTATAGCAAAACTCTTTTTTTTTAGTGATCTGCAGTATGGATTGTATCGCCGTCGGCTTGGAAAGCACCCCCATCACCTATGGCAGCCCCAAGCACTGTACCACGCTTTTCAATGTTCATCGGAATAGTGAAGTAATTTTCTTGAAAACTCTTCTATTTTTTTCATAATTTTAAATCCTTTTAAAAATCTAACCTGATTTTCTTATTTTTTAGGTCTTCATCCACCACATCCTCAAAGAACTCCTCAAGCGTAACCTCGGCGCGTTTGCCATCGAGATTGCGCGCTCGTGTCGCCACCTGCCCTACTTTCCGCATGCCCTGGAGCTGTTGTTGCACGGCGTCTTGGAGGAGGAGGCGACGAGTAGCGAACCGATTCCAGGTAGAAATATTTTTTCTGGTTACTATTATTTTTCTAGACCCTCTGCTCCCGCGCATCGTCGCATTCATCCAAGAATTCCCTGAATTCCTACGGACGATCGCCCATTGCGCGCGGAAAACCGAACTCGCACTTTGGCCGACACTTTTCACCGTCACTGGATCGCCAAATGATATTTTTGAGGTGGGTTCCGGCTTCTATACGGTTTGATGATGTTTTTAGGTCGAGAAAAATACCCCAGAGATTTGAACAAATTGGCTTTTTTTTGTTCAAAATGATACGAAACTTGATGAAAATAAGGGGTTTAGAGTTTAAAAATCGGTTTTGAAGTTTTGATGCTTAATTGGAGGCGGCAAGAATAACTAAAACATTATATTGATTAATAAACAGGCAATTTTAGGTCTGCTTACGAGACGGAGAACTACAAACGGCAGCCAGCTACCTAATCGTCTTGCAGAGCATCGAAAACTCGGCCATTAGTCTGGAGGTAGCCTTGAATCCTTGGGTTTTCAAAATCGTTTTCCAGCAAGCCGCACGTCTTCTACGCGAGGCACTATCGGCCGGAGAATGGACTCTAGCGCAAGACATGCTCCGATTTGCCTCCTCCATCGACGCCGATGACATTGAAAGTCAGCCGAGAACTCCACCGCCGCAGGCCGTAAAAATGTCACGAAGAAAAGGGACAACCTCGGCAGAAGATGAACTTGTCGTCACACGATTTCAAGCCGGTAACGGACCGTTTCGGTGAAATTATTATATTTACAGTACCCTCCTCGAAGACGTCGTCCCGAATTCGCAGCGAGACGCAGGTCAATGGAGCGAGCAGAAAGGATAGTGGCGGGTCTGGGAGAAGATTGAGCAAGGTGAGTTTTACCAAAATTTCAATGAGAACTTTTTTCTAGGCCCTTTCCGCCGAGCTCTCCCTTTCGCCTACATTCACCAACGCGATGATCGAGCGGATGCAGGCGATTTTGCGGGAGCACGCGATGAGCCTTTTGCGAGAACATTGCGTCAGAGATTTGGGTTAGTGAAAAAAATAGTTTAATCAAAAATTCAGGTTTCTTCTGCTCCCACCTCAACTTCGACCTGGTCTCTCTTGTCGCGGCTGGCGGCTCGTCCTTTGAAGTGGCCGACTTCCCATCAGCCATTACACGACTTCACGCTCAATTCGAGTAAGTTCTCGGTTTTTACATGTTTGTAGAAATTTTTATTTGAATTTTATTAGAGTTTTTGGCAAATAAAAACCTCTCCAATTTCAGATGGCCGTATCCCGTTGCCGGCCACAAAGTTGTCGATCACCTGACCCGCAAATTCGGCTCCCTCCGCACCAGCCAGAGCTCGATCAGCCTTGCCGGCAAGTTTTTACTTAATTTTTAAACCTTTCCTAACACCTTCAGTCCGGCGTGCCCTGGAATGTTTCGACATTCCGCCACTAACCGCCTCCCTTGTCGCTTTCTTTTTCCGAAGCGGTATCACCAAAAAATTCCGGGATTTTTGTGGCGCTTTTCGGGTTCGAAATTCCTTTGCATGGGGGATATTTGAGGTTTTTATGGAAATTTCGTGTTTTTAATTAAAACTTGATTTTCAGGTTCTCCCTACAATCCCTCACGACCACCGGCCGGATCGATTTTTGGAAGGGATGGAGGTGCGTTTGTTTGCTTAATAATATCAAAGAATAGTAAAAATGCCGACAACAAAAATACCGACAGCCAAAATGTCGACGAATCAACATTTCGACACGAACACCGTAGAAGTTAAACGTTTTTATGGCTTGTAATCGGCTTTTTTGGTGTCGGCATTTTCAATGTCTGGATTTAGGCTTGTCGAAATTTCGATGTTCAATTTCTAATCCAAGTTTTTCTGCTTCAGATGAGCCTGTCGTCCAACCGGACGAATCTGTTTTTGGCGACGTCTCCACCGTAGTCCAAGAAGCTCCGCTGCGACCGGCTGAATTGATTGGAGGTGCGGCAATTTTATATTTTGCGGAATTTATCAAATGTGTAAACATTAAAAAAAATATAAATTTCCAGCCCTCAACGGCAAGAAGGACAGCAGTGGCGACTCGGTGGAAGCCCCCTCCCAATCCACAGCCATGCTTCGAGATGAAGGTGGACGGCCCCCAAGCCCCAGCGGCTCTTCCATCGCCCCCAGCACCCCGAATGGAGCAACACCTTCCGCTTCCTACGATATCAGCGGTAGTTGAACTCGTTGTTTTTCAATATATTTTTCTAGCCGTCGAAGTTCTTTGCGGTCCGGCGGCGGCTCGCGGCTCTGAAACGAGCGACTCCCAGTTGATGCACATGATCCGACTGTTCGAACAAGCGCAGGCAGTCGATTGGATCTTTTTGGTAAATGCATTATATTTTATTTTTCATTTTCATTAGATATGTTGTATTAGAGCTATTCTGTTATTTGTAGCTTTCTTAATTGCTTTTTCAGCTCTGCCTGGTCCGCCGTGATTCCCAGACGTTACGAGGCTTCTTGAACATCTCCACGGCCCGAAATTTCCCTGGCGACACCCTGGCGCGACTGCGTAGTGGCAGCGAGGATTTGATGGTGTGGGCCCAGCAAATGTGGTAGGAGAACTTTTCGGACATAAATAGAGGCAGTGTTTCTAAATTCTTGTTTGATTAGCGGAAAGATTTCAAAGTTTTATTTTTTATATCACTCTTGGAATCGAGTCAAAGACGGTTAAATTCTATTAAAATATTTGCTATTACGTTTATTTTAGCCCGGGCTACCTGCCAATCCTTCAAGTCTTCGTCGCGCACATCGAGATGGTCGCCGAGGCTGTCGGCTTATCAATTCAACATCACAATGGGAAGCAGGCGCAGAAGCCGAATTTGACGGCAAATGGCAGTGGTATGTTTTTCATCTAATTTTCTAATCCCCGATTAGTTCCAGAAAAACGCGCGCCACCCACGCGAGCAGCCGATCCTCTGGGAGGTATCTATAGTTTAATCTAATAACTAATTATTGCCTTTTAGCTGCCGGCAATCGTCGCACTCTACGCGCCGCCTTCGACCCGTCCACGTCATCGCGCCGTCATCGAGAACGCTCCAGAAGCGTCGACCGCGGAATGGCACACCACGCCGTCAGCACAGCCGACGAAGCCAACGATTGCTCAATTATGTAAATTGGTGCTGGATTGTTAGTATGGGAGGAATAGAGTATTTAATAATAGTTAATGTCTACCAGGGTTGAAAAGCCGCTTCGCGACTTTTCAACCCTGGCCCCGTCTGATCGCATGATATTCTTCACTTTGCATCATTCTAGCGATTTTCGATGACAAAAAATGAGAAACGCCACCTCTCTTCCCTTATATAGGCAACCGCAACATCCGGCGTATGCTAATTGTTTCCTAACAAAGAGGATCCTGGATTTTTCAACAAAAACTTAATTTTAACGTCGAAAACACATAATTTTTGAAAATTTTGTTATTGTGCAGTCATCCCAAGGCCATTACGCACCTAATGAGGTATCATACATGCCCCTAACTGGCCCCCTTCTTGAGATACTGCTGGAACAACGATACGGAAGTGGATGCAAAGTGGCACACACACACACAGACACTATTTTTTTATATATAGTAGGATTATTCCAGAATTAATAACGATTTATAAGTGTAGAAATATCAGTCGAAAATTAAAAAAAAATGGACTTTTGGCTCAAAATACGAGAAAAAAATTAAAATTTTAGTTTTTCGGCCCTGGAAAATGACTAATTATAAAATTTTAATGGGTTTTGCTTCCCGGTTAACGATCCAGAACCTCGAATTTCACCGTTTCCTTTCGCCTAAATTTTGTATGATTCTTTGAGAGATGACCTTTATATTGTGCCTTATCCAACTGTGATTTGCAGGGTGGTCGTGTCACCCACACGACCCTTTTTATCGCCCATATCCAAGCTGTTTTTTGAAAGTTACGTCTTTGTCCATGATTACGCCCCAGAGATCTCTGAGAAATGTGCCCGCTAGAGCTGTGATTGTCTTTTTGATAAACTTTTAGTTTTCCTTTGTGTGCAGAATAAATTTATTGGAACTGATGTAACGATGGTAACGATAACAATTGTCAAACATAACAAAGACTACAAAGAACGGCTTGAAGACTATGCATGGAAATGAACACCGGCCTTGTTGAAGATGATGAGCAGCTGGATGAATTCTTCGATTTTCATGGTCCTCGCTCGTTTCTCGGCGAACCCGCTATTCATGATGGTCTCTTCTATCATTTTTGAGAAGTCGAGATCTTCAGGAATTTCCTAAAAAATTTTTATAGTAATGGGATGCCAATTAAATTTATTACTTCATTAATAAAAACGAGCAAAAACCCACCGTTCCCCTCATTTTCATAAATTTCCTATAATTGAGCTCGAGCTGCGCCTTGACGTTAGATATCCGCACGATGGCCAGTACCGTTTTGTTCTTTCGCAGGAAACAGATGCGCAAAAGTCCTTCCCATTCCTAAAAATCTCCCATTAGTTTTTTCAAATTCTCTTGCATCAAAATTAATAGGCGGCGGTGGGTTTCTGGGGGTAATCCGGACGACGGCTGAATCGACCTAGAAAAACAAAATACATCTTTTGGAAAAATTCCACATACCTGCGGTGGCGGCCGGAACTCAGTCCTTTTCACTTTCATCACGTGCTCCACCTAAAGCACAGATTTCCGAAAAATAACTGATCATACTTTTGCTAAAAGCTGTACATTCACGGACAATCGACAGTAATCCTCATCGCCGGGTTTTGCCAGCAATCGCTCGGCAAATTCCTTTTGGAACATGAGCACTGCGTATCTAAATTATCCTTATTAAGGCAATTAAAGAAGTTAACAGAAGATTTAAACGTGCTACAAAATTTTCAATATTTTATTCCTAAAATCAGGCAAAGGAAAGTAAATCGATTAAAAAAATACCTTGGTAGCGGTCTCTGAAGAAGCAGCTTGAACACGAAAGGCGACGAGATCTGATACGGCAAATTTGCCACGCACACGTCAAAATACGGCCATTCCTGCTTCATCACATCGCCCTGTCGAACCTCGAGCTTGTTTTGAACGGCACTAAATTATTGGTTTTCTGAATCTCCGAATTAACTTACGTCCCAAGCACACGCTTCTTCAACTCAGAAACCATCCGCGGGTCCAACTCGAACGCAATTAACTAAATCAAATTAGAGCAAATCTCGATGTTCCACACCTTTTTCGCTTGTTCCAACATCTTTACGGTCAAGTTTCCCGTGCCTGGGCCGACCTCGAGCACCGTGTCGCTGTTCTTGATGGCACTCTAAAAGGCATAAAAGTTCAAAAGCTGGTCGTACCTTTTCGACGATAGCATTGACGATCCCGGGGTTCTTCAGGATATGCTGACCAAAATCAGTGTTGAACGGGAGGCCTAAAGGTGAAAAATTAAGAAAACGGAAGTTCCACCCACCCTGGGTATTCGATTTTGCGGCCGGCTTGTCACCCTTCCTGATTTTGACTTTGCCCATTTTCTAAAACAACGTTTTATATTGTTTTTACAAGGATTTAGGCGAATTTGCAAAAATAATTTTTGGCTTGCCAGAAATGACATCGTCATTGAAATCGGAAACCTCACCGGTTAGGATCGGCATTTGGAGGGTAGCGGAAAGCGCGCTTATTCAGTTTTTTGAGCGCTTCACAATCAGCTGGCCTCCAAAGAAAAGAAAGAGGATAGCGGTGCACTCAAAAATAGGTGCACTTTTCCGATTTTTGGCATGTTTATGACAAGTTTAGAGGGAGACGCTGACCCGAGCAGCTTGCAGAAGATAACCCTGGCCCCGGATTCAACGCCGACAGTTTTACCCAAGAGATGACCGGTTGGATTTGATTCTGACAATTTTTATTCGATTTTAAGGCAAATTAGAGTATTTTGGGGATCTCGATAGCTTGTTTTGCCATGGCTTTAACTGTACGTGACAACAAATATAAACAAACTAGCTGGCAGCCGGGATGTTATAACATTAGTCAGGGATGTATGGACGATTCATGTCCTATTAGTCATTAGCGATCACAAAAACCAGTTTCTAGACGTGAAACACGTTTCCGGTTGTCGCTTAGTGTCTTAGAACCTTCTTATTTGCCAATCGTCATTTTCACAGCCAGACCCGTCTAGATTGTCCATTCTTTCTAGGCTCCCCACCGTTATCTCCCATATTTTTAGCGCTAATCGCTTTCCATTTGCAGTGTCCTATTGTTGCTTCCAGGGGCTAGCCACCGATCCGCCCACGGGCCATAGCAAATAGGAGACGCGCCTCAGGATTCCTGTCACGCCCATGATCGGGCCCTTTGCGCGAATTGCATCAGCCACGCATATAAATCGCAAAGAAGGAGACCCCCGCTTCCTCGTCTAGTCTCCGGGGCTTCTAGGCCTTCTAGGCTCTGTTTTACCAATTTTTAGTAGTGATTCGTTTTCTTCAGCATCTTTCCTCTAAAACTAATCTTTTTGATGTGCCCAGCGTTGAGGTTTTTTGCATGTTTGATACCTAGTATTTTACGCTCTAAGGCTTCTAGGTTTTCTAGCTCTATTTTGATCATTTAGGCTTTTAGTCGTAGATCACTTGCAGAAGATACCTTTAGTTTTCTGCGCCTCCGGTATCTAGTTCTTCAGACTTTTGATGTTGTATGATCTTGATGTCAGAATTGGATTTAGGGAATCTACGTAATTCCGTTTTTTTTTTGGAAGCCATGCCCCAAAAACTCCGGTTAAAGCACAAATTCTTCGCCCCAGATTCTTGAACTTTATCTCATCACACTTCTCAGCGCTCCGGGGCGCCACAGTAAGCACAATGTACAGTCTGACTCCTTCTCACCCAGGTTTCTGTTGCTTTGGCCTAGTATTTGTACGCTTTTCCTTGGTTTTTTTTTTGGGGGCGGGATAGCCTTGTTCAAATAGGAGGGGGAGCTGTTCCCCCGGGCTAGCTCACACAGAACGGTTTCCCTACTTTTAGAGCCATGAAACGAGTTTGGGGTTATTTCAGTTATTTGCCCAAGCTTAAACGTTTTTTTTTTGACATCTTTCAACACACGGCCGTTCAGATCTATGGGAAGGCGCGCATGAGAGGGGCTTCCCCCACTCCCCAAAAATGTTAAGAGCGCCGCTCTTCTTTAGCTCATAACTTTCCCCCCTGACCGTATTTTGAAAATCGCCGCTCTAGTTCGATAGAGAAAAAAATTCTGCACATTTTAGTATCAAAAACTTTAAGGAATAGCGGCTGACAGAGTTTTCTATAGCGTTAAAAAACCAGCCATAGAAAATGTTAAGGATTTTCTCCTTTTTTGCTGATAACTTTTCCCCGGGTCATATTTCGAAAATCGCCGCTCTAGTTCGATAAAGCAAAAAATTCCCCACAATTTCGTAAAAAAACTTTTATATAATGAAGTGTTGGAAGCGTTTTCTATAGCTTTTAAAGCTCGTGCACGCTCTGAACGGCCGTGAACACCCCAACCTCACCTCGACCGATCATAATCAGCTGATTCATTCCCCGATTTATCGCGCCCACTTCCGGTCCATATAATTAGACGAGGATCGCCGTGTTTCAAAGGGGGCGGGGTGGGAATGCTGCGAACTGGCTTTTCCCCCTCCCTCTCACATTGTCGCCCACCCTGGGGGTCAACTGATGCAAAAAGGCCGCCCCTCCCCCTCAGTCCTCCCTGTTTTCCATTACGAAGGAATCTCGTTTTATTTATCGCCCGCCAGCTGGCGATTTTAAAAGCTTTCCCCGGCGCCTTTGAAAATCACAGGCAAAGTGCCCCCCAGATTTTCACCTGCTTTGTTTTTGCGCTTTATTTAATTGGAAATCAATTAGGGCAGCGGGCGGGGAGTTCGATAATCTTTCGCTGGCGAGGTCACGTTTGGAAAAAGAGCTGGTTCGACGGGCCTGGTCGAGATTTGAATAATGGACCCATCAATAGGGCGTTTGTTGGCCGGACGGTTCAAAATTGGCCCTTTGTTTTGATGATACTTTAGCACATATTGTTTTTAACCTTGTATTGCTTCATCTAAATGGAAAAATATTTTTATCCTTTTTCTTTTGGGAAATTGAATTTGGTCTTCGGATTCGAAGTCGATTCCTAATTGAATTTGGTGCGTCCAATCATTGCTAGTTCTATAGTAAGAGCTCTTATTTTGCTTTGGGGTTTCGAGAAAGCTAATATTCCTGTTGAGAAAAATGCCGACACGCAAATGTTTTAATTTGAAAAAGTTTTGCACTGTTTTAGGGTGGGTTTAGGTGTCGATGTTTCAGTTGCATTTTTAAGCGAGGTTTGGCATCTTTTTAACATTCTAAAATTTTACTAAAACTAGACATAAAGTGCAAACAATTTTCTCACTGCCGCGTGTTGACTATTGACGTTTTCCGGGTTCCTCTATCTTCCCGTTGAATTGGATCCCGGTTCAAAAACGCCCGTTCCTGGGTTTCCACACTTGTTTTGCCCCCATCGATTTCTCTGACTCAATTGACGGTTTGGATGGTCGCCCGGCTGGCGGTGATCGTGAGAAAAGCGGCCCCAATATACCATCATAGTTAAAGATTTTTTGCACATATGTACCCTTCAAAAATAACCTTCAAAGCTCTGTTTTTCACTTTCCTGACCCTCCGTCTTTGACCATTAGGGCTGTTTTGACTGCTGCGGACAACTGTTCAACTTTTTCTGCCCGTGCAAAAGGCTAAAAGCTGTGTGTTTCAGTGGGCCCAATGCTGATCTGGGCGCTCGTCTTGCTGTTGGCACCGAGTGCAACAACGGCCCAACTGTCGAATGTGACCGCCCAGCTATTGCTGGCCCCCGCCGAGCTGTCGTTGGTGCTGGATGAGCACGCAAACATATCTATCACCTACAGGTACATAAAAAGTGGTTTCTGGGTTGTTATTTGGGTTTCGGAGAAATCTTGGGAAAAGCTGGAATGCCGACAACCAGGATTCCGACAATCAAACAATTGAAATTGGAAAATTTTTTGAATGTGATTTAGCGTTTTGGGTGCCTGCATTTCGGCTGTCGGCATTTTAGCGTGATGCCCCGGAACGTGAATACTTGAAATTGAAGTAGTATTTTTGAATTATTTAATGTATATATTGAATGTAATGAATTTTTGTCGAAAAATCATGTATTTTACCATTCCTACACGAAAAAGCAATGTAATTTCCTCAAGAATCTCTGCAAGTTTGCCCGATAAGATTACGGCCAGGTCTGGTTACGGCATTACCGACAAAACCATGAAAACTAAAATTTGATCTCCTACTTGCGTCAAGTTTCGAACAAACGCTCTAGGAATAGAAAAACGGGTTCGGGTTCTCGAGCAAATTTTGCCGTTTTATTATTTGCCAACAATCAACCTAAAAGCCTTTCAGGGGCGTCGACGCACACGGCGACCTGATCCTCACCCTCAGCGACAACAGCCCCTACGTGCATGGGCCGAGGAATGTGAGTTAGAACTTTTGAATATTGAAACTTGAGCGATTCGAGAAACTGTAAAGAACAATAAAAAACCGAAAATACCAATCAAAAAACTTAAAATAATGCGTTTTAGGTAACACTTGACCACGGCTCGAATGAGACGGGCTTCGGCATCGTGGCAAAAGCCGTCGTCAGCCACACCGTCGTCGAAATTGTCGAAGCCCTCTGGTGCGATGTGGAAGGGACAAATTGCACGAGAATCGAGTACGTAATTGCCGTTTACATAAAAACAATAGATTTTCGGCCAAAATTCAAATTTAGAACATCTTTCCACGTTTTCTAAATATTCCTAAGCTGAAAAATAGCTCAATTTTATCAAAAATGCTATTAAAATACCTTCTATTTGATTTTTTAGCATGTTTAAACTCGTTAGAGAAATTAGGTTGATTTTTTTCTATGCAATCCTTCCAGAACCGGCGAGGCGTACACCCGAGTGTCCGTTATCAAGAGCCGCTTCGTCGATGTGCTGATCGTCGTCGTGGGTTGGGCGTACTTCTTTGCGTGGAGCATCTCCTTCTACCCCCAAATCATCCTCAATTATCAGCGAAAAAGGTACATTTTAGACGCTTTTCTAAAGTTTATTTTAGTGTCGTTGGTCTCAACTTTGACTTCCTATTCTTGAACATTGTCGGATTCGCGGCGTACACCATCTACAATGTGATGAACTATTGGGACCAGGCTGTTCAGGTAAGCTAGTAACTGACTTGCAGCTAAAATGCCGACAAGTAAAATATCGATAATCGAAATTGGGCCATTACATTCGGAATTGAAGAGTTTTCACACGTAATTCCGCGTTTTACTCCTCGATATTTTCGCTCGTCGGTATTTTGCCTGTCGGCATTTCTGCTCGACAGCCTAAGAACTACTGCAATTCTTTCAAATCCCCCTTTTAGGACGAATACGCCCGTCTGCACCCAAAAAGCCCGATGCCCGTCCTGCTGAACGACGTCATCTTCTCCGTCCACGCCCTCATCGCCTGCCTGGTCACTGCGCTGCAGGCATTCATGTATGAGGTATCGCTATACGCTTTATATGTTCCATTTTCTCCTTTTTTTCAGCGCCAAAACCAGCGTGTCCACCCGGGATTCATCGCCTACGGAGGCGCACTCGTCACCGCCGGCGTGTTCGCCCTGATCCTCTCCCTTTTCCACAAAATCACCTACCTGCAATTTGTCACGTCGCTGTCGTACTTGAAGATGGCCGTCACGTGCTCCAAATATTTCCCCCAGGTTTGGTGAAGGATCGTGGTATTTGAATGGATTTTAGGCGGTGTACAACTACCAGCGGAAAAGCACGGTCGGCTGGTCAATCGGCAATGTGCTGCTCGATTTCACCGGTGGTCTACTGGATGTTTTGCAGATGGTCAGCTACAAAATCTTAATAATACGAGATAGAACATTAAAATTAGATTTTTTAACGATGAAAATTTCCAGGTCCTGCAAGGCTGGAACGTTGATGACTGGTCAGCCTTTGTCGGCAACCCCGTCAAGTTCGGCCTCGGCATGGTGTCGATGGTCTTCGACGTGGTCTTCCTCCTCCAGCACTACGTCTTCTATCGCAACGCCGAGGTTTGTGTCCCTGCATGGCGTTTGATTGGCTTAGGGAATGCCCATCCCTCTGTCATAGAAAAATCCGGTAAACCGACAAATATTCTAGCCTTTCTCGTCGCTGCCCACGGAGACGAGTCTGCTGACCACGTCGAATTAGGTCTAGTCACTGTGCTTGTACCCGGTGTCCGCCAAACCCTTAGCTTTACATCCCTAGAATTTCCCTCAACTGCCAAATTCCCCCGGTTTTTTGGGGTACTGATTCGTTAGCGGGGGGGGGGGGGCTAGCAGGGGAAGCTAACTTTTTCCGATTTTCCGTGGCTCTATAATAATGAAATATAACATTTATATACCTTTACCCTAATGCTAGCATTTTCCGCTCTTTTTATACGCAAAGAGGTCAGACAAAAATTGTTACGTTTCCAAAAATCGAGATTTCTGCCAAAAAACCACTTTTTAGTCATCAACATTTAGCTTTCATTATTATGGAGAATGCGGAATCTAGGAAATCAGCCCCCCCCCCCCCGCTAATGAACCAGCACCTTTTTTGGCGCTAAACGCATGCAATTCTATTCCCTACTTTCTAGAATCAAGACGAGACTTATCCGCCAAATTTTAGATGCCCGACTCGCGGTATGCCGGTGTGGAGAACCCGGCCGTCGAGCAGAGTGACGGAGATGATTCCCGGTTGAGAGCCGATTCTCATGACATTGTGGTCCACGACTAGTCCTGCGCAATCTCGCGATTCTCACATTCACATGTTGCTTTAACCTTGTTAATTTTAGCCCTTGTTTGTCTTCTCACTCTCTTGCTCTCTACATATTAGCACGCGCCTAGCCATACGGGATTCTGACGAAACGGAGATATGTCCGACAGCATTATGACCGTCCTATGTACAGCACGACTCGATTTTCTTTGCCTTATAGCTAATCGTAAGCCCCCACATTAAATTAACGCATGCCCCCTCACCTTTTTAATCCTATTTAATAATCAGGGAACCTGATTTTGGGCCCCAGGACCCTCTAAAACATATTGCATCTCCGGTGTGAACTTTCAGTTCAATGGTACTGTGATATCGATCTTTCAACAAAAACCAAAAGATAAATTTATGAAGACAAATCACAAATTGAGAAAATTGTTGAAAATCACCGTATGAACAGACTTTGGCCAGAATACACCACCGAGTCGCGATGGCCAACTCATTTCTTTGCATCAGCCTCACGTTCCAATATCACCTGTGCGAGGCCGTCCAGGAATTCCGTGAACGTCAGTTTTTCCTGGAAACAAACCATAGAAATTGACCGTGTGGGTCACCTTTCGAGAGTTCGCGTAGATGAGGGCCGGAAGTTTACGCAAAAATCGGCCACTCGATCCAACCAGCTTCTCTACTAACACCTCCAGAAGCGCACATTCACCCGAGGCGTCTTCGGGGAATTCCAATAGTTTAACCTAAAATAGAGTATGAAAAAGCCGTAATGTAAAGACTTTTACCCGCTTCAACTCGCTAACCGCTTCCGTCAAAATCTTCATCACGCCAGCCCGGCCGGTAGTTGGGACTAGTTTAATCAAGTCGGCACTAAAACACACTACAAAACTTTAATTTCAATTATACCGATCAACGAGAGCCGGGTCCAGACATTCCTTTAAGTTTGACGTACACATGATGAAGACGTTCGGCCGTCTGAAAGTTCGTTAAATTTTTCAAATTCATTTTGTACCGTCTAATCCGATCGATTTGCGTCAGAAGCGCGTTGACAGCTCGGATTGAATCGGCTGGATCTCCACGAGACGCTGAATCGCTTCGATTGATGCCCAGGGATTCGATCTAAAATTAAATAAGAAAAAGGTAAACAATATAGAGAGAATAAACGTGCATCAGTAAATTCGTTACCTCGTCAATCAGCACAAACACAAAATTCTTCGTATCCTCGGCCGCCTCGTCAATCTGATCGAACATTTTCATCACCAGCTTACCACTCTGAAAGGGATCATCACCGTAAAAATCGAATAATTACCTCCGAGAACCACTTGCTGAACAGTGAATGCGTGTTAATTTCAATCAAAACAGATCGCGGGAACTTCTTCTGCAGGCTGATCGACATCTGGTGGGCCAGCGCCTGGCATAGTGATGTTTTTCCAGTGCCAGGAGGTCCTAGGAAAACTTTATATAATTTTTGATCGTCTCACCTAACAACATGATGAGCCTGTTGACATTCACGTATTTCGTGTCGACGCCAGCCGAAGCGAGTCGGATCAGGGAGAGAACGTAGGAGAACAACTGAACGGACAGAGCTTTACAAGCTAAGGGTTACAAACAAAATTAGTAAATAAACTTGATAAATAAAAAATGTACCTCTGTCTTTATCGGTCCGTCAAAGATTAGACTGTGCCATAAGCCTTCAAATGTCAACGCCGGCAGACTCCAGTGCTGGGAGCCCATAGTCGTTGAATCCTCATTGTTGTCGACGGAGATCGATTGGGAGAAAGATGTGTCCTAGAAAAATTGCCGAGCCTAGAAACGAAAGATATTCTTCCTACTTGTGTCGGGACATAAAATCGGAACAATGATTTGTCCGGGATGCCGTCTAAGATCAGAATTTCCATATCCTGAGCCTGCAGCGCGGTGATCGTCACATATTCGATCAAGGAATGAATCGAGGTCGGCTAAAGCAGAATTCTCAAAAATCTGTGAGTCACTGATACCTTTCCTTCTTCGGCGGGCTCGCATGGATAGCGTGTAGTCCGTGTGCCATCGGCGATCCGTTGCATAAACTAAATAAAAAATTTACTTTAAAAAGTGATTCCCCTACCCAGAACGGCTCCATATTTCGGATTTGCTTGTCATCGGACTCGATATGAATTAACGCGTTCAACTCGTCGATCCGTTCTTCGACCGAGCAGCGGGCACTAAAAAGACGGGTAGGAGTTGGAGATAGCTCTATCAAATCCAGAAACAACGCTAGTAGATTTTGCAACGCCCTTATTAATTAATTAAGCTAAAAACTAACACTCCACGCCTCAATCGCACGTCCACCGATGCAATCTGATCGGCTGGAACAACTTTTGTACTCCAAAGTGCCGTCATAATACTTCTTCTATAAATTGAAATTTAGAAAATTCAGGAAACATATTCAAGCCTAACGGTCATGATTCAGACTAATCCAAAATATCTGTGGTAAGCCTGTATCGCCGTGTAAACTCCAAACCAAAAGCAAAGACAGGTTTATCAATGTGGAAAGTAATTAGCCCGTAAGCAACGTAAAATCAAATCCATCGGTTTCTCGTAAATACAACGTAGCATAAACATGGTTATGGAATGAGCGGCGGCATTCAAAGGAGAATAAGGCAATGAGATCAGGAGGCCCCAATCTGGGGGCGTAGCTCAGTTGAGGACAAAGTGGATCTTGTTGGTGCGGTCGGTCATGATGACGCCGTTGGTGGTGTAGAAGTCGACGCACTCCTTCAGCACCTCGTCCGAGATTCCCTGGAGAAGACAAGATTTTGAAAAAAATTAGAGAAATTCTACCTTGCGAGCGCACTTTGTGGCCAACTGCTCCATCGGGACGGGCTCATTCTTGTTGGTGGCGAAGAGATCGCGCAGAAGGGTAAATGCTTGATCGACGGGAGTTCCACGGCTAAAAAAATTGCGTTAATGATTCAATTGAGCTTTAAAACTAAAGGCAGCAGCAATTCTGGACTGTTTGAGGCGTTTTATTTCGTATTTTTAGGAGAAAAAGAACCCCATTTGGTACATTATAATGGACTTCATAGCTGATTCCTCATGCTTTATATTTTTTAACACTCTAAATCCGCATAGAACCCAATTTTTCACATTCAAAAACGTATAAAAACTCACTTGACATGCTTGGCCTCTTCTGTGCGCATGCTGTCCTTGCTGGCGGTCATCAAGCGGATGGCTTCATCCAGATCCGACTCGCTGACCCGGTCTCGCAGATGCACGCGAGCGCAAGCTGTAGCCATTCTAAAAAAATCTCATGAGAATCAAAGAAAGTTTTACCTAATAACCGAGAGCAGCAATCGAGGCGAGGTGAATGTGGAGTCATCACTCTCGCGGGACTCCTTCCTGATGTCGACGTACAGGTCGATGAGGCGCTCGGCGAGCTCGGGGCCCATCACCGGGTTCTTGGCTTTGCAGGCGGCAATGTATTTACTAGATTAAAGCTGATGTAATGCTTATTGAAGATAGATACCGCAGCGTATCCATGCTGAAGGGCTGAAGCCCCTTGCGTGGAGGCGGGCATCCCTTGTAATGGACGTAGCAGACGTGTTTGGCGACCTAGAGACAGAAAAAAATCAGTAGCAGCAAATTCAAACGAACCATCATATCAGATTCCTTGCTCGGGATGTCGCGCATCACCCACATCAAATCGAATCTAAAAAAAATTAGATCGGGCGAAAGGTATTTTTATACCTGGAGAGAAGGGCGGCTGGCAAGTTGATGTTCTGCTCGATGCTACGACGGGGGTTGTATCTAAAGGAATGGGGATAAAAATGTTTTAATCCTCAAAAAGAACCGGTTTCTTACCCGATAATATCGATAAACGCTACCTTCCATAAGCCGGGTTCGCAGCCGCAATAATTGAAACGCGGGCGTTGAGCGTGGTCATGATGCCGGCCTTGGCGATGGATATCGTCTGCTGCTCCATCACCTCGTGAATGGCCGTCCGGTCGGCATCCAACATCTTGTCAAACTCGTCAATGCAGCAAATACCGTTGTCAGCGAGTACCTAGAGAAAATAATTTGTAACAATCCGATATTTCTCACCAGGGCTCCACCCTCCAGCATCATTTCCCCGGTGACTGGGTCCTTCATGACAGCAGCGGTCAGACCGACGCCTAGAAGAAAGATTTACAATGTTAAATAACGAAAAGCTGGCAGCATTTTTTACAAGCAAAATGGCCTCACCAGAAGATCCACGACCGGTTGTGTACTGCGAGCGTACGGCAAGTCGATCAACGTAGCCGAGCAGCTGCGACTTGGCCAAACCAGGGTCGCCCATGAGAAGCATGTTGAGCGCTCCTAAAAAACGGTTTTGCAAGACAAAGAGGGTTTCTACCTCTGATCTTCATTCCCTCCGCGTTCTGGTCGCAACCGCCGACCAGGGCCAACAGCAGCGATTTCTTGACGTCCAAATGGCCGTAGATATCGGGCGCGATCGAGTAGGCGGCAAGGTTGTAGAAGGAGGCATCGCCGAGACGACGCATCTACAAGAAATGTTTTTGGGCTGCAGTTTCGTAAAACCTCTTCCTCGGTGATTTCGCCTTCCAGCTCGGCGGTGCGCAGATCCTCGCGGTTGATCGGGTTGACGAACTGAAAAAATACGTCTTATGACAATGAGAATGAACCCACGAAAGCTTCCAAATAAGTGTCGTGGGTGAGGGATCCGCCACCAGGAGCCTGAGGTCCGCGTTGAATCTGCGGCAAATACACGCCTGAATTTAATCTTCAAAATAAAAACCGATAAATTACCTGCGATTCGGCAGTGATCTCCCGGCTGGCAACCGCGGGTCATTTCGCCAACAACTTGAACCGTCAAAATACGCGGAATCGATCCGACAGGCACTTGGTGGCTCTAAAATGTCAATTAACCCGAGCACCCCTAAAAATGTTACCAATTCCTGAATCTTCAGCTCCTGATACTTCACGAACTTCGATCCGCGCACTTGCATATGAAGCCGCCCGTTGCCACGCCCCTCCGTGCACTCCTTGCTGATGCAGCTGGCCTGCGGGGTGTATTGCTGGCCAGCGACCTAAAGATGTATAGAAATAGTAGAAACCGAGGGATTCTCATACCGCATGGTACACCTCGGCCGAGCAAGTGTCGCATGTGTAGGTGATCACTTCAGCGCGCGGCTTGACCTCGGTGGCTCGGATGACGATGCCCTCGACGCAGACAAAGTGCCCGATCTGGTCGGCCTTCAGCTGGCGCACGGAAAGGGGCTTGGCGTTCGAGTCGGGGCGGAAGGATACCTCGCTAAAAAGGAGCTATTTGGCATGAAGAAAGGTAAAAGGTTGCCAAAATGTGGTTTCCAAGGTATTTGAATTCAATGAATTTTTCACAATGTGCAAGATTCGAGCCTAAAAACCTGGACCAAAACTCACAAGCGACGCATCAGCTGGGCCGGGTATCGGTTTGTCCTTTGATCGCCGCGGTCCGCATGTTCAGTGGCATGCTGACGGTCCATCTGCACGCGCTGGTAGATGAACGCGTCCAAGGCGTCGCGGACTGGCGGCTAAAACAAGAACAATTGCAATTACCAAACTCGAAACCCACCTCACGATCGCCCAAGTATTCCGCGCGCAACTCGTCCATCACCTCGCAGAACATTTCACGCAGTCTAAGAACCTTACATTGGAACATGAGAACGTGCAATACCGGACAGTGTTGATCTCTAGGGCTTCGACCACTTCGGGGAACAGCTCACGCAGATCGTCGAGGTCGATGAAAAGGGTCACCTCTTCGCGCTCAAAGATTTTGAACATCTGATCCCGGTACTTGAAGTTCTAAACAGAAGGATTAAAAACATCGAAAGCTGCTACAAACCTTCTCGCCCTGATCGTTTGTCGTGAAAAACTCGGAGATGAACTGCCGAATCTTTTGCTTGACCTAAAAACGAAGAACAAATATAGGAAATAGAGAATCCAACCTCATCACGAGGGTACTGCTCGTCGAATGACTTTTTGCCCTTGCCCTGAGCAGCGTTCATCTCCTGAAAAATGATAAAGCTTAGAGATGACGTCTCCAATTTCCAATTCGGAGGAGAGAAATATCGTCAAGAAAGGGAAAGAGGCAAATTTCTAACACTGCATTCGTTAGAGGCGATTTCGCGCACCGGGGGATTGTTTGAACCGCGGGGGTACGCGCCCTCATGTGAGGCACGGTTTAGCCAAACCCTTTCCGCCCCCTTGCGCGAAATGCTGGCTCGAAAAGAAGAAATCTAGAGGAATAAAGTTCATAAGTTAGTAATCAATTTTAGCTATGAATTAAAGATGAAGCCTGATCTCAGAAATCGGCTAAAAAACATAAATTTCTTCACGCCATCGCTGAAAAACGCCAAAAAAAACCAAACACCGATGTTCGTTTGACGATGTACGGTAAGGTGTTGTATATCGTTCTGTGTAAAAACTGTAACTCGTAATATTGCGTCCACGTTAAAAATTTATTCCCAAAAAAAAACAAAAAAATATAGATGCGATAGATTATATCACAGTGACATAAACAGCAACTAAAGAAACAAATGACACAAGTGTGAAGGAAGGCAAGGCTGGACAGATGGAAGTGGTGGAACTACCACTTTCCGGCGCCACCCTTCTTCTTCTTTTTGGCGACCGTCTTGGCGCCGGCGGGCTTCTGCTGGCGTGGTCCTTCGACGGGAACTTGCAGCGGGCTGCGCGGGCTGTCGACTTTAGTGGCTTCACTAAAAAGAATGCATTAGAGAGACCGTAAAGGAAGATGCTTACTAATTAGCGTTTGCAGTAGAGCCTTGGGTGCCTCGGCCAATGTCGCGATCGCGGTACTTCTTGCCCTTCTTGGCCTTCCACGTCGAGCGCTCTTGCTTTGGTAACCACCTGCAAAGTAGAAAATATTCTGGTTCGATTTATCACTAAAAATGACCAATTTTCGACCAACGTTATTACCTTATACTCGTCATTATCACTTTCTATTACGTTATCAAGCCGATCTGGACTATTGGAGCGAAATCTGTACCCCCTGATAATGCCAAAGCACCAAAATTCCTGCCAAGAAACAAGCTTACCTCTCCGGGTCTGGGGCCACGCTCGGGTCGTAATTTTTGGGCAGAATCACTTTCCTCTTGCGCTTGCGGTTCCGCATCTTGCCAGTGACAATTTCCTAAATGGATTTGGATGGCATAAACGGGCGCTTTTACCGAGTCATGGATCTCCTTATTCTCCTTCCGCTGCTTGTACTTTTCTCCATATAGGATCCAGTCGCTCTCCTCCAGCTCGGCCACATTCAACCCAGATGGTCCGCTTTCCGGGAACAACTAGGAAACGTTGAAGAGAACAGATTGTTTCTTTTACCCTTTGCGTAAGTTGCTCGGCCTTCTTCGGGTCAACGTGGGTGTAGGCGCGGATGAGTTTTGATTGGATTGACACTTCATCGGGGTAGAGGCTGTAAAAATTTTTATATAAAAGATTCATTTTCCTGCCTGCCTTTTCTGCCTTTTAAAATTAAAAACCCTTGAAAAAAATTTTGGCCCAGTTCCCTATAATCATTAACACTAGTTTCGATTACTCGTTGCCTTCTTTTTGTAAAAGCGACAGTTGCTCCAAAGATCCGGGGCTAACGGCCCTTCCCATCCAAAAAACCGGCCACTGACCCCGGGAGAGCCGGATGGCCAGGCGCCGCTGTAAACTGGCGCCGGGCATGGAACCCAACACCCGAACAACAATGATGGTTCGAGAAAGGCCAAGCTTGGATTTTGCAAGAACGGACCAACAAAATCGATAAGTAAAGATTAATGCGGAAAGCTTGCTGAACACGGGATAAACTCTAAAAATTATCAACAAAAACGTACTTGCTCAACTTCTCCAAATGCTTGATCGCCTCCTTATGCGAACCGCGAGCGATCTGCATCTCGGCCGCCTTTTCCAGCATCACCCGGCTGTGCTTCGGATCGCGACTCGCTGATTCCTCCAAAATCTTCAAAGCCTCATCGATTTTGCCGGATGTGAAGAGCAGGGCCACGTTCAGACTGGCCACGGATGGGCGGTTTCGCAGGCTGGCTGGCAGCTTCTAAATTGAGGGTTTCAAAAAAAGAATTGGCAAATACGAACCCCCAGGGCGGTGGCGGCTTCGGCGAATTTTCCGGCAGACACCAGGATTTGGACACGGACGAGCTCTTGGGAGGGGTCATTGACGTCGAGGGCCTGGAATTAAAAATATGACAAATATTTTGCGTATACCTTGAGCGCTCCTTCGACGTCGTTTTTCATGAGGAGAGCCGCTTCTACCAGCTTCGCATCGGGGATTGGGCCGAATTTCTCGTGGATCTCGGTGAGGGCACGGCGGCATGGCTCACGTTGGTTGGAGGAGAGGAGTACGAGAGCCTGGAAAAGTTTTTTTTTTTTTGATATCTTAAAAGTCTAAAAAACGCGAAAATCGTGGTTGTGGTTTTTAAAGCGTTTTTATTTCCTTGGTCTTTACAACGAGGTCTAAACGACTAAGAACGGGAAAAGTTATAATTTTGATACTTTGAGAGATTAAAAAACGCGAATATTATATCATTTTTATAGCGTTTATATTTATTTGTGTATTGCATTTTCCATTCCTTATACAGCGCCTATTTATACGTATTTACGACAACATTCTAGTGAATGAATAAAAATAAATAAATAAATAAAGAAGCATGATCGTTACCTTCTTTTTCTATTTTTTTTACTGTTTGCCGCGTTGCAAAATCTTCCAAACAAATTTCACAAGCTCACCGTTTTTGCCCATACCCAGCCTATTTATTACATTCAAGGCACCGTTCCCAAGCCCTTCAGCCTGCCACCATCTTTTCCCCCCTTGCCTAGGGTGATGCCATCGTGCAGTAAAGCCGAAGGGGCGGGGTCAGCCCCAAGGCCCTTGGGCCACTGAATGCGCCTTCCTCATTTCTCGGTCGCCGTCACCCAGTGTCGCCGCCAGCTCGCAAGGATGTCCGTCGAACCGCAAGTCGTCGCCAAGATCGAGGAGGGCTACAACAAGCTCCAGGCCGCCAAGGACTGCCACTCGCTCCTCAAGAAGTACCTCACCAAGGAGGTAAAAAAAATTGGGCGTTAGATATTCTCCGTGTCAGAAATGCAAGTCAATTAAACGTTTTTAAGGTCGTTGACGAGTGCAAGAACAAGAAGACCAAGCTCGGAGCTACCCTTCTGGATGTCATCCAGTCCGGTGTTGCCAACCTCGACTCTGGAGTCGGTAAGTCGCTAAAAAAACGTCGAAAAACTGGAAAAATAGGTTTTTAAAAGCATTTACAATTTAGGAGACTTCCATACCTAAAAAGTTAAAACCTGCAAAAACTGTCTTAAAAGATCAAAATAGCAAAAAATAGGTTTCCGACTCCTTATTGTGAAATGACGAAATATCAAATAGTTAAACTACTCTACCAAATTTTCTAGGTGTCTATGCCCCCGATGCCGAGGCGTACACCCTCTTCAAGCCCCTGTTCGACCCCCTGATCCAGGACTACCACAACGGCTTCGCCCCCAGCCAGAAGCAGCCGGCCACCGACCTCGGCGAGGGCAAGACCCACCTCCTGCCCGACCTCGACCCGGAGGGCAAGTACATCAACTCGACCCGTGTCCGATGCGGACGCTCCCTCGAGGGATACCCCTTCAACCCGTGCCTCACCGAGGCCAACTACCTCGAGATGGAGGGCAAGGTGAAGACCATCTTCCAGAACATCAAGGAGGACGAGCTCCAGGTATGGAATTTTTAGTGGGTTTTCATAGGTTTTTAGGGCACTTACTACCCGCTTGACGGCATGACCAAGGAAATCCAAAACCAGCTGATCGCTGACCACTTCCTGTTCAAGGAGGGAGATCGTTTCCTTCAGGTATTTACATTTCTAAAACTATTATCGATTCGCAGAATTCTTTAAATTCTATTTAATATATAAAACCTAGTCTAGTTATCTTAAAAAATTAATTTAATTTAGGAGGCCAACGCCTGCCGTTACTGGCCCAAGGGCCGTGGCATCTACCACAACAAGAACAAGACCTTCCTCGTCTGGGTCAACGAGGAGGATCACCTCCGCATCATCTCCATGCAGAACGGCGGCAACGTCGGACAGGTAAGCACAGCTACTTTTGCATGCACATAAATAGTAGCCTTATTATGATTTTTACAAACCCTTATTTGGATCTTTTTTAGGTTCTCGAGCGCCTGATCAAGGGAGTCAAGACGATCCAATCGCAAGTCCCCTTCTCGCGTGACGAGCGCCTCGGCTGGCTCACCTTCTGCCCGTCCAACCTCGGAACCACCGTCCGCGCCTCCGTCCACATCAAGCTGCCCAAGATCTCGGCCAAGCCCGACTTCAAGAAGATCTGCGACGAGCTGAAGCTCCAGATCCGCGGTATGCCATTGCACTGCGAATCGGCAATTATTCGGATTTAGGAATCCACGGCGAGCACTCCGACTCGGTCGGAGGTGTCTACGACATCTCGAACAAGGCCCGCCTTGGCCTCACCGAGTTCGAGGCCGTCAAGCAGATGTACGACGGTATCAAGCACCTCATCGAGCTGGAGAAGAAGGCCTAAGCGTCTCGCCCCGCACCTACCACTCAGCTCATGATTTTGTACCCTTATTTCAAAACGAGGTCACCCTGATGTAAAATGATCTTATATGTATCGAAGGATAAAATTTGTACTGCCACTGGGAAAAATACGCGTAGTACTACACCGAGAAAACATTAGTAAACGTTTTAACAGAAGAAACTTTAAAAAGCTTAAAGAGAGGCGGTTCTTTCGAAATTCACAATTTTTTCCTGACTGCCTAGCAACGTACTATCAAAAGTTCTTCAGAGTACGTCCAGTAAAATGCTACTATTTCAAGCGGAAAACGGTAAAACCTTCGAAACCTTTTAAAACTGAAATTTTGGTCGAAAAATCAAAGCCTTGTTTTTAACAAAAGGTTTTAAAGCTTTTACGTTTAGAAACAGTAAGGCATCGTGTTTAAATCTCTCCAATTAGAAACCTAGGGAAGAAAGTACGCTCCCCCGGTATTGCCAAAGCACCGAACAAAAAACAAGCTCAACCTGATTGATGTGAAGCGTGCGACGCTGGCGGTTCGTCAACTTGTTCTGGTCGAGCGCAAGCGCGGCTTTCAGCTTCTTACGCCACTCGGGCAGATTGCGATCCTGCGACGCGCTCGGGATGTTGTTCAACAGCGTGGCCTTCACGGAGATGTCGGATGGGCTGAAAATCGGATATTTAGTGCCTACTTCACGAAATTTCACATTTCACTTCCGCTTGCACAAAATCAATTTCACCGCGGCGAGTTAGCGCATTCTTTCGCAGTTTACAGCATAAGTGCCGGGCGCTCGCTAACAAGGGAACCTCACGGAGACATGGTGGAATTTCGGAAAACGCTCGCGGCTACCCCCGGGTAATCGACCATTGCGATCACGATGCGCTTGTCAGATTTTTCTAAATAGACCTGTGGACAGAGATACAGCACTTCCGGAAAATGCTGATTTACATGCAAAAAAATTTGCATAGAGGGGATGGTTTATGAGGCTCTCCCATCACTATCGAATCACCAGTTGAATGACCGAGTGGTAAGGGACTCGCTTGATAGGATTCTAACGATGGTTCGATTCCGCTTATGATTTTTTGTTTTTGCTTTTTGGCCAGAGATTTTTGTACAAGTCCAAAATCATACGTGCTAAAGTACTTCTAAATTTTATGACGGTTGTCGACGTTACGTGGTCAGAAAATTATACTTGTAAAATTTTTTCATTTTTGCAGATGGTCAGGTGTAGGAACTCTAACCGGGAGAACTGATTTTCATTTTTCGATTTTTTTTGCCTGAATGGCTAAACATTAGGGATTTCGGGCTATTACTAGTAACATTCTGGACGTACAAAAATCTCTGGCAAAAAGCAAAAACAAAAAATTATGAGCGGATTCGAACCCTCGTTAGAATCCTATCAAGCGAGTCCCTTACCACTCGGCCATTCAAATGGTGTTTCGATAGTGATGGGAGAGCCTCATAAACCATCCCTCTATGCAAATTTTTTGCATGTAAATCAGCATATTCCGGAAGTGCTGTATCTCTGTCCACAGGCCTATTTAGAAAAATCTGACAAGCGCATCGTGATCGCAATGGTCGATTACCCGGGGGTAGCCGCGAGCGTTTTCCGAAATTCCACCATGTCTCCGTGAGGTTCCCTTGTAAGTAGAAAGGGGCGATCAGGGCGGTGTCCAGCGCCCGACCGAGGTTAAGCAGGAACAGCTGTCACTTGCCACAAGGATTGCCCCGCTCGCCTAATCCATCGAAACGGGGGTTCAGATCAAGCTCGGGATCCAACAACAGGAGATAAATAACGGAGAGCAAAATGCAGACAATTGGTGCTCGTTTGAATTCTACACTTTCCGGGTTCATGCTCAAAATCTAGCTGAGGACTACATCAAATACTACATCAAATAAAACTCCTATTAATTCTACATCCCGTAAATTCCAGATTTCAGCATTTCTGTAAATTCGAGACTTCTCTCGGAAAACTTTAAACTGCGCCGAATATGAAAAAAAGTCATTAAAATTCAACCAAAGGAAAATCCTGTAAATTCAACATTCCGTAAATTAGCCATCTGATCCGAAAGCTGTAAACCGAGCCAACGACTTCACGAAATAACCCTAGCACCCTAGCACTTTAAACGAAATAAAAAAAAATGCTAATAAAATTAATAGAATTCAACAACTTACGACATGTCCTGCACTTTTTTGTACAACGCCAACGCCTCGGTGGCATTTCCAAGCTTCTGGAGCACGAACGCCTTATTGACGAGAATGTTGGCCAACTCGTCTTCAATTTCCTCCTCTTCCGAGCCTTGCTCCAACAACGTTGCACGTCCCACCTCTAAAAGGAAATGAAGCGCAGAACCGTAACAAGATACCGTAAGCCTTGTCGAGATGCTTCAAAGCGGCATCGAAAGCCTCGCACTCGATTTCTTGGCAGGCAGCGTTGTAGAATTGCTCGTAGGTCTCGAGGCCCTTCACGGAGACAGTCTATAAAACAGGGAATAAAGTTAATCATCCCGACATCCGTGCTACAACTACTTTCTAAGCTCCAACCTGCTTCTTCCCGAGCGCCTCCAATTGAGCCTGAACAGCCAGCAGATTCGCCCGACGCTCTTCGTCGTTTTGGTCGGAATGATCACGCATCAGCTCTTGATAGATTTCAAAGGCCTCCTAAACCGAACAATATACAATTCCGCGAGACAAACCTGGAATTTCTCCAAGCGATAAAGTATCTGCGCCTTCAAATCCTTGATGCGCGACGACTTTTCCTTGCAACCGTTCAGAGCCTCCAGGGCACCATTGTTGTCGTTTAGACGATAAAGAGCATAAGCCTTTTCGAACGAAATTTCTCTGAAAAATAAGGTAAATCATAGCTCCAAACGGCGCCGGACATGACAGCAGTAAATGCCCACCCCATAGTTTGTTCCGGTGTCTTCTTGATCAAAGCCAATGCGTCATCAAACTGCTGGAGTCGAATCAAAGCAATGACCTTACATTTGTTGGCCACAACCTCATTTGGATACTTCCTTATCACTAAAAGGGAGAATACTTGTTGGAACCCATCGATTACTTCGGTTAGCGGCCTTCAGCGCAACATCATAATCCTCCGTCTGATCAGCTCGTTGAATATCATTCAAACATTGAAAAAGAGTACCGCCTTCAGAAGCCATTTTTCAGACCTAATAGACGAGTCGTGGACCCAATCTAAGCAAAGCGACAACTTGCAGAAAAGCAGGCAACCATCTGTGCAAGGAGAGCGATACGACCATGTGTCACGTTTTAGGGCCAACCGGAACAGACCTTCTCAAATGCACCACAACGTTTTCCAAAGACTTTTATCAACATAATAAACAAGGATAACACTCAAGTAGTCGGCTTTTGATACAAATGAACAATCGCCAATAAGGTATCTCAACGAAAACGGATTTGACTATAAGAGCCAGTCCGACCTAAACGCTGCCTAAGATTACTGGCGGATATGTATTTAAAAGAGCAGATGAGGGTGGTAACAAAGAAAAGACGATTCGCACATCATTGAACACGAGGAGAGCAGGATGTACGGAGGTGTCTTTTACAGGTTGTCTGTGTGGGTGAGGCCAGTTTGCTAAATGAGCGCAATGCGTCAGGAAAACTGTAGGTTACAACGGAGGAAAGCGGGAGAGCGAAGAAGCCGAATCAAATACATGCAACGCAGTGGAGGAGAAATTAGGCGTTGGTGCGGATGCCGTCCAAGGCCTTGCCCATGTAGCTCAGGCGCTTCGTCAGCTCATCCCAGTCGACCGGCACCTTTCGATCACGCGGATTCGGGGTCAAACCAACGGCAATCTTGCGCGGCAGGGCGTTGCGAAGATCCTTGTAAGTCTTGACAACTTCCGTGCCGCGTTTCGCCCATTCGTCTGCTTGATAAACGGGTTCCGGGATGCTCACAGGCATGTTGCAAATCTAAATCTATAAATTGAATGAGACATGAAAACAAGCCTGATGCTGGAAAGTCAGAGCGATTGTGATTGCCTGAAGATTGTCTTGAGAGACATCGGGAACGGTGCTGTACAGCAGAGCGTATTGGGTTGCTTTGGCGGTGCCCTATATGAAACATTGCGGAAAAAAATCGGGCTTATACCTGGATAGCATGATGAGACTGGATGTACATTTCGGTGAGATCAGTCCGAACGACCTCCTTGTCAATGACCGTGAGCGGCTCCGGATTTCCGACCGAACCATCGGCTCCATCCTTGAAGAAGCGTTTGTTGTGACGCTTTGTGACGATCACAAGAGCAAACTTCGGCTGATAGTTCAGGTCGTATTCGGAGCATGCCTCTTGAATAGCGGCGAGCTCCTCTTTCAAAACCTAAAAACATAAAGTGAGCTTCATGCGGTAAATTACCATTTCATACTGGCCTTCAGAAACTCCATCACGGTAGATGAAGATATTTTCAGGCAGCGGCTCTTTCCTGTTAGTCTCCCATTGCTTGAGAATCCACTTTACGCGGGCGTTCAAGACTTGGTCGCTAACGCGCTCACGGTTGGCCTCCTGGTAGGCAAAGTCTCCAACGAAGGCGTCGCGAGAACGCGTAGCATTGTGTGCAAACTAAGGGAATATGAGTGAATAAAATTAATTCCTACCCCAACCACCGAAGGGTTTTCGTTTGCGTAACCAAGAGCTTTGTCGCCAACACTTTGCATCACTGGGTGAGCCACATCATATCCGAAAAATAGCGTAGAGCCAAACCAATAGTCATTTCTAAAAAAATGTACGAACACATTAAGATTCAAACCCAAAAGCTTCCGGGACGACCGTGTAGTTGAGGCCAAAAGCCTTGAGGTTGAACTTGTTGAGCAGGTTGCCCATCGTAGAAGAGTCGACCTTGTATGGGCCGTCGCCCTGTTTCTTGCCAGAAATCGTCTCAATCGAGATATGCTGGGTGACCACTTGATAGACGGCTTCGGCGAACTTGAGATAATTGTGAGACTTCGTCTCAGCAACACGGCCAGCCGAGTCTGTATACTTATTGGAGAAGTACAGGACAATCACGCGTCCATGAGCCTTCTGAGCAGCAGCTGCCTAAACCCAAACAGATTAAAAAAAATTTCAAAGACGTCTCACCTTCTTAAAAACAGGCCCGACACGTCGAGCCTCACTCTCGATGTCGATTGGATCTTGGACCAGCTCGACCTTGCCAATAATGATGCCCATCGCCCCCGCCTCCTTCTCGAACTGTTCCAAGAAGTTGCTCACAATCGAGCGGTTGGTGATAGGGCCAGCCCAGGTCGCGAAAATCTTGTTGACAGTAGCGCCTTCCACATAATGAGCTTCTTGTTTCCAGGCCGCCTATAAAAGATATTCAGAATCCTGCCAGTCCGTACCTTGCGCGGGTCCAGTGAAGCAACTTCTTCATTCGCATATCCAATTTGCGGAGCGACTCGGCGAAAGCCGGTGATGTGCAGCGGCTCGCGATCCACGCGAATTCCAAATCTAGGGAAGATGCACGGAAAATAAAAGTAGAAATACCCAGAGAGGACAGGAGATTTCTCGGCCAGGTCCAACTCTTGAAGATGGCGACTGATCAAGTTCCAGCGCTCCTGCGGAGGCCTAGCCTTCTCTGGTTTGATCAAGGCCTTGGTCAGCGGGACGCGTTGATACGGGCAAACCCTCAGCAACTCCAGAGGGAAGTAAGCCAAGCGTTCCTTGCCGCGACCTTTTCCAATGCGCTGCACAACCACGGGCCAATCCGGGAATCTAAACATGGAATCAGAGAAGAGTGTGCGACACCAACTGGATGCGAATTCCTTGCGCAATAAACTTCTGTAGAGATTGAACATTGCCTTTTCCGGCAGTCTGTTCATAGTCACGCAGCGTGCGAAACTTGAATCCGCGTTCGTCGCTGAAGTCAAAACCACTCGCAATGAAAGTGTTGCCGGTGCCCATCACCTCCAAACGAAGACCTAAACCGAAAAAGGTGGAAACCAAGAAGGATGCACCCACCGTTGAAATAACGGTGCACACGCTTCACGGTCGACAAGTTCCAAACCACATCACTGGGATTGGACCAATTGTTCAAAGCAGCAATCGACTCGAGGCAAGAGTTGGTCTTGTAGAAGGAGCCGACTTTGGCGTCGAGGACGAGGGCCGCCACAAGCCTCGTTTCCTTGAATGGATCCTTGTCGTCGCCTCCACCATTTCCCTCGATGAATCGAACGCCCTTCGTCAGGCCCTGACGACGCTCCTGGCCGTTGCCGATGTCGTAGCGGGAGCTAGGATCCTCGCGACGCAGAAAGGCTTTGCCAGCTCCATAGAAGACGTATGCTTTGCTAAATCAAACATTGGTGCAAACACTTAATCCATACTTTTGGATAGCTCCTTCATTCGTCAGCAACTCGTAAAACTGACGGAGCGAGCGATCACAACCGCCATCAGCAATCTGTTGCTTCGCTTCTCCGATGGTGAACTGATGCGCAGAGCCCCTAAGGAATATATCAAAGCAGAACTAAAAAGGCTTACGTGCAAGGCCTGATGTTAATGCTGATCTTGGTTGCATCCTTCGAGACCAAGCCCTTGAGAGCAGGCGGCAACTGGCCAGGGTTCAAAGTCAAAGTGCCTTGGAACTAAATGCAAAATAAGCAACAAAACATTCAAACATACGCGTTTCAAAGCCAACTCGAGATTTTCATTAGCGAAGAGCGTATTGTTGCCATCAAAAACAGTGACGCCGGATTCGCTGAGCACACGGTAAGACTCCAGTGCGAACTGGAGAGCAGCGCGGATAGTTTCGCAACGACGCATGTATTCACAACTAAAATACACATAGAGAAAACCTTCACTTCACTTACTCATCCTTAGCACCCTTATTCATTGACATGACCTTGGGTCTCCTGCGATCGTCGGCCACCAAAATTTCAGCGGCAACCTCGTAGCGATAAACAATCCTGTCAGTGTCGGTGACGTGGATCGGGAACATATTGGTACGGAGAGTAACCTAGGTCAAACTTTTCATAAACCTGAACCAAATTACCGATTCCAAGCCAATGCGACAAGCTGGCTTGAGCCGAGGATGAAACTCAACAGGGACGTGTTCAGGAATGCTGATAGTTTCCAGGCTGCCACGAGAACCAACTAAAAAAACAATGATTCGCCGAAAGTAAACGTACTGCTAAGCTTCTCAAAATCCGACAGCTCGCTTTCACTGCGCTTCAAAGTGGAACGAGTGTCGTCGACGCTGTCATTGGCCATCTCCGAGAAATCCTCCTTGTCCTTCTTGAGACCGGACGGTATGTAGCGCTGACGATATTCCGTGTTGTTCGAACGGCCATAGGCGGGCCTCTGCTGCTCCTTGCGGGGGTACCGGCCGCCCGGCTGCGGCTGCTTCGGGCCCTTCCATTTGAAAAGGCCGTCGACCATTTCGCGTTGATTGTGAGCCATGACGAGTCACTATCAAAGTTGAGCACGTGCGTTTTAGCGTACGGGCGCAAGAGAAAGATAGAAAAGGCCGAAAAATGAATGAAATTTCCCACGAGGGCTGCTACAGTACCCGAAAAAATCCGTCATGTGTAATGTGACGTTCAATTTTGGGAGCTGGGTCTCACGACGGTTCTCTGTAAAGAGTATACGTACGGAATATGGGATCGAAGTAAAAAAGGACCATGACATTTCCGCAACAACGTTTCGGCAATTCGCCAAAACGACTTTTCAGCAACTCGCGACTTCAGCAACTTCATTAAAACGACATTTCAGTAACTTTGACCAGGAAAAAAAGAGAAACACACAATAAATATGCTTTTTCGAGGTTTTCTCGTGATTTGGACGGCTTTTGAACAATTTTTGGTTTCTGAAACCATAAATGACAACCCGGTCGCTGTATTATCGCTTGTTTTTGGCCTTTTTACGCCTGCCATGGTGCGTTGCTTGAGGCCGTGCCTTCTTTCGGCCGCCATACGCATAGCGTTTCCGCGCTTTTTACCGGAAAGCCACTTTCGACGTGCGCACGATAAGCTCGAAAAAGCATATTTATTGGCTCTTTTCTTTATGGTCAAAGTTGCCGAAATGTCGTTTTGGCGAATTACTGAAATGTCATGGTCCCCCGATAGCCATGAATTGGAGGAAGCAACCGTAACCTGTGCTGAGTACCATTTCCCGGTTCCAATTCAATGTGAAAACCTCCAGTCTTCCAATATTCTTAACTCACCAATTTATAACGTATTTATTCCTTACGCCAAAATGGTGAACACCGAATCATTTATTCATCACAAAAACATCAATGACTAATCAAAAGGGTGAAGGGTGGAACTGGAAAGCAGTGATTTTTTCAGTCTTCTACGAGTCGGAGGCGATGCCCTCACGGTAGGTCGCGATGAAGGCGTCGCGCTCGATGCTCGACTTGAACTTGATGAAGAGCGTCTCCTCGCGACCGCCCGCGTCCTCCGAGAAGTCCTGGAAAAGTAAAAAATTCAAAAACGTCAAACACAATTTCTTACCCGACAGTTGAGGAGGGCAACCTGCTCCGACTTGTCCTTTTCGGTGATCGTCATCCCGGCACGAATCAAGAAGTTGGCGCACAGTTTGTGGACCTGCTCGCGCCTCATCACGCAGCGGTAGAGGCCATTAGAGTTGCGGAGAATCTGAACAAAAAATTAACTTCAATTTCCCACAAATCGCATTTGAAAAATGTCGACAAAATACACATGCGGATGGTGACGGAACTAAAAAACGCTAAAACAGACCTTGATCTCTCCAACACCTCGCTCCTTTGCCTCGCGGGCCTCCTTGTCGTAGCGGTACAGCTTGCAGCGCTCCTTGAACACGACCTCCTCCTCCTCTTCGCCGGTTTTAACCTGAGCATTATAGATTAAAAAAAGCAAGAAGCTATTACCTCTATCAAGTCCGGCAGCGGTACAATCGGCTGAAAGTCGGCCTGGGCCTCGTACTCGTCATCCTCGCCGCCCTCTTCGTCATCGTCCTTATTCTGGTTTCCCGGTCCGGACGAAGCCATGGAGGTGTTGAGCGGCTTGGCTTTCTCCAAAGCGTTCAGCTTCTGTTTGGCGCTTTCGGAAGTCGTGCCTTCGAATATGTTGCCCTAAGAAATTTGGACGAATGGAATAAGGTAATACCTTGGGCGCAGCTGAGCTGAACGAGAAGCCAGAAGTGCCTCCGAGTGAAGAGCCTTGGCCAAAGACGTGCGAGGTGGAGGTAGTTTCGGCAGAAGGGCCAGTCGTAGCCGGGGTTTTCACGGCACCACCAAAGATTGAGCCGCCCGGCGAGGATGATCCGAAAGCACTACCTAAATATGGCGTTAAATTAGGCACACACTAAAAAAAGTGGTAGAGCGAAACGTACCACCGAAAAGTGTCTTCTGTGGGGCGGCGGCAGACTTGAAGGAGAATGTGGGTGTGCCGGGAGCGGGTGCAACAGTGGTAGCGGCAAGGGTGGCAGGTTTGCCAAAGCTGAAGCCGACGGAAGGCGACGGAGCGTCGGTGGCAGCTGCCTTCGCCGCATCAGAAAATGAGAGTTTGGCTGGCTGGGCGGGAGCGGCTACCGGTTCAGCGGCCGGCTTTGAAGCAAAAGTGAAGTTGGGAGTCCTAAACGAAAGATAAGAGGACAAGGGACAAGCTCACATTGGCTGCTCAACCGGCTTAGCGGCTCCGAAAATGGGAGTGATGGGCTTGGGCTGCTCGGACGCGGCCACGCTGTTTGAAAATCCAAAAGTCGGAGCGGCGTTCTTGAAGCCGAAAGAGACGTCGGTGGCCGGTTGATTGAATGTGGTCCTAAACGGTAATAACGTTTTGGCAAAAGGATAGATACTTGGGTAGCTCGGGCTCTGGGGCACTGCCGTCTTTGCCGGTACCGCAGCAGTTGCACTTGGCGGCCGTTGCAGGATTGTTGGAGTAGCATCCGGCGCAGTCCCAACTGCCAGTCGGCGCCTTCCAGTCGAAACCAGTAGGCTGAGCGGCAGGCTCGTTCCGCGGGACGACTACCTCTTCAGCCGGCTCGCTCTTGGGCCCGACTTTGATGTCCACGGGCTTTTGGGGCGACGCTAAAACAAAAAAAATTAGAATCTAAACGCTATCTACCATACCATCGGCTTCCGGAACGTACTCTTCGGGGTCGCTTTCCCCATCTTCACAGACAGCCTGCTCGGGCTCTTTCTTGGGCGAAGACACGACGGCTTGCGGAGTAGTCGGCATTGGAGGTTTGGGAGCAGCTGAAAACACCAGTACAATAAAAACCATCCAAATTACCTCCAAAGATGTTTCCAAACGTCAGGGCGGCCGGTTTGACGGCGTTGGGTGTGGTGGTGACAACGGCTTCCGCGGGCTTCGGGGTGGCTGGCTTGAAGGTGACCGGAGGAGTGGCTAGAAAAATTTTGCCAAACGTTTCAAAATAGGTTACCAAAGCTAAGCGCTGGCTTCGGTAGCACAGGAGCGGCCGCGGTGACGACGGGCGACGAGCTCGAAGCCGTCGACGGTGACTGTAAAAAGCAAGTAAACCCGTAATAACTTGTGGAATACCTGGCCAGGCCGGTTGATGCTCGGCGACGGGGCGACCATGGTTGGTTGTTGGAAAAGAGGATTGACGGCCGGTTGAGGATTCATCGACATCATCTGGGCCATTGGCGAGCTGGTTTGGTGTTGCTGCTGGAGCATTGCGGCGATCACCGGGTGCTGCGGCTGAGGGGCGACCATTGATGGCGGTACGCGGTACGCAGCCATGTGTTGCTGCTGCTGTTGCAGTGCTTGTTGCAGCAACGGGCACGGAATTGCACAGCGTTAGTCCAGGGTTGCTATGGCGCGCCCCAGCGACAGTACCCCAGCCGAGCCTTTTCGGGGTCTCTTCCTCTCATCTTTCAACGCGTAATTGGACACAAAACCCAAGGAAACCGAGAATAGATGAAAAAAATAAAACTAATTGATTGTATGAAGAAAGTTTTGGAGGTTTAGATCTTGATACTGACTGTTTTGCTGCCTTTCATACTCATAAGATTGAAATTTGCACACAATGGCGCAAGTGCCGGGTTATTTTGACGACCATTTTTCTTTTTTTTGCCAGAGCCCACAAAAAAACAACGTCGCGTGCGTATAGCAATTAACTTGTGACTATTATTCACATTCAGCTTTTAATTGACGGATCCTTGTTTCAGTTATATCCAAAAAGATGACGCTCCATAGCTGAATGAGACGATCTATCTGAATAGCAACAGGGTTAGCTACGCGACCGACTACAGGGTTAGGCGGCTTTGCTTTGAGCAAGAGTTTGACTTAATATCTCGCTTTGTTGGTGCGTTTATGACATACTAGCTGATTCTGCGCATTTGTTTCAGGCTTTTCATCTTGACTTCATCAGCACAGTAGAGCAGCAAGGTTTTTAGTAGACAAGCGATGTCTAGCTCATCAGGCAAAGCCAGCCGGCTTTCCAACTTGATAATATGGATGTGTAAATTAACTTTGTAATAATTACTACACTGGTTTCGTCAGAATTTTAGCGATGTCGATGCCGTTTTCCGATGCGAGGAAGGCAAATTTTTTAACGCAAGAAACCTCAAGCGATGTTTAAGCTGTAAGTTTATGTAAAAGCTCAGCTAGCTTGAGCCCTGCTTTAGTATGACCAAGTGTAAGCCTTGCTTAACCCACCGTATGTGGGCTGTACGCGAAGCTCGTCAACTAACCCGTTTTTTGAGACGAGCGGTATATTAAAGCTAATGTCCGCTGCACGTACGCCAATTAAACAGATTAAAGCCAAGCTAAGCCTATTCTTCAATTAAAAGTCAAGTAATTGCAGCAAAACGCCTAGTAAGCTTCTACTTTCAAGCTTCAGCTTCTTTTTTCATTTATACAGTTTACAGTTTTGGAGCTAATAGCACACCACAATAGCAGGCTTTGAACATAACTTAATGATAAAAGCCATACTACCTTCGAAAAACCATGTGTTAAATAGCTAAGAACGAATGATAACGCCGAGAAACATCAGAAACTGGGCTCCGACAAGCGATGCTGCACTATAATGGCTTCTGGAACGTTCAATGAAGTCAGTGAAATCAATTTTATGTATTAACTAAATGATTTCACGATTAAATGAAAAAATCTGTGCTCAAAACGGTGAATAATGCAGATATTACGGCCCCGACTAGCTCTATTCTCCTATAAAAGAAAAATGGTCGTCAAAATAACCCGGCACTTGCGCCATTGTGTGCAAATTTCAATCTTATGAGTATGAAAGGCAGCAAAACAGTCAGTATCAAGATCTAAACCTCCAAAACTTTCTTCATACAATCAATTAGTTTTATTTTTTTCATCTATTCTCGGTTTCCTTGGGTTTTGTGTCCAATTACGCGTTGAAAGATGAGAGGAAGAGACCCCGAAAAGGCTCGGCTGGGGTACTGTCGCTGGGGCGCGCCATAGCAACCCTGGACTAACGCTGTGCAATTCCGTGCCCGTGTTGCAGCATCATGATTTGCAGCGAGTCGTTCATATTCTGGCGCTGCGGAGCTTGATCATGCTGGCCGGTAATGTTCATGTTCTCCACCAGGCGCATCAAGCGATCCACCTGGAAAAAGTCGATATGCACAAGCCGACGTGGATCCGTATATTTTTCAAAAATTCCGCTAAAAAGTTACCTCTTTCTCATGTGACTTGCTCAAGCCATCCACGTATTTGTCCTCGCTGCGCTGAATGTCCGAGCGCAAGTCGGAGATTGAAGTGCGCACCTCCACGCGGAGCGACTCGATTTGGGCCGAGACTTGTTGAAAGTTGGAGACCATGCAGTTCTGCGTGTCAACGAGGTTCGTTAGTACGCGGCTCATCGCCTAAAAAAAGAAACCTTGCTCAGCGTGCACGCAGAAACTGTGCCGATAAAAACCTACATGAAATGTTTGCTCATTAGCACCGGCAAGCACATGATGCGAGGCGTTCAATGACGAGTTATTCATTCTGGTATCTGAAAAACTCGATATAATCGTGAAAGATGGAAGGAAAATCAAGAAACGGAAAGAGAGCGCGTAATAATAGAGCCAGCCGGTCAGCCGGCACACGTTTGATTGGGTGAATCTTCATATCGCCGAATTTTCATATCGCCGAATTTTCATTTCGCCGAATTTTCATATCGCCGAATTTTCATTTCGCCGAATTTTCATATCGCCGAATTTTCATTCCGCCTAATTTTCATTTCGCCGAATGTTCATTTCGCCGAATTACGTATGAAAATCTATGTTGGAGACCTTGGAATTTACAATATTTTGCTCCGCCTGCCACATGATTTTGTCGGAGCATCAAGAAGATAACTTTACTTTCGTTGAAAACGGCGGCACTGATGTTTGCTTCGACCTAGTCCTGAAGAAGAGCCCAGCTGAGCTATATTTTATTGTTCGCTAGATAACGGGCTACGAAAAACCGGCCGAATGAAGCTTTGTGCAATAAACTTTAGACGAAATACACATTCGGCGAAATAAAAATTCGGCGATATGAAAATTCGGCGAAATGAATGTAAATCGTTTGATTGGTACCAGCACCTTATAACCCAAAAATAACCTCAGACTAGAAATATGGCTAAATTCAAGTATACGGTCACCTAGCCAAACCCAAACTTTTTATATGTAGAAATGTTCAGCTCGACGAGCTGGTTCAGGATCAGTTGAAAAAACGATGCCCAAAGGAAATGGGCCTTTTTTGGCCCTTCTGGAGTTGAAACTTTGGACCCCGATATCTTGCTCCAGAAGTGTTTCCCAATCGTTTTTTCAACTGATCCTGAACCAGCTCGTCGAGCTGAACATTTCTACATATAAAAAGTTTTGGTTTGGCTAGGTGACCGTATACTTGAATTTTCCCAGCAAATTTTCCCAATAAAAGACAAGCTGGCTTGGGCTAAATTGTCGTATCCGGTCACTAAACCGATTTCGGTCTTTTATATGTCAAAATGCTCCGCAAGTCGAGCTGATTCAGGAACAGTTGAAAAAACTTTTCGGAAACACTTCTGTCTCGAGATATGACACTTCAAAGTTTGACTTCAACCCGTTCATTATATAACCTGTTCTCGCCCCTAGAAGTCCGTTTTCAGTGCGGAAATAGATGGATAATTGCTCGATAAGAGCTTAGCTTTACTCACCACACCAAGTTTGAGCCTAAAAAAAAGGCTTCGTGCCACCCGGGGCCTAGTCGCTTCGGATGGGTGCGAGCTCGTACAGGGTTTCGAAATCGGGGCGCCCGAGGCGCGCGCGTAGCGGCCAGGCGCCCCGATTTCGAAAGAGTGGAGCGGCAGCCCATCCGAAGCGACGGCCCACCTTGCCTGACAATGTTTTTTTACCCAAAAAGCAGCAATTGCCTACCATTCCGTTCTTTCCGATTTACAGTTGGCGAATATAGGTGTATTGCGTACTACGTCTCGGCCTGTTTTGAGACCTTGTAAGCTACATATCTCTCGATAGCGATTTTTGCGAAAAGTTTTTTCAACTGGTCCTGGATCAGCTCAACTTACTGAGCATTTTGACATAACAAACTCCGATTTTCGCTTAGTGACCGGATACTTCAGTAGCCAAATTTGAAGTGACATATCTCGAGACAGAAGCGGTTCCGAAAAGTTTTTTCAATTGATCCTGAATCAGCTCGACCTGCTGAGCATTTTGACATATAAAAATCCAAAATCGGTTTAGTGACCGGATACGACAATTTTCCCCTGGCTTGAGTCGAGGATGAAACTCTGGACGTGTCACTATCAAAGTTGTGCACGTCCGTTTTACCGTACGGGCGCAAGAGAAAGATAGAAAGTACCGAAAAATGAAATAAATTTCCGACAAAGGCTGCTACAGTACCCGAAAAATTCCGTCATGTGTGTTGTGACGTTCAATTTTGGGTGGGGGCTCACGGCGGTTCTCTGTAAAGAGTATACGTACGGAATATGGGATCCAAATAAAATAAAATAAACTATATGTTATGATATGTTAACTAAAGTAATGTAGACGACTAAACTATACGCAGAAGACCTAAAATGCATTCCAGCATGGTAATTCTCGCATGATAACAAAGGTTCGAATTTGGTTTCGTAAGGGGCGAACAGATGTTGAGGGCCATTGATGCCTCAAATCTGGCGTTTCCAACATAAACCAAAAGGCCAATTAGGGGTCAAATCTACCGATATCGCGTTTCAGTTGTGGACGTCATTTACCACGTCAGACGATTTTGCGGTTCATTTTAGCTTCTAGAATTTTTCTTTGATAGTTTTCATATCGAACAGGAAAGCTTTCCAGAAGTATGCGTCTAGCCGCCCTGCCCGCCGAACTACAGAATGCCGTCCTCGATCATCTTGAACCGGACGAACTCATTACCCTCCAACGCACCACCCGCAAATTACGGTATGAAATCCGGGTGCTTTCACAATATCGGGGGGGTTGAATTTTATTCCTACAGGTCCAGAAATGTCTCGCAACGTCATAGCAAGTATTTTTATGATCTTTCTAGAACAATTTGAATGTAATTCAAGTGAAAAAACAATCAAAAAAAGGTTTTAAAATTTTAATCGCATTTTTGGGCAAAAATCGGCCATTTTGGTCAAAAAACCAAATTTTTTGTAGCCTGATCAAAATTTGTGAAGTTTTTGCGTGAGGAATGGTAAAAACGGTTTAGAAACGCCTCCGCTATTTGTAGAAATAATTGGATCCTTAGAAAAGGTTGGTTTCCTCGCCTCCCCCGATAATGCGAAAGGACCTAAGAACGAGACCCGCTTCTGATTTTTCTAATGATGAAAATCCCCCTTAAGCCGACGCATTAATGGGAGAGGACTGCTGCCGGGCCGTGTCGCGAGTCTGTCGCTCAGCGGGCTCTACATTCCGTGTCACTCCGAGCAGGAGGTATGGTGCTTTTTTTGCTAAGGAGCGTGGAAAAAATTCTGTATATTGTCAATAAAGTTATTGTACATAACAAAATCCTACTATATATAAAAAAATAGTTTCTGTGTGTGTGTGTGCCACATTTCATGCAACTTCCGTAGGTTGTTCCAGCAGTATCTCAAGAAGGGAAGGAATTGGGGGTATGTATGATACGTCATTAGGTGCGTAATGACCGGGGAATGACTGCACGCATATGAGATTTATCAAAATCGCCTATTTTCGACATTAAATTTTAGTTTTTGTTGAAAAATCCGAAACCCACTTTGTTAGGAATCGCAAATGCTGCTTCTCCTTTCCTATGTACTAATTTCAGCTAAGCATGCCATTCGTCCAGGTGTCGGTGCAGAGCCGTGGTGGTGTCGTCATTTCGGTCAGCTATCCGAATAATCGACTGTATCACACCCTCGATAAAAGGTTCGTCAATGCCAAGATGCTCTCCTTTTTGGGTGCCACTCGTTTCCTCGAAACGCTTAACTTTCGGGGCTTTTTAAGTTTTTTTTTATAAGGAAATATTTTTGACCCAGCAGGAAACTCGCTATGCAACCTACATAAATCGATAGAAAATTGAAAAAGGTTAGACCTAAATATTAGGTTTAGGTTTTGAGTTTTCAAGTGATTTCGTTGCCAAACCTGCGATCTTTCAGACCCAATATTATGGCCTTTCCGGGTGATTCAAAAACACGCCGTTAAACCTTGCTATCGAGCTCTGAAATTTTTCTCTACCGAACAAGCCGCTCAATTCAAATTTTTGCAAATTCGTAAATTCGGGGAAGAAAATTAAGTTACCCCTTCTTTACGGTAGTTTGGTCATTTTCGCGCTGTTAATGAATTATAGTATATTTAATATACCGTTCGATACCAGAGAATCGAGAATCAATAACAAATTCGCCAACCTATAGCCTATTCAAGCCGAATTTAAAATCTGCAACAAAGAATAATAATTTTGAGAAAATGGGTTTCTGGCGTCCTGGAAAAATCTAGCAACTTTTTAAACAGGGCTAGTTCGCGAAAGATAAAGAAAAAAAAATCATATAATAAACGCTAACTTTTCTTTTTAATTCTCGCCCGATTGGTGTATGGTACATAGCGATTGACCGTATGGGTCAAAAACACTTCCCCTTTTTAGTTAAGTGCTTGCCTGAGTAGCAAACTCCTAAACGCATATTCCAGGATCGACAACGACGCCCAGGAACCGGGCTACCCGACCGCCGTTCTCCGTTTCGGTACAACAAAGACGCCGATGAGGTGCGTCACTGGCAGGGACCCGGACCCGGACCCATGCATATTGAGGCGGGTCCGCGTGGGTCCGGGTCCGACCAGGGTCCAGAAATAACCCACCCTGGCCACTGGATTTGGCAATATTACAGTGGCGCGGAGTAGCGGAGTAGTAGAGTAGCGGTAGCGGTTTGAGGTCCCGGTGAGGCAGTTAGTACCGAATTTTTGGGAATCCTACCTTATATAATTTTTATATAATTTTAGGTGGAAAAATATATTTTTTTGATCCATATTTGAAAGTTGTTATGCCGGGGAACGGTGAGAAACAAGTGACTAGCCCATTCTCTATTTGTACAAAAAATCTAGGGTTCCGCCAAAAGAGTTTGGTGTCCCCTGACTCCGATAATACTCGAGGCCCGCCAAAATCTAAGCTAATTGGAGAACAATCGCAAAAAACCTTCGACGTGCTTGACAGCGCATAATCTTGAGACGAACTCACCAATTTAAGACAACACTTTTCAGACGCTACCGCATGAAGAGCCGACGGTATTTCGCGCCGTTTTCCCGATTCGTTTTTCGGATCCATGCCGTCCGGAAACTCGAGATCCACATCGGTGCCCTGTACACTTCGGTAGGCATAAATGTCTTGTGCAGTCTTTGCGTTCCTTAAGAAATTGTGCGTTCTTTCTGCTCGCAAGAGTCAAAAAAAACCTTTCTCTTATCCTTCCCTAGACTCTCAGCGTAAGCTGTGTTTCAGCCTAATCCATGGTCACCGTACGGATGGCACATGTACCACTGGTACCAAAAGGTTTGCTCATTCCTCAAGAGGCGAACACGATTATGGCAATTTTAGGAGACACGGGATTACTGGCCGCTGCAACGATACAAGAAAGTTCCGCTGATACAGGTGATTCAATGAACGATCCGTGCGCAAAGAATTGCGCCCACTTCGCCTAAATCCGGTTTTGGAAAAAAAATTTCAACCAAAAATTGGTTTTAATCATCATTCTTGAACTTCCTGATCTCAAGCCTTTTAAGCTGCTTGAATAAGTGTTTTCAATAAAAAGTTCAAAAAAACCCGTTTAAGAATGTCGAAAAAAGGCTTGTGGGTAAAACATTCGGTTCTGTTCCGTTAGCGGGGGAATTAAATTTTTCCCTGTAATTCTCTACGGCCCTACAACAAATATTCAACCATTTTAACAGCGCTTTACATAGTTTTTGGATATAAAAACAAACACGAAGGCACAAAACTGTTCGAAACCTTTTGAAGTTTTAGTCAAAAATGTATGAAAAATTACTAAAAAATATCAAATTTTCAAAGTTTTAAAAATTTTTTAAATCATTTTAGAACTTTCTAGTAATCAAAAACCACTAAAACTATATATCATGAACAGGTAGTAGATGAAAAAAGTGGTTTCCCCTCGCCCCCCGCTAACAGCCCAGAACCGAAATTTCAGGTATGAAGACGGTCAAAAATTTAGGCGAAACGGGTTTTAGGCGAAATGGGTTTAGGCAAACTGGCTGTCACCGTTTCCAACGTCGTCAACATATTCAGATGCGTTACTTTGTGGAGGGGCTGCGAGCTATCCACTTGTGTTGTTTGCCAGAACTATGCCCGGTCGCCCAGCCATGCGTCTTGGCAATGCTACGCTGCCTTCCCTGTGTTCTACGAGGCAAAGAGGTGTATATCAAAAGATTATTTGGAGTCGCCTTTTATTTCTTTTTTTTTAGGCTAAATTCTAGGACCCCCTCACCCAGCCGCAACTTTTTGGCCATACGACCTGGTAATGCGTGGAGTATCTAAGAGGTTTCGCCGTGCTCGAATTACTATACAAAAGTTATTTCCTTACGTTAAGAATTGCTAGAAAATTTTTGATAACAATTATAAATCTGGGTTTTTCATGCATCGATTTTTCCTGGTCCAAAGTGAGTTTTCGTTTCTCGGCGCTCCTTAGACCTCTAGACTTGCCAATAGTACCAAAATGTAGCTCCTGTTCTGTAGAATAAGGCTACAGTACATTTCAATCCAAAAAATTGGCGAAAAATCAAATATTTTAGTTTGAAGCCCGTAGTACATTGAGGCATAGCGACTTGAGCTTTTCACATTTTAAGATCCTGTAAAAAATGTGCTAGCAATTTTTGACGCAGGGAAACAACCGTTTTATAGTGATTAGACAGCGGCAAACATGTTGAGATACTCCACGTATTAATAAGACGTATGGCCAAAAATTGGGGTTGGGGGGGTCCTAGACTCTGACCCTTTTTTACCGGCGTTTTCCGTTCCCCTGTAACCGAAAAAACGCTACGCTGCTGGACTCTTTTAAGCGATGCTCCAGAAGTGTACCTTTAAAAGAGGCTACATCTCTTATGCCTAGACTTGATTTCCCTCAAATGTACACCATGGTCCCGTTGAAAATTTCATGCAACCCTTGATTTCTGCGGGCTGTTCGGCCCGTGTCCCTCCGGACCCTTCCTAAAAAAGTTTGCAAAAAAAAACGTAAAATATTTGAGTAAAAACGCAAAATTCTCGGAGCGAAAACGACATGTTGAGTGCGCTGCGATTACATGTCGTAATGCCCTGTATGGCACGCAATCTCTCGATCTCAGCGATTTTCTGATCAATTTTCATCATTAAAAAGTTTAGAACGATCAAAATTCGAGAAGGATCCCAGAAATAACGTCCGAATTTTTAAAATGAAGCGTTTTCACGTCCAAACAGGGGAAAAATCATGCGACGCGGTCGTGTTGCGGTCACACCTGGCTATTTGCCAGGAATCAACGCAGGGGGCCGTGAACCAGATTTTGGAGCTCCTTTAAGCCGCCCGATCCGAAAGCCGATATTTTTCTGAGTAATAGCTGCTATCTAACACTTCCAAGGCATTTTCCTGGCGGCGGGACATTGAAGTTTGGGTATTTTACATTGTAAAGGGCTACAATACGCTGTAACTTTTGAAAAGATTGTGATTCGCCAGAAATTGCCCATCCGCAACTTTTGAAACCAGATTCGGAATAAGCGTCAAATTCTTCACCGGATCGGCTTGATTTTATTTCAAAGTTCCAGCCTGACGTAAAAACACTTTACTGTGAGCTGTGTGCTGTAAAGCTTACCACGTTTTGTCGGTCAAAATGTGTGTACATGGTTTTGAGGTCGATCGGTTAGAAGACGGGCGGATGCCGAGTTGGAGACACCCAATAATCTCTCAATTTCAGATGATTTATCACATGCCCTGGAAGGCCGACGAATCTGTAGATAAGGTACGACCACGAATCTTTTTTTTATGCTGTGCATTAATTATTGAGGGGCCAGGGTTCAAAAACCGCGACTCGCTTTTTCAGCCTTGCGGCCGTCTTAGGTCCACTTTGCATAGTTCTTTCCGAAGGTAGACTATTGCAGCAAGCAGGGACGTAGCACGGCCAATCAAACAGGCCAAAAACGGCAATGTGCCGGGAGGGGCAAAAGCGTGGATAGGAGCGGAACGTAGCGAGAGCCAAAAAGTAAAGCTCTTATAACTTTTTCAAACCGACTTAATATACCCGGTTGAATAAACCATTCATATATAATATTGAAAATCCAATATCAATTATTGCAGAGTAGAATTTTACGGTTCGAATGATACCCTCCGAAATCCCACTTTTCACAAAGTCGCCAACCAAAACCGCCTTCGTTTCGATACTTTTTGAATTCGCTTTTTTAAAAATTCCATTTAGTTTTAAAATTATAAGGCTACAAAGTTTTGGCCCCATACATTTTCTTGACGAATGGAGCGTCGCGTTGCTTAGGCCCTTATTGCCGGAAATTCTGGGCGGGGGATACGCGTGCAGCAATTTTGTGATTTGCGGTTTCCGGCACTGCCTTTCCAAAATCCGCACAATTCCTAGCTTAAAATTATCGAACTTCTGAGATGACATTCGATTGATATACCGTATTTCCTCCAGTATAACCAGTATAACCCTAACCATACTGTACTGTTTACTCCATTGTCAGGATGAATTGATGGAGCGCCAGTTTCGTCGCGACCAATGGAGAAACCCTTCGGCAGAACGAGTGCTCATCTGGGAGATCCGGTACCTCAATACTACGCTCAAAGCACTACAGGTTTCTTTTGACTGATGGCTCGGTCCATCGTGTGCATCAGTTCGTTATGGTACTAGACTGATAGCGGGGGGGGGGCGGCCGCAGAGCAGAATTTTAAAACGAGAAAAGAGTATATCTTTAAACGCCCCGGATTCAAGTTTGCGCAACGAAACGATTTCTAACGATCGGCGGGCAAAAAACAATCCAATGGTGATCCATCGGTAAGCAACAATGTATGGTTTATTCAGGAATTGATGAAAATGGGGTCATCACTGCGGCCAGACCAGATGCTGACGATATTCACGCATCACTACCCGGGGAAGCCGTGGAACTGTCAACAGATTGTGGTAGGTCCAATCGAGTCAAAGGGATAAAGACTCCATCAGTCAATCGGTTCAGCGGCGGCTGGATACTTTACATGATATTTGCTACTTTTAGGATGCGCTAAAAGGGATGGGCTGGGGACGATTTATGGGTGATTCGTGGGATTGCTTTCACGTCAACCAGATGTACGACCGATACGTTTCCAAAATTGACAAGGTTTGGCTTAGAGATGTTATTATTCAAATCAATCCGTTTTTCCATGAATCTTGAAAAATTTTGTATGCGAAACGTCTGCGCCTCTCAGCAAGGCGCGCTCGCTAACCGGAAATCCATGCAATTTTTTCTACGTTTTATGGAAAAGCGGCGTTGCTGAAAGCGTCCCTTTGAGTCGGAATTTATCTCGACAGGTCGAGTATGGTGTTCCTTTGCAGAATTTTCCCGATGACTTCGAAGTCCACCATCTCTATCTGACGCATGAGAGCACAGGTTTGGCTTCCAAGACAAATATTGTGTCCGTTGAGAATCTATAAAAGCTAACACACAAAGTTTCCAGGAGTAATGATGATGATCCGGTGGCCGCAGCGGTACGCATATACTTGCAATGGAGATTACCACGTGTTTTCGATCATCAACCCTAGGCACCGATAAACTGATTGGACTTTTTCTAAAAGACACGGGAGTGAAACAATCGGTCGCCTGCTCACAGCAAAAGGTTTCGGTTCTGGACTGTTACCGGGGGGGGGGGATTTTAGCGGGGGAGCCAAATTTGTCCGTGTGATTCCCTTCGGCCCTGTAACAAAATATAGACCATTTTTATAGAAATTTACATGGCTACCTCTAGTTTACCCCCCCCCCCCCAGCCGCAACGTTTCAGCCATTCGTCCTATTGATAAGTGGAGTATCTCAAAATGTTCGCCGTAGTCGAATTACTGTAAAGAAATTGTTTCCTGACGCCAAAAATCGCTAGAAATTTTACAAGATTTTGGATCCGTGTAGCGGGTATTTTGGACTTCCCGAGTAAGTATATTTTTGATGCTCTATCCGATGGCATTTATGAAATCCCGTTAAAACAGCCAAAAAAAAATACCGAGAACTACGGTCACCTTATGGCTATACCATATGGTCATGTCATGACATGGTCATGACGTCATGGCGGGCCCATAGCTTTGTTGCTTTAATAACTAGTTTAAATTACATTATTTCGGGCTGAAATTAAATCTTTTAGTACATTTTTTGACGCTCTACCCGATGGCATACTTGAATTGGCACGACAGGCCCCTATAGGAGAAAAATGGTTTCCACCCCCGTTATTTGCCCCCTCACCCGTTAAGCAACCCTTACCTAAGCTGCGCCTAATAAGTACCATCGATTATAAAGTGGACCAAATTACAACCCAAAATTCCCTATGGGCTTCGAGTTATTGCCCACACACCACGGGGCTGTGGCCTATTTATTAAGGACCTTCTAGAAAATTGCTCATAAAAACTTTATTTTAAGGAATTGGCAAAATCCAAAAAATCGTATCGGGAGAATTGCAGTTACCTACTCACCCTCCAAAAAAACAGAGCCTAACTCCTCTGAAACCCTGAAAACCTCCGGACATACCTTTTTTTTGAGCAAAATGTTAAGGATTTTTCATTATTTTTGTTGTAAAATCGTTAAATGAAGGCATTTCGCCAAACAAAAAAAATGCATCACTGACAAATGTGTTTCTCGACCTCCGTGTCAAAAATCAGCCGAAAAAGTGATCCTCATTATAGAAAGCAAACAAATCTGAACATGCTTTGAGCTTTTCTGAGTATATTTATTCGAACACGCGACTAGTCAATCATGCAATAGTTTGATAATGACTCAGCACAGCTCAAAATCCTCGTCTCCAAACCAGGTGTGGCGGTCGAGGACGAGCAGCGAGCCAAGCCCGCTTTGTAGCCAGAGACCATCGGGTGTGTAGGGGCCACGGGTGACTTCATGGCATTTTCGTAGTACCTGTAGTTTGTTTGGGATAAACGAAGGCATTTCCAATGGAAAACAATTTTCTAGGAAAAACTAACCCTTCCCGCGCCGGCGTCCGTCAATTCCTGGCCGAGTCCATCAATTTTTAGCTTGATCGTCCGCTCGGCTTCCCTGTAATGATCATGGTTATATAGAGGCCGAAGTTTATAGGGTTTTCTTCCTTCGTTTTTTTCGGCGTAGGCTCATTCTCAGCGTCTCAAGCCATTTTGTCGAGTTTAGTCAGAGGAAATATTTCTATACTGTTTTTTTTTAGTTTTAGTAGTTTTTATACGACTACAAAATAACATAAATTTTTCGACCAAAAGTGCACAGATCAAGGTTTTTCGAATTTTTCCAAATTGTTTTTCCACCTTACTCTAAAGTGTTTTTACTCAGGCTGGCGTTTTGGGATGGGACCAAGCCTATCTTGTGCAGAATTTTCCGCTGATTCCGAATCTGCTTTCCAAATCTGCTGCCGACTTTTATTTAAAAATTTATTTGACATTTATGCTATAAAAAGCGCCAAAATCTTAATTTTTTGCGTTATTTTTAAGTTGTCTTCAGCTTCAACGTCAAAACTGGGTCGGTAACGGTTTTAGAGATCAAAGCACGATTTTATGCAAAAAATTATGTTTTTGTGCAAAAAGCAATACAAATTGTGCAGGGCGGGGTTCGAACCGCGGCCTCGTGCTTGGCGAGCTAACGCGTTGCCAATGCACCATGGTGCCAACTGGGAAGAAGGCTTCGGAAGGGTAGATAAGGGGCACAAGGATACCGGGGTTCATACAGGGAATAGTGGGCCAGCATCCGAATTTATGCCGTTTTTAAGCTTAATTTAGACATGAAATGACTTTTCAACGTGAAGTCAGCAAATTTGGAAAACGGATTCGGAATCAGCAAAAAATTCTGAACAAGATAGACTTGGTCCCATTCCAAAACGCCAGCCTGAGTAAAAACACTTTACAGTTAGATATTACTAATTTTTCGACAAGTAGCATTAAAATATTTACTTTTGCCTTACTAACGAGCACTTGTTTCATAGGAAAAAAATCTGGTCCAGGTGATAATGGGAAGACTTACATAGCCAATGCCAGCCAAAACCCGATGATCCTGGCCGCCAAATTACCGGTTGAAGGTTGAGCATGCGATGTTGACACGGGGACGTGTACGACCTAGGAAAACGTTTGAGTGAAATATTCGAAGCATCAAAAACCTCGAGAGTGGCCGTGATCGGTAAAAGTCGCAATAAAGCAAAGATGGCGTCCCGGTCGCCAGGATTGTCGATCGAGAAGTCGGCTTCAACCTTGAAACCGCTGCCTTTATTGAGTTTTTAAACCTTATTTAGTTATGGTTTATTCTTATTACCTGTATCAATAGGGTGTTCAGGCTAGCGACGGTCTTGTGGAGGCATTTTTGGGTGAGAGCTTCCGGTTTTATCGAATCGGCGACAACTAAAGGGACGCCCTTATTATTTTTTGGTACTGGTCTATTAGCGGGGGAGCTAATTTTATTTTCCTCGCCTATACCTGATAGCAATCTAGAGACAATGTTGCAAATTTGAACATTTTAAGTTTTTTTTTTGGTAACGTTTAATACATTTTTGTCCCAAAATCCAATGATTTTCATGAATTTTTATCATTTTGTTAGGTGCTTTTTAAATTTGTAAACTTGTAAAGGGCTATAAAAATGACTTATTTGCGTAACTGTAATACTGCTTTCCTCCCCCCCCCCCGCTAACAGTCCAGTACCTTTTTTCAGTATCGCTTACCAGATAGTTCTCGAAGCCGTCCCTTCGCGCCAATCATACCCAGATCACATGGTGATAAATTATCGATATTTGTAATGGTTAGGTTCCTAGAAACTTGTTTCAACTATTTTTTTTGTTTTTCTTACTTTATCGGCTTCTTTTCCAGCGCTTCCACAATATATTCTCTAGAGAGATGGTCGGTTCTGCAGGGTTCATACTGTAAATAACATTGTTGAAAATTCAGACTTTGTTGAGCTACCTGTAGCAGTTCTAACTTGTGACACTGGCCGACAGCCTGCCAAAAGGCGTGCGCCTGCTCGTCGGATGTAATTCTGTAGAAATATTCTTTTTTTAGTTTTCTTTCGGTAGGGAAATACCTAACATGTCGAAATCTCAGAGCTTTGGCATCTTTTCGGGAAAGCAGGACCAATTTTCGATACTAGAAAAATAGATTTAGACAAAGAAAAAGTTGTAATGATTTACCCAATCAAAATCATCGCCTCCTGTGTTGCCAATGACGGTTAGTTGCTCGATGCTGATTCTGAACGGGGTGTTTCATGCCATTTAATTTTTTTATATCGTCTGGATTTTGATATGGTTCTGTTGCATTATCGGGGGGGGGGGGTTTTTTCTAGGATTCTAGAAATGTAGTAACGTAATAGAGATTTTTTAATGGTATTTTCCGTAAAATTTAGCTAAGTTTCTAGGCGAAACACCAGCTAAAAAAAGAGGAAAATTTTGAAAAATCTGAAAGTTGGCCCCAAAATCGATTTTTTTTTTGTATTTTTCATACAAATTCTAAAGTTTTTGCCTTTAGGAATAGTAAAAAATCTTCCAGAAAGACTTCCTCTATTTATATTAGAGAAAGTGGGTCTTAAAGGGGCTTCGAAATCTGGTCCACGGCCCCCTGCGTTGATTCCTGGCAAATAGCCAGATGCGGCAGCAACGCGACCGTGGCGCATGTTTCCTAGGCGCTGTTTCGAAGGGAAAAAGCGTGAATTTCAAAATTCTAACGCTATTTCTGGAATCCTCAAGCAATTTTGATCATTTTAGTCTTTTTAATTATATTTTGCGTTTTTTCGCAACGAAATCAATTTCCTGGCACTTTTCGGCGGCAGCCTTTTCGTTTTTGACCAGTCGGTTCAATCCCCGAACACGCGAATTTTGACTTCCGAGTCCCTTTAAAGAAAAATGCTGCGCCCCCCCCCCGATAATGCGAAAGCACCTGTTTTCATTTTTGTGTTCCAGAACCTACCTATGCGCGACGTTTTCTCGGCCGACGTTCGCTTCCACTAATATTTTGGCCATCTCTCCGTTTTGTTTGCAGTCTAGCCATAGATGGGCGATTGTTGAGACGTGGGCCGCTGAAAAAGGGTGTTAATTGGCTTCGTTCGTTTGTTTGTCATTTTTAGGGGATGACGTGGGGATAAAAACACTCTAGAAAAAGCTGGTTTAGATTAGTAAACGGCTAAACTCTTGTAATAAAATTAAAAGACTCAATAACTTTCTATATACCTGCCTTGCGCGTCCCTTCAAAAGTGCAGTAAGACATTTCAAACGTATTCTACGTACGCTAATAACATCTTTCTTCCTTCTTGCTACTTTTTTCTGTTTTCCACCCACCAATTATCCGCAACACTGCTTCGGCGGTGGCCGTGTCCATCAGCAACGCGTCACCAAGGTGTTCATACCGCCCGGAAAATCGTGCCAATAGACGGCCGGTCAGGAAGTCGAGCTTTAATTGGGTTTAGAGGACACCTTCGAGCCTCACTTGGTCACATAGCAGCTCCACATTTCCGTGCTTATCGGTGTGGAACATCAGAAATGGCAGGCGGATCGGCAGCTCGTCGACGAGGCGGCGAAAGCCGTGGGATGCTTGCTAAAACGCGGAATTAGGTGTAAAGTTTCAGTTTAATTCTAGGTTTTTCTGCGTTCAGAAGTCTGAATGGTCCTTGTGCATTATCGGGGGCGGTAGAGCTCCCCCCGTTAACGCACCAGAACCGTCACCTACCCTGGCCCTGGCTCGATCACGAAGTGGTAATCGTCTAAAGATCTCGGCCAGCACATCGCTGTGGAGTAGTGGCAGTTTGGAGGTGCTGGCGTTTTGCTAAAGGTGTTTGGTACTAGGCTTTTAGCGGGGGTCCAGAAATTACACCCTAGTTTTTCTGGTTTTAGCGTTTTAGTCAGATTAAAAATTCATACACATTTTTAGAAGATCCGAAAAATCGGAATTTTTCTCAAAAGGTACTGGTCTTTTGGCGGGGGGTGTTTTTTGGCGTTTTTAGTGGCCTTTTATAACATTTTAGTGGGCGCTTGGTGCCCACCATTTAAGAAGATTTTTAGAAAATTTAAAACTGGGTTTTTTGGGCCAAACGCGAAAATTTCGAAAAAATTTGTTTATGTTGGATTTTCGATACGTAAAGCCGACGTGGAAAGCTAAAGAAATGGCGTGTTACCCCCGCTAATAGTCCAGTACCAAAAATTAACAGCGTAACAGCTCTGAGATGTTTAGATATACCGGTCGGGTCTGCAGACGAATTCGAAGTTTTTGCAGCTTCAGCTTTGCCTTGAGAAGCCACTTGGCTTTCAGTCCGGAGCGGGGCATTGGAAAGCTATAATAGAAGCACATAATACAGTATTTTAATACTAAAAGTGGGCTCAAAAGAATTAAATAAATTTAAGGTGAAGGAAGTATGACGAGGAGGGCTGGATAGTGAGTGTGAACACATTCCCTTCAACAAAGACATCAGCACCGCCCCCCAATATTATGACAAGGCGAAGGGCAGGTCTCTCTCTTTCCCTCTCTCTCTCCTCTCTCTCTCTCTCGCTCTCTCTCTCTCTCTCGCTCTCTCTCTCCCACAGGTGATACGGTGGGATCCCGCCCCCCGGGGCTCCTCGGAGTGTCGCGTAGCCCGGGGCCATCCCCCGGTCGCCAGCCACCCCATCCAATTAATTCCCCCCAACAAACAGCCGTGCCGTCGATTTATGGCCCCGTTAATGCACTGGTGGTAATGGGGGTAAAACTTGAAAATGTCGCCAAAATACCGTACTCCTGAGAGGTAACGTATTTTTGTAAATGCAGAAAATGGAAAATACATTTTCTTAAAAAAGCTAGCTTTTAGAAGAGCGAAAAGCCGAATGAGAAGAAAAAGGGACGCTTTTTATGTGTTTCTAATTTCCTGGGAGTCCGACATCCGCCCGGGGGCTCCTTTCCATTTTGGGGTCCCGCCGCGGGGAAGGGAGTTCGAACCAAAAAGTTGATTAAATTGCGCGTTGCGGATGAATGAACGCGCAAAGTTTGATCATGGCTAAAAATGGGTGGAATAGGTGTTAAGAGGAGTTTAAAGTTGCTGGAGATTACCTATCATTATCTCGAAAATCAACATCTCGAAAATCAATATCTCGAAAACAAACATCTCGAAAGTTCATTATCTCGAAAGTTCATTATCTCGAAAGGTCGTTATCTCGAAAGTTAATTATCTCGAAAGTTCGTTATCTCAAAAGTTCGTTATCTCGAAAGTTCGTTATCTCGAAAGTTAATTATCTCGTATTATTATCTTTCTACTCGAATACGAGATAATTAACTTTCGAGATAATGAACTTTCGAGATAATTAGCTTTCGAGATAATGAACTTTCGAGATAATGAACTTTCGAGATAATGAACTTTCGAGATATCGAACTTTCGAGATAACGAACTTTCGAGATGTTGATTTTCGAGATGTTGATTTTCGAGATGTTGATTTTCGAGATAATGATCAATCCCCGTTGCTGGAGATAGGACTACGCGGGGATACTTTTAACGCTTTAACGTATCAAGTGTGCGGATTGGTGTCTCGTACTGATAGTGGAAAACGGAAACGGTTTACGTTTCTAGGAATTCGACTACGATAGGTGAACTTCAAGGGAAGCTGCGCTGCGTGTATTTTTCTTGTTTCTTGCGGAACTTTTGCATTATCGGGGGGGGGGAGAACCAATTTTTGCCGTAAGATCCGGTTTTTCTCATACCCCTCAAGGAAACGTTTCTACAGTGTTTTTACTATTCCTGCGCCTAAAAACTTTGCAAATTTTTGTAGAAATACAAAAAAAATCGGATTTTTGGCCAAAATGCCGATTTTCGACATTTGTTTTTGTTTTTGGGATAATTTTCCGCCTGAAAGCTAGTTAACTTTTACTAAAAACCATTATGGATTAGCAATGATACTAGGCGTTTCTAGACTTCAAGGAAAAAAAACCCCGTAAGCCTCCCCGATAATGCACAAGAACCCTTCTTTCTCTCAATTCCAATTCTAGGGACAATCCCCGGGGCTAATCCAACTGTGCCTAATAATAAAGCCTAGTGAGATGACCCTGTCCGTGTTGATCCTCGATTCGCGCAACAGGGAGTATATCCGGGGGTGTCAGTCATTGTGCCGCAATATCCCAACTTTGCCCCCACTCGACAAACTTGCCAGCTGTCTCCATTGGGGGTTAGCCTTGGGCTACAGTAGCTTTGCATTCAAATTTTTAAGAGAACGGTATAGTTACGGCATGATACGATAGCCACAAAATGACACGAAGAAAGGGGGATGGCCTAGTTGAACACAAAGCCCTTCCCGTCCTCCTCCTTTTTGAGAAAACGAGGAGCACGACCCAATCGTTTGTTTAAAGGAGCGGGAAATGGGTGTGCATGGATGCGGCCACGGCCCATTGCTTCTTCCCTTCGAAGAACACAAGAAAAAGGAGGAGAAAAAGGCGAAAACGAGCCCCGCAGGGGGGTGGGGAGGATGCTTGGAAAATTGAGGCCTAGCCAAAGGCAAACATTTGAATGGAGCCCGGGGCCATGAAAACGGGCGGTTTTATTTCATTTCGAAGTTCTGCAGAATTTAGGAGAGAGAGAGAGAGAGAGAGAGAGAGAGAGAGAGCGAGAGAGAGAGTCAGAGGATGAGAGAGAGCGAGAGACAGCGAGAGAGAGAGTGAGTGGGTGAGAGATAGAGCGAGAAAGAGTGTGAGAGCGAGAGAGAGTGAGAGTGAGAGAGCGTGAGAGCTAGAGCGAGAGAGCGTGAGAGTGAGAGAGTGCGTGAGAGAGAGATAGAGAGCGAGAGAGACAGAGAGAGCGAGAGAGTGAGAGTGAGTGTGTGAGAGAGAGATGAGAGGTGAGAGTAACACTAAAAAATGGTTTCCCACTTGAACGCAAAATGAATAATGCAAAAGAACCGAGTTTTTATGGCCGGGCTCTTTTCAGTTTTCCGAAGAGCGGCTACGGTAGTCCTGCTGCAATTTAGGCCACGCAACGAAGCGTGCCCCCAGCACTCAAGTAACCTTACCACCTTGCTAATTAGCGGAACCCCAAGCGATTTCTCATTTCCCCCAGGTATTGTCTCTGTCATTGGCATTTGATTGTGAGTATAGAGGAAGGGGGGGATGAGTGATCCCCGACCAAATAGCAAAGAAGGTGAAGGGCATCTGGGTGATACTCCCTCCCTGCTCGCTCAGGCGAACCCAAACCCAAGGGCCTCGTTTTTGTGTGGTTGAGAAACCTCGGGTGAGGATGACCCTTTGAAGGTATGTATCCACTTATAGACGGGTCTGGAAAGGTTCAAGATTTGAATTTTAGAAGGTTCGAATTAAACTAGAACTCGAAGTACTCTTAAAAAAATTTTTTTTGTTAGAAAACCTTCTTAGGCATTTCTTACAAAAATTCGATAACCCCCTGATTAACCGCCCCCCCCCCCCCGATAATGCGAAAGCACCAAAAAATCACTTATGAAGCCAAAGAATTTTTTCAAGCGGAAGGGGAAACATCGATTTTGCCCTTTTTCGGCGTGAGAATTTGGGTAAAACGAGCCGGGAAAGACCATTTTTGCCATCGCTTTTTCGCCGTTGTCCTCCTTTTTCTCTCTTTACCATTCCTTGTTTTCCACAGTTTTAATCTCAAAGTCGCAAAATTTTAACGCTACACACAGCTCCTATCAACAAATATCTGAGCGAAAAAAATCGGCACGCTTTCGGTCAAAGTCGGCCTTTTTTGCTATGATATTTGCCGTCCCAAAAAATACCCGGCGGGCACAATGGCGATTAGATCGAGGGGGGGGGGAATTGTTATCCAACATTTAGGCGCTAACCGGGACCCCGGGGATACAGAAGAAAGGCAAGAAATGGGGGGTGGAAGGAGGTGTGAAGTGGCCACAAAGGACCGATCGGCCCTTTGGCCCTTGCCGCACCAACCGTGTCGAGGCATTGTCGAGTGGATAATTACCCAAAAAAATTATTTAAAGGGTTTTTTCTATTTCGAAACCTAAAAACATTGCAAATTTTGACCAATAAAACACAAAAATCAATTTCTGTCAAAATGAAGAAAATTAGAGATTTTGTCACAAGTTTAAAATTATTTTCCCCTTGAAATTTATCAATTTTCTTGATGAAAACTGTGTTAAATAAATTCCGGTAGGAGTTTTCGATCATTATAGATAAAATCTTAACAAATTTTGATGAGTCGCATACAAAAATATCGATTTATGACTAAAATAATGATTTCTGAATTGTTTTTCGTTTGCAAAGATTAACTTTTTGAAAAGCTATTGAAAGAATTTCTACCCCAGTATTAGGGGTGACAGCTTACGCTTTACCCCCCTCCGATAATCCCAAAGTACCAATCCAATTCGACCGTAACCCCGGGGCATTATTTAGGGGCCTATCGCGAGCTCGGCGCCCTTTTCCTGAAACTTATCCAGAAAGTTTATCGGGCAGAAGAAGACTAATATTGCCATCGGCATCCCAATGCGCATGATAGTAAGAAAAAGATACCTAAACCCCCTTGGAATGGGCCCTCCAGCTATTTGCCTGGCCCATATATTCGTTTTCTCGAGAGGGAGTACAAACAAATACATAAGACCCGTTGCCAGCGTTTAAAATTGGGCTGAAAAAGAAACGAATCCGGGGGTGATGCGCGAAGGAACCTAGGAAATTCGAAACTTTGGAAACAGGCCGGCCAGGTGGCCATTTTTTGCGGGTGGGCGGCATTTTGGAATTTGTCCCCGGGATGGCCCTGGGGGTCATTTGTCAAAACGGGACGTTGCGCTCCACATGCAACACATGGAAACTTGGAAAAGCTGGGTCGGGCGGGTTTGAATCGGGTTTAAGTCTGATTTTGATGAATTTGACTCAATTTAAAATCTCAAATTTTGATCAGCTTCAAAAATTTCATGACATTTTTAAAAGTTAAAAACCTAATTAAGCTGACAAAATTCTGACTTACAGTTTTACAATTACTGGCTGTTTTCAAGGACCAGGTAAACGACAACTACCGAAGGTTTAGGCTATGGATTCTAATGGCCTTTTCCGCGCCCGCCGCCACACGCAACGCAGCCGCCGTTGGTAACCTCAGCCTATAATTAATCCACCACGCAATGAAATGCTTGCGATGCGTTGCGTATCGCGGGCGCGAAAAAGTTAGCAATGCCTTTTGAGTTCATTTATAAAGAAAAAAAGCCAAGGCATGGTGTGCCCATGGACTTTGTCAATACCGCGACACGCGGCGCACACGTACGTCGTGCAACCGTCCTAGAGCGATTCTGTAAAGCCTCCTTTTTGGCCTAAAATTAATTCCATCTCGTGTCCAATTTTTAATTCTTGACAGCACCCGGGTACCTTTGATCGACTGGAACAGGTTTTCTCGCCCACCACCACCAGCAGCCACCATGGTATGCAAATGGGGTTGGGAACCGCGGGGGAGAGTCCGGGACCCTTTGAAGTGGCTCCCCACGTATTTCATTCGCCACCCCATAAACATACCCACCACGGCCATCGTTCCCATTGTAGGCTTTTGATTGGTTTTGTGCGTTTTTCGGTGAAGCCTGGTGCTCAATTGAATATTTCTATCGATCGGATCGAAATTGGAATAGAACCTTCCAAAAAATTCCGCAAATTTTCGCAAACGCCAGCCAGAAAGGCAGCAAAATTTTGAAAAGTCGTGAAATAGCCTAAAACTCACATGTCTGGCGTGTAGATTGGAACGACGCGTTTTCAAGCCCAACTACGGTCGACTCCCATAGACGCCGATTTTGTGTGCGCGTCGCAGGATCGCCTTTTTTGAGCATTGACACTGGACCGAACCAAAAAAGACGCGCTTCGCATTTGCAAAAACGCGCAAGAACGCTTTGCTAACAACTCTAATATTAAAAAGACAATGTGCATGGTATAATTTAGTACATAGTGTACTTTAATATATCGTATAAACATAGATATCCTTCAATAAAAACATATTTATCACCATAGGCGTTTTGAGCAGAATTTCATAGTTGAACTATCAATTATCAAGGGAGAGGTGGGCAGTATAAAATATTTCTATAAATTAGAGGAATAAATTAATATAGTTCTATTAATCATTAAAAGGCGATACCTTTGGTCATAGTGGTCTATCGTTTATAGGCAGGACACAACATCGAATTTCAGGCTACCCGTTTTGTGGAAATGTGGAGCGGCGAGGGGGTGGAGGGGTGGATGAAAGACTTTCAAATTATCCGTACTTCAATCGGGTAGGGGAATCAAAAAAATAATTGAATAAATATAACATATAAAATTGGCACAATATAAAAACCGGGGTAATCTTGGGAAATGCTTGGAATTGGTCTTAAAAACCTTAAAATTATCCATTTTGGTTTGTGCGCGGTTTTGTGTTTATATTCCGCATTTTCGTCTCGTCGTCGGCTTGCAGGCTTATCGTATGAATGTTGCCGATGGAGCCTGAAAAAGAGAGTTTTACAGGGTCTCTGGCATTATCGGGGGGCGCTACTTTACTTTCTTAGGACTACATTTTTCTAATTTAGATAAATCCAAGTTTTTAAAAATTTTTGCGGTTTCTAAACGTTAACACGTCACAAATTTAGATTAAAAATTGCAAAAATATCAATTTTTCAAAGAAAATGGCCCATTTTTACAAAAAATTCCAATTTTTTATGGTTTGTACTTGAAGTATAGCTAAATCTTACCAAAAACGCTATGAAAATAAATGCTATTAAGTTAATAGAAATTTTTGGAGTTATAGGAGCAAAAAAATACGATTTTTGGTGCGATTTTGGGTACAAAATCAATTTTTCACATTTTTACGTTTAGGAAATAACCGTGTCAAACGCTTTCAAAAAAGATCGTATTGGAAAAATGAAATCCTATCAAAAAGGATGTCCACCCCGATAGCGCAAAAGAACTAAAATAATCATAACTTGGAGTCGCACTCACCTGATGGCGTATTCATCCGACTCTTGCCCGCCGACTTCTGCTTGTGGAAGGGCAACGCGGCGAAGAAGACGGGCAACACGATCAAGCCGTGCAACATCCCCAGGGAGATGACCAACACGACCACCTTCACAAACACCGCCACCATGTAGGCGTGCACCATGGCCAACACGACCACGGCGGCCATGGTCGAGGTGCCGGATTGGACCATTGGCCAGGCGATGGAGGCGAGCGCGTGTTCGATACGTTCACGTTTTGTCTGAATGTTTTAGGGTGTTTTCGGGCTTGTTTACTTAATTATTAACCCGTAAAAACACTTAAAAATCGTTGAATTAAACGCGAGAAGCTAATACTAAACTCTAGAAAACATTTAAAAATCGTTGAATTAAACCCGCATCAACACTATAAAGTACTACAATTAGAAAACCATGTTAAATAGTGAAAAATACTATAATTACGAAATTATAAACTGACTTTTAAATAATATGTCCATTAAACTATCTAAAACCTCTAAAATACATAATTAAGACGATTAGAAATTCGAAAATACTCCTAAATAAACTAAAATTAAATTTTTTAGTTTTTTCATGGCTTCCACCTACCGCAAAATCGCCCTTATAGTAGTGGAACGTAATATGCGCCACGAAATCGACGGAAAACCCGATGGCCATCAACGTAGTCGTCATCGAGATCGGGTCCAAATCGATACCCATATAAACCAGCGAGCCAAAAACGCCTAAAACCCTTTTTTCTATTTGCGTCAAATTTTTGTAGCAGTTGTACTATCCACAACCTACCCAAGTTAATGCTGAGCACGGCGGTCGTGGAGGTGATGATCATGATCAGTGACGGGGTGAAAATGACGAGAATGGCCAACATACAAACCAATGCTCCGGCTACGGTAGACATTGTGACCGGCCAGATTGAGAGCAACTGATAAAGCGTTGATCTACTAACGTAAGCCCAAAAATACCTGATCGGAATAGGTGCTGAAGTCCTCATAAACGGTCAGATTCAGATGCGGATACTCGGCGGCAGTTGAGCGCCACTCGCTCAGAATGGCCAGGCTGGAAAAGCGTATTTTTAAGGGGAACAATCACAGAATTAGCATTGTTACAATCATTCGGTCCATTAAAGGGCCGTACAAGGCAGGCTATGTATTTTTTTTTGACTGGAATTCTTCTGAATTATCTCGGCTCGATGTTGGTCTACATGTATGCTACGTATACCAAAATACTCGTCAGACCAAGACGAACATTTTGGTATACTTTAGACACCTGTAGACCCAGGGAGCCTAGATACAAAGGTTGGGTGCAGCGGCACAACCCAGGTCGCCAACCCCGCTAAAGAATCTCTGCTAGCTAGCCCGAAATTCCCTACCGGCTCTCCCACGTAACGGCATCCCTAAATCCGGTGAGGAACACAAATTTATGCAGACATTCCGGCCGCTCAGCCAGACAATCCCTGAAACGAAAATTTTCCGTTGAGAGGAAACACGTACTCTGGATTGCCCAAGCTGACAAAATGGCTCCAGCGCCTGTATTCTTGAATCTTGAAGAATTCGGGGAGATATTTGTATTGGAAGTCGATAGAGCCGTGGTTCTAAAAAGTACGCTACAGTACGTTCAGATACGGTACCTGGAGTCCAATGTACGGCAAATAGGCCAACAGCCACATGTGGGTGCTCAGCGCGCCCACGGAGTGATTCGCATTCTCGAAGCGGGTCAGGATGCGCATCACCTGAAATTGGGGGTTTTCCTCATTCTCCCTTACGCGAGAATCCTATGTACGCAAGCGGCGTTTAGTAACTTAACGCACCAAACTCAGCGTATTGATTTTTCCCTACGCGACAATCCTATGTACGCAAACTGTCTATTGTAACGTAGCGTACATAGTGCAGCGGATTTTAGAAATTTTCAGCTTTAATATCAAATTTACCTCCGGAACGGCTTCAGCTTGACGCATATCCCCAGGGTTGTTCACGAAAACGGCCACCTAAATTTTGTAAGCTAAATGAACGAATATTTTTCGTGATTTAACCTTCGGTTTCATAGCTTATCAATAATTATCGATTTTACCAGTTGATTCAATTAATTAACTATATCTTCCAGCACACACCTGTCCGCCCTCCTTGAAGATGACGTCGGTCTGGAAGCGGACCAGCGTCAAAAGAGGTGAGTCGTCCATGAACAGCTTCTCCGACGTCAACCCCACCCGGATTTTCCGCACCCCAAACGACATTGTGATCCAGAAAACGCTGCAAAAAATAGACTACAGGCTACAAAATGATACTCACATCAGGATGGCGCCCACAAAATACTTGCTCCAGGCCGACATGCAGAATTCCACCCAAATGTCTAGCAAGAAGCTCGCCATCCGGTTGTAGAGACCCTCGTCTTCTGGCTTTTTGTTGTTCTTCTTCGCGATTTTCTGGAAGGGCAAGAAATAAAGTTACTCGTCTATTTGCGGGAAAAAAGCCGAAATCCCGACAGGCCAAAATACCGACATTAAAAGCCCGACAATGAAAAAAACCGAAATTCCATCTCAACAGTTCGAATACGGAAATTCAAAGTGCCGACGATCAAAACCCCGACAACTAAAATACCGACGTTCAAACCCCCGATAGGCTAAAATACCGACACCCGAAAATTTCAGAATCAGTTTAGATTTTACTGTCGGTATTATGCCCTGAATCCCCATTTCCCACCTCTGGCTCAGCTACGGTAAGACAGGGCACGAACGCGTGCCCACGGCGCGCCTCGCGTTCACCGCTCAACTGGAGGACGGCCGTGTAGAAGAAGATCTGGGAGGTTACGGTAGATTGGGTCGATTTTAGGGCGGCAAACCTGGTAGACCCAATCGTAGATGACGGCCACGGAGATGAACACGCAGAAAACTGGAAACAGAGGATTTTTGGGGTTGCAAAACTATCTAGTAAACCATGGAAATTTTTTAAAACTCTAAATCGTGTTATAAATTTTGTTGAAAACTGCGGATTTTTGGTCAATTTTTTCATAATTTTAACGAATTTTTATCTTGTTTAGGGCTAAATTGAAATCGTTTTAAACACAAACCTGTAATAGCTGGAGTTGGCGTCAGGATCCCCGTTCCAAAACTCAACAAATTCGTCAGGGAAGCGATCGTGATAGACGGGCCAGCATCTGCCAACATTTCGGCCGATCTCTTATGCGGAGGTTCTCTAAAATGACACTGTGATCAATAGAAAAATTGTATAAAAAAAACATCTAAAACGAAAAAGCCAACTCCCCACCTCGAATCAGTGCGGTGCCACGCGTGCAGAAAAATGAAAACGTCGTCGACACCGATGGCCAGAATCAAGAACGGCACGACGGTGACGATGGGTAGGAATTCGTAGCCGAGCTGTAGAATCAAAAATTTAGAAAAATTGTGATATATTTTACTTACCCAGAAAAGGTTGCCGAACGAGGCACAGAGCGAGAGAATCGGGCACAGCACGCCGAGCACGGATTCCCAGGGTTTTGAGCGCAAAGAATCGAGCCTAAAATCGAGATTTGCAACGGTCAAGGCAAAAAAAAGCCTTGAAAAAGGCATCCCTGCTAAAAGAAAAGCTAAAAACACAGGATAAAGACTTATTTGAGGCCAAAGATTGAGATGCCCGGCTCGCCCTCGGAGCTGAACTTGAATGTGGTGAAGAAAACAAAGGCGAAAACGACGACGACTGTCAACGGCATCAACGGCATCGCCAGGATACCTAAAAATCAAAAAATTGCACGTAATTTTATAATTCGGACCTGTCCTGCGGACCTCTTCGCTGACCAACCCTTCAGAGGTGCAGTAGGCGTGGATGAGCGGGTCTTCAAGAGTTTTCTAGAAATGAAAAACTAATAATTAATAAAAGACCCTAGCCTGTGTAAAATCGAAAACAGCATGTTCCCATTTCTTCATGACGGCCTCCATCGTGGCATTGGCATAAATCGATTGGAAATTGATGGAGATTAGCCGGGCGGATTCCACGATTTGGGATCTAAAATTGGGTTTTAATGGCGTGTTTTAGTAACATTTTAGCTAGATTCAAAGCGTTTTTTCTACAAAACTATAAAAATTTGAAGGTTGGACGAAAAAAGCCGGTTTTTGAACGCAAAATCCATATTTTTTTGATTTTTTGTTAAAAAATCTGTACAGAATTTAACTGGTTAGTAAAAAAACAGCTTTGAAAGACTTCCTCTATTTCTATTTGAAAACTCAGCCCAAAGAACAGTTTGTATAAAACTCACTTGTTATTAACATCAACCAAAAAGATATTATTCGCCAGATAAACGTGATGCCCAAACAAATCCATCGACGGATACGTCAGCTTGACATTATTGTGCTTTCGGACCTGCTGATCCCGAAACATTGTCAAGAAGATGTTCACCTACAGAAAATTTTTTCATATTTTTTTAGATGTACTCACCGCATCAGAAGTATCACACTGCGAGCCACAAAAATCGGAATAACTCCATGTGCGGTTCTCGTGCTCGACGGTGAGCTTGTATTGGAGGTAGTCCTCGATTTCGAGCGCTTTTTCGATGTAGCTGGAATTAAATAATTAAAAGGAAGCGCTATCCATACCCTGGCCGTAATATACTGCCCTTGTCGGCTGCTTCGAGGGCGACGACCACGTGGAAGGGCATGCCTTGATCCTGAAAAAATGCAATGAAGCTGGCGGTACTTTCGCATTACCAGGGGGAGCTTGATCGGCAAGCGATTTTTTTTCTAAAAATCCGGAAGTAACTATTGTAAAATGAACTATTTCTAGTGAAAAAGCTACTAAAAACTTAATAATGTTAAAATTTGGCTCGAAAAGGGCCATTGTTTTGGAAAATCGATTTTTTTTGTGACTTAGGCAATATTTGTACCGATTTAAGGGTTTCTAAAAACAGCATAAACGCGCAAAAACTCCTAAAAACGTAAAACGATATTCCTTTATTTTAAGCAAATTTGTACATTGTTTTGCGTTTCAGAGTATGAAACACAACATAGAAGCTCTTCCTCCATTCATATTCGAAAATTTGGATGGGGAACTTTGCTTTCAAACTGAAAAGAAGCCAAAAACTATTTCAAAACCCCACCTGGAAAAATTCGCGGGCGACGGCAAATTCATATCGACTCGGCGAATTCGTGGCGGAAAAATGCTCGCGGACGTTGTTCACCTCCTTGAATCGGCAGACACCGGCTGCCATGACTATCGCCCAGATCGTGCTGAAGATGGGCAAATAATATAACCGTTTCCCCGCTAATATAACCCCGGGGGTTCTATTTTCTCTATTACCCCGAAGGCTCTATTTTCTGGAATTCTGATCCATTTTAACCATTTTTAATAGCTCAATCTGCTCAAAAGATCTCAGGCCCAAATTTGCACGCGGAAAAAACACCTATTTTGACATTTTTGGAATTATGAAAATATGGTAGTTATCAGTAGTAAATGACCCACCATATAGCGAGACATGATCGTGGCCATTTCGCGATCCTCAACCCCATCCAATAAAATGTGTCATGGGTGCCCTTCTCGACGACGGCCGTTATCCGTTCCAGCGCATCCTCCATGCGCTGCCACGCCCCCATACCCCAACTAAAATTTAATGAATTATTAAAGATTAAGCAACTACAAATAAAAATTAAAAAGATGAGTCCTCAAAAAAGAAAAGTGAATCCTGAAGGTACTGGACTTTTAGCGGGGGGCGCTGGGAAAACTTTGAAGCGATTTATGTGGTGTTTTTACAAGCTCTTTCATAGCCTTGGGTTAAAAAAAGGGATTTCATAATGCTGGAAAATGACAATTAAAAAATAACAGAATTTTTAAAATTAAATCCCACTATAATTTCGCTACCCCCCGATAACAGTCCAGTACCCACAAATTAGAAATGAGCTTTTTACAAGGTGTATGGCTGGTTTATTCCATTATTGCGACCCTAAGGGGCGATACGCCAAGGGAGGCTCATTTGATAACGCATCCCCCCTCTAACAGTACCCGATTCAAAAAATGAGGAAATGCTGCCAGATCAAGCCGGAAGCCAGCCCCAAAATCGCAAAGGGATCAATTGGGGGTGAGATCCGGGGCCGTTTTCTGTGCGAAGAAATGGCCACCAGCTGAGCGGGAGACGCCCTCGTGCTCCTTCAGACATCCATTCAACCGGAGAAGCAGACTTTTTGTCACGAAAAGCAAGAACGGGAAGAGCCGACCACCGGGCAGGGCAAATCGAAACCGGAGCAAGCAGAATTTCGAAAGTCTCGAAATGATTGGAAATTTTGGGACCTTCAGTCACGCTGCATACAAATGGGTACGGGGCCGTTAACGGGGGGAGTGATTAAAAATACCAGGACAAATTAAGCCTTTCATAAATGAACCTAGACTTCTGAGTTACTCATCTGTTAGCGGGGGGATCGCCACCCAAAAACTTAGCATTTCTTACGGATATTTACGGTGATTTCATATTTTTTGCTTACTAAAAAACTTACGAAAGGTTTTTAGAAAAGTTAAAAAATTTAAATTTCTACATTTTTCACCATAAGTCAAGTTTTCTAATATTTTAACCATTTTATCAGCTTTCTAAACTTAAAAACTTCGTAATAAACTATCTAGACGGCGGTTATTTCATTATTGAAGCCCTACCGCCCGTTTGGCAGAAGCCACCCCCCCGTTAACGGAAAAGTACCAAAAACAACAAAGCAAGAGGTTACGTCTTACGGTAGCTTCGAACAACTCATAAGCTGCATTTTTTATTACTCGGGCAGACGAACCAATCGGCAAAATTTAGTCACCCCCCCCCCCATTAACAGACCAGTACAAAAACAAGTAGCAAATCGTGACGGTAGATGCAATAAATCACCCAACCGCTCGACGTCGGATCAGATTTCCCTATCGTCCTGCTCCTGCTCCTCCTCCTCCTCCTCCTCCTCCTCCTCCTAGCTAGATCGATCCCCCTGTGACGTCTCATTAGCATCTAATGGCTTGTGAGCAGACTGGATGGCATAAGGGCTCATTCTTTGCCCCAACGAGGCTTCAATTCCGCCGAAAAACAGCTAGGGGCAGCGGCTAGAGACGAGCATGAGATCAATCGTCTCTCCTACTCCCCGAAAAGCTGCCCGTTGAGCGGGGCTGTTGCTCAAGGTGGATGGTCTTGCTCAAATATGCCAGGGCGAAATCGAGTGGTATGGAAAGATGGAACGGCTTTCGGGGAGGAAAAGTGCCTTATGGAAAGTGAGGCAAATTCGAGGAGGTAAAACGCTGCGAAGAAATGTGCGAGCGGCTCAAAACGAAAAATGGGACGCGATGGTACTGGGCTCATAGCGGGGGGAGACTATAAAAGCTCCAAAAATAGGGAATTTGTTGGCCGGTTTCAGAAACACAAAATTTCAAAAAATTTCATTTAAGCAGGAGGCTCTTCTGCATTATCGGGGGGAAGAGTTTGCCTAGTAACAAAATAGAAATGCTTTAATAGTTATTTTGTAAAATTTCCCTATATTTAAGGTGGAAAAGCTACCTAAACCTTAAAAAAATTTTAAATCCGAAATTATTTTCTAAAATCTGCAATTTTTGGTGGAAAAATTCATAATATTTGTAGTTTTTAACGAAGATCTGTGGTACTGAATGGGATACTGAAAAAAGCGTTTATTCCCTCCCCCGATAATGCAAAAGAACCAAATCGCGGCCAAAACCCAGCATTCTTCCATAGGCCCTAAAACCGGAAACGAGCCTTACGCATCTCTTTAATGCTGCGACCCCTATAAAAACGTTTACAGGACACAGCTGGAACCGCCATCACCTCAATACCTAACTGCCCAATCGACAGAACAGGGAGGCTAACACCATTAGAGGAGGACGGACAGAGAGTAGTGAGTGGACACCGGGGGGAAAGGGTACAAAAAGGCGTTTGGAGGGGGCTTTTCAAAGGCGCCGTGACTTCTTCTTGGTTCCTGAGACACTTTGTGGGAGGAGGAGGAGAAGGAAAAGGAGCACGAGGTGGTCGAAGACGAAAACAGACGGACGATCCCCGGTCTACCCCCTAAAGGGCTTACCCAACGCCCCGGGGGTTTCACTTTCGTGCTCACGGTTGGCAAGCGGGGGATCAAAAAGGATCGACGTTAAATTTGAAGGGATACTGTAAATTAAAAATAAAATTAATTAAAGAATAAAATAAATAAATTTAAATATATTAAAAACCAAAGAAAGTGAGAAAATTTCAATCAGAAATGAACACAGGAAATTATGGGCTACAAATCACATGGAAATTACGAAAATTCCGTTTAGAGGAGCCAGCCGGAGCGGTTTTTAGCACTTTCGATACCATTAGATTGCCCAAAAACCGTTTTTGAGAGAGAGAGAGAGAGTGGGAGAAGGAGAGAGGGAGAGAGACATAGAGAGAGATAGCGAGAGACATAGAGACCGAGAGGATGAGTGAGCGAGAGTGACCGAAGAAATCCATAAAAATTCATATAAAACATCACTTCCCCACCCCACCCCCATCAACACACCATAATCGAAAGTGGTGATGGAGTGAGTACCAGTTCGACTTCGAATGCGCGGATTTCCCTCCCCTCCCCAGTCCTCGCACCGGGGAAAATGGTGCACAAAAAGACACAATAGCCAGTTGGGCGCTTCGAGACCGCTTCCCCTCAATACGGTGGACCGACTTCCAATAGAGGATTTGGGGGGTGCTGGGAAAGTGAATAGGGCCTGAAATCCGCCCGAATTCCCGACTTTTCAGCCCTCGTGTTTTCGAATATGGCAAAAAAAACACGATGAAAAATTGTCTATGAAACCCGGACTCCCGCGCGCCAATATTTCTTGTCCCAGTGTTGCCAGCGATCGTTTCCGGGGGCTCCAATCTACACGCTGAATCTTGGCTCTTGGCTCGGCATCAAAATCGGCTGCGACGTAATGCCACCTTGAAGACGGCATGAATCAAAAAAAGCCAAGTCACAGAATCTGCGTTTTAATACGAATAAGCCAATTATCGATTTGTTTTTTAATCCAAAAACTAGCAAACCGCAAAAGAAGTAGTTATAGCCTCTGAAGCAAAAACCGGACTGCTAAACGTATCGAAAAAGCTTGAAATAAAAACTCTCAACTTTTTGACGCAAAGAAAAAGTAATGAAATAGCAGCTTATCGCTAATTTGACGTCATTTAAAAGTATCGAAAAACTGGAATGCACAGCTTTTTGCTTTTTTATAACAGAACAGAGCCGAAATGACAGCTTCTAAAACCGAAAACAGGCTTGTAAGGGTATCTAAAAATCATGAATTCAGAGCTTTCGGGTTTTCGAGGCAGCCAGAAGGAAAAATAATAGTTTCTAAAGGTAGAATTAAACCTTTAAAGTTCCCGAAAAAGCCCAAATCCGTAGCTCTTGACTTTTTAGAAACGTAAAGAGCTAAAATGGCAGCTTCCATAGTCAAAATTCAACTTTTAAAGGGACAGAGAATGATGTAGCTAAAAAACTGCTGTCGTTTTCAAAACAGAAAATTTTTATTACTGCAAAATCTCCTCAATAATCCCCTGAATAATCATTAATACATCATAAACACGATCCCTCTGCCCCCGCCAGGTCGAAGGGGGATACTCGCCGAAAAAATGGGGAATGCGGGCTAGGGCAGGTTCGCGAATGGCCGCAGGGCTGATCCCGTCGCCCACCACCCAGGACGGGGGGGGAGAAGCGCCAATTGCGGAATCATTTCTTTCGTCCTTCTGTTTCTTTTTCTCCTCGTACACCGCTGAATCTCCCGGCGAAAAGCCGCCTGTGCTCCTGCTGTCATCTCTGGGGTCTGCCAGGATGAAGCTGAGGCGGGCTGTTTGAGGGAGCGGCGGCTGGAGAACTTGAGGTTGATAGTGGTCCAGGTGGCATGTCAGAAGGATTTGCGGGGAATGGTGATGTAAACAAAATGGTGCTGGTGCGTTAGCGGGGGGGGGGGGAGGGCTGGTCCGTAGGACTCTGAAATGGAAAAGAAGCTATCTTTACAGCATTTTATGCCCTTTCTAACTGTAAAAAACTTATTAACATTGGGGGCAAATCGTATTTTTCGTCCACAATATGCCCAACGACTCAAATTTCAAATTCTAAATTTTCTAAAAAGTTTTTATAACTTTTTAGTAACCGGAAATCTTAAAAACAATAAAAATGGGCGCAGTTTTCTTGCTATGCAGAGTAGGATGAATAAAGGAACTCGGTCCCACCCCCGCTAATGCAGCAGCACCTCGACAGCGCTTCCAAGTGGAAAAACCAGTTAAAAAAACTTTAAAACTGCCCAAAAATATCTAGGTATGAGCGCAAATCGACGAAGTTTGGTCGAAAAATCGAAGTTTTAGTAGCTCTGCAGAACCTTTGTAGCCTTTTTTTACGCTTGGGAATAGTAAAAAACAGTCACTATCTTAATGCTAGCAAAAGTGGATTCTATGGAATCTGGAACCCCCCTCCTCCCCCCGCTAACAGTACAGATTCGAAAACCTTGTTGTTTTTCTCTTGCGGTCTGACGCTGACCGGAAGCCCCTGGGTTATCCTAACCCCCCCCAAAACCCACCAGAATCACCCTAAAACCCCCGAACCCCAAGCAAAAAATATCTGGGCTGATGCGCGAAGATAGCGGGCAGAAAGAATTGCGATGGCTCGGGGGCGAAGCGGGGACTGCCAGTCGGGCGCTTCCTCCCTCCACAGGAGAAACGGGTTTTGACCCTAGTGGCGGGGAGGAAGAGACTGGATTACTCCAAAATCCCGCCGCCTCCGACCTCTTACTGTCTCCTCTTCTACCCTTCGCTTCTCCCCCCTACCATCACCCCTCCTCGATCCTCAAAATCTCTGGTGCGAAATGGGGATCGGGGAGGAGGAGCAAGGAGGTCGAAGAATGGTTGGCGGGTGATCAATGTTTTTCGTTGCCATAAATCGAATCAAGGAAAGGCTGGCAGGTCTATTTCCAGAAAAACCACAACGACATTTGAACCCGAAAATTAAAGAAGCCCGCACGGTTGTAGTAATATATGAGACTTATCTCTCAGAGTTTTGGCCTCAAAATATCACTAAAAATTTTTGTGAAAACCCATTTTTCATAGTATAATAAAGTGTTTTTTTTACTGTTCCTAAACGACTAACATTTGAAAATGTCAAACCTTTTATAGGCTTTCTAATTACTTTTTTCCGTCGAACTAAGTTAACCTTAATCAGACAATACTTTATATATAAAGCTTAAAAGGCCGTTTGCGAGCCACCCGAACTAGGCTTGGCACAGTCTGTTTTTCGACCCCACTTTTTTGACGCCATCGGATAGAGCATGGTCGAATTAGTGGGACTGCATAGTTTTGAAAGTTTAAAAAAGTTTAATTTGGGGGTTTAAATGGACGTTGAAGTTGCAGACCCCCAAAAATTATCTTGGAAGTTACTTAACCAAATTCGCTGAAAATTTGTGCCAATACCTAATTTTGGACGGGGATCATTTCTCTAATACATTGCAAAGCGTGAAAATGGCCGGAACATAGGAATCTCGCGTACACAAAACAGTTTTTGGAGATTTTCGTTGTGAAGGGTTGTTGGCTGCGCGCTGTAAATAGCATAGAAAGATGCGCAAAAACTTTCTGCATCGAATGGTGTATCATTTAGCGCGCAGACAGTAACCCTTCATTTTGGAAAAAAGCGCTTTTTAAGGGAAAACAAAAGAAGAAAAATTCGAATATTTATGAAAAACAAAACATGGACTCCCGTCTAAAGGGTCCAACCGCACGATCGCAAAAAGAGCAAAAGAAATTCGTCTTTTGAGAGGGTGCGGGGATTGAACTCGGGTCGTTCGCCTGGGACGGGCGCCCATGCGCCGCCTGTCCCAGTGCCATCGCCGGGTTCGATCCCGTAAATCGTCAGTTCCGGGTGGGAAGGGAATTTCTTTTTGCTCTTTTTTTGCAATGGATACAGTTTTATCTTTAGACCCCATCCCCGTTTCCGTTTTTCAAAATATAACCGCGAACCTGGGAGTTACAGCTTTTCTCCTGCTCCCGTAAAAAAATCGGGTTTTTTGAATATGAAGGGTTACTGTCTGCGCGCTAAATAATACACCATTCGATGCAGAAAGTTTTTGCGCATCTTTCTATGCTATTTACAGCGCGCAGCCAACAACCCTTCACAACGAAAAACTCCAAAAACTGTTTTGTGTACGCGAGATTCCTATGTTCCGGCCATTTTCACGCTTTGCAATGTATTAGAGAAATGATCCCCGTCCAAAATTAGGTATTGGCACAAATTTTCAGCGAATTTGGTTAAGTAACTTCCAAGATAATTTTTGGGGGTCTGCAACTTCAACGTCCATTTAAACCCCCAAATTAAACTTTTTAAACTTTCAAAACTATGCAGTCCCACTAATTCGACCATGCTCTATCCGATGGCGTCAAAAAAGTTGGGGTCGAAAAAACTGTGCCAAGCCATATTGGGGTCCGTTCGGGTGACCCGCGGACGGCCTTTTAAAGGGATGCCGACGGCATAGTCAATCGTCTGCGCCTCTCCCCTGGGCGCGCTCTCTGCCCTGTTGGCTACTTGCCAATTTGTTGATGAGGGGGGATCGACACATGCCGTCGGCAGCCCTTTAAATTTTAAATAGTCCATTTAAAAAACTAAAATACTTACGAATGCTAGGCTTAGTAAAAAGCTCATTATCCCCCCCTTTATAAAAACGGATGCAAGGAATTTGTAAGGAACAAGCTGCTGATCTGCCCTGGTACAACATGAAATTCTAAGGATGTCTTGGATTCAGCAGATCGAGGAGTTTTTTGCACCCGCTAATCGAATAGCTAAAAATCAACATGTCAGTCTCCCGCCACCATGCTTCCAGCCCGAAAAGAGCTATACCCCCATCGATATATACCCGTTTTCGCTATCCGATGCCGTGGCCGAGATCGAAATAGTTTTCGCCCGCGGGGGCGGACTTTCCCAGGACAGGAAGGGGTTCTTCGACCGAGGCGGTGAGCCGTTCTCTAGTCTTGATCCTCCTATAGATATGAGCCAAAAGGTCTGGTGGCCTGGATAGAAAAAAAGCAGCTCAAGCTCACAAAACCGAAACCTATATAAAAACGAAAAGGAAAAAGAAAAAATCAAAATTTTCTTGAAAAATTCCGTAACTGTACTAATGCCTGTGTACGATCCATACAAATGACATAATTGCGGATTATACGGAATGTTTCCGTCAGAATTTCTTTTTTGCACGTCCTTTTTCCGAAATTTTACATCTTCCAAATTTGTTCAAACTATTATTTTGATTTTGATTAATTACTTGTTTAGGCTGTGATTGCGTAACGGCGTGCACTGCAATGAACCGCCAATTTAATCTAACGGTATCTGGATGTTTCTATTTTTCTAAATTATTTTAGGATACTCGCCACTACCTTCGCAAGCGGTTTTGCTCGCAAAAGGACGAGCTCAACTCCGGCAAGACATACCTGGCCCTGAAGGAACACGAGAGGAGAGCCGTCGGTCGCAATTACGTGGCCTGCAAGGTTTCTTTCATCGTCATTTGGGAAACTATGTTTTTAGAATGTCATGCCTCGGCTCGCTAAACCCGAAGTGGAGAAGTGCAAGCTGGAGCTGAAGGACGAATTCGTACGGAGTTGATCGCCAAGCTGTGATTGGTGTTTTTAGAAAGTCTGCTACAAGCTCCGTCCTCCGGTTGCCAGGCTGCCCGAGCCTAGCAAAGCCTCCGCGAGCGATCTCGAACAGGGCTATGACCCAAAGATGGTAACGGAAGCATGGTATTCATTCACTTCTTTCCAGTTGACGGACGATTATCTGCTGACGGCTTTGATGCAGGCGCCCCCTGTGCAGATGACGCCGATGAAGCCGTCTCCCAGCGCTTGTTCGACACCGAAAACCACGCGTGGTAGCCGTCAATGGCACGGTAGCGTCGGCAAGACTGTTCTGATGCACCGCAAGCGCGACAACCCGGCTTCCAAATTAATTCAGGAGGTAATTTGGCGTTTTTGGGTCTTTGTTCGCTCCTGGAAATAATAAACTTACTCATCGGGGACCATTATTCTAAGATAGATAGAGGAGGTGTTTTAGGCTTTTCTACTATTCTGAAACGATAAGACTACTAATTTTCTGGAGAAAATCCAAAATTCGGTCTTTCAACCGTACTGTTAAGTTCTTCCAAATACAGGGTGTCCCAATAAAAAAGGTCACGCTGGCAGTTTGCTATTTCAAATCCGATGGACTTGAAATTTTGCACCGAGGTGCGGAAGGGAATTCAAAATGTTCACAGAAACTTTCAGCCCGATCGGTACAGTAGTTTTCGAGTTATTGTAAAAATACTGTTTTTCCCACACTTTAGCTTCATTTTTTCGCTATCTTTTTGGACTTTGCATCAATTAACATAAATTTCCGGCTCGAAATCTCTTAATCTTCTTAACATCGGCGTCGTTAGCCCTTGTTAAAAATACTTAAATAGCCTATTTTCGACCCGAATTTTGCGAAATAAAAAAATTCCTAGGATAAAAAAGGGTCGGCGCTTCATTTTCTCCATACATTCCAGGGCTCAATTCCAGCGGAATCCAGGTTAAACACGTAAAATAAAGTTTATTTTTGCTATAACTCGAAAACTACTGTACCGATCGAGCTGAAAGTTTCTGTGAACATCTTGAATTCCCTTCCGCACCTCTGTGCAAAATTTCATGTCGGTCGGATTTGAAATAGCAAAACGCCAGCGTGGCCTTTTTTTATTGGGACACCCTGTAGTTTTTCCACTTGGATATCGCTAATTTTCTGAAAAAAAGTTTTTTAGCTTCTTGGGATGATGTTACTGGGCGTATTGGATTCCGCTGGGAATCCTAAAAATCGTCTGTTTAAATCATCGACCTTTTTTTTTAGTCAGAGCCCGAGCGTGGCCAGCCGCTCTACGCCCGTCGCGGTATTCCCGTCAGCAGTTTGAAGATTTCGTCTAGCCCGAAGAAGAACTGGGCCCAGTACTCGCCGTACAATCTGCGTTCGGCCCAGCGCAACAGCCATCTCCAGCGCCTGAACACGGCCAGCCCGAGCAGCATTGACTCACCGTCGGGAATGCTCGCTAAAAACGTTGCCGAGGTATCATATTAGCAAGAACGGAACGCTTCCTTTTAGTTCGCTCTGCAATCTCCCGTCACGACGCCGTCAATCCGCACTGGCAAGTCGGGCTCGGCCAACTTCTTTTTCGGAGACACTGCCGAACGCAACAGCAACCACTTGATTTAGTATGCAACCCCTTGCACCATGCATGTTTGTTAATGCATTTATTGTTGACCCTTTATCACCCCCAACCCTTGCTTGCTTTTTTCTAAAAGAACTTGCCCATTAATTTCTCAACTTTTAATAGTTGTACAGAATTTTGATACCCGCCCCCGTTATTCACCCAAATTTGTTGGAGAGCCAGTTGGCCAATAAAGTTATGCATTATCAGGGCCTGTGTTTGGGTGATGGCTGTGAATTACGCGTTGTTTTGCATCAGATGAGTGATTTTCTAAACAACGATCCATTGAGATTTTTATTCACATTTCATAGGCGCATCACAATTTACTCATAGCGTATTGTACCAAATTAGGAAGATATTGAATGGAATTGGCTTCACGTGGAGGTGCCTGCAACGTCAGCCGCAATCGTCTCAGCAAGTTGATTCTCTGCCTCGATTTCGCTGAAAAAAATATTGCAGCTTCATCAGAAAAAAATACCTAATTATCTCCGTGTAAATCTCCATAAACGCGTCCTGGTTGTAGCGGCAAAAATGTGTGAAGTGTTGCTTCAAAGCTCGCAATTCCTGCTGCACCGGCTCGAGGACGGAAGGTGGCTTCTACATAGAAAGAAGGATAAGCGTTGAAATTGAAAGGGAGGCCTACCACATCTTCTCCTTCTGCCAACAGCCTTTCAAGCATCAACGAAACCCGTTCATCTAAACCAGGACTAAAGCAAATGAGTGTAGACGAACGAATTAGATTCCTAACGGCGTTGTTGGGGTCGACGAGAGCACGGATCTAAAGAATGGGAACGTCAGATATCGCATCCCAAAAATTTTACCTGGGCCTTGAGTTCTGCGAAACGCTGCGCTGTGATGGCGATATCATTGGCGAGAGCATAATCCTGGACTTCCCGAACGGACTCTTCAGCCAGAAGCTCCAGCACGTGAGGCAGATTGCTGCAAGAAAGAAATAATCCTGCCAAAAACCATAAACAAACTCAAAATCGATATCGTTGGAGATGATGATGAGCTTGTTCTTCAGGTTAACCGCATCATGTTTCAGATATTCCTTCCCGGCCACGTTGATGGATATCTAAAGAAATTATTGATTTGATGGAAAACTAGGAGCTACCGATAGAGCTGCAGTGCAGATGGTCATCTGAAGGAATTTTTCGGCATACCCAGCGATCCGCATCATGTCAAAGAGAAGCGTCTCCGGGATAGCCTGCAGTTTTCCGGATTGGATCAATCTAAACAGGCATTAGAAAATGTACATCACTAACTTGACATATCCACGACTCGTTATTCGACGAGTTTTAGCCTGAGGGGTCTCAGGTGTTGCTGAACTTGCCGAAGGTGGATTCTTGTCCGCCTCTTTCACTGCCAGTGTCAACCACCTTCTCAGATGAACATCCCCGCCTAATTATGGTGGAGGTTCTAAAAACAAAGCTGTACCTACCATCGGCCCGTTTCTTCTCAAACCACTCACGCTCGTTCTTCTGAGCATCAGTTACCAGCATTTGGCGCGTGGCTTTGATCAAAAAGTTGGTGATGTCGAGGTCGATTAGGTCCAACATTTCGAAGATTTTCCTAAAAGAAGACGGTTTAGGGGGCTGTCCGCGGATCTTAATTTTTCCTTACCTAAAACTTTGCATAAAAAAACGCAAAAAATAAGAATGTTTCTATAAAAAACCAATGACTTTCGACCAAAATAACAAAAAATAGTAAAATTTTCTCCAATTTTTGCTGATTTTACGTAGTTAAATTTCACTAAAAACACTACTAAAATGCCTGCTATTTTCTCACTAGGTGAGCAAAACTGGACTCGACTTATGAGGAAATATTCCTGTCCCCCCACCGATAATGCCAAAGAACCGAAGATATACCAATTGCCGATAGTCTATCTTACTTCAAGGCTTCTATCATATTCGTTTCTTTGCGGAGTTCAACAACCTTCTCATCACGTACGGGGGCACAAAGCCGCGAAAGAACATCGGCGATCCCATTGACCGTCCCTGAAGCGCCACCGATTTATAGTCACACAAAAAACCGACGTTTCATATCGAACCTCCCAGATTTTATCTGATCCTTCAACTCGTCATCATCGATCACGTCCTTCAGCTTATACCAGATCGTCTGCGCCCCATGACTTTTCGACGTGCGGAAGATGAGCTTGCTGCGGATGAACTGAAACGCTTTATAGGTTCGCATAAAGACGACGTCCAACCTCTTTGATATCTAACAGCACGTTGAAGGCGTAGTTATAATTGGGCGGGTTGCTGCTCAAATCTTCCTTCAACAAATCCCAAAATGCCACTTTGCATTGCTTTTCGACCACTTCTTCCAATGGAGTCTTCGGGATGTCTTCGATCTCCAAATAATCTAGTTTTCTTGCTAAAAAATTTACCTTGAAATTCGGGTCAAGCGCCGCCTCGTGCATGATGAATATATCCATCGTACAGTTCGTCTGCTTGAGGAGTTCCTTGAAGCGTGAGAGGTATTTTGGTGGAGCGGTTGCTGAAAAAATGTTTTTTTACGAAAATCGCGCAAGCTTACGTGGCACCCATGCCATATCCTCTCGTCGGAACGCAGGGCTAGCAACAGCTGAAGTACTGGGCCCAGGCTGCGACGATGTACTCGGTCCTGGACTTGGTGAGCGGCGCCGGGCTGGCTCCGATTCCACATCGTCAGTCTTCTGACGCTTAGCTGCTGGTGGGCGAACGTCTTCGGATGAAGTTCTAAAGTGCTTAGGGTTAGGCTTAGGCTGCTTAGGGACTTATGAGAGTTATGACACGATCATATAAAAATTAGCGGAAAACCTACACAACTGCAGCTTCAGTTTGTTCATCTTCGGCCTCACTGTTCAGCGCAGCCATTTTCGCAACATTATCATCAGCAACGGAGGTTGGATCGTCGTTCCCTGTCGGCTTATCGACTTCCTTGCTCTTATCTTCAACGTCCATTTAGGCCTGAAAGTTGTGATGAATAGAGCGAAGGTATCACTGGAAAAACCGGAAGTATTTTCGATTTACTAGCCCGTTCGATGGTGATCAGCTGTCAGATCTTTTTCTTCTTTCGCTCCCTAACAGCCGGTACAAAGAGGTGGTGCGTAGCCCCCTAAGTGGGAACACAACCCTTTCGACACACACCACATGCATCTGCCCCTCTCCCTCTCGTTTGCCAACCATGAAGCTCCCGAGAGTGAGCCTTGTTTCCTCACGTCATGTCTCTCTCATTGAGCCCCATCTCGCGCTCCATTAATTATTGATGCTCCGCTCCTCTCGATTATTTTTAACGGCTTGTATAGATAGTTAAAGCGCTCGAGCAAACTTGTAAAGTTCGAGCTTTCGGGTGTTCGAGTGATAGAGCAAATTTGGAGCTCGACTAGCTATAAAAAGGCTATTTAATAAGACTTTATGGCGATTTTACGAAGTAGACCAGCTAAAATGCCCGGTTTTAATTATAACATCGCAGAGTTGAAATGAATTTAACAAAATTCTAAAAATTGAAATGATACTAACCAACCTAATCATAAATCATTTATCGATTGAGCTTCTCAAATTTGCTCGCATTCTCGAAATCTAGAAATTGCCTTAATTTTAACAAAAACTCGATTCAGGATAACTAGGCAATGCGATGAGCGCCAGAATTTTTGCCGCCTTCTTCTTGGTCTCGACCACAAGCCTCCTGCCGTCGAATCTCTTCCAAAATGCGCACGAAGTAAAGTGAAACACCGCTGCGCTTATAGTTCGTTTCAGTACTTTTATTATAAGCTGCGCAACGTCACGACAGGAAATCTCACGGAATGGGGTATGGCTTTCGAAATTTTGTTTCTACCTGCGGATTTAGATGATGGAGAAGAAGCGGAACAAACCCACCTCCAGCACGTTTTCGAAGGATATGTGGCTTTCTGCGGTGGTGTGCTGAACATTGTAGGAACTTTTATAAACGTCCTGGCGACGAACAGGTAAACCGATGGCGTGATTCCTAGACTTCTTTTCAGCGTCTCAAATTATACACGAGTAATCACGGGGCATATCATATGCCTGGCCGCGTTTGTACCAACGCTATTCCTGGCGTTCACCAACACTGATCTCTGTACGGAAAACCGTATTAATTACATAGTCCTTTAGGGCAAATTCCGTTCTTTTGGTTGTCGATGGGTCTCGCTGGTGTCGCGTCTTTCGGATCGATTGGCTTGATAGGTGGCGGTATTACCGGACTTGCCGTGACGTTCCCGGAGATTTACGTGAGGAATTATTGCCTGATTCAAATAGTGTTTAGATGAAAGCCGTAATGTTGGGACAGGCCGCTGCAGGCGTATTTTCGGCCGGGCTGTCGCTTGCGTGCCAGGTAAGCAATAGAATCGAGATATTTATGGAGAATTACTTTAGGCATTTGCCAGCGATGATCTTGTCAACGGCAAGGTTTACTTTTCGATTGCCATCGTATGGTCAGCCCTCAGTGTGCTGGCATATATGTTCTTGATAAAATCAAGGCTTGCAAAGGAGATTCAAGCCAGGTAATGGATCGTCAGGAAAAAGGCTCAAATCAATAGACGAACGTTGATTGTAAGTCCAAATTATTTAGGCTTACGGGGGAGGATGAAGAGTCTTTGATTGACGAGGACGTCGATGCAGAAGAACAGATGATCACTTCCATTACGCCAATGGAAAGCATTGGGATCGCCGACGCATGGCGTGACGTTTTTGACCACGTAGGGTTGACAAAAGTGGCAGAATATCGAGCGTTTTAGGTTGGAAATGAGCTGATCACTACAGCTTTGGTGGTTGGTGTCACACTTTCGGCATTCCCGGCCGTCGCCTCACAAGTCGCCACCGAATCTCACAATGAGAAATGGCAACGTAGGTTTAAAGAATCGGGCGCTTGACTCGAAGTTTTCAGGATATTTCGCGGCTGTTTATTGTTTCCTCGTGTTCAACCTGGGCGACGCGCTGGGCCGAGTAATCGGTAGTGTGGTGTCGATGGTGCGTCATGTAATCCTCCACAACCACGCAATTTCTAGGGCCGTAACACAATGTTGTGGCTGTCGGTATCCCGGCTGTTATTCCCCTTATTGCTCGCGCTATGCAACGTTCATCCGAGGCTTCATCCGGCTCTGACGATATTCCCATCAGATGGGATGTTCCTTATGATAATGGTGGTGTTCGGGGTATCAAACGGGACTTTACTAACTGTCGCGGGCGTCGGTTTGAATCGGTGAGTTTTTGGACCACTCTGAAGAATTATATTTTTTAGTTATGTCCCCCCAGAGCTGCAGGAAGTCTCTGGAAGCATGCTAGCCCTAATGGGCGCCACTTCAGCACTTATTGGCTCATTGATTGGCTGCGTGCTCATTGGAATTGTTTGATTTTCATCCCGTCAAATGCTCTGAGAGAGCTCTGTACATTCCCCAAAACCAATGTATTTCTGATGCTCAATGGATTGTGATAGGTACTAACGATACTAACTGGTACTGCCTACAGACTGGTATTTCTTGCCATATAATAACTAGAAAACCACTTAATAAACTGATTTTGGACTTTTTGGGGTTGGTTTTGTGACTGCCGTTGACCGCGGTGACGTGTCGGTTTATCGCATTTTTTTTTGCTTCGCACCTCTATATTGATTTCTTTCCGTCTGGCATCCAGGCAAAAAGTTGGCTGGCCGAATTTCATGTTTCGTGCTTGATCTTTTTGAACTTCAATCTTCTGAGGCAGCTCTTATCCATATTTTTCGCCATTCTTTTCCCGGTCTATCGATTTCTCGTGCTCCATTTTCTATTTGCTTCTTCGTTCTCAGTTTTCTTTTTTTTGTTTGGCTCCAACACTTCTCAATTTCCTTTCCAGGTGCACGCCCTCCCTCAAACAACAACAACGCTGACACTGACAAGAGCGCCGTTGCATGCGCTACAGCCGACTCGCTACGTGTGAGGCGGAAGCGGACGAGGCAACGGCTCTCCTCCGCGACGCACAATCTTCTGGATCCATGGGAGACGAAGTGGTTGGTTTATCTAATGAAATTAAGTTTGGTTTTGATTTCGATTCCGCTCAATCGATTTCGTTACTCGACGATCTTTTAAGCCCATCCTGATGCTCTTCGCTAGTTTTTGATTGCTAAAAAGCCATAATGACTTTTTTAAAAACTAAAATTGTATTTTTTTGATATGACAGTAGGCAAAAACTACGTCCCCGCTAACAGTCCAATACCATTGATTGCTATCTGCCACAAAAATATTCACAAATTTTGATAGATATTTTTGCAGAACCTGGAGAGCGGCTCATCCGGCGACGAGGTCCATCTTCTGCCAGCCCCATCCGTGTCCGGCTCACGCTGCGGCATGATGGGGTATGTTTGCCGGGCTGCTCGGGCTATTCGCGTCTATTCACCCCACCGCCTTTATCGATAGTGACGAATCAGCTGTTGAGACGCAAATATTTACTGCTAGCGCTTTGCTCGTGGTGTGGGGGGAAGTCGGGGCATCATTTTCGTCTTGCCCATTTATTGGGGGGCGTTTTGACGGCTAGTTAGTAGGAAGCTATTTTTTTGCGCTCTCCGGTGTAGGGAGGGAAGTCGCCGCAGGCTTTGACCCGCCGGCGCTCTCGATCTTTGTTTACATTTTCGCATCTACTCCACGCGATGCGCGACCCGCCCCAAAGCGGAACCAACGCACGCTGGCTGCGGACGAATTGATCAGGCTGTCGCGAGAATCGGCCATGGAATGGGCTTTCACTTACTATTTTCTCTTGTTTTAGTCGTGGAGTTATCATTTTGTTCCATCGAAAAAATTTCAGGCATTAATTTAGGACTTTTTTGCTAATTTAGGATTTCACGACCATTTAACAATTAGAAAAGTTTAGAACTGCCTGTGACATTGACCACGGAATAGACTTTGACTTACTTTTGGAGGCTGGTCGTCAATGCCGAAGATTCGATGCGTAACGATGAGTGGCTCCGAAAACTAAAATTTTTTAATTTAGAGGTTTGGAAATACCATTTATTGATGAGATAGAAAACCCTCAGTTAATCCCATTAATTTTTCTGGTAGCTGACTAGGAGCATTTATAAAAAATAAAGGTGTCAATGCGGCACCTGCACCTGCTCAATTTTTTCGGCTCGGCGCCCTTGTTTCCCTGGTGACATGCGGGCTTTCTTCGCCTCCCCCACCCAACATTTTAGGTGAAGCCCCATGACGAATAATGCCCGCACGGGGCTTCAAAGCATTTTCGATTTTACAACGCTTTTAGACCTTCAAAACCGATTTAAAATTTCGATTCCTTGTCAGTCGATAGCGATTTTTCCGACCCGAACTCTAACCCATCCAAGATTTGCTCTCGCGAAACACCTGATTAGCGCAGCTGGGATGGGTTGCTTTGCGCGGAGAAACGTCCTGCAGCTCGGCCAAACCCTCTCCCTTCCAGCGTTCTCTCAACACTCCCACCACACCATCCATCGCCCCCTTCCATCCCCATGAGAGACTGTCCACCCCCGTATTTGGGAGTATGTTCGTGTGTTCGCCGTGCTTCTCTCTTTCTCTCCCCCATCCTACACCCACGAGGTTTATGGCTGCGACGACCTTGTTGCCGCGGATCCGGCCTTCTATGCACTGCGGGGCAGCCGCGCAGCCCTCCACCCTCGTTCGCTAGTACTTCCCGCCAGTATTTTTATATAGGTTTACGTTATTTTAATTCGTTTTTATAGTACCTTTTTGCTGGTGTCATCGCATTGCTCTTTTCGACGCGGTTGTTGCGTTGGAGCGCTGACACCCTGAAATCCTTACATACTTTAAATCGACTTCCGTTTTTCTTTAGTTTTCCAGGGTCGATCTGGCGAATTTTTCCCATAGATCAAATTTTTTTCGCCTTGCAACGTAATAGCCAGTATTTAATCATCTTTTTCTTCAAGTTAACTGTAATTCGTGGGGAAAGCTTTAAAGAACTTTGAGTAGTATTTGAAAGTTTCAATTTTGTTGGAGAAATTCCGGGTTTTTGGAGTTTTTAGAGCATTTTTAGAATTGTTACGTTTAGGATTTGTTAAACACTAGAAACCCTGTAATTACATTCATAAAAAAAGGATGATAAGGGGAAAATGTTTTTCTCCTTGGAAACGCTAAAGGAAAGACTTGCGTTTTTGAGATAGGAATCCTTTCTCACCCTCACGCCCCCAAAACGTCATCCAAAACTTTTCGTGAGGCCTTTGTTATATGTTTTGTCTGGTCCTTCTCCCATCGATAGTTTACTTCACGAGCCTTTTCATCCTAAAAATTTTTGAAAAATTGGCCGCTGCCGATAATTCCCAATGCTGGCATTCCCCGGCTTCTCCCCCCACAATGGGATTTTCCACCCGTCGCGGCACGCTGGTTCAACACCGGCCCAGCCTGGCGCTTCTTCCTGGCGAAATTGGATTCACATCGATTGATTCCTCCCAATTCGACCCCACGGAAATTGCGAGTAGCCGTCTAATTTGGGGTTTCCCGCTGAGTCACGACGGAAACTAGTTTTCCTTCTCTTATTTCCGCTGGGGGTCAGAACCGACCGGCAATCGATGCCAACGGTTGGCAAATTTGTATAATCCTATTCCCCCTCCCTGCAGTTCTGAAAACATTGCCTTGTTTTGATCATTCTTTTATCAGTCCTCGTTTTCATGCATTTTCAAGCAACCACCTGACTTCTAGCTTTTTCTCGTCATCCCAGCCGCAGCCTCTCACTAAACCCTATGTGAAGAAAAGGCAAAATGCGGGGCTCGGCATCAATGGAGGATGATATTGTTTCTCTCGAGATTTCTATGGATACAGCTACCACCTCAGCCGGTTCAGCCATGTCCCTGGCTGAGCGGAGAAATAAGGGGGCTTCTCTGAAAAGTAACGCAACCGCGTACACCATCAAAAAATCAAGGCAAGGCGTTAAAAATTAGCGCTATTTTCAATGGGCAGGGTTTTCTATTTTTATACCCCTTACTAAAAAACAATTTTCAGATGCTGTTCGTCATTATTTGGCCGTCGTCGTGTCCTCCATTCGCGAACAGTCCGGATCGGATATGGCCCCCTACTCACCGGCGCGGGCTCATTTTCTCCGAACGTCGTCTGCAACCAGAAATATAACATATTTAGCTTTATCCCACTGGTTTGGAATCATCAGCTGGCTCATCATTGCTTTAGGTCTTATTTCAACAATTCAAATTCTTCCTCAACCTCTACTTCCTACTGATGGCCTGTACACAATTCATCCCGGCGATCCAGATCGGCTCGCCAATCACGTATTGGGGGCCTTTGGTAAGAGTTGCCTAAAATTTACCATTTTCCTGAATTTAGGGCTTTGTATTGACCATTACACTGATCCGAGAAGCGCTTGACGATTTCGTCCGCTTTATTCGTGACAAGGAGATGAATGGCGAGAGATATGAAAGACTGACGCGGGATGGACTGAGAAAAGAGATCAGAAGCTGGTAAGCTGGATCTTTGCTTCGAAACGGGTTCTTTTTAGCGATATCCAAGTCGGTGATGTCATCGTCGTCCACAAGGACCGGCGAATTCCGGCTGACGTTGTGTTGCTGAGAACGACGGAAAAGTCTGGCGCCTGCTTTATTCGAACCGATCAACTGGACGGAGAAACTGACTGGAAATTGAGGGTGGCAGTGCCGGCGACGCAACATGTACATAATGAAGCTGTAAGTTTTTCTATGAGGTTCCAAGCTAGCCTTTTCTTTCGACGATCTAAAACCCAACGCTGAAGGATTCTTTGGAAACTGTTATTTTTAGGACATCATGGAGCTGAACTGTGAGATCTACGCTGAGAAGCCGCAAAAAGACATTCACGCCTTCGTCGGAACCTACAAGATCACGAACGAGGACGGGACGGTTGATGGATCGCTGAACGTTGAAAATGTGCTCTGGTCTAATACAGTCTTGGCTTCCGGAACCGCTGTTGGAGTTGTGGTAAGTCCTCGATTTCCAGCATTAATTTCATAATTTTAGGTCTACACTGGTCGCGAAACCCGTTCCGTCATGAACACAACGTTGCCCGAATCGAAAGTTGGACTGCTCGACCTCGAAGTTAACAACCTGACCAAAATCCTCTTCCTGTTCGTCGTCGTGCTTTCGGCGGTGATGGTGGTCATGAAGGGGCTGGACACCTATTGGTAACTTATTTTTGACGCTGCTTTTTAACCGTGGTTTAGGTATCGCTATTTGATGAGGTTCATCCTTCTCTTCTCCTACATCATCCCGATCTCACTGCGCGTCAACTTGGATATGGCCAAGGTTTCGTTTGTTACTTTTCATGTTCATATTCGTTTAGCTTTTCTACTCTTGGCAGATTGGCCGCGATAAGCACATTCCCGACACGGTCGTCCGTTCATCTACCATTCCCGAAGAGCTGGGCCGGTAGCCATTGAATTCATTAGTTAAAGCTGTTTTTAGCGTGAGCTACTTGCTGAGTGACAAGACTGGAACGTTGACGAAGAACGAGATGCATTTCAAGAAGGTCAGTAGTGGAAACTCAATTTTCAAATATAAAAAAATTCAGATTCACTTGGGCACCGTCTCATTCTCATCGGACGCTTTTGAAGAAGTGGCCAAGCACGTGCTCAGCGGCTACGCGGGAAGGACCGGAAAACACTCGTTCAGCGCCAAGTTGCAGGTTTGACAGGCATTCGAATCCTTTATGCGGGTTTTCAGACGGCTGTTGAAGCCATCGCCCTCTGCCACAATGTGACGCCGATTTTCGAGCACGGCCGTACGAGCTACCAGGCGGCCAGCCCCGATGAGGTGGCCCTCGTGAAATGGACGGAACAAGTCGGCGTTCGCCTCTACACCCGCGATCTGCAAACGATTCGACTGCAACTGCAAGATGGCACTGAACGGTTGTACCACATTCTGCATCTTTTCCCGTTCACCTCGGAGACGAAGCGGATGGGCATTATTATCAGGGTATGGATTTTTGGTTCGGTTCTCTATCCACTGTTTTTTTCTTGTTTTGAAAAATCGATCAAAAAAAATCCGAAAAGTCAAAATGACCCTTTTTCGACCATAATTCCATACTTTTCGTAATTTTTTCTATTCAGTTTTTCCACCCAAGAGGTTAAAATTCAGTCCCACGGGTTTTGTGAACATCGTGTTTAGGATGATACTACTGACGAAATCACGCTCTACATGAAGGGAGCCGACACCGTCATGGCAGAGATGGTTCAGTACAATGACTGGCTGGAAGAGGAATGCAGTAATATGGCGCGTGAAGGTCCGTTTCCTTAGCTTCTTCAGAATCTTGGGATTTTTTTAGGACTCCGCACTCTTGTTGTGGCCAAGAAAGTGCTTTCCCTTGCTGAATACGAGGCTTTCGACAAGGCTTACCACCAGGCCAAGATGACGGTCAGCGATCGAACGGAAAACATGGGCAACGTCGTGAATCGGATGCTGGAGAAAGATCTGCAACTGTTGTGCTTGACTGGTGTCGAAGACAGGCTTCAGGTATCCAAAATAAACATTTCCAGACAATCCGATTTAGGACCAAGTGACGACCTCCTTGGAGTTGCTCCGCAACGCTGGCATCAAAATCTGGATGTTGACCGGCGATAAGCTGGAGACGGCCATCTGCATCGCCAAGTCGAGCGGGCTATTCAGCAAGGCGGACACGGTTCACGTATTCGGACAGGTTGGTCCCGCTTTGCTTTCAAACATATCTTTATGTGTATTATCTTCATTACATTAACTCATTTTTATTTCTTATTTAGGTCCAAAACCGAACCGAGGCTCACAATGAACTGAACGCCTTGCGACGAAAAAGCGACGTGGCCCTGGTCATGTCCGGAGCCGCGCTGAATGTCTGTCTGCAATACTATGAAGCTGAGGTAAGCTCGGTCAGTGTTCATCTCTAACTTCTTTTCTAGGTTGCCGAGCTGGTGTGCGCCTGTACGGCCGTCGTCTGTTGCCGCTGCTCACCGGAACAAAAGGCTCAAATTGTGCAGTTGTTGAAGTGAGTGCCAGGAAAATTTTCGTTTTTATTTCGAAGAAATCAGCCGCATGATTTTCAGAATTCTAATTCAGGAAAAATTCAAAAAAAATCATTTTCTAGGAAGTATCGTGCCCCGCTGCGTGTCGCTGCCATCGGTGACGGTGGAAATGACGTATCGATGATTCAGGCGGCCCACGCTGGCATAGGCATTGACGCCAACGAAGGTAAGCTTTTAACTAAGCTTTGAATAGTTTCAGGAAATTTGTAAAATGCACGAAAAGTGAAAAAAAATCGATTATTTTTCAGGAAAACAAGCTTCCCTTGCCGCCGACTTCTCCATCACCCAATTCTCGCACGTCTGCCGCCTGCTGCTGGTACACGGACGCTTCTGCTACAAACGGTGGGGGAACGTCTTGTTTTTTAATGATTTTCGGGGAAATAATTTCAACATAGATTATTTTTTTATCAATTCATTCAGTTTTTCTTGTTTAAAAAATTATATGTTTTTGGTCTAGATCATGTGCGCTGTCCCAGTTCGTCATGCACCGTGGCCTGATCATCTCCACGATGCAAGCCGTCTTCTCCTGCGTCTTCTACTTTGCCTCCGTCTCGCTGTACCAGGGTGTCTTGATGGTTGCGTAAGTTTTGGTATGCTTTTCGCGTATATTTCTGTTTCAGCTACTCGACCGCCTATACCATGTTGCCCGTCTTCTCGCTCGTCGTCGACCGTGACGTGACCGCCTCGAACGCGCTCACGTACCCGGAACTGTACAAGGAGCTGGGCAAGGGCAGATCGCTTTCCTACAAGACGTTCTGCATTTGGGTGCTGATCAGTTTGTATCAAGGTAAGGGCTGTTTTTTTCGAATTTGTTATGAAAAGTTGAAATTTCGTCGTCAACATTTTTGGCATCGGTTTTTGGGTCGATTGGTTGATCGCAAATTTCGACATACTAAAATTGAAATACTGAAATACCGCTGAAATTTGATTTGATTTCGACATTTTAAAATAAGTTTATTTTAGGAGCCGTGATAATGTATGGTGCGTTGCTGGTGTTCGACTCTGACTTCATCCACGTCGTCTCTATCTCATTCTCGGCCCTCATCCTGACGGAGCTGATCATGGTTGCGATGACGGTCCACACCTGGCATTGGGCTATGTTACTTGCACAGGTAATGTTAATTTTATTGTGCTTTACTTTTCTTTAGGCGCTTTCCCTCGGTCTCTACGTGGCGTCACTGTTGATATTGGACTCGTACTTCGACCGCCAATTCGTCACCACCTGGGGATTCCTGGCGAAGACCTCGTCCGTGACGGTCATCTCCTGCCTTCCCCTCTACATCATCAAGGCGTTGCGGCGAAAGTTCAGCCCGCCCAGCTACGCTAAAGTTAATTAGGATCTTTGGTACTGCTGCTTAATTTTTGTTATCTAGTCACTTTTACTTCACAACGATTGCAAGAAAGTACCCTCTCCCTCGCCCAATACCCTCCCGCTATTTCATTGCTTCATTGAGGCGCCGGTGTAAGCCAGACGCGTTGTTCCAGCGTTGTATATGTATAGATTTGTGCTATGTTTCCACGCTGAACCATTCGAGATACGATGTCCTTGCCTCGGGTTGCTTTAGAACTGTGTTTTTCTCCCTTTTGGCCCCGCCCGCTCATTGCGGAGTGCTGCTCGCATATTGACTACTGACTGATCAGCCACATTTTTGGAGCTATTTGAATTGGGCGGCCCGAGAGGTGCAAACAAAAAATTAACTTAAAAACTCGTAATTTTAGGCTACAAACCACAAAAAGTTACGAAAACGGGAAAGAAATTAACATAGTTTTTTACAGTTTCCTTTTATTGGGTTGCAGTCTAAACTTACGTTTTTTGGGGTTTAAAAGTCGGAAGTTCGGAAAGCGCGGAAAACTACCCGTCGAATTTTTCGAATTTAGTAGTTTGTAGCCGAACGTTAAATTTTGTAGCTCAAAAGTACGAAATTCGAGTTCGGCTCAAAAAAAACTAGAAAAACTACCTAATTTTACCGTGCGCAATTGCGGCGGCTCAACCTAAATAGCTCCAAATTTTCTTTCTTTTCCCTGTCCAATTGTGATACTTCCCCTCCATGCTACATGGTACTGGTTTCCCCCACTCAATTCGCATAGCTCTATCCGTTTTTCATCTGTTCTTCCCCCGTGCCTACCTGCTGTTACTTCTTGACTTTACTGCCTTTGCTGCGCTACTGAAACGGCAAGGCATTCAGCATTCCCTTGCATGCATGAGTGCCAACAACTGAAATAAATAATATCGAGTGTATGAGGCGGATGAAAACGACAGTGTATCAATGTTCGATTAATATCTGTCCCCCTTCTAACCCTGGCTTTTCAACACTTGTCCCGTTTTAGAAAGATGGGTGTGCAACTGGTAATCTCGTTGTACACGATCATGCTGTCGCCGGCGTTCGTGCTCTTCATCAAGCTGGTATCCGGAGATCCGTTACGAATAATATTATTCGCGCTAGGGTAAGCCGTTTGAGAAATTTGCCGTGGCATTTTTTATTCTGACAGTGTTAGGAATTTGTCAAATTGATATACGTTCATTTTTCCCAAGAAGAGGCTGAACTGACACTTCGACCGTCCGAAAAAGCTTAAAATACCTATTGCCAAATTTGAAAAAAACTTTGGACAACTAGAAATATACAAAAAGGTTTTTCGGAAAATGAACATACGTTTGCTAAACCTTATCACAAAAATTCAAAATTTTCAGCGCGTTCTTCTGGTTGCTAGCCCTCCTCGGTTCCGGTATCTTCTGGTTTGCGGTGTGGCCGCTGCGCGACTGGATGAGCTTGAGCCTATGTGTAATGGTCATTACACAGGTCTGATACTTTTTCACGTATTAAGTTTTTATAGGAACTGGCCCGTATCGCTCTCTTCCACGTGATCAAAAAGGCACAACAGTAAGTACCGGATTTTGGATTGGTAGTCCCTGTATTTCAGCGGCTTCAATCAAATGGCCCACGAGACGCGGGAGCTGCGGCAAGCTGGCGGAAATGCGCCCGTGGTTCGAGTGACCCCACCGGCATTCCATGATCTTCACAATGCGCGTCACTTGCTGGCTGTCGTCACGGGGTTGGGCCAAGGTATCGTATTTATCTTTGGTTTGGAAATTCGTGTGGAGATTCGTTTTCAGCACTTTGACGTAGTTGTTAACAACCATCTAAAAATTTTGCAGGTGTTGTCGCCGCGCTCTTCATGAATATGAACATATTTGCTGCGTTGTCGGGGCCGGGCAGTATTGGGTTGCCGTATCTTCTAAATCGGGTATAACTTTCTGAATTTATCCCATTGGTGGTTGTTTCAGGACTCAACTAAATATTTCATGGAGCCGGACCGCACGGTTCCGTACTATTTCGCCATCTGCGGAATGTTCGTCACACTTCTGAACGCAATGTGGTCCATACAGGTTGGTTTTTCGCTAATTTTTTGCATTTGACTCGGTTTCAGATCTGGGACTCGTGCCACAAGTTCTACTACCGGCCGCAGCACTGCAAGTGGTACGAAGGCGCCGTCGTTGCCATTCTCACACACTTGGCCTTGAGTGGAATGGTTGGTTTTTATTTATAAGTTCTAGCATTTAAATATTTAGTCGTTCATGAACCGCAACGGCTACCAACTGCCGTACCTAGCCATCCAGCTCTTCTTCTTCTTCGGAATCTTCCTCCACGTCAACAAACTGATGGGCGGCAACTTTGGATCGTTCTTGGCATGTAAGATTTTTTTCCTCAATTTTCAACCTCTTCGCTTTCTTCAGGGGTCTACTTCATGTTCCGCGATTGGGTGAAGCTGCTCTGGCTCCGACAGCAGTACTGCAAACTCATGGGAAAGCCGCTGCCCGAGGCGTCGCCGCGCGGAGAAGACCAAGAGGTTTATTAGGATCTTTATGCTTATTGATATTGCTAATTGTGAGCTATTTATTGTACTTGTCTCTTAGCGGGGGACTACCTACCTAGCCAAAAGGCGCTTTATAATTTTTTCGTAGTTTTTGTTTACTACAAGGTCATAGAATCATTGTTGCATAATTGTAAAAACTTGGTTTTGCGCATTTTCGTAGACTGAACAACTTTTTATTTCGATACTTACTTACTTTCGAAAATGACGTAGACGGCGCATGAATTGCGTATATTGTTTTATTTACGTCCCTCGTTAACAGCCCGGAACCAATTTTCATAACTTTTTGCTATTTATCTCGTCTATTGTATCGTTTTTCGTGCTACGGTGAGGCCAAATTCAAGCTCCGCGTCTTTTTGCGATCCGCCCCACCGTCGCACGAATTTTTGGACCAAGGTTTTCAGATGGTAAATATCCGCCTCCATCACGAGACTCGTGCGGAACGTAGGCGCCAACTGGGACCGCCGATTGAATGCTAACTGACAGACAGACAAACATGAAATTAACGATATATACTTTATAGGTGTTCTTGTATCTTTCTCGAGTGTAATTTTTGATCTCATCAACCCCCTACATGATCTTTTCGTAACAGCGGGTAACTCCCCTTCCCCGGTCATTCCATTGTTATCTTTGTGTTTGCTATCCCCGGCCTAACCATCTGTAGCCATTCTTCCCATGTTGTGCAATACAATACAATTGCCACTCGGTGCTATGCGATTGAAACAAGTTGAATAAAGTGTCGTGAAATGATACAATTATTATTGCACGAATGCGATCACAGGAATCATCACCAAGAAAATATTGTTAGTCTGAAAATTCTTGACGAGGATTTTATTTGGAAGCTTCTTCGTCGCCTTCAATCACCTAAAAAATTCGGGTATTTCGCCAATTATGGTGGTTAGCTATGTACGAACCTGAATGTTGTACCGGATCGTTTTCCCACGCAGCCACCCGTATGTGTTGTCGAAGATCAGTTTGTACACGCCGGCGGCTGGTGCGGAAACCTGAACGAGTTTTTGTAAGCTAAGGCGACGAGAACTGGATGTAAGGATTTAGCTAACTATTTTTTACTAGAAAGACTATTCCACCTAGCTTTTTTACCGTTCTAAAGCGAAAGCTCTTTAGAAAGGAAAGCGTTTTGATAGGCCCACCTCGCCGGACTCTGGAACGTATTCAGTTTGTAGCTTGAATTTCGGCCAGATCATCGTATCGCTGTCATGCTCTGCCACCACATCTCCATCCTTCGAAGTGGAGAGGTTGATCGAGAAAATGACATCGTTGCTCTCCACTCGCCACCACCACCGAATTTTGCGCTTTGGGTTGTCACCTGAATTCGGGTCTTTTCAGAAACTTGGTTTTTCGCAGACCATACACCGTAACTGGCACGAAAGATGACGATCGGGCGGATACGGTCAATTTTGTAAGCTGATCAGCGGGGAGGTCATTTGCGGGGTTGTATCTAAAATTTAGCTTAAAAATCCGCTTGCTTTTTGCGTTTTTGCCTTGTCGTCTTCCATTAGGATATTTTAACCCACTTCAATTCTTCCGGAACTGGGCCTCCCGTCCTAACAGAACCGTACTCGCTCTCGTGCTCTTTCTCGCCACCCCAATGCTTGAAAAGATTCTCGGGGCCAATCGCCTCCTAAAAAGAATTCTTTGTTTGTTTTTCCGTTATAACTCACCCTCAACTTTTCCTTCCAGTCGTCCTTCCCCAAAAACTCAATCTTTTGTTTCGTTTGGGCGGCCAAGCAGGGGGAAACGAGATTCCAGAGGACCTGAATTTTACTTTATATAACGGAACTGAAGGGCCATCAGTTTTTTACTCTTATCGTGGACCTACCTGAACAAACGCCGGAGCATTAACAATAAAAATATGCCGAATGACGTCGGGGAACATCTCCTGTAGCTGCGAGAGCATCGTAGTGATCACCTTCAGGGCGGACGTGTCGAACTGGCCCATGTTGATGCCATCCAGGTCGAAGATCACGCACGTCCCGATCTGTTTTCCGAGCTCTTTTTCTTTCCGTCTGAAGGAAAATTATAAATTTGAAAAGTTCCCGCTTTGAAGTTCTATTGCCTTGGAGTACGGTACCAACCTAATGACATCCATGACACCCTCGCTTTCGGCGATTCGCATCCTATACAAGTCGGCGTTGCGCACGCACGGCATCAGCCCACCCGCATCACAGCGTCCGATCATCTGGATCACCAGCACGTTGTCGTGACGGTCCCATCCCACCACGGAGCCTAAAGATCATTTTTTTTGCCTTTTTCTTGTTTTTCTAATATTAAAGCTTTTTTCAATTACCTGGCAAATATTGCAACGGCTTGGAGAGTGAATCGCAGTACTCGTTGACACGGTCCAGATCCGAGAAATCGACCTTGTCGAGACCGAGCGCGTGGATGGCCTTTAGCGAGAAGCGGATCTTCGGGACAACGGCGTCTAAACACGTGCCGTAAAAGTAAATATCGAAAAACTACCAAGCTTCCGATCCCATCCTACAATCCAGCGTAACAGTGAGAAATCATCATTATACGCTGGCATTAACTAAATTCGAACTGAACCTACCCGAGCCGGGTATTCCACTCACCTCCAATTCCGGGGCAATCCGCTTACGCAGCTCCTCAATCAATTTTCGGTCACTGTCCGGTATTTCCTCGAGTTTCATCTGGAATTCTTTGCCTCCAGCACTGATTGAATTGCTTTTTGTGGCACCCGTTTTCACGCTACCCTTCCGCAACGTCATTTCTGTGGATGGTGCCCAGCCTAGACAACCTTCTTGGGAACGGCACTAGAAAAGGACATTATTACAACGTCAAAAAGTGAAAAGGTACGCCAAAAATGAACCCCCGAATAAATTCTAGAAGGACATTGGCGCGTGCGGGATTCAGCGCCACTGTTTTTCATCGGGCCCCCACCCCCGCCGCCCTTTGTTTGGAAGCGGCTCTCTTGGTGGCATAGCCTAGCAACAACTAGGGCGCACACATCGAGAACTCCCCGGAATTTGGCCCGGGGCCCAGGACAGAACTACCAAAATAACAACAAACCAGAAAAGGGCAGAGTGGGGTAGTGGTTTCCCCACGAAATCTACGCCCTCTAATGGAACGAGAAATATTATTATTTTAATACGGTTCTTTAGGATTATCGGGGGGGGGGGGGGGGGGGACAACTTTTTCTTTGGAATTAAATTTTCTGATATAAATAATGTTTCTAAACTTATTTTTACTATTCCTAAACGTTACTCTGAAAATTTTTATTAAGAAAACGACCAAAAATGAGCGATCTTCGTCCAGAATTTCCAGATTTTAAAAGGTTTTGAGCGTTTAGATATAGTTTTTATAAAAATTTCCCGCCGATAATGCAAAATTTTTTTATCGTTTTTCGCGATTTCGTCATTACCCATTTTTTGCATTGCGTCAGCTTAATTGTTAAAAAAAAAGCCTTGCAACGCACGTTAAAAACGGGCGTACACTAAAAACAGTAGAAAAAGTGCACGGAAATTTCGAAAATCCAAACCCAAAGAAAAACCATCAGCAACAAAAAGCAAACGCCATTCAGACATTGTCTAAAAACGTCGAGAATCGAAAAATAGCTAAATATTTTTAGCAAACCCCCGTAAAATCGAATAAACACACAAAAACACAGTCTCCTTAAAAGTTGTATGCGTTTTTAGGACCAACGCCCATCCTCTGACTTCCAAAAATCGTCACCAATCCCCCACAGCAGCCCTAGCCACGCGCTGCGAAAATTCGATATAGAAACCGGGAAGGGGGGAGAAAAGCGGGCAAATATGAAAAGTGACAACGGGCCCTGGCTGTGGCACGACATGTGAAATACCAGATAACAGCTGAGGCCGAGATTCGGTCGCCCCGAACCTAAATCATTTCGCCGGGCCCGGGTTCCGGGGTGAAATCATCTACTTAAAAATTTGTGATTCGCTTGGGAGGGTGATTCTCTCGCCTCGTTGGATTTGGAGTCTGGACATTAAACCAAACTAGACTGATAAAAATATCTTAAAAATACATAAGTATTTCGTAAAGAAAATAAAAGTGAAAAAGTTAGGGTTTTCCTTCGAATCCAATTTTTCACATAGAAATAAAAAAGCTGTTTTTAACTATTTCTAAACGTACAAACTTTAAAAAGCTCTGAAAAATACAAAAGTAATAGTTTTTCTACAAAAAAATGGCAAAATTTTCGAACTTTCTAATTGGTTTTTATACTTAAACACGATTTAATCTTACCAAACACAATATTAAACGTTTACTATTCGCTACGTGGCTGGCACTTCTGGTATCATAGGAAAAAGATTAGTTCACAAAAAAAGGCCTTTTTGATAAGCTCGAGGTTTGTCTAATTTAATGAGGAAACCCCTCTAGCGGTGACAACACTTCATAAAACACTGAAAAACGTCATTCCCCAGCCGAGGAGGATGCGCGAGAAATGGGGTAACGAAAAACCCTGGTCACATGGTTCTCATTTTTCCACCCCCCAACAGGACTGCTCGTGGTACGGAGGAAATAAAAGATTAAATCAGCTCCAACCAGCAGAAATGAGGCCTAAGATCAGCGTTAAAACCGTTTCCAGCTCGTCTGCCCGCAGGAAGCCAAAATTTAAGAGGAAGTGCAAACTAAGGCATCAGTTTCAACACAAATCAATTGGTCCTCAGATAGGCGCGCGGCGATGAGTCAGAAAAGCCTTCAAATAGATGAACCCGCCGATGGCATGGGAGAGACGTACGAGCAGCGCAAACAAAACAAAAAAAATATATCATTTCCCGCCTCCCTGTCCGCAAAACAGTGCTCCAAAGACAATAAAACGTTTCCAAAATGAAATCCAAAACGGGGGCCATGGCCGCAATCGATGTGCTTTTGGCTTCACGTTCCCCCCGATCATGACGCATTCTTTCAACTCACCCCAGCATTGGCCATCGTTTCAGGAATATCAGTCTCGAAATCCGGGTCAAGTCCAGCAAGTCCAGCCAGTGTCCACTAGGCGTATGTTGTGGTGGGTGAGTGGCTGAATGGGCCTTCGCCCCACTGGCGAGGGTGCCCTAAAACAAACATTTCTTTCCCGACAGTCCTCTGCACTTTCTTCTCCTTCTTCTTGTCGGGGTGCCGCTCGGTGGGGTCGAACCAGAGAAGTGTGAGGAATTGGTGACGAATCGCGGAAGCCGGATTGCGACTGAAAATTGAAAAGTTCCAGATATAGATGAGATGAAACGAGCTTGGATATAGAAATTATCAAAACCAACTAAATTGTCTAATATAAAAAATGTAACTATTTTTCATTTTTTAAATTAATTTTTCAAACATAATTTTTTTAGCGAAAACGGCAGCTTTTCTCTGCCCGTTTCCTATAAACTGGATCGACGCAACATCACCGTAACAAAATCACGCCGTTGAGTGGAAAGAAACGGAATCCTTCGCACCTTTCTTATTTTTCGCTCAACTTTTCTAAATGATAAATTGTAAAAGAAGGTTTGGTTGTGCTTAAATTTTTGTATAACTGATAATACAAAAAAATAGATTAAAATTGATCCTTTCCGCGGTCCTAGTCACGGTATACGTCGAAAACTGGTTAAAAAAAACACTTTTTCAAAAACTAAAATAGTTTTAAAAACGATGCAAAACCTAGTCAAGCTACTTGTTTTGTTCGGAATGCTGTAACGTCGAAAACATATTGGTTCTTCTTTTTTATATTAAAACCCAGCTATTACCTTCTCATATGTTTTTTTGCAGGCCATAAGCGATGGCAGACGCCCAATGGACAAGATTCGAAAATGAGGCAGAAGCCGCCCGTGATGCATCTCGACTCGGGCAAGGATCACTGCTGCTCAAGTGAATTTTTTTGAGTCACAATGTATTCTATTCCAGGACCACGGACTCTAAGGTCTTCTCAATTCGTCTCCATCTCCTCGCCGGCTCAGCGCTGCTGCAGTCGTTCAACGAAGGTGAATTTCTGACTTAATTTTACAAACCTTCTTTTAGTTGCGCAAGAAAACAAGACAATTGTGGCAAATCGGTAATGGGTCCTTGTATATTTTGTCAAATTTTGGTAGAAACACGGGCCCACTCACAATCGATTTCGATGTGCCATTTGAAAGCGGTGAATTCGCTGACGTACGTTTGAATTTATCAAAATTTACGATGTTTAGTTTTTGAAAATTGCGCAAAGCCACTCCCAGGGTACTTTCCGCGCCGTGGCCACTAATTTCCCAGCTTTGATGCGCGCCTTCAAGGTATATTTTATTGAGGTTGTCAATGCCTACATTTAGATCGCTTCTTACTTCGACTTGAGCCGCTTGCAACAGGATATCGGCCAAAAGACATCAGCTCTTATCGAGGCAGGGATTTTGTTCGTCGATTTTTATTTTCAAGTGTTTAGACCACCCAACCGCTGGCTGTACGCTGGATGTTGGGAGTAAAAATTACCGGTCATGGATTGAAGCCAATGGAAGTTTCGCAAGTCTGTATTATGGATCATCGTTCAATTGTGTTTAGATCCATCAAGAGGGTCTACTCGACGATTTCACCGACCACAAACCACACCTAGTTCGCGATATTTTCCCCTTCGCATCGCCTGAGCAAGAGCGTGAACTAGAAGGGGTCGGCTTTTCGTACTATTTACCCCGATTTTGTTTTAGCGCCTTCGAGGCAAAGGGAAAAAGCCGGTGTACGATTCGTCTTCTCCGTCTACTTCATCAACTAATAGGTAGCTCCAACTTTTTCATTTTCTAAATAAGCTTCTCTTTAGCCAACATGCTTTCGCGTGCAAATGCGTGTCATGCTTGCGACTGCTCTCCGACGAAGAGTAATCACCCCCGCTTTCGATGTTGGTTAGTGTGTGCTTGTTTATTGACAAATTGTGTAACAAATTACTAAAAATGCGTTGTTTGGAATAAAATTACTTAGCAAAGATGGTGTTTTCGTATGACATGCGTTGATTCTGTGTGGCTAGAACATTTTTATTTCACTAAAGCTTGGCACGCCGTGCCGCTCGATCACGTAGTGTTCGCCGTAGGATCTTGCCGGCAGCCGATTTCGGTACCTCGTCAATAAATTCGACGCCTCCCTTTAGCTGCTTGTAGGCAGATACCTTTTCTGAAAGGCAGTGAGTAGTAGCTGCATCTTTCCCGCACGTACCCTTGACAAAATCGGCAACCATTTGCTCGGTGAGACTATCGTCTGCTCTCACGACATATGCTCTGGGCAATTCGCCGGCCCTTGCGTCGGGAATTCCTAGAAAATACGTTTATTTTTATTCAAAAAATTAACCGATTACTGCCGCATCCCGAATCTTAGGATGTGACAAGAGAAGGTCTTCTAATTCAGCTGGTGGTACCTGTATTGATATAGTAGTTTCACCTATTTTTCCATTATCTACCTGTAGTCCTTTCACTTTGATCAATTCTTTCAGACGATCGACAACGAATAGATCTCCATCTTCATCAACATATCCGATATCTCCTTTAGCAATTCGGGATGGTCAATAGATTTAATGGGTTACTGACCTGTGTGTAGCCAACCATCAACGATTGATTCTCGGGTTGCTTCATCTCGCCCAAGGTATCCCTTCATTACCGTGGGGCCCTAGATAGTTTTTATTGCCAGACACAGATTTGTTTTACCTTTATAACCAGCTCTCCCCGTTCGCCAACCGCGCAAATCTTTTTTGTGACCGGATCGACAATCTCCAAAATATCGTAGCGGTTAGGTTTACAAACTTTACCTTCATCTGGTTGTTCGCAATTAATCGCCCCGTAGCACCAAACTTTTGCTTTTGGTGCAAATCGGGGAAATGCGAGGCTAGGGAAAGCTCGGTCATGCCGTAGCCTAAAAATTTTTTGAGTGCGCCCTGATCCTCTTTTACCTTGTACGATGTATTTCAGGGAGGGGAATCGGCGTTGGACCTCTTCGCAAATGTCTCTGCCGGCGGGGGCGGCGCCTGGGCTCGTGGTTTTTTCAGTTTTGACCAAGATCACCTGACATAATGATTTCCAGGGAGGAGAGGTCGTATTTCGCGGGGATTGGGTGTTTGCCGAGGAAGACGAGGATTGGTGGAACTAGGGCTATTCCTCGGATCTGGAGGATTTTTTAATACTTTTAAGTGTCACTAACCCTGAAGTCCTGAATAGCCTTGCAGAAGACATCCGGGTCAAAATGAGAGTGGATAACGCCGACTGAGCGTAGGTAGAGTGATGACAGCTAGAAGAGAGTTCGTGTTAGTATATTTTTTAACGTACGACAACGGCGAATCCAAAGATGTGATAGAACGGGAGGAAGAGGTTCAAATGCTCCTTTTCGTTGTCCCAGTTCGGATCGACGACACGAGAGATGCGAAGATCATTATGGCTAAAACACATAGGTCAGCTTTACAACCACGTAGTAACTGACCCGGTATAGATCCTTATCATCGTTCCAAAATTCCGGTGTGAAATCATGACACCTTTCGGGGACCCAGTAGTGCCGCTTGAATAAGGTAGAATCGTCAGATCATCGTCCAAATGAATAGATTCATCAGCGGGAGGAGATCCCTTCGTTTCCATTGCTTGTTCCCATGTAAACACATGGCTTGGAAGGGTCTTTCTCCCACTAATATTTCCCTTCTGCTTCTCCACTACCAGAATTGTCTAAAATCGATTTTTATCTATTTTTAAAGGGATTTTATACCTTTATAAGTGGGCAATGAGCAGCTGCTTTCAATACTTTATCCAGTGATTCTTCACCCGTCAACACCAAACTGGCCTTTGAGTCGAGGAATTGACGTTGAAGCTCGTCTAAAAGGGAATTTAGCCGAGATATTGAAGACGTACAGTCAGTGAATAGAGCTGATGCTCCCGAGACGACACCGGCTCTCTTTTGAGCTGCCAGAAAGAATGCCGGCCATTGCCAACAATTTGGAAGGACAACGGCAGCTGTCTCACGACGGAATCCACGATTGTGCAGGAAGGCGGAGATTGTGTCCACCACGACCAATAGTCGCCCGTATGAAATACGCTCCGCGTAGTCAAATGCGTCGATCTGGAAGAGGTGAATATAATTTTTAAAGCTTTTAGATGCGTGTGCTGCATGGGAATACTCACAAATGCCGGCTTGTCGGGATTCTTGGCCGCCTGCTCACGAATACCGCGCAGGATCGTGTGATGGACGGCTTCATCGGCAAGTGGTACCGAGGGGTATTGTGAGGAGTAGATCATGATTTAGGTTAGGTAACCAAATGTTGTCCTAAACTGTTTGATGATACATTGAGGTACTGGGCAGCTAGCGGGGGGGTTGACGCAGGGTCTCACTCATACCAAGAATACAGCTTTTACGCCGTTTCTAGCTATAGACGCCTCATAAAAAAAACAGCTAAAACGTTGTTTTCAAAAAGGTCAAAGTAAATTTATGCTTTTTTGGTAATATAAAACTACTGAAAACACTATAAAAAGATTTTTTGATGATTTTGCTAGTTAAGAACAGACTAAACGGCCATCCCCCGCTAACAGACTAGTACCGGCATTTCAGGACCAAATTAAAGAAAATGAACTTAAAATGTTCGGCAGTTCAAAAATGTGGTTGTTTTTGATTTGACTAGACGGGGAGAATGTGTCTTGGACAGTTTGCTTCTTTCAATACTTTCAAAATCGATTTTAGTGAGTAAGGGGAAGGCTAGAAAAGCGTAATTGGGAATGATTCGGCTCCGCGAAAACCGGGGATAGGATCGGCGCGTACTGCTAGGTTTGATAGGCCGATTGGACCATCGGGAGGAGATAAGTTGATCTCGCTTGAGCAGGCTACAGGATACACAATGACCATCTCGGGGGGCGGTTGACTGATAGGGTGATAAGTGCACGTGTTCCGGTGTGCCTATCAGTAGTTTGCAAGCTGTGACCTCCCGCGTCTGGGCGAAGCAGGAAAACAAATTTTGTCTAACTGGCACGATCCCTTTAATTTGGTTGTAAGTACCGATTTGCAATCCATTTTTGCTGTAGAAATCCGTTTTATTGTATATAAATTTAATCAAGTATCTAGAGTTTAGCCCGCTGTGCCACTCGATCACGTAGTGTTCGCCGTAAAATCTTCCCGGCAGCAGATTTTGGCACCTCATCAATAAATTCGACGCCTCCCTTGAGCTGCTTGTAGGCGGAAGCTTTTTCTGAAAGATCATTTTAGAAAGATCTGGCTTTTGGCTTTTTGGTTTTAGCAAGGAAAAACAGTTTTTTTTGGTTAAATTAAACGTTTTTTATCTCGTTCGGCCCGCTTACCCTTGACAAAATCGGCAACCATTTGCTCGGTGAGACTATCGTCTGCTCTCACGACATATGCTCTGGGCAATTCGCCGGCCCTTGCGTCGGGAATTCCTAGAAAATACGTTTATTTTTATTCAGAAAATTAACCGATTACTGCCGCATCCCGAATCTTAGGATGTGACAAGAGAAGGTCTTCTAATTCAGCTGGTGGTACCTGTATAAAGATATTATAGCTTTAATTGCCTTTCTTTTTCTACCTGTAGTCCCTTGACTTTGATCAATTCTTTCAGACGATCGACAACGAATAGATCTCCATCTTCATCAACATATCCGATATCTCCTTTAGCAATTCGGGATGGTCAATAGATTTAATGGGTTACTGACCTGTGTGTAGCCAACCATCAACGATTGATTCTCGGGTTGCTTCATCTCGCCCAAGGTATCCCTTCATTACCGTGGGGCCCTGTGCGGAAAAGTCTAATTCAGAGCCACGATAGACTACATTATTTACATTTAGAATCGTCGAAAAGCCGTTTTCAAACGATTTACTCACCTTGAAAGCTATTTCGCCACGTTCGCCGATGTTGCACAAGCGATTCGTGCCCGGATCGACAATCTGCAAAATTGGGCATTTCTGGAATAATGAGAAAAATACGTCCCAAATAACGCGAAAGAACCAGATAACGGATGTGCTATGGTTTTTGCAATTTTCCGAAGGCGCACTGATGACGACATATTTTTACCGTTTCAAAAGGCCTACCTTCATCTCATTATTCGCCGACAACTTCCCAACAGCCGCCATTTTCTGTATTTTTGGCGTAAGGTCGGGGAAATGGGTCCCCAAGCTCATCTCCGTCATCCCATATCCTAAAATCCGGGGTTTTTAAAGTATAAACTTTACCTTGTGCAACATATCGCACAGCTGGAAATCGTCTGCAAACCTCGGCAATCGTCTCCTTTCCAACCGGGGCGGCGCCTATGTTTTTAAAATTAAAAATTGCGTGTATTTTTGCCTGTGACAATGACTTCGATGGCTGATAGGTCGTATTTCGAGGGGATGGAATGTTTGGCCAAAAATACGAGGATTGGCGGCACGACGGCCAGGTAGCGAGTCTAAAAAGTTGGCATTTCGTGTTCAAAGTTTTTTAAATACTAAAATATAGTTTCGAAATACAAAAGTTCTACTTTTTAGTAGCCGATACCTTAAAATCCTGAAGTGCCCGGCAAAATGTATCCGGTTCAAAGCGCGAATGGATTATGCCGGTTGCACGGAACCACAATGAACAGATCTAAACTTGGTTTTAGAGGTGCTTTTGCATTATCGGGGGGTTGGGGGCGTGTATCAGCCCAGAAAAGCCTAGTAACTCGTAGTAAATATTTTCATGGTATTTTGAGTAAAATTTAGCTTGATTCCAAGTTCTATCGTAAATACTTTAAAAAATTAAAATTTTTGGTCGGAAAATCGATATTTTTGTAAAAAAAGTTGTTTCCCCCCTGATAATTCGAAAACAACCGTTTTAGACTAGATTAATCAGATAATGCATACCATAACGGCCATCCCATAGCAATGGTAAAAAGGAAGAAATAGATTCCGATGCTCGCCTTCCATATCCCAGTCCTTATCCAGCACCAATGCCAGCCTTTGGCGCCAATGTCTAAAAATTTACATTTCTACGATTATTTTCTATTTTTAGTACGCCTATTTTTCTTATTTAATAAATTCCCTACTCCGCATAAATTCGAATCATCGTCGCGAAGCTACCATGAGTGATCATGACACCTTTCGGGGACCCGGTAGTGCCACTTGAATAAGGGAGAATTGTCAGATCATCATCCAAATGAATAGATTCATCAGCAGGAGGAGATCCCTTCGTTTCCATTGCTTGTTCCCATGTAAATACATGGCTTGGAAAGGTCTTTCTCCCACTAATATTTCCCTTCTGCTTCTCCACTACCAGAATTGTCTAAAATTGGTTTTTATCTATTTTTAGCGGGATTTCTATACCTTTATGAGAGGACAATGAGCAGATGCTTTCAATACTTTATCCAGTGATTCTTCACCCGTTAATACCAGACTGGCCTTTGAGTCGAGGAATTGACGTTGAAGCTCGTCTAAAAGGGAATTTAGCCGAGATATTGAAGACGTACAATCAGTGAATAAAGCTGATGCTCCGGAGACGACACCGGCTCTCTTTTGAGCTGCCAGAAAGAATGCTGGCCATTGCCAACAATTCGGAAGTACGACGGCAGCTGTTTCACGACGGAATCCACGATTGTGCAGGAAGGCAGAGATCGTGTCTACGACGCCTAACAGTTGACGATAAGAAATTCGGTCCGCGTAGTCGAAGGCGTTGATCTAGAATGTTTAATGATTTAAAAATATCTAAAAGCGATTAGCAGTTTTTCAATTAATCACAAAAGATTATTATCAAACACTAAAAAAAATTTGAAATTCTTGACCAAACTAATTCTCGGAATTTGAATAATTTTTGCCGAGCTTTTTAGAGCCAAGAACATCATACAAAAAATGTTTTATTCCTCGTTATAGAGCCGTATACTTATCGTAATCTAATAAAAACCCACAAAAGCCGCCTTTTCCGGATCTTTCCGGGCGGCTTCCTGACTCTCGCGCAGCAAAGTTACGTGTAATGGCTCGGTGGCTAGCGGTACAGAAGGGTACGGTGAACGGTGGATCATTGCTGAAAAGCGAAGTTGTAATGGCTTATCAACTTCCTTTTCAGAGGGCTCCTCTCTAAACAAGTAATATCCTGCAAAAACAGTTGATAAGCTTTTTGAAAAGAGGGTAATGGGGGCACCGTGGCTGGCAGGGTGGTCTTTTGGAAAGTAGAACTTTTTTGGGCTGGAATTTTGAGCGTTAGGTTAAAAATACATATGGTAGAAAAGTCCCGGATCATCCGCATCTTTTATCGAAAAAGAAAGGGCGAAATCACATTGGGGGAGATGGGCTTGTTTATCACTTTTTTGGATTTGTATCTTGCTCAGCCGAGGTCATGCTCGATATAGTATGTGTTTTATAGTAGTTTTTCTACTGTATTTTTTATATTGATCACTTTATTCTTATTCAATCGCTTTCTCCGGAACCTCGGCTCCATCTTGTAGGCGCGAGATGCTAAAAACAGCTTTTTAAGGCCAAGAAATTACAATTACCGATAGTGCACATTAATTGAGAAGAACCATGCTTTCTCGTTGCCAAAGCTCAGGAAATAGAAGCCTGGAAACTTAAAAAAAATTTATATTTTTAAGTTTTACCGCTTTTCGGCGCTACCCAGTGCCAATCGTCGATCAATCGCAGCGCCGGTCTCTCACACCCAGCGTAGATCTCCTGCCAATCGGCCCTCTCTTTCTAAAATTTCTCGATTTCCTAGTTTCCGGCACACTACCGTTTCCACCGGCGAATAGTACACGAAAAACTGGAACTCTTGCGAGTGCCGCATCTGGAATCGCAGGCTCGTGCCGGCCTCCCATTTGTATCTAAAAATTGGGTTTTATCGTTTCCGCCTAAATTTCACTTTTTGATGAGTGTGCTGCCAGCGGAAATTGAGACTGTGTCCAGCTCGATGTCCTCGTTTTTCGAGGTTGGGAATGGATGGGCTGGGGCCTGAAAAGAGGTAAAAAGGCAGATTTCTGCTTACCGGAATCTCAACGAGTTCAAAGTTGTCGGCGCCGTCCCTGGCTTCACCTCCATATTCTTTTGGTAGTGTCGTGGAGCTGATATGCTTTAGAAGAGTGGATGAGGGGTCGGATGAGGAGCAGATTTCCATGCGGGACTGAAATTTGGGAGCTTTATAGCTTATAGCTAAAATTCGACGGTTTCTACTTCTTTTTCTTTGATTAGTTTTCTTGAAGTTTCTAGTTTCCTATAGCATTTTGCGTATATTTTGCTACCACTAACCCTGTAGTCATTCGGAATAAACGGGATACACGTCGAATATAGCAGGTTCACAAATTTCGGAGCCCGGACGATGACGATATGGCGAATCAGCTGAGGGTACTGCTCAAAGAGTGTGCCCCACATTATCCGATAGGGACCTAGATTAGAAAAATGGTTTTATAGCTTTATGCGTTTTTAATAATTAATATATTCATTTCATACTGTACCTGCCAGCAAGGAGAGCAGTGCCGGTTTGAATTCAAGCCCCTCAAGGTCCATGACTAGCAGGCCGCCGGATTGACGTCCGGTGGCTTTCTAAGGGGAGAAATATTAGCAGTCAATATTAAAAATCAAATCGTTCGAAATCCATAGTAAACGATACACCCGATTTTTAGACCCACCTCCATTTCGATGACTCGCCGGTGAATTCTTTCCATCAAGCGAAATTTGGCACGCATGAAGGAGGTTACCTTAAAAAGGCTCTTCAATATTATACCTTTTCTATGCGTAATTAAAAACAAAAGATACGTCTTTTTAACTGTATTAAACTACTACCTTCACGTTGTCGATTAGCCCGTGAATATCAATCTTTCCGCTTTGTTCGAAGAGAACAACCTAAAAAAATTCAAGCAGAAACTAGCTAGTTAAAAAATAATTCTTACCTTATTATCGTCATCCCGATTCTGCCCTAAAATCGACAGTGGAGCGTACTGATCGACGCGTTCGTCAAATCCAACCGTCTCCTCCGGCCACCCATCCCATCCCATCACTTCGCGGAGGTTCAAATGACGGCGTAGCACCTAGATATCATATTTATTAAAACGACAATGATATTTTACTAAAATTCCTACCTCCGCGGCCGCCGCTTCATCCCCCTCATAAGCCGTCACCCAGCGATGTACGTTAAATAGATGCTGGACATAGGGGTGCCCTTCCGCCTTCGCGAGCCCAATCGTTCGTTGGCAGGCCTCCAACTCTTCCGTAGTCAACGTCATCGCCTAGCCAAAAAAAAAACGGAGCGGCCGGGAAATCGGGGTGCCTGAGCCACAGTCGAGGTGGAAAAGCCGGGGCGGATCGTGCTAGAGGATCTGGCATCGAGCTTGGCGCCCGCTATCTCGGTCGTCATCTGAAGGCGGCCGGTGGCTCCACTTTCTCCCCTCCGGGCGCCCGCCCCTGCGCATTTTTTGGGGGAGAATAGCGAAGGTTGATTCAATTTCAGGTGCCGGGGATTTAAGAATATATGGTATCCACCGTAATTTGCAATTCTAGACCAACCGTATTATCGTGAGAAAAATTCCAGGTGCTTCTGGTCTAGTGGGGGGAGCAAACTTTTCTCTTACTATTTTAATATAATATACAAAATAGTTCCTATCAGTCTGGAAAACCACAAAAATAGTATAATTTTCCTGACCGTTTGACCAAAGTAAGACTTTTCGAACAATTTATAATTTTTATGAGCGTTTTATAGCTAACAAGCTGTGTAAACCGCCATGAAAATTGCCTATCCGTCGCGCTAGGGCTGTGCCGTATTACCATGGAAAATCGGTCTCTCCCGAAACCGGAAGCACTAGATTCCTTCCAGCCGTATCCCCCAATTTTTCATGTTCGTGTCCAATGCAGGCAAGCACAAGACAACACTCCGAACGATGTATTCTAACTCAAAAATAAATATAACACACAAAAGTTTACGCAGGAAAACGCTGAGATACCGGTAATGGGCGGTGAGAACAAGTATAGGATCCGATTGCTCAAAGAAGTCCTTCCATTTCTCGCATGAATTCGTTGTACGCATCGTCCGTCGACTTGGATACGGGCTGCTTCGCTGGTTTCGCCGGTTTGAAGGCCTAGAATGGAGGTTAAAAAAATAGGGCCAACCGTACCTTCTGTTGAACCTGGATGGGGAGATGATTCGTAGCCATGTGCGGTTTCTTCTTGAGCACGGCTGGAACGAACTTAGCCGCCTCTTGACGCAGATCTCGCAGTTGCGGCGCTCCGACCAGTGTTGTCGGCTGAACCGGGCCGATACCGCTCTGCATCCGCGACCGGATCTGAAAAAATCAATTTAATAAAATGGTTTAATTTGAAAGTAACAACAAAGGTACGGGGATTTACACAAACCTGCGGGGCACTGGAAATCGTTGCGTGGTCGGGAAGAGTCGACGGGGGCCCGGCAACGATTTGTGGTGGTTGGAATAGTGGAGGGGCGACCATTTTCGGAATTGTGGCTAAATTGGAATCATCTATATTCGAACGCGCGAACTTACGTCTCAGCAATGGATGGGCGCTGAAGTTCGGAAGTGGGATGCCAAATCCAGGGGCGTGACCCAATTCCTCGGGAACTAAAAAAAAAACGGGCTAAGTATAAGTCTAGCATCCACACAGATTTTAACAAAGTTTTTTTTACAGAACCTTGGTTCGTTTCAGTAAAAGTACATAATCACAGAATCTTACTCGGCACAGGTCCCAGATCCGTGTCTTCAACATCAAAATCATCGTTGACCATCTCGTCCTCACTAGCACTCAAGTCTGGAGCCGGGCCACATGGTGGACCCGGCGGCTTCTTCCGATCGCGAGGCAGCTTGAAACGGCTAAACGAGTACCAATAAAGTTCGAAAAAGTAAAAAATACCTAATTAACAACTACAAGAATCATTAATTTTACAAAACTACAAACTACTTACACGCTACGTTCCTCCCTTCTCGATGACTGTTCGTAGACCCTAGGGCCCATAAGTTGCAGTTGACGATCGGCTCCCTCTTTTAGATCACCGTCGGGCAAGGGGATAGCATTAGGATCCACCGACCGTGCCATCTTTTCTTGCTCTATACCAGAAATTAAGAAACTCTTTGAAAACTAACCTGCCAAGCGTTTTATGCTAGCCACTTGCGCGTGGTATGTCTTCATCGCCTCGTTGAGCTTCGCGATTTCCATTTCGTCCTGAATCAATTAATCAAATCAAAAGAGCAGGCAAAAGATCATACCTTGGAATTGGTCAAAACCGTCCTCCGCTTGTCGATGGCATCCATAATAGCCTTCTGCTTCTTTTTGAGCACTTCAATCGCAAACTGCCTTTCATCGAGACCGAGTACTGCAAAAAGGATTAATTACTTAAAATACAGCCATACTTTGTCGTTCAAGGTTCAGTGACTTCCTGAGGTTACTAGCCACCTCGGTGTGTTTTGCGATTGCGACACGAACCTAAGAAAAATAAAATACAAAAACCAAGAAAAGCTTACCTGTTGTCGTTCCTTCTTGTTTTTCTTGATCACACGCATCCGTTCTTGCTTGCGCGCCTATTAAGAGATATTAGAAAACCAAGAAGTAATCATACCTGATCAACGGGCGCCCTGTATTGTTTACCATGCTTCGTTTTTGAAGCGCCACCCATTCTGCAAAAATAGACCGTTAAGTCTACTAAATTTTTGTTTATAATTTATCAAAATCGGGGAGCTGAAGCAGCACTCGTTTTCGCCGGGCGTAAGGCAATCCGCCCACCCGCAAGCACAAGAAAGGCGTGTCGATAGCGCAAAACTGTTGCCAACAGCCAGCCAGTCTCCAAAACTCCCAGATATCTTTGCAAATGCTTAAACATTTACTTTGTCTTTCCAAATGGCAAATGAATAAATATTTATCTAAAAACAATATTAAAACAGAAACCGGTAAACAAGCAAACAAGCGAACAAGAAAATTTTTGAATCCTAGCTCCAAAGATTCTATTTTAATCGGAATCGTCTTCATCATCACTTTCTTCTAACCAATCCACAAGTTGTTTCATCAGGGGCCTGGAAAGAAACGATCAAAAAAAAATCGTAGGAATTACCGCAAAGGGCTGTCGCCGTCGAGAGTGTTATGCCATTCGAGAATCGAAGTATCATCCAAGACGCCGAGCCCTTTATCCTCGTCGTACATGAAATGGACGATCAGGGGCAATTTGGGCCCAAATCCATCATGCGCGTGGTAGTGCTCCTAAACAATTTGTTGTAAATTGAGCACGGTAGCGTACCTCCAAGCCCATCAACAGTTGAATTTGACATCTTTGTGGGCGATAGTAGTTGGTGTAAAGATTTTTCCATTGCAGAGCGAGCTGAAAATAAATAATGATAAAAACTTAGGCTGAGTAACGAACCGCTTTAAATCCGGGAATAGTTTGGCACGGGTCGAGCTGGAGGATGGATTTGAACAAATACTTGGACAGATCGTCCATTGATATGTTATTAGCCAGTTTTGACGAGTTGATTTCCAGCGTGAGATTGCGGACCTAGCAACAAATAAATAAAAAAGACCCCCAAAAACCTACTGTCTGATCATTAAAGCCCAGCTCGATGATTCGGTTCATGCTGTCAAAGATCTAAAAAGAAAGATTTTCGTTTTTAAAACGGGTATACCTCTTCTTGGAAAATGGACACCGGATCGACTTCACCAAGATCATCCTCGTCTTCATCCTCCTCTTCCAGATCGTCACTGTTAGAGCCACTAAATTTATTTCGATTGCAAAACAAGGAAGCGACCGTACCCGCCGTTGACGCTAAAAAGCGCGTTGTTCCGCAGGGCCCGAGACCATACAGAGAACCCAGAGGTCAGCTTCCAAAGATATACATTATCTAAACCACTATTAATTAACAATGGATTCTGCTCACCTTGGATCTTCACGCACTTAATTCCATCTTCCGAGTCTTCATCTGGAGGTAAAGGGCTCAGAAGCTGACCAATGAAATTCAACTCGTCGGATGTACTTGGGTAAATCAGCTGAAAAGAGACCCTTAATTCAGAGACGAAAATGCTTCTCACGTTATGGCTAAGGATCTGCTTCTCCAGTCGACAATTATCGGGTATTGTGACGTTATCTCCGATGAAGGTGCTTTCCAGTAGACACCCTTTCCCGATCTTGCAATTCTTCCCCACAATCGAGTCGGTGATGCGCGTGGCGAGGCCTGGAAACTTCTGTAAAACAAGCCAAAAACATTCAAAACTGTCTGGAAAATTGGCAAATGCAATGCGGACGGACAAGAGGTGGAAAAACAGAAACCCGAGTGCAAGGTGAATAAAAACAAGACCATGTTCATTCGCCCCACCGATCGTCGTCCCATTTCCAATCACCGAATTGACCACCTTCACGGCCGTTTCATACGTCCCTTCTTTGCCCAAAAGCGAGCTGGTACCGAGCACATCGACACGCAGGGCTAAAGGCACGATGCGGGTTTCCCAACGAATAAAACCTTTCAGAGACCCGTATCTTATGCAATCTTGTGCATAGTAAATGTCGGCCACGTTCGATTGCATCGCGTAGTCTCTCGACTAAAGCAGAAAATAGAAATTTAGTAAATAGACGTACTTGGAACAAATTTTCAGGCGACAGGGGATAGAGCCAATGATTCAGCAGCAGCTTGGAAGCATAAACGTACGAGTCGTAATCGCTAAAAAAATATGTGAATACAAAATATAGTGTTACTATATTTGAACAGCACCCTCGTTAGCGCTCAACACGTCGATATGAATATTCAGCAAGAGGATCTCTTCGTTGACCAAGATCTCCCTAAACTCATAAATGGAACGGACAAAACCAATGCCTGATAACGTCGTTCCGTTGCTTGAAGTCAAAATTTGTGCTGAACTGCACCAAGATGTTGACAGAACAGAAGGCGATTCCCGTGTCGACGAGATCACGGCGAATCACGACCTCTTCCGTAAAGAGATTCTGAACAGGGTTGCGTTAGAAACTAATATGTCGTACCTTTTCCACCGTCACTCGAGACGGGTGATCAGCGCTGTGGAAGTAAGCCAACTTCTGGGTGCCCTTCTTCACTCCAATCACCGATTTTTGCGGGTCGTCGGCCTTCGCGTAGATGAGGGTCATCACATTGTGCTTATCAGCATTCCGACGCTCTCTATATTATCCAGAAGTCAAAAATGCTCTGAAGAACTCACTGGAATGCTTGCAATTGTGGTTTCAGGGTAGAATTCGTGAATGTAGCTGGGTTATCGATGAGCAAGAAATCAGACTAGAAGAAAAATTTCAAAGTCAATTATAGAAACCACACCGTAACCAAGGCCCGGCTGTCGAGCTCGCGTAGAGTGTCACCAACGGATAACGCGTCCTTACAACTGACGATGAGAAATTGCTCAAAGTGGATTCGCCATTTCCTAAACATGATTTGGAAGAGATCATAGAAAATTACTCCTCAACGGGCTTCAAATGGTTGTAATTTCTTTCAGCAACAAGAAGGATAACTTTTGGCAGCTAAATGACATGATTTAAAAGATTCGGAACACGCACATTTGCTCGTAAAAGCCACTCCAACGTTATTTCGATTATTGGGACGTTGCACACGGCTTGTTGGCACTAAAGAAAAAAAATGTCCCGAAGAAAAATACAGCAAACCCAGGTGCCTCCTTCTCTAAAAAGTGCGTCAAATCGATGCTCGAAATTGTCCGCGACAATGACCGCCGAAAATTTTGCCTAAACACGTAAAAACACGGAAGAGACCGATTAACCTCATTGTCTTTCTTCTGAATCGAATCGCGAGCGACGGCTCCCCAGGGCACCATCCTAATATATCAAAAACTCTTTTCTGAAACCAAATTCTTTAGGAAAGCGCGGGTAAAGCCGTTAATTCCGGAAGAACAAACTACAACATTTTATACAGGATAAAGTTACAATTTATATACAGAATAATATGAAACGATTTAAACTTGGGCTTCGCGAAGTAACTTGATAAGTTGTTCGTGGGAAGCATAGAGAGGCTCATCGGTGAACACATCTATCCAACGCACAGCTGTTGCATCATCGGCCGCCTGCAATAGCTTACGTTAGACGGGAAAAGGGCCCGAAAAGAGGGAGGACTTAGAAAAACGAAACGCTACCTCCAAATCCACATCCTTCAGCAAACCGGCATCGTCATGAAAATGGACACATACTGTTTCCATCCATGAATTATCCGTGTTGCGAGGATCATCAACATAGCCCTAAAGGAGAATAAACCCAATTTCGATAGTGAACCTTGTAAAGCTCCTTGCCCCTCGTCCACAATTCCTTCAGTTCATCTGTCTTCTTTCCTCCAAGTGCCTCCTCGGAAAATTCGCGTTTCAATGTCGCAGAGACATTCTCTCCAGCATCAACCATGCCACCCGGGATTGCCCACTCGCCTAAAACAACACAATTGGCAACTAAGCAATCAATATAGGATACCTGTATCACTACGTTGAATCGCAACAAAATATAGACGTCCATCCTTGTTTCGTGTAACGATCGGGTCAGCAGCATGGTTCGGTCCCCATCTAAACAAAATTGAAAAAGTCCTCGCCTTCGTACCTTCCCAACACGCCACGTCCACGCAGCCCTGTGCGTCCCATCGGATTCAAAGGACGGCCTTCATCGTCAAATGAATAATCACTAAGAAATAATTTGTTGGCACCCTCCAACCCACACGACATGAGATTTTCGATTGATCTTTCCATCGACGGCATTCCACTTTATGCCATCCAATTTGTCATCAGCATAGGGCTTTCCGAATGTTTTTGGATCAGTGTAGTCAGGAGGGCTAAGAGAGCTATCGTCAACTGGCTATTCACACCTGTACTCCGAAAAATCGGTTGACCATTTGACTTTCGCATCGGGAACCTTGACTCGATGTATTTGGCTGTGCAAGTAGGGCGCGTCTGAAGCAACTGGTAATTTGCAGCAACCGAAGAACCTGTGTTCCTGCACTTGGCATGAATGAAAGCCATCGCACGTTTGCAGAGCTGATGATTCCAAAAACTCATAAGTCTATTATCGTGACCAATCGGAAGGACATGTTACCGATCAGCCCCCGATGGAAAAATGGCAACGCAAAACCGCGAAACCACGATAGCCAGAGCACCTCCAAGAAGGTCGCCATGCAAAATTCGCCCAAAAAAAATAATTTTTATTAGTTCCTATAACGTGTGGTATCACAGTTACCCGCCAGAATGAATCACATGCATCACAAGGCAGTCAAATTAACAATAACAAAAAACTGGTTATTATGTTTAGTAAACTGATTTCTGATATGTGCAAATGCAGTTTTGGTCTGTTTTGTTTTTGCAGGTCTGGTTTTGGTCTAGTTGGGCTGGAAAATGCCGGGCAGAAGCGGAAGCAGAAGCTTGATTAATCCGTTTCGATCAAATCATCGAAGTAGTCGGCCTTCAATATGTGTTGCTCGTCATTGGCAAAGACCGAAATGTGGGCGATCACATCGAGCCGATGCTCTTCCAAGTAGGTCAGAAGAAGATGCCTCGACTCGGGGGCCTTCCAATTCTGAAAACAAAAATACGAGACCATTTTGCTGCGCACCTCCAAGATTTGCCGATCTCCTTCGAGCGAGATGTATACTTCTTCGAAGGCTTCGATGAAGACGAACCAATCCCGTCGGTCCCGTGAGGTAGCGAAACTGAAAACGTTGGAAGGGTAAAGACAAGCGGGTAAGATTACTTGTGTGCGACACGCTGTAGCCGTCGCATATGTGCGCTGATCTCAACTTTTCGCCCGTAGTTTGGGGCCGCCCTAAGTAAAAAATATTGCTAACCAAGAAAGGTTTACTTGAAGCGAGAAGTCAACTCGTTAACGACGCCTTCCAAAAAACGAGTGAATTCATCTACGATTGCTTCTTCCTTTCCAGGGTCCGCCTGCGCCTGGGCTCTCTTGTGTTGGGGAATGTGACGGGCAACGGGTGATGCGACGTTAGAGACTCTTCCGGTTGCAGGGATCTTTTCTCTCGGTAGTTCCGCCTCGCTGGTGCGCAGTTTGGTCCTCAGCATGCTAATCGTGACAGCATCCAATGATGGCTCAAAATTGGCCAGGCCGCCAATGCGTTCCTCTTCGTGGAGCACGAGTCGCCGTAGATTCTGAACGAGGTTGACTGGATCGATAATTCTCACCTTGACGTTTAGGCTGATAAGCCCTTGATCGCTGTATGAATTGGTTCTCACGCCAAAGATGTTGTCTTCGGTGAGTAGTATCACTTTTAGAGGACAAGTCCCCTCTACTAAAACTCTAGGTTACCGTTGATCAAAGTCTGTACCTAATTTGATCAAATCCAAGGCCCTCTGCAAAATTTTGCCGTCATTGTCGGAAGCCGTATCGACGCGGCCAGACTGAAACAAGGAAATCGTTACTGATTACAATCCAGAATTTTACGTGTTCCAGGATGGCCAGCTCTGAGTATGTAACTGACAGCGGGGAGGTCATTCCACGTAGTACATTGTTCACGCATGCCAAAGTCTTCTGAGCACAACATTAGTCATAGCGGAACGTTCACCAACCATAAGCTCCGGCTTTCTTTTCAGCCGTTCTAATTCGCTTTGGACGGTGCGTGAGATAAAAACAGCGATCTTGCCTGGAGACATCTTTTGCATTAGCGAAAAAAAAAGTCCTTACGGGACGTGAGAAACGGAAGGATCCCTGGATCTCGCAGCAGCGAGCATGTATCGCAGGTCACAATAAAGCTGAACTTGTCATTCACCTAAAAAGCCCGTAAAATAAAGACAAATCAGTCATACCGCCGGAAAGAGACCATCCACTTCCATTGCATCTTCGGGAATCGGAGCTGGTTCTACAGGAGAAAATAAGGTGGTGAAAAGGACGCAAACCAGTGGTATCCTGACCAAAGAGTTTCTTGATCTGACTGCGACACTTCTCCTTCTTAAGTGGGCTGAGGTTGAGTATTTGCTTTTCATTTTGCTTCTTTTTGAATGTCGGCAGTTTTGGATGCAGCTTCCCCAAATTCCTAGAAAGCCGAAATTTTGATCAAACGAAATCTTACCCTTCCGATTTTTTGTGGGGCTTTTTTCGGCTACTGGGATCAAATGGCGCCGTAGAAGTGGTGCTGGGCTTGGGCACAAGTGCCGGGGGAATCGGAACCTACAAAAAAAGTAAGGTGCTAATGCAGTTAGGGTTAGGGGGGGGCAGTCCGAAATTGGTAGTAAGGGGTTACGAGACGCTCCGCTTAAGCTACTTGGTTTTCTGCTTAAGCCTAGGCTTAACTTAGCTTTAACTAAGATTAGCTTAGGCTTAGGCTTAAGCTTAAGCCCAAGCTAAGCTTAACTTGAGCTTTAAATTGCCTTAGGTGGTCAAAATGGGGTCATTTAGGACTAAGCTTAGAGCTAATCCAACTTCTTACTTTATCCCCTTGGTCTGGATTGGGGATTTTCCATATGGAAGATCCGTCCGGGTGCGAATAGTAGTTTAATTTGCGGCTCTTCGCCTCGAATGCTATCCATGGGTACGGGATGTTGGCATCATCATAAACGCGTTGGCTGGGCTGAAAAAAAGCTGCTAGCAAAAGACAAGAAAAAGGTCGAACCTTTGGTGATAAGGTGAGGTCGAGAGACGTCTCCTTGGTTTTGGCGTTGACGTAGTAGCGTACATCGCCGATGTCATAGCCGATCCACGGGAATGCCAATCCTTGTACATTTACCCGTCTTGGCTCCATTAGCTGCTATTAGCATCTGGAACAGAAAGTAAAGAATGAAGCGAGTACCAAACAATTGAAACATCTGAAGTAAAAGGTAACTAGAGCCAAGAAGAAAACGGATGGAAGAAGTATAGAGGATGAAAAACTCTGGGTTGTGTGCTAGGAACAAAAAAATGATATAATTTATCGCTGCCGTCCAAAAATAAAACGCGGATCCTTTGCTTCGAGAAGTTTCATAAATTCGGCCTCCCGATCCGACAATTTCTCGTTGAGACCGCGGAGTGCGAACAAAATCTCGCCCTAAAAACATATTCCGTTCGATACAATTGACGTAAGTCTGTGATCTGTACTGTTCCGTCCTACACCTTTGGACTGTCTACTGTAATAGCTTTCTCGCCGAGACGTACTTTTTGCGATTCGAGAGCGTCGACTTCGTGTTTTTTGCCGACTTCCAACTAAAAATTTATGCTACACAAGTTATTCCACGCAATTCTACCTCGTTTAGCTTCTTTCTAAGCTGGGCTTTGTCTCGTTGCGCAAATAAAGCCATGATTTCTGGCGTCCTGAATGCTTCTTGTATAGCCGCCCGGATCGCCTAAACTTTCATTTCATTACTTTTTTCCTCTTTCTATCCACCATTTTTGCGGCCGTAACCTCATCTACCACCGCCATATTACCGCCTTCGAGCTTGTCGAGCGCATTCCCCAATTCCTGAGCGATCTTTTGGTGAAATTTAGACGCCCAAACCTGCAATTGCTCTCTAGCATCCTTTTTCATATCCTGATATTCATCGTCGCTCAAGGAATCCCTAAAAAGGAAGTTTTTGCCGTCGGGGATTGGGAAACCGCAGGTGACCAACCTCTCTTCCTCCAAATCTTTTAATTGCTCTAACAGTCGTCCAAGTTGGGTTTGAAGATTTTTTATTAACGCAGCTTGAGCCATTTTTATCGTTGACGACAACAACACCGAGGAATTTTGTTTATGCCATGTTATCTTTGAGCGCTATTTCGCGACTTCCATGCTGCGCTAGGAGAGTACATTGAAACCATGGAGGAACTAGACGCCCGACACTCTGACGCGCTCTCCTATTTCTCTCCCCCAAAACCCGTCCTTTCGAAAGTGCAGTTCTGAGGAAGCTGGTTTTTTGTGACCGTAATCGATTCTTCTTTGTTTTCTAATCAAAGAGATAGGCGATAAGAAAGAAATTTTGCAGAAGAAATGGCCCTGGTCGGGATCGACTTTCGGGCCCCTTTGCGGGATGTAAAGAAGGTCCAGTTCGGTATCCTCAGTCCAGATGAAATCGTGAGTTTTGAGCCTCTAGCACTAATTTCAAATATAGAGACGCATGTCCGTGGCTGAGATCGAATTTGCCGAGATCAACGAGCACGGAAAGCCCAAACTTGGCGGTCTGATGGATCCACGGCAGGGAGTCATCGACAGAAAGTAAATTTGGCGCATTATTCTGACGAGCCAATTTCAGAGGCAACTGCATGACGTGCACCGGAGATTTGGCACATTGTCCGGGCCACTTTGGTCACTTGGAGTTGGCAAAGCCTGTTTTCCACATCGGGTTCATGACCAAGTCGCTGAAAGTGAATTTGGCGTCCTTATTATTATCCCCCCGTTTAGGTGCTACGCTGCGTCTGTTTCTATTGCAGTCGGTTGCTTCTTGACAAGGAAAACCAACGAGTGAAGGAGATTTTGAAAAAGACTGCGGTTCGTTTTGATTGGTAGAATCTTATTCTCCTTTTTCTTTAGGGTAACCCGCGTAGACGTTTGGCGATGATTTATGATCTCTGCAAAACGAAGCAAGTTTGCGAGGGTGCGACGGATCCGACTAATCCTGATGTGAGGAGAAAATTTCGGCCAATATATCTTCTTAGGAAGCGGAGGAGGTGGATCCGGATAAACCTACAAGATCTGGCGGATGTGGGCGATATCAGCCCAACTATCGCAAGGTCGGAATTGAAATTACCGCTGAATGGAAGAAGAATTTCAACGAAGACACCCAGGTTTGTTCCTCACAGAAAGTATTCAACAATTGTTATAGGAAAGAAAGATCACGGTCACCGCTGAGCGGGCGCTTGATGTTTTCAAGGGCGTTACCGATGAGGATTGTCTAATCATCGGTAGCGTGACTTTCTGAGAAGAAACTTTTCTTCCAGGAATGGACCCACGGTTTGCGAGGCCGGACTGGATGATCGCTACAGTGTTGCCTGTACCTCCGCTTGCTGTTCGTCCCGCTGTCGTCACCTTCGGCTCAGCGCGTAATCAAGACGACTTGACGCACAAGCTTGCCGATATCGTCAAACAGAATAACGAGCTCAGAAGGTAGTGCCTTTTTGTAAACACATAAAATCATCCCTTTCTAGTAACGAAGCCAAAGGAGCAGCCGCGCACGTCTTGGCCGACAATGTCAAGTTGCTACAATACCACGTCGCTACTCTTGTGGACAATTGTCTGCCTGGAGTCCCAACAGCTACCCAAAAAGGAGGACGGCCCTTGAAGTCGATCAAGCAGCGTCTGAAAGGAAAGGAAGGGCGAATTCGAGGAAACTTGATGGGAAAGCGTGTCGATTTTTCGGCTCGTACCGTCATTACCCCGGATCCCAATCTGCCCATCGATACTGTCGGCGTTCCGCGGACCATCGCTCAGAACATGACTTTCCCGGAAATCGTCACCCCGTTCAACATTGACAAGTAAAGTTGCTCACTAACTATTGTATCCACGTTCTAGGCTGCAAATTTTGGTCAACCAAGGCGATGCTCAATATCCTGGCGCGAAATACATCATCCGTGACAATGGGGAGCGTGTCGATTTGCGCTATCACCCCCGTGCGGCCGATCTTCATCTTCAACCTGGCTACAAGTGTGGAATATGCGAAAACTTACTATTTGAATTTATAGAGTGGAAAGGCACATGCGTGATGGTGACATCATCGTCTTCAATCGTCAGCCAACACTCCACAAAATGAGTATGATGGGTCACAGAGTCAAGGTTGGAGATATCCAACATTTTTAAATTGCCATAGATTCTGCCGTGGTCTACCTTCCGCATGAATCTGTCTGTGACGACACCTTACAACGCCGACTTTGACGGTGACGAGATGAACCTTCACTTGCCCCAGTCGCTCGAGACAAAGGCCGAAATTGAAGAGGTAAAATTTAGCGAAAAAAAAATCATGTTGTCTTTAGATTGCGCTGGTACCGCGTCAACTGATTACGCCGCAAGCCAACAAGCCTGTGATGGGTATCGTGCAGGATACACTTTGCGCCGTCCGCATGATGACAAAACGCGACGTTTTCATTGAATTTGTTAGTTATTATGTTTTGGTGTCGATTCGGTCTCTTTGTTTTAGCCGAGATTGATGGACCTATTGATGGCGCTGCCGGATTGGGACGGAAAGATTCCGCAACCAGCTATTCTCAAGCCGAAGCCGCTCTGGACCGGTGAATTAATACAAATTATCGGTTTTATTGCCAATTTTAGGCAAGCAGCTCTTCACGCTGATCATTCCGGGAACTGTCAATGTAATCACAAAGCATTCTACCCATCCCGATGAGGAAGACTCCGGCCCATATCAATGGATCACGCCCGGCGACACCAAGGTTGGATTTTTCGACATTAAAAAAAATACGATTCTAGGTTCTAATCGAGCAAGGCGAGCTGCTGACCGGTATCGTTTGTTCCAAGACTGTCGGTCGATCGTCTGGCAACTTGATGCATGTCATTGTCCACGAGCTTGGCCATGAGGTTCGCAAATTTTGCCCTGAGAAATGGTTTCATTCTAGACGGCCGGAAAATTCTATTCTCACGTGCAAAAAGTCGTCAATCAATGGCTGTTGATGGAAGGCCATACGATCGGAATCGGTGATGCCATTGCCGATCAGGACACCTACAAAGACATTCGGCGCACCATCGAGAAGGCCAAGCAAGAAGTGGTGGACGTTATTGAAAAGTACGAGCTATTATTCTTTTTCATCTATGGCTTTTAGAGCGCACAACGACGATCTCGAGCCGACGCCTGGTAACACGTTGCGTCAAACCTTCGAGAATATGGTTAACAGGTGGGTTTTCGGAAAGCCTTTCTAATATCCGTTCTAGAATCCTCAACGATGCCCGTGATCGCACAGGTTCATCGGCTCAAAAGTCTCTTTCTGAATTCAACAACTTCAAGTCCATGGTCGTGGCTGGTTCTAAAGGATCGAAGATTAACATTTCTCAAGTAAATTTTTGAAGATTTCGCTTTTATGTTGATAGGTTATCGCTTGCGTCGGTCAGCAAAACGTCGAAGGAAAGCGTATTCCCTTCGGATTCCGTCATCGTACCCTGCCGCATTTCATCAAGGATGATTATGGCCCGGAATCCAAGGGGTAATTTTGTCCTCAAAATCGTCATTTGGATTAGATTCGTCGAGAATTCTTACCTGGCCGGTCTGACCGCCGCTGAATTCTTCTTCCACGCTATGGGAGGTCGAGAAGGTCTGATCGATACGGCCGTCAAAACCGCCGAGACTGGTTACATCCAGCGTCGTCTCATCAAGGCTATGGAGTCTGTAATGGTCAACTACGACGGCACGGTAAAAATTCATTTGTGCGTTTAGCTCTATTTTTTAGGTCCGGAACTCGATAGCCCAGATGGTCCAGCTTCGTTACGGTGAAGATGGTCTGGACGGAATGTGGGTGGAGAGCCAGTTTATGCCAACGATGAAGCTGACAAACGCCGCTTTCGAAGACCGCTTCAAGCTTGACGTGACCGATGAGCAGGCTTTGCGCCGTGTCTACACCGAAGACGTCGTCCGCGAACTTATCGGGACTCCTTCGGCTCTGAACGATGTTGAGGATGAGTGGCAACAGCTTGAGGAGGATCGGCGGCTACTCCGCAAAATCTTCCCCAAAGGAGACAACAAAGTTGTGCTGCCCTGCAATCTGCAGAGGCTGATTTGGAATGCCCAAAAGATCTTCAAGGTCGAGACAAGGTAGGGTGTATCTTTCACCTCTTGACTGTTTTTTTAGGAAACCTACGAGTCTCAGTCCGATTCGTGTCATCGAGGGCGTCCGCGAGATCTCCAAAAAGCTGGTATATTTATCTTTTTTTTCTAACCAAAATTTAGATCATTGTGTGCGGAGACGACCGAATTTCGAAGCAGGCTCAATACAACGCCACCCTTTTGATGAACATCCTTATCCGCTCCACACTCTGCTCAAGACAGATGGCCGATAAGCACAAACTCAGCGTGGAAGGATTTGACTGGCTTCTGGGTTTGGCGAAATCGTATTTCTAAAATGGATTTAGGTGAAATCGAGCACCGCTTCCAGCAAGCCATCGTGCAACCCGGTGAAATGGTCGGCGCCTTGGCGGCTCAATCCTTGGGAGAGCCTGCTACTCAAATGACCCTCAACACCTTCCATTTTGCTGGTAATTATTGGCCTCTGTCCTTGAAGTTGGTTTCCAGGTGTGTCTGCGAAGAACGTGACGCTCGGTGTGCCTCGTCTCAAGGAGATCATCAACGTTTCCAAGTCGCCAAAGACGCCGTCGCTGACCGTGTATCTGACCGGTGCGGCGGCAAAGGACGCCGAAAAAGCGAAAGATGTGCTCTGCAAGTTGGAGCACACAACGTTGCGGAAAGTTACGGCCAATACTGCAATCTACTACGATCCCGATCCCAGGAACACGATCATTGCTGAGGACGAAGAATGGGTATCGTATTTTAGATATTCTTACAACGTATTTTTAGGTTTCCATTTTCTACGAAATGCCTGATAATGATCCGTCTCGATGCTCTCCCTGGTTGCTCAGAATCGAGCTGGATCCAAAGAGGTTTTTTTTAATCTCACTTTAATATTTTTCCTTCAGGATGACTGACAAGAAGCTGACGATGGCCAACATCTTCCTGAAGATCCAACAAGGCTTCGGCGACGATCTGAATGTGATCTACACTGATGACAACGCTGATTCGCTCGTCTTCCGCATTCGCATCAACGGACAGGATAACGACAAAGGGGACAGCGAGGAGCAGGTGGACAAGATGGAGGACGACATGTTCTTGCGGGCTATTGAACAGAATATGCTCACCGATCTCACGCTCCAGGGCATCGAACAGATTGTCAAGGTATGAATTTTTGCTGTAATTAATAAAATTCTTTAAGGTTTACATGCACAAGCCGACGACTGACGATAAGAAGAGGATCGTGATCACCCCGGAAGGAGGCTTCAAGGCGATTCCTGAATGGCTGCTTGAAACGGACGGAACGGCTCTACTCCAAGTGCTCTCTCAACCGAACGTGGACCCCGTGCGCACGACATCCAACGACATTTGCGAGATTTTCGAGGTTTGTTTTACCTCACCTTTGGATTTGACCTACCTCACCACTTTCTGGAATTTAACTGTTTTTAGGTGCTGGGTATCGAGGCCGTGCGCAAGGCCATAGAGCGTGAAATGCATCAAGTCATTTCTTTCGACGGCTCCTACGTCAACTATCGGCATCTGGCGCTGCTTTGCGATGTGATGACGGCCAAGGGACATTTGATGGCCATCACCCGTCACGGAATCAATCGGCAAGAAGTTGGTGCGCTGATGAGGTGCTCCTTCGAAGAGACGGTCGATATTCTGATGGAGGCTGCCGCACATGCTGAAATGGACCCTGTCAAAGGTAAACAAATTACTGGGAGGGAATTAGGATTTTGTGTGGCATAATAAGCATCATTTATATAGCTTTTTACGTGGTTTTTAGTCAGTTTTACGCAGGATCATTTCAATTTTCGCATGGTTTTCTGGTAAAAAATGTATGAAATTGACCCAGAGCTCCAAAACACAAATTAATTTTCGTGGAGGTAGGCATAGGCTAGCTAGGATAATAGTCCAGTACCGCCAAAAATTCTTTTGATGATAACCTTTTAGGTGTCTCCGAAAACATCATGCTTGGACAGCTGGCCAAGGCTGGAACCGGTTGCTTTGACCTGGTGCTCGACGCGGAGAAGTGCAAGCTGGGCATGGAGATTACGCTGAATTACCAGGCGCTCGCCCATGGTATCTTTGGTGCGCAGAGTCCGGCGAGGTAAAGAATTTTTGTAAATTTTTTACTAACTATTTTAGTTCGTCGATGTCACCATCAGCTACACCTTGGGGTGACGGCGCTACGCCAGGTTATGGCGGTGCCTCGTGGTCGCCGGTTGGACCGGGGATGACGCCGAGCGGAGCTGGTTTCTCGCCTGGCGGTGGTTCGGAAGGCGGATTCAGTCCGGCAGGCTTCAGGTAATCCTTCCCTGGCTTGCTTTGAATTCAAATTTTCAGTGAGGGCGGTTGGTCCCCTGGTGGCGCAATGTCTCCGGGAGGTGGCATGTCTCCTGGTGGTGCATCGCCATATGATGCCCTTCTGTCACCACGCTACAGCCCGACCTCTCCGAGTTCTCCTTACACGGCCGCTAGCCCGAGGTTAATTTGTAGTTTCTTGAAAAATATTGTTATTTAGATACTCCCCAACTTCACCGGGATACTCACCAACATCACCTTCCTATTCGCCGACGAGCCCAAGCTACAGCCCGACATCGCCGAGCTATTCGCCAACGTCGCCATCGTATTCGCCGACGAGCCCAAGCTACTCTCCCACGAGCCCTAGCTACAGCCCAACATCTCCCAGCTATTCTCCGACGAGCCCGTCGTATTCGCCGACCTCACCATCATATTCGCCGACGTCTCCTAGCTACAGCCCGACTTCGCCAACTTACAGTCCGACGAGTCCCACGTACGTTTAAGTCTACGATTTTCGAATTTTTGTCACAATTTATTTATTTAATGGATATTTTATACCGGAAATGCCAAAAACCTGTGTTGCCCTTTTATGGTTTGAGACTTCATGCTCCGTTTAGATATTCACCAACGAGCCCGTCCTATTCTCCCACGTCGCCGACCTATTCGCCTACTTCACCGACTTATTCTCCGACCAGTCCGACTTACCAGCCTGGAGGTGCAGGCAGCTACAGCCCTACAAGTCCGAGGTTAGAGTTTCTAATTACTCCTAGACCATCTGATTTGAGGTACTCTCCGACATCGCCGGTGTACAGCCCGACTTCTCCTACGTACTCGCCGTCGAGTCCGCAATACAGCCCGAGCAGCCCGCAGTACACGCCGACTTCTCCACAGTACAGCCCAAGCTCGCCGGTTCGGCAAGGCGCTTCGCCGAGCTACACTCCAACCTCGCCGCAATATTCGCCGACGAGCCCGGTATACACGCCGTCGAGTCCTCAGGTACGAAAAATATCTGTTGTCTAATGCCGTTTAGTACACGCCGGCGTCGCCGCAGTACCCTGGAGGATCTACGTCGCCGAATCCGGTACATATCTTTCGCCGCGCTTTATACTTATTTCCCTTTTTAGTATTCACCATCGTCGCCGCAGTACAGCCCAAGCTCCCCGCAGTATTCCCCCAGCACTGCGCAGGTAAGGAACATATCGTTTTGCTGGCAGGATTCGGAAGTTTTGCGGTTTCGAAATTCAATGATGCGCAAATCTGCTAACATCGGCATTTTTGGAATGTCGATTATATTAATTTTCCCCTTTATGAAAGTTGGCTTTTTGAAAATCTGCGAAAATTATCGCCCTGTTTATATCAGTTCTTTTAGTACTCTCCCTCCTCGCCCCAGTACAGCCCCTCCTCGCCCGTCTACGGCGAGCCCGACGATCAGGGCGACCAACAACCCGGTGGATCCAAAGCGAAGAAATAACCCTTCTCGGTGCGCCACGGACCATTTATTTTTACATGTTTCTCTGTCTCGATCATCAGCTTGTTGTTCATAAATTTCGCTCCACACGGGTCACACTTTGCAGATTTAATTGTTGGTCCATTGTTTCACGCTTTTACGATAAATATTTATTCGAATTTGGAGCGCGCGGGGCGCACACCGTACGCGAATGCTTTGGGTGAAAACAATTTGATGGTAACGAGTTGGGATGAACCGGATGACCCAGTTACGAGACCGGTAGCCGAGCCGGCGGGAGATAAAAAGAACCAGGAGTGGTGGCTCTGGTAGTCGAAGATGGGAATCGTTGTGATAGCCAGCGCGGCTTCTTGTGCTTCATTGCTGGTGGTGATCGTCTGCTTGCTGGCTGCTTTCGATGTTTCCCGCGAGATCGAGGCGGCCACTGAAGAACTAGCGAGGGAAATGGCCGAGTTTAAAGTGAGCTATGCTCTTCATTTTCACCCGGTGTTTAGGAATCGACAGACCAGCTGTGGAATGGAATTCGCTCCAACGGCTTCCGCGGAAAGCGCCAAGCATACGGCGCCCAGCCACCTGGTGGATACGTCGAAGCGAATGTCGCTGAAGTACACGCCCCGGGCATTGAGATAAGCCTAGATTTTCACCTCCAATTTTCATTTAAGTGGGTCCGGCGTGTCAATGTGATGTGGAAAGGCAAAGGAAGTGCCCGCCTGGACCATCTGGACCGAAAGGAACTCCCGGGAACCCAGGGCCCAATGGTTATGCGGGAATTGATGGAAAACCAGGTAGAAACAAAAAAATCATCTCTGATTTTATGATTGCTAAATATTTGGAGGAAAATTTTTAAGGTTTTGAAGATCAAAACTTCCGAGGAATTCCGAGGAGGTTTATCTTACAGGAAATACCGTATTCTCCTCTTCCAGGTCATGACGCCGAGGACGTTACCCCCGGACAATACGATACCCCGCCATGCTTCATGTGCCAACCCGGACCCCAAGGTCCACCTGGACCTTCAGGAAGGCCCGGACCTCGCGGTATGAAAGGCGAAGAGGGGCGGGCAGGTCGTGATGGACGAGATGGACATCCGGGACCTCCTGGGACGGTTGGTAACAATAAAAATAAACTATAATAATACAAATATTCTAGTAAAATACAGGGTGTCCCAAAAAAAACGAACCATCTGGCATTTCGCCGTGTTACATCCAATCGACCCCAAATTTGGACCGGAGGTGTATCAGACCCTAAATAACAACAATCCTGACTTATAGCCCTGTAGCTATAGTAGTTCTCAAGCTATAGCAAAAACAAACTTTATTTTCCATTTTTGATAGTGTTTTCGTGGAATTAGACCCCCTAAACATTAGGTGAAAATGATCCGGTGTGCCTTCTTTACCTTAAGAAATTTTTTACATAATAAATTAGTTAAATAAGCTTCGATTTAAGCAATTTTTTGCAACACAAAATTACCCCAGATCTTACGCGAAATTTGGGATTCGCAGCCGGAAGTCGATGCAAATCGATGCAAAGTCCAAAAAGATAGCTGAAAAAACTGTTCGGAATTCCGGGAAAAACAGTATTTTTGTTATAACTCGAGCATGACTGCAGCTGTGGGGCTATAAGTCAGGATTGTTGTTATTTAGGGTCTGATACACCTTTGCTCCAAATTTCGGACCGATTCGATGTAACACGGCGAAATGCCAGATGGTTCGTTTTTTTTGGGACACCCTGTAGATGCAAAGGGAGACGAAAAGCTGTCATTTTAGATGGGGGCTGGTGGGCCTCAAGGTCGACCAGGGCCCGAGGGTGCACAGGGCGAAAAGGGAGCGGATGGGAGGAAGCCGATCGGACGACCTGGGCTTCGTGGCCTAAGGGGCCCTCAGGGAGAAACTGGTGCTCAAGGTGAACCGGGAAGAGATGGACCGATAGGGCCGGCTGGAGAGACTGGGCCCCAGGTGGGATAATGGATACTAAGCCCTTCAGTCTAAAACGGAGAAAAACAAAACAAATTTTCAAATTAGGGTCCGATGGGCGTCGAAGGACCTCCTGGACCGGACGGCGGCCCTGGCGAGGAAGGTCCTCTGGGCCGTATTGGACGTGACGCCGAATACTGCCCCTGCCCACCCAAACGCGCCAGCGCTGCCGGCGCCTACACGCTACCACGTGGATAGGAATAAATTCATTTGCATGTCTCCGACCTGCACAAAAGTTAAATTGTCTTCAAAGCTCTTGATTGGGCCAGAAACTAACATTTTCCGTAAATTTGCATCTTAAAATAAAACACGGAAATGGAATAAATCTCCCTTAAACTCTTGCTACAAATGGTCGGCAGACTCGGCAAACTTCATTTTCTACTGGTTTTACTTGTTTAAAAGAATCCGACAATGCCAAAGATTGAGGACGCAGTAAAAGTGAGTTTTGACCCGATCTTCAGAGAGAGCCGCCTTTTTCAGGGTGGCGGTGAAAAAGCGAAAAAGAAGGGATACGACGATGTGGAGATCGATCTCGACGATGAAGACGATAAGAAGGGGAAGTCGAAGAAGTCGCAGAAGAAGGACGTGAGCAAGGGAAAGGAAAAGGTAGCCACCAAATTATAAAAAGAGACCTTGTTTTTACAGGGTGTATCAAAAAAAAGTTCCGAAGTTTGTCCCCGAATAACTCGAGAAGGAAAAATATTTCACCATGCGTTACCATGACAGAATGCTTAAATATGCTGGGTATGAAGATTTAACACAACTTGATTTTTTCGATTTTTGAGTACGCAACTGTACAATTGACGCTGATTACGACCGAAAATTGTGCGTTCTTGAACGGGTGGTGGGAAAATTCTGATTTTTGGCCTAAAAATTGCTGATATTTGTACAAAGCTAACGGCCAAGTCTTATAATTTTGCAAGCTCTACTTCTTTTTTAACAAGGAAAACAAATTTCACTATTTTGTATCTTTTGACATTTTAATTCTCAACTCGCTTCAAATACGCTGCCCATGGCTGAATTTTTGCAGATGATGTCTCCGAATGATAATCTTTAGCACAACACCAAATTTTACCCGATTCTATGGTATTTTTCTATTGCTTGCTAAAACGTGCCCCAGAGGGATACTGTAGTTTTCGTTTTTCGCGTTTTTCTTTTTATTGTAAGCTGCGATTTTGCTTAAAATTTTTTCATTATATAACACCAGTAAGGGTCACCTATGGGCTAAGTATCGCGAAGTTCTAGCCATACACTTTCCCAAAATATGCAAAAAACTGATTTTTGAATTTAGCCACGGAAATGTCTAAAAATTTTGATGCATCTGACCAAAAACTAATATTATTTGTTTTCCCAAAAGATCGAAACATTTCTATGGTGAAAAGAACGAGAAAACGGCGATTTTCTGTTTTCTACAGTAACCCGCCTGGAGCGCATTTTAGCATGCCAAGACAAAATTCCATAAAGTGACGGTTTTTCGATTCTAGACTGTTCTCTGGGTGATTGTAAGAGCACCTACAAAAAATTACTTGATTCCTGTGGTAAATGACAAAGTTATGAAGGAAAGAGGAAAACCCCCCTCGGACCCCGATTTTGGACCCGAGGCCCCGGGCTGAAAATCGAATTTTTGAAAATGAAAAAGGCACCGGGGTTTGGTGGATACAATAAAAGCACGCATCGAATTGTGTATGAAAGCAAAATTCTGGAATGATCTGGCTGAAGTTAATGGTTAATTTTGATTTAAAACCCGAAAAATAACGTTTTTGAAAAGCTGACTTTGGCGAGCTCTTCTAAATTCGTTAGCCATGAAAAGGTTTTGCATTTGCATGGGTTCTAGTTGATTACCTAAGCTCGGTCTATGCCAGAAAAGTCGGGGCTACTAAACCCTCGAGAATTTTTTTTTTAAGTTGCGTCAAAGTCGGGTATATTTTGACTCTTCATGAATTTCTTTTGAAAGATCGGATGGCCCAATAAATTTGTAAATATAATCATAGAATGCGCCCATTAAGTAAAATTCAATAAAATTATGACAATAATTCTAGCCGCGCAAATGAATTTTATAGACTGGCACCAAGGTCTGCGAAATAGCACGAACCAACCGTTTTGGAGGCGCTAAAAAGCAACCTTCCAAAGGGGTACGGTAGCTAGAAATTGTGTACATGATAGATGGACCCCAGTAGTACACAACCAAGCTAAGCAAACACCCAAATTCTATCTGCAATTTTAGAAATATTGTTCCAAAGTTCGGTTTCGGGACCTCGAAAAAATCCATGACCAGGGGGTCGTTGAAAAACTTGAAAATTCATTAATCTCAAAAAATTCTTTGAAGTGTTTGCGCGATTGTACAGAGCTTGTAGGTATTCCAGAACAACCTATTTTGCGGTTCCCGCCATAAGTTTTTTTTAGTATTCGATATTTACGAAATTTCTCCATACTAAATTTGAGCGCGCTATAACTTGCCAACCAGACCTTCGAAAATTCCAAAATTTCGGATGTGCGTAGGGGCAATTCTTATGTATCCACACTGTAAAAACTGAAACCGCTCGACCACCAACAATTCAGAAAAATGCAACCGAAGTTTTGCCGGAACGCACAGTTTTCGGGTGTCATTTGTATTGATACGTCGCCAAAAATCGAAAAAATCAAGTTGTGTTAAATCTTCATACCCAGCATATTTAAGCATTCTGGCATGGTAACGCACGGTGAAATATTTTCCCTTCTCGAGATAATTGGGGACAAACTTCGGAACTTTTTTTTGATACACCCTGTAGAAAGAGGAAGAGAAGAAGGAGGAAAAGAAGGAAGAGAAGAAGGAGGAGGAGAAAAAGGAAGAGAAGAAAGAGGAGAAGAAAGAAGAGAAAAAGGAGGAGAAGCCGAAGGAGGAACCCGCAGCTCCACCGCCAAAGCCAACACCATCTCAAGTCCAGCCGCCGTCACCGTCGGCCGGCGGCGGTGGTGGTGGCCAGTCACAGATCGCTCCCGCGCCCGAAGCCGCTGGGGTAGCCGCTATTTCGCTTTTCGACCGGAAGTCGGATTTCAAAAATGGAATTACATCTGGTGCAATCAGAAATTAGTTTTTGAAAAGAAAAATCAAAATTACGTGAAGAAAACTTTTTTAAAGATGGGCTGATGCCAAATATACAGATTTCTCCCCCGCCTTAGTATCTATTTTGCCTAATAAATCTAGGATGCGTTTCTAAGCTGTTTTTAATACTTCTAAGGGTAAAAACACTGAAATTTTTTTTTTTTCTACTACAAGTGGCCTCTTTTCGATCAGTTTTAAAAAACTGCAAGTTTATCGCTCCGAAATTTTACTAAAAACGCTATTAAAACGCCAAATATCCCAAAAAAAACACTAGTTTAGACAGCTGAGGCGACGACACCCCTGCCCGAGAAGAAGAAGGGCTGCTGCACCATCTTATAAGCCCCGCCCGGTTCGATCCCGCCATCGCCGAATATCACCCACATTTCATTCTTCATTATAATAAACGTTTGATTGCGCTTTCCAGCCGATTCGCGAAGGGAATGAGAATAATCTTTATCGCTCTCTAATTCGATATGCGAGGATGGTGTCTAGCACAAAAAAACGGGGGCATTCAGAAGCAAAAAAAGGTGCCCGCTGGCTGGCGTGGCCACCAGTAAAAAACCCGTGGGGAAATACGCGAAACATCAAGACAACGTAAGAAAAAATATGGAAAAGTGACGCATTAATAGACGATACAGCATTCAAATAGGGCATTCCCGTTTTACAATTGGGGGAAGAGATCGGATGTTGGTTGAATGGAGAGGGAGAGGGAGCGAGGGTGTGAGAGTGAGTGAATGAGTGTTTCTTCTGGCTGGCATTCGATGCTTGAGCTACACAGGGCGACTATCACCGGAATTGATTTTGGGAAATGAGGGAGGCGAGGCATAATATTTTTAGACAAAAAAAAAAACAGAAAATACAATATATAACGTTGACGGGAGAGATCTGGGGGAATGAAGGGGAGAGAGATTCGAGCAAGAACTTGATTACACGATGTTTTAGAGAATAAACCGGCGGACGTTGTGGTACAGCTTCAGAAGGTTCTGCATGTGGATGGGAAGACAAGAGCGCCGGTCGTTCACCATCGGGTCCATCTCGAGCCATGAGAGGCTGTTGTACGTCTCGAGAACGTTGCTAAAAATGGGTTAATGAAACGTTTGAATCTATTGTGCAATTTGCTCTATTTAAAGTAGAAAAACTATTTAGAAACTTTGTTAAAATCTTGGAATCGTTTAATATGTCGATTTTGATAAGAAAATCCATGTTTATGTCTTTTTTAGGAAAATTTATGACAAAAATTGTAGAGAAATTTCCTCTATGCATCTCAAAAAGTCAAAAAAACCTGTCCCGATCTTGCGAAAGGACCAAATTAGCATACCGAAGCACTTCATCGGTGCGATTGCTGTCGAGCGGATGGCTGTACTGCTCCTGGGCCTTGTCCTTCGCCGTGTTGCCGGCCCCGAACGAGTCCTCGGCCTGCACCTGGGTCACGTTGATGTGCAGGGAAGCCTGAAAAAAAAATTGAAAATTAATTTGATGAAGCCGTAGAACATCGAAAAATCGGCAATTTTTCAATTAATCACCTTCAAATGGGTCGGAACCTGGCCGCGCGAGCTCATGGCCGACGCCCAGAACCATTCGGGCAAATCGGGAGCTGGCGCCGTTGAGATGTAGTACCCGGCTGCGAGGGGCTGATTCTCGAATGACGTGTCTAAAATGGAAGCGTTTATTTATATTTTCAAAACAATTAAAAATCCCGGAAAAGCAAAAAGTGTAAAAAAACCCACCGACGCCATCGAACAGATTGGCATAGTGCGAGCGCAACCCAGCAGTCTGTGGCTGCAGATCTTCCTCGCCGAGATCCTGCAAGATGCCCCGCATGTCCTCCCCGATATCGTCGATGCCGATGTCGAATTCGAAGCCGGCATCGTCGTCATCGTGGCCCTGGGCCAGAGTGTCAGCGGTCACAGGCTAAATAGTAAAGTTAGAGATATGGAAGGAATGCTGTATCAAATAGGTATAAAAACCAACCTGAACATCTACACTTTGCGGGTAGACGATTATGTGGGTGATGGATTGATCTTCGGGGCCTTGGCCCTGTCCACTGCGGCCGCGGCCACCTTTTTCGAGGCATGAGGGGAGGACTCTGAAAAAGGAGATTTAGTAAAGTAAAAACACATAGAGAAAGAGAGCGAGAGGGCGAGGGAGAGAGAGAGAGAGAGCGGACTAGGCTAAAATCTAAATCCTTACCTAATCGTCGGTTCGGGCTCAAATGAAACGAGACAAGCAGACAGAATCACGGGGCACTCCTGATGGATGACCGGAATGTGCGCCGGAACGTTTTGGCAATGTTGGCATCCATCTTTCATCCGCGCGTTGTACCGCTTCAAGCTCGGCTTCGACAGCAGCGCGGCCCAGGCCTAAACAATATATATTACCAACCTAAACCCCAACCCGTACCTTAAATTCGGTATGCCCAATTCGTCCGAGTTTTCCGATGACCACCCGCCAACACGACGTCGCAACCGTCAACTGGCCTTGAATGTACAGCCACAGCTTCTCCATCGCATCGAAAATCTGCGTGCGCTTGCGGAACTTGACGACGAGCCTCCGCGGGTTGTCCGGCTTCATGTTGATGAGACAATTGTCGCGCAGCTCTCCCTGCTGATCGGTGACGGAAGCGCATAGCCACTCATCACCAAGTAGACAGTACGTGACGTACAACACCTGTTCGGGCAAATCGACGTGCGACAGGGTGCCGTCCGGTCTTTCCTGAAGCAGAGCGTCCGGGGCCAATTTCAACGGGTTCGAGTGGATTTGGTAGAAATAGGGGTCGGTCCAGCGGTCCATTTCTTCGACCATGCCGGAGGCGGGCCCGAATTTGGTCATGCTCTTCGGCTGGATGGACTTGACGCATTCGTTGTCGAGGACACGGGGTTGAGAGTAGACGGACAGGCACAGATCTCGCATGTAGTCGTAGGAGGATTTCGTCTCGACGTGTTCCGCTTCTGAAAAGAGAGGTTGATAAAAATACAAAACTAGCAAACGATCTTTTTACGATAATAATCGAATTTTGCGACGTGGTACAGTTTATTCGATAGAGGTTTAAATGCTGAAAAAAATTGCTAGACCGCAAATTTTGATAAGGGCTCGCAAAAATGGGCAAAATCTGAAGGCTTCTCGAAGGCCACTTCTTTTTCTTGATGGCTCCGAATTTTATATAGACTAAAAAAACTAACGCGGTCTCGATTGCTGCGAGTAGAGGCCGTAGTGGTCGAGAATCTGCGAGGCGGGCACGATCTCAAATTGGATGCGGGCACGCCATTTCACGGGCAGAAGCTGGCAAATCGCCGAGTACGTTCGGAGGTAGGCCTGGCTGAGGACACGGGCAAAGCGTGGGTCGAGAGCACGAGCTCCGGTACAGAATGGGTCGACCTGAAATTGGGAACAGATTTTTGGCTTATTTTCAAAATATCGATCATAATGTCAAATTTCAAGTTCGTAATTTTTGTGGTGCTTGGGGGATTTCCACGCTAAATTTGTCAACGGTAAACTTCGGCCTTTTGCATCTTCGACAGTCTCATAGCAAATTTTTAAGGTAAAATATCCAAAAACCAACCAGATAAATGACAATCACATGGTTGAGAAGCCCGGGCTCGTCTTCTGGGATATCCTCCGGCGGCAAAGAGGGCAACTTTGGCGCTGGAGTCGGGAGACCACCGGGGAATTGCGAGGTGTACTTCGGGGCCTGGTGCTCACGCCGGATTTGTTCTTCGCGCTGCTGTGCCGTCAGGGCAGCCGTTGGTGGTTCCGGGGCGGCTGACGTTGACGGTTTGGGAGGTTGAGACGAAGATGAGGCCGCGGGTTGCTGAAAAATTGTTACATCAAATTTATCCCGGAGCAAGCCTAGCTTTTTAGAATAAATATTAGGCATTTTTCCGTTTACCGTTCTCACCCGCACCTCAATATGCAATTTCCAAAAAAAATTAGTCTGAAAACCAGGGTTGAAAAACCGCTTCGCGGCTTTTCAACCCTGGACCCGGTCTAGGACTTCTGTAAATTTGACTTTACATAGGGCTTGCCGAATGCCGCTCACCAAAAAAATGAAAAGCGCACGCTCCCTCCATTTTTATAGGCTACGGTTACTTCCGGTCAATGCAAATTGCCTCCTAACAAAGTGGTTTTTTGATATATTTACAAAAACTTAATTTTAATAGCGAAAACAGCAGATTTTCTTCAATTTTATATGTGTGCACCCATCTCGGGACCATTACGCACCTAATGACGTATCATACGTACCTTAAAAACCTTCCCCTGAGGCTGTAGGTGCGGTACATACTTACGGAAGTTGCATGCAAATATACACACACACACACAGACACTATTTTTTATATATAGTAGGATCTATTCTTTCCACCCGAAAACTATCAAATGGCCGCCTTTTTTCCATTTTCTATTTTTACAAGGTTTTCTAAGTCCAATACAGCTAAATTGTACTTAAAATAGTGAATTTTTGATTGCTAATTAAACTTGAATCATTAGAAACTTCGAACCCCCTGCAAATGCACAAGTACCACCTTTTTTTACAAAAAAATATCACATACCTGCGCCGTCGCGTTTGGATCATTATTGACGGATTTCGGCTCTTCCTTGATCTCCGGCATATCTACCATCATCGGCTCGCCAGCGGACGGTTGCGACGTAGCTTCACCTTCCGGAACCGTGGCCTTGCTCGTGCCAGCAGTATCTCGTGCCTGTGCCGATTCCTTGCTCGAATTTTGGGCCTCATCCTGCGGCTCATCCACCAACAACTTGTCAAGCTGGCAGTGGCGATAGACGCTGTTCTTTTGGCTCGTGCTCCGCCGGTCCATCTGTTTCATATCACTCTCAATGGACTTGGCGTACAGCTGCATCAGCCCGATACGTCCTCGCTGATGTTCTGCGATAGTGCGACGGAAAGTCTCGCGCTCAAACAGATTAAATCCGTTTCTGGATAGCGTCCTCGCCACGGTCGCCTCGATCGTTCCACAAAAGTGCTGAACGGTGATCATCACCTTCAGGTCGTACTGCCTCGCCAGGGGCGTCTTCCAGAACGCACAGCTCGACATCTGGAGCTGATTGTTCTGCTGGCGAACCGGCGGCACGCGCAGGATGCCGTTGGTCTCCTTTGGATCATTGCGCGGCAGTGGGACGTGTTTTCCGTAGCGTAGCTGTTCGTAGCGTTTGCTGAGCTCCTCGAAGTAGTTCTGGGCGCGGTCGGCGAGCTGGGAGTCGTCAAGGGTGCAGACGAGGTAGAAAACGTCTTTTGGTTGATCGACCGGGCCGAACGAGGCGGATTCCCAGAGGGGAATTGCTTGCGGGCTGACGCGCATCACGCCAGAATCCCGTTCTCCGGCCACCACTATCGACGGGATCGGTTCCATCGTTTGGCTGGCCTGCTCGCGCTCCTCTTCCTGCGTGGCCTTGCTGCATTTTAGCGCAAACTTGCGCCACGTCAGAGGTCCGTCAACCGCTTGCGTGGTTTGCGTATCCGGTTTTGCGTCGAAATTTTTGGCTGTCCGGATGGCGAGCTCCAGCGCCGGTTTCAGCTCGTCGAGGAGGGCCCGGTTTTCGTGGTCTGGCACGTCGTGGGTATCCTTGGCCTGTTGAAGTCCCCATGGATGGATGTATTGGGATATCTCAGGGCCGGCAGGGAGTTCATTCGGTGCCAAACGGGGCATTAGGGCGTTGACGGCGGCCGACCAGACGAGGAGAAGCTCCGTGCGGTCCATGTCAGATACGAAGTACTCGGCGCGTTCACCTAAAAAATTCAATAATTAAAAAATCTTTTCCCGTTTTTTGTAAATCGCAAAAACCGTAGAAAAAGAAATTGTTTTAAAAAGTTTCTAAACTCTCATTTTTTGGCCAGAAGCCTAGTTTTTAGAGCCATATATCGGAAATGTATTTATATCGTTTTTACGTAAACTTTCATAGATTCAATTTTATCTCGAAAAATCCACCTTTCGCCCAGTTTTTCTAATGGAAATATTGCCAAAATTTTCTAAAAATATCGATAACACATCCCACTCACCCAGTTGCGTGGGATCTCCGTAGGGCGGCGGGCGGGCCTGCGGTTTTTGACTTTCAGCGGTCTCGGCAAGGAGCAGGGCTCTTTGGATGAGGAGCCCTGGCTTCGAGTGGAGACTCATCCGCCTCACCATGTCCAGCATGTTCATCGCCTCGCGGGCAGCAGCACGCGTCTGATGCTGCATCGAGATGTCGAACCATATAGACGGGTCATCATCTCCGAGCAGGCCAGGCATTTCGGATATACTAAAAAACATATTAAGCCGATTTTGGCATATTTGTGTAGATTTTACGCCGTGTTAACTATATAATTCATGAAACATTTTTATGATTTTTGAAAAATCGTCAAAAATTGCATTTTTTTTCACATTTTTTTTATACCACCACGCTTGTAATTAAAACTACGACGTATCGGAAATAAGCCTAAATGCCCCCACCCCCGCTAACAGCTCAGTACTAAAAATCACCAATTTGGCAAACAGATTGTTACTCACCTAACATCCCCAGTAGCCTCTCGCGCATCCTCCGGGAAAAGCCCGGCTCGCATCGACAGGGCCCTGTAGCGTATGGCCGAGAATCCGCAAGTGCAATGCTGGTTTTGGTGCAGGAAGAAGCCGCTCCAAGGCTGGATGAGCCGTCCTTGTTCCGCCGGGCTCCTCGTCAACACTTCGTGAGGAGATAGGTAGAATCCTAGTTCGCGGGTTTTGATGGAAGCATTGCAGGAGCAGAGGGGGCACGCGTCAAAGTTGCTGTCAAAGTGGAGGTCGAGGATTGTGTCGGAGAGGAGTAGGGATAGCGGAAGAGATGGAAGAAGGGCCAACGATGGGTCGACTGGTTGCTCCGGCAGCATTTCTTGCTGAAAAGAAGCGAATTTAAAATGCCCGCATTCCTCTGTTGAGTGGCGTAATAATCCAGGAAACTAATTCATAAAAATTTCAATCGTGTTTTTAGCAAAATTTGGGGCAATGTTCCAAGAGCGGCAGCGTTTAAAAAGCTTACAAATGTCGAAAATCTCTTAAAATCTAGCAACAATATCTGCTTTTTTGCCCAAAATTAACTTTTTTTAAACCTATTTTTCGGTATTTTTTGTAGGTCTTTCAATAGTCGCCCCCATTAAGCGAAGGACCCAATTTTTCTTTAATTACCTTGAAAAGCGAAGCCGGCGGACCAAGCGAAGGCATTTGCTGATGGGGATGCCCTCCGTAAGGCCCAACGGCAGATGGTTGTTGCGGTGCCATCATTCCAGGGGGTCCGAGCTGGGGCATCGGCCTCGGGGCCATGGGTGGAGCTCCGTACTGTGGGTGGCCATGCGATGGAGCAGGTTGGTAGCCGCCAAATGGCCCTGATGGATAGGAGATGGCCGGTTGAGGGGGTGGGTACATTCCTTCTTGTGGCCCGCCCATCCCAGGATGGCTTGGGCCGGGCCCGAAGCCGCCCATTCTGTAGTCGCGCTGCCACATCTGAAAAAGACAAAAAATACATGGAGAATTTCATAGATTTCTCGTTGTTTGGTACTTTGGTGTTAGCGGGGGGGGGGCTAGTTTTAACATTTAGCTTGCCTAAGCATATATTTTCTGGCAAATTTACAATATTTTTCGTAGTTTTTGATTGTTAGACGGTCACATAGTTTTAAAAAGCCGTAACATTGAAACTTTTAGGCCGTTTTTTTCATTCTGAGCAAAACATTTTTAGCTTATTGGTTTATGACTGACAGAAAATTACTAATTTTCTTATTTCAAAGTTTCAAATTTCTCGCCATTTTTGATGCATTTTGACCACAAAAAATCCAAATTTTTTGCAACCTATTTTTATAACTTTTGTATATCGAAACACAGCGCAAGATACTCAAAATAATGGTTTATATGTTTCCAGGATCATACGGGACTTTTCTTAATAACGTTTCCCATATTCTTATCTTTATTTTTATTATACTCACGTGTTGTTGGGCCATCTGCGGGGGCACACTCGGCGGTCCCATGGGTTGTTGCGGCTGCTGGTTCATCATCGGGTTCACATGGCCTTGCGGGCCGCCCATCATCATCGGCTGGTGGTGGCCCATCATTCCATGGTGGCCCATAGATTGGGGAGGGCCCATCGGAGGGCCCATCACCGGTTGCGGGCCAACACCTCCGCCCATCCCTGGCATTTGGCCGCCCATCATTTGCCCGGCACCGCCCATCATCATGTGGGGTTGAGGAGGGGCCATACCTGGAAATTAAAATCATATAGACAGGCAGAAAAAAAAACTATTTTCTACCATTTTATCGAAATTCATTTTGTCCAGATTTAATTTTGTAGTAATATCGTTTTGTCGAAATTTCAATGCGCTGAAATTTCAAATTGCGTAATGTTCGAGATGAATATTTGAGACGAAAAAGGCATTGAAATTTCGGCAAAATGAAATTTCGACAGAACGATGTTTCGACAAAAGTAATTCGTTAAAAACAATTTTCGATAACATGAAAATGAGCCACAAAAACCGTACCACTAGGGCCCATATGTCCCATATGCATGTGCGGATGTGGGGGAGGTTGTTGTGGCATTGGCATCTGATGTTGCGGAGCGGCGGTACCCATATGTGCGTGCATGTGCGGAGGGATGGCGGCTAAAAACATTGGTTTTCGAATCAACTAGAGCAGTTTTTATTTGGTTGTTTTGCCTTATAAGCGGAAAACAAACTATTTTAAATAGAGACAATAGAGTTTCTATGGCGTTTTTTTGTTATTCCTAAAAGTAAAAACTTTCCAAAATTTGTTATTTTTCGTATTAAAAATAGCAAAACTATATATTTTTTCAACAAATCTTAAATTTGCTGAACAATTTTTATTACGAGAGATACACCCCTAGGAAAAAAGATTAGGTTTCCAACCAAATATGGATTTTATCAAAATGCCTTGTAAACTCACGTTGCGGCACTCCAGGATACGGCGCGCCCATTCCGCCGTACGACGGGTTGTTGACCATATTGTGGAGTTGCTGGACGGGATGTGGGGATTGTGGCATGGTGGATGGGCCAGGGCCAAAGTGGCCGGGCATTCCGTAGCGAGGTGGGGGCCCAGTTGGCATTCCGGGTCTTCCGGGCATTCCGGGGATACCGCGTGGAGGGCCCATCGGTGGTCCCATTCCGCCCATACGGTGATGCATGGCCATCATGCTCGGGTGCTGGGCGGCGTTCTAGAAAATGTCAATTTATACAAATTTACTTTCTTTTGGACATTTTTGGCTTTTTTAATATCCTTCAACAAAACTAAAATTCGCCAAGCGTTTCTAAGGTTTCTAGCGGCTTTTCTTTATATTTAATGTTATCTCACCTGTTGCTGCAGCAGAAAGACTTGCTTCCGCGTGTCCATCGTCCTCAACACGTGCATCACCTTGTCCATCCAACCGTCACCCTTCCGATGACATCGCTTTAGGCGGTGTTGAACCTAAAGGCGGCGTTGCTTATTCCGCTCTCAAGATCATCACTAACCTTTCCGTAGTCAACAAGCCCATTGTTGCGAAGTCGTGGCGCTTGGCGGGTGTTGCCGGCCGAATAGCGCGACGCGCGCGGGAAATCGCCCCATTTGTCGAGCCGGTAGAATGGGTTCTCCTTGACGTAGGAAACGACTGATGCCTAAAAAGTTGGCTTGTGATATTTTAATTTTGAAAAATACCATTGCCTTTCCACAAGCTCCGTCGGGAACGAGGTTTTCGCCGTCGATGTGCTCATCCGACCATGATTCTTGCGGGCATCCGGTGACTTCAGGGTGGTGATGGACGGGTGGGCGCTGAAAGAGAAAGCATGTTAAATTGAATTTAAGTTATTGCATTCGGATGTTAAACTGTCTCTTTGGCACTGGATTGTTAGCAGGGGAGGGTCTTGAAACTCGCAATAATAACCCACCAATTACATAGCTTTTTACGCCGTTTTGTGTATAGAAAGTGCATCAAAAACCTTATTTTTTTTATCAAAAGTGTCCGAAAATTGTAAAAAATGTTCTAGTTTTAATAGTTTCTAAAAAGTTTTACGAATATTTAATAATCAAAGCCAAAATACGCTAAAATATTGAGACCAAATAGCTCCCCTGCTCAAAATCCAGTACCAAAAAAGTAAAAAAAAATTCCAAAAGACACGTCAGCCCACCTCGGCATGATTGTCCAGCGGACTGGGCTGTTGCGGCTGTACAGAAGGCGGCGTTGGATAAATGTTATTCAATTGCGGATCAAGATGAGAAGGCGGAACACTCGGGGGCCCACGCGGAAATGAATGGACAGAAGATGGGGCCTGTAGCTCGTTGCTTGCCGGCGGCGACAAATAGTCAGAAGAAGCCTGCGCCATTTGGCCGGCCACCATACATTCATCGGCGTCCATCATGTCGTCAGTAGGTGGTTTCGTCCCGTAGTTCCAAACGAGACTTCCGGGCCCTTTGCCGGGTTCGCATATTTCTCCAGCGGCCCCGCCAAAGAATACAGGAACGGGTTCGCCCTCGGATTCCTCAGAAAAGGTGCCTTCGAAGGGGTCTTCTTCGTAGTACTCCTCAGTCTCGATGTTTCGCTCCAATGCCTCGCCGAGATTCGTGTTCGAGGAGCTCGGCCAATCCACGCGTTCCAGGCCGATTCGGCGCTTTTCGAGAAGGGGTGGGCGGGCTGGTCCTCGCACTTCGATATCCTAAAAAAATTAGTATGAAAGGTGGTTTTTTAGCATTTCCAGGGGGAAACAAGTTTTTTTTCTACCCAGGATCACTTCTTTTTCCAAGATAAATAGAGTAATGTTTCTGCACGGGTTTTTTTCATTATTGCTACACGCAAAAACCTTACAACATGGAAAACATACTAAAATCGCGGTTTTCCGACTAAAGAATGAGCGATTTTCGATCAGAATTTGCAATCACCGTTTAGTTTTCTAACTGGTTTCTCCACTTGAAATATAGCTAAATTTTACTATGCGTAGCTGTTATAGAAAAAGTTTCCCTGAGTAAAAAATTCTAACGCAAATTTTTGACTTACCTTTCTCTGCTTCCGCTGCCCCGTCTTCCTCCTCAATTCGCTAGCCTTGGGTTCCGGGTCGCAGCTCATCGCCGTCGGTTCCTCGTTCGAATCCTCGGGCTCTTCTTGTGGCCACCGTGGCTTGGTGTGGGGCCACTTTTTGCGTAGATGCATTGCGCGTTCTTCTTGAATGCTCGCCATCAACTCGGCGCGGCTCTCCTCGTACTTGCTCAGCTGCTCGGCCGGGTTTCCCTCCCTTGCTAGTCGAGCTTCTTTGTTCTGAAGGAAAATGTAAATTATAGATAAGAATTGGTCGAAAGATTCGGGGAATGAAAATCGCACAAAACGTACCCTCGGTTCGCCAAACTTTCTCGTGTGATAGCTCTCATATTTGATTTTGCCGGGGTCTTGCTCGCGGGGGTGGAGGGTCCTGCAGGGTCGTGGTTCTTCGGAGTGGCAGGGAGATACCGCCTTAACAAAGCATATTGAAAAGAATAACGAAAGTTGTCCGCTTGAGGAAGCTCGTAAAGTCATATAACTTACCGTAATCGGGGAAAATGGCTGAATTTCCGGCTCCTCGGGTGCCGCTTTCGACGTGCTCGGCCCAACGAAATGATAGCGATACCTGAAAATTTATGTTTGGCTACAAAATCCTTTTTAGCGTAATAGAGGCCTAGGGCTTGCAAAAATGCCTAAAACTCACGGTGCCGTCTCCGCATTGCAATAAATGGCCGTCTCGAACGGGTCGACACGATGCATCGTCAGCCAATCGTCCTCCGGCTCCGAGTCGCTACCTAAATTGATTTTATTTTATTAAACAAAATCCATAGACTTTATGATATTTAGTGAAAACCAAATACGCACTGTCTGCGGAGCTGTCGTCCCGCTTCTCGTCGATTGGGGCTGGTGGCAGACGGGCCTTGCTCAACTTGCCGTACTTCTCCGAGTAGCTGTGTCTAAAACGAGTTTTATAGCTTTGAAAAAATCCTCCAAAAAAAAACGAAATTCTAAATGGTGCTCACTTTATCCTGGTTTTTCTCATTTTAATATGATCGATCAACTGGCGCCATCGTTTCGCCCGCTCGCCGATCGGCCATTTCCGTTTCCGGCGTCCACTCTGGAGGATCTTCTCGGCCCTCACCGCCTTGTCTTTTTGGCGCTCCTCTCGAGTTTTTTCAGCTGGCTTTTGATTATTTTTGCCCAGAGCAGGATTGCGAGGCCCGGCGGTCAGCTTTTGATCGGCTTTCAGTTCCTAAGAAAGTGTATTAATCGTTGTTCATTCAATTTTTTCGTTTCTAAAAATAAGGAAACCCTTGTTCTAGAATCCAGATATTCCAGATTTACTTTATTTCTATTTACCGTACCTCCTCAGCAAGATTGTCCAGAACCGTCTTCATCACCGTCGTATCGTACGGACATCTCTCCGATTCGGCCGGGTTGTTGACGGTTGCTGAAAAAGTTTTAACTTTTTCTTTCCGAATAAAACGCACCTTCTATGACCCGTATATATTGCCGCTTTCCTTGCAGCGCTGACACCAACGGCGCCTTGCGCAGCTCTTCCTGACGATCTCTCGGCTTTACCGGCTAAGAAAGCTCGATTAGTCAAGCAATTTTTTGCCTACCTTTATTGGCATCCCTCCGCCGCAATCGAGGCACAACTTGCACGGCTCACCGCCGCGGCCTTTCCGGCAAATTCCGGTCCGCGCGGGGTCATTTTGCCTAAACAATTTTGATCATATTCTGGTTGATTCTCGAAAAAGATCTTGCAACTTATAAGGGGAAAAAACCTACAACTGGAGAAGCGGCCCTGTCACTGGCGCGTCTGGCGCCTTGGAAAATGTGGGCTCGGCCGACATCTTTGGCTGCAGCAACACATTGTCGATGCTCAGCCCAAGGACCGGCCAGATTTCGCCCTCACGGCACAGGATCGGGTTTTTCAACTCGCCGTTTTTCACTAAAAAAAGTAATCAAGAGTTGAACTAGATAAAAAGCAGCGGATCATTTCAAGAAATGTCCAAAACCCAGCAATTAAAGACGTCGACTGCTAAAACGTAGAGAAAAAAAAAGTAGAACTGTCTGCGTTTTGGTTGTCTGTGTTTTAGCTTTCGGCGTCTGGAATTCTGGAATTCCATCGTTTGCAACTCACTTTTGATGCCTCGCTTCAAAAATTGAGGCTCCTGAAGGTGCTTGGTCGATTTTCGGGGAGGCTGAAACAATCGCTCCTTATTCACCGGTTCCGGCTCCTTCTTCACAATATGCCAATTTTTGTTGGCCAACGGGCACTGCTCCCAGGTGACAGCTATCTAAAACGAGGTTCAATTCCCAGAGTTCGGAGATGGATACAAACCATGGCGGTCGGAACGATCATCGGAGTCTTGTCAATTTCGACAATCACCATTCGTGGCATATCGGGTTCCAGGGCGATTTCCTCAAGACCGCCCTCCGAATGGGCGAACCAGAATGGTCGCCATTTCGGGTACTCCACTTCGGCGTCGACGTTGTACTTGGCCAAATCGATGCCAACGTAGGTCGCACGGAGGGACCATGGAGAGAGAATTACGCCAAAACGCTCGCTGAAAAAAATAGTCACGTTCTATCGTTGAACGCATCTCTATGAATGTTTTATTTCCGGCTAACGACCAAAAAAAAACAAATCATAGGTCTTCAATTTTTCATTTTTTTTTTGTTATCGTACGCATGGCTTCAGTTCATAATTTCAGCGGTTTAAAAAACTTACTTGAGATCGATGTGAGCTTTCGAGAGTCGAAAAAGGGTTGGCTGTTTCTGGCTGACAAATGCCACGCAGACGGTGCTGGCGCCAGCGATGAAGAATCGCATGCTGAAGCCGAGGGTCAGCCTGAATGAGCGATTGGTGATAGTGTTTCTGTTGAAACTGTAGATTTTGATCAATTTTCAAAAAACCCACTTTTCTTGGAGATGGCCCATGCCGGGCCGGGGCGGTGATACGGGTCTTGTATGCCATTTTCCAAAGCGGAGATGTCCTTCGCGAGTGAATCCCATTGACAGGTAGGTGTGGAAGGCGTTGAAGAGCATTTGGCGGACCTAAAGATGCTTATTTGACAGTAGTTTACAACTAGGTTCTCAAATCCAATAAATGCCTACCTCCGGGTTGATGATCGGCTGCGCGGCGTCCAAATTGTTTTGAGGCTTTTCTAAAGAGTTCAGTAAAATCAAGGTTACAAGACAAGCGGTACCTGTCAGCCCTTCCACCGCCGCAGCCAAAGCTTCCGGCTCGTCGGCGGTCAGCCAGAATACCCAAAGTTCTTTCGGCTCCGAGTCAGAAAATACGGGCATCAAGACCTGTGTCTGATTATCGGCTAACGGGGGCATCTGGCGTCGGTAGGTGCAGAGTAATTTGCCCTAAAAGGGAAAATAATACTCGACGCATCCGAGAACTAGAAATACCTGCAGACAGTTGCCATAGGCCTTGATAACTGGATCCTCGTGTAACCGGGACAGTGATGCTGTGTGTGATGTGTGCTCGTAGATGCGCCAGTGCAGCTCATTTAGCTCTGTCTGAAAATCACAAATTTACCGATCTAGTATAGCTTAGATTACCAAGGCATAGACATTCGTGTAGCAATCATCGAGGTTGCCGCAGACGGCGCCGTCGCGCGGAAATGACGTCCGGTGATCGTCGCCGCCGCCGCGGTCCCTCTCTTTACTCGACATCCCGGCCGTGTAGCCTCAGCTGTGCGTCGGTACGTTTTGCTGAAATTCGAGATTGTTTTCTTCAGAAAGGGAAAGCCAGTGTCTCACAAGCAGTGTTTTTCTGTGTGTGATTTTTCTGTAGAAAATCAGGACAAAGCTTTCTGCAAAATTTCTCTACGGAGTCTTGTTCAGAATACAATTATCTATCGAATAAGCTAGATCTTGAAACGCTTTGCCTATCACACTCCTTGTCCTTTCCTTGTGAAGAGTACCAAAAAGCACATACCTGCATGCGCTGTCCGTTGAAATTAATTGACACAGATGACCGTGTAGGGGCTCACGGTAGCAACCTTGAAAGCTAGTTTTTTTAGTTCGATCTAGAGGAACAAGGACACATAAAGAATGAGAAACTTTGAAATAACGAAAAAGCGTTCCTAAAGAAATCAAGGACATGATTGAGTGAGTTTAAAATCCAAAAAAAAGTTACTACCAAACCCGGAAACTTCGAAACCCACGGACACAAATCACATGTGCCCCGGGGCCAAGGCCCAGATGGCAACACTCCGGTAGTGCTGGGTCGATCGAAGAGCTGGGCCAGGTGAAAAAAGCCGAAACACATGGACCCGTTAGACGCACAGTATAGATACGCGGCAATTTCAAAGGAGGTTTCCCGGGAGTTAACCATGCGCTGAGTAGCCGACACACAGTTCCAAGGGGGCATCGATCAGGAAACCGGTTTGGTGAGATTGGGCTTATGAGAGCGAGAGCCAGGGTTTCGCGCTGAAGACGCCAGCGTTCGGTTTCTCCCATGCCTGGGGGCCCAAAGAGAGCAAATTTTGGAAACGTGATTTTTATAGCTGTATGGAGCTAACTGGTGAAGCCAAACTGGAGCCGGGATGAAGCCCTTCGACAGATCGATTTAAGGAAATCTTTGCCCAAGCGGAGTTTCCCAGCATTTCCGGGTCCCCGGGGGTGCTAGTAAAAAGAGAAGGCCGTGGGAACAAATTGATCACGCGCAAGTGTAAACTATAAATAGTACGACACCAAAACAATACTCCGACAGAAATTTTCTTAAGGACGCTTGACAAGCTACTACAAAAGAATTTCCGCTTTCCCGTGCTTGCTAGCAAAAAGATAAAGCCTTGGGAGCAAATTGGTCTCACTAAACTACAAACAACAAATAGTTTCAAAACCAAATAAGGTTTACAGAGAAACGAAGCCGGCTTTGAAATCGGGCGGTTTCCTGTTCTTCTGGCTCGCTACTAAAAAAGGAAACGGTAAAAATTGATCGCACTAAACTACAAACTACAAATAGTACGAAATCAAAACAAGACTTATATAGCGGCTAGCCAGCCTAAAATAGGGGCTGGGGCCTCAGAATAGGCGGCAAATGGCAGATCAATGGTCCCAGCCAGCTGATGCTCTACCACGGCGGGATGTTGATCGTTGGGCCCTCGGGTGCGGCGGGGGCCCAGCCCATGCTTCTTCGCACCGAATTCGGGAGGCGGTGGCCGCAACGCGCGGCGCTGCGTCGCGTCTGCGTGTAGAGAGAGAGAGATTGGTGAGGCCACCACCAGCGGGGCGGCCTTCCCGAAACGGGGCCACCCATCTATCCCCCGGCAGCGGTTATGTGTCGCGATTTACGGCCGCAGCCGAAGCGATGAGACGGAAGCTAGCAATGTTGATTTCTCTGGAAAGAAAGAAAGACTGTTTATCGATGGATACGAGGAGAGAAGTGAAAACAACGTGCTTGTAGTACGCCGGACGCAATTTACGGGATACGGTAGCCTGGGGCGACCGTATCCTCAAACAGCCTTTTATAGTTTTTATTAGTTGTTTGAATGATTTTTAGATACGAAAACATCCTAAGATCGCAATAAAAGCCCTAAAAATTGAACGATTTCAAGAAAAACTGGTACATCGATACATTTCACGGGATACAGTATCCAAAAAGCTCCGTCCAGACGTTACCCCAAAACTTGAAAAAAATGCGTTTAAAAACTGAATAGCCCGATTTAAATAAGTTTTCAACGTATTTGCACGCTTAAAAATAGACGTGTGCTTCTTTAGTATCGCAAAAAATATATGTATTGGTCAAATTCGTTTCATAAATCTCATATTTTAAAATTTAAGATGTGGATGTTTTATGCAGGAAAAAAAATCTGCTTTTTTTCACTTTTATCGTTCACTCTTCTAAATCGAGACGATGACCACACAAAAATTAGCACTGATAGGTAGGTATTATGCAAAATCAGACCCGAAAACGACGTTGCTAGCTTTCGATCCCAGATCAAAAAGCCCTCAACGAGACCCGTTCACAAAAAAAAAATGTTTGGGTGGAGATGTACATGGGAGAAATAAATACATAATGTATAAAGTAAATTATTTTGTAGCGATCCACTCGTTCACCCATTCGGCTCCCTCGCACCGCGACTCCGCCTGAAACCACGTGTAGACGTCTTCGACCTGGAAGAAAATCACGTATATAGAAAAAATAATATCCTTACCGTATTCTCGGGTTCCTCAATGTCCCAAAGCTTTTCGCAGAGCTTACAATAGCCGTTCCGGAAGCCGGGAGCATTCCACGGCGCCTCGGTCCACCCTGGAAATCGTTATTTTATTTTTCGTATCCGCTTTACCTCCGTTTCTCCATTTGAAGTATTGCGAATAGGCGGTGAAGTTTTTCTCCAAGCCTGTCAGAAAATCGGCCATTTCCTTTGGGTTGTTGAAGTCATCAAAGGCGATGACAGATTGTGATGGAAGGTTTCTAAGCGATTCTAGGGTTTTTGGTGGATAGAACTTACTCATTTCGATAGGCACTTCTGCGGAGGACAATTGGAATCGATGGTATCCGTTTCCTCGCCCAATACTTCTCGGTGACGTAGTCGTCACAGACCTACTCGTACAAAATCTATTATTTCGCGATCATCACCTACCGTATTTTCGACCGCAAAGAAAAAGGGATACTCGGAGAAGATCTTCTCACAGGCATCCCCTGGCGGACAGACATGACGGTCGGCTTCTTCCGTCGCACACTTTCCTGCGATGCGTACCGGCATGTGTTTTCCCAATTCTTTGATCGCCAATTCACGTTTTGACGGGGTATTGCAGTTTGAGATCAAACCAAATATGCCACTTTTGGTTTTGCGTAGGGTTCCTAAAAGATAAGATAATCTTTTTAACAATTAGTGATTTCTTTAGCATGACAAAATGTTTGACTGGTGCACTGTTTTTTTGTAAAAAAAACTTACTTTCCGGCACGAAATAGTCGGCCACCTTGAATCCTCGTAGTTCAGCTTCTTTTGATGTCAACCAAAAGCCTCCATACTTGAAGATGACATCGGATGAGTGGAGATGCGTCATCGTCCAGTTGAAGTATTGCTCTGATTTTTTTTGTTTTATCCCTTCTCCTCCTTACTTGACACGTTAAATTTCGGCAAATGCTGTGGAATCTCCATGGACATAAACACGTAGCGTTGAGATTGCTTTCTAAAACAGTTTTACACCTTCAAAATCAAAAGCAATACAAACCGGGCTTCGGGTGGAGGCAGGCCCTCATTGATATTCGGAGCGTGGATCAACACGGCATCGGCCACACTGATTCGGCTGCGGTCAGAGTCGAGAATACATCGATCCTAGGAAAATTTCAGGACAAAAAGCTAGACTACCGATAATCCAGGGCATTCTAACATGTGCTTGTTATCCGGGTGAGTGCCGAAAATTGAATTCCACACCAGGATTCGCTTTGGGGCCAACGTCTCAAATCGATGATCCATTCTAGACAAGCTCTCTTCCCACACGATTAACAAATACCTATTTTTATCGACCGTTATGTAAAGATGTTTTGGATTTTTCGGGTGTGAAATGTGCTTCCCGTCATCGTAGCCGAGGATCGAGGTGCACGCGTAGAAAATGAAAAGCGCGCCGACGACGAGAGCCAAGTTTTTGTAGACGGCCGCCGGCCGTACTCGCATCTGCCAAGAAATTGGTAATTTTAATTCATAAAGCCTGGTAAATTTCATAGAAATAAGCTGCTTGGTTGGCTTGTTAGTAGAATTACAATCTAGCACTGAATTCTACAAATATTTATTAAAAAAACAGCGTTGAGTATCAGATTGGATGAGATCGAGATCACGACTAGAGAAAATCACAAGATTATCACACCATTGGGAAAATTGATATGGATGGGGATTTCGCTAACAAAAAAACTCTAATTTCAACGCATCATCAGGCCATCATCGGGAAAGTAAAAGCCTTCAGTATCATCCTTATCCATATCGCTCTTGATTTCGGTGGTGATCGAGGCGAAGAGGTAGTCCCAGTTCCAGGGAGTGTCTTCATCAGTCACCTCCTCCTCAGGCAATGTATATCGAAGGAGCAAAGTCAAATCTGAAATTTCCCGGTTTACTCTCATTTTCTCTGGTTTACTCCGTATATGGAGCTGAACCTACCGATGTCGTCGACCTTCGTGAGGTTCGGATAACGACCGCCAAGCGAATCGATTTCAAAAACGCGTTGCAGCACATCTTTCGGGATCTGTGGAGCTCTCGCCATAGCCTCCAATTCAGGGTCTAAAAACGGTGTTTTCTGCCAGTTGATTTTTGTTTTTTACTTACTGTAAGGGGCATAGGCTGGGCGATTGGATGGAACGCTTCCGTTTCCGGTTTGTGCAGTGAATCTCTGTAAAATTTATTTTTACGCTTTTTAGAGATTTCTACGTCTAATTTTTTGGATACAAACCTCGGGTTTAGGAGAAGGCGCCTTTTCATCGTTCGCATTATCCTCATCCTTATTTCTGCCAGCTCGCGAGCCAGGACGGCGAAAAAGTCCAGTCAGGGGCCGTTTAATCGTCTCCTTCAATTCTGCAGCAGCACCAGCCGCCGCTTCCTTGTTGAACAGCCCTTTAATCCCGCCAGATTGTTGTTCCTAAAAGTTTGGGTTGATTTTCATGAAGTCCTGGGTACCTTGAAGAGCCCGCCAGTGCGTCCCTTTTTCGGCGGCTCTTCCGTTGATCGATCCTTCACACGAATGTTTAGATCCATGCTTTCTAAAGGCCATATGCTCTTCAAACAATGCAGTATCAACTATAATAAAAAAGTAGTGGTGTCTGTGTGTGTGTGTCTGTCCGGTCCCGAATTCAACTCGAAGGGGAAAGGAGCTAGAGCTTAGCTCTCTTCGGATTCGGATAGAGCGTGGTCAGAAACCCCCAAACTGATCAAAAAATTATGACAAAGTTTTAGTTTAAATTATTAAAATTAACTTTGAAAGTTTTTCCCTTAGTAAAAGGGGTCGGGGACGGAGGTTGGGGTGATTTTGGGCATAGTGAGCCAGGTCGCGCGCGTTTCGTGGATGAAAATTTTCACGGGGAATTTCATTTCTTTGTTCCCTCAATCCATCCGGTCGGTCGTTATTTTCGTTTTTTTAACGGGATTTCGGCTAGGGGAGGTATCTAAAGCCATCAGGAAGGTATTTAGGTAGTTTTTGAAGGGGATTTCAGCCATGGGGGGTATCTGAAGCCATCAGGAAGGTATTTAGGTAGTTTTTGAAGGGGATTTCAGCCATGGGGGGTATCTGAAGCCATCAGGAAGGTATTTAGGTAGTTTTTGAAGGGGATTTCAGCCATGGGGGGTATCTGAAGCCATCAGGAAGGTATTTAGGTAGTTTTTGAAGGGGATTTCAGCCATGGGGGGTATCTGAAGCCATCAGGAAGGTATTTAGGTAGTTTTTGAAGGGGATTTCAGCCATGGGGGGTATCTGAAGCCATCAAGAAGGTATTTAGGTAGTTTTTGAAGGGGATTTCAGCCATGGGGGTATCTGAAGCCATCAGGAAGGTATTTAGGTAGTTTTTGAAGGGGATTTCAGCCATGGGGGGTATCTGAAGCCATCAGGAAGGTATTTAGGTAGTTTTTGAAGGGGATTTCAGCCATGGGGGGTATCTGAAGCCATCAGGAAGGTATTTAGGTAGTTTTTGAAGGGGATTTCAGCCATGGGGGGTATCTGAAGCCATCAGGAAGGTATTTAGGTAGTTTTTGAAGGGGATTTCAGCCATGGGGGTATCTGAAGCCATCAAGAAGGTATTTAGGTAGTTTTTGAAGGGGATTTCAGCCATGGGGGTATCTGAAGCCATCAGGAAGGTATTTAGGTAGTTTTTGAAGGGGATTTCAGCCATGGGGGGTATCTGAAGCCATCAGGAAGGTATTTAGGTAGTTTTTGAAGGGGATTTCAGCCATGGGGGGTATCTGAAGCCATCAGGAAGGTATTTAGGTAGTTTTTGAAGGGGATTTCAGCCATGGGGGGTATCTGAAGCCATCAGGGAGGTATCTAAGTAGTTTTTGAAGGGGATTTCAGCCATGGGGGATATCTGAAGCCATCAGGGAGGTATTTTGGTAGATTTTTAACGGAATTTCGACCCGGAGGGGTATCTGAAGCCATCGGGAAGGTAGCTATGTTTTTGTGGGGGGTTGGCTAGAGGAGGTATCTGAAGCCATCAGTGTAGTTATTGCCATGAAGGCATCAGCGTAAGGTAGGGATTAAATGTGGTGGTGTAGAATATGGAGGGTGGCCCGAAGTCCAGCCGATTGCAGTCGCGAAGCGGCTGTAATCGGCTGGTGATCCATAAATAATTAGCATTCCGACTTACCGCCATATCCCGTGTTTGATCCGCCGTCGTCATGGTTTGCGTCATTCGACATCAGACCAGACCCGGCTGTCAGGTCCTGCGTCGTCTCCAGTGCCTTGCGTCTACCCCTAGCACTGTACCCGCGACCTTTCGGCTTGCTATCGATCCCGTGGTCGTTCGACATCTTAAAAGCCGACGGATGCAATAGAAAGGTGTGGAATCGATTCGATTATGAAAGAAAATCGCGCAGGTGTATGGTCTAAAAACACTAATAGAGGGGTTTCATCGATTACTTGTTATCATAGAGTTATCGATGAGTTTATTTTATAGGCTATTTGAAACCTTATAGCATGAAACTTTGGATGAAAAACATGAGGAAATCGATCCGTTTATGTAAGAAAAACGGGGCATTTTTAGGGTAGGAAAGATCCAAATAAAGGATTTTATGGAATGCTTGTTAACACAGACTTCTGATTAGCAGATTTTTATTTGATATTTCAAAGTTACTTCTAAAAATAAAACCTGGAAATCGATTGGCCTACTCGAGAAAAATGGGCAGGTTTAGGATCGAAAAGGCTAAAAGTAAGGGTATTATCGAATGCTTGTTATCATACCATTATTGATTAGTATACTTTAGTTTAATAATTAAAAAGCTACATTAAAAAACAAACATGTTTACAAGTTGCTAACTCGCGGGTCGATTGCCCTAGAAAATTTCCCGGATCGCCGACGCGACACCCCTATAGACAGTTGCCATTTGTGTGCGCGTTGCCATAGTACGCGGGGAACCAATCAGCAGACGAGGGGGCGGAGCCGAGTATATAAAAGCCGGCCGCGCCAACATTTTCCTCAGTCTGACGGGCGGCTACGGGCTGAATGGTGGCTTGTGCTGCTTTGTCCGCTCAACCCTTCTTCTCGCTCGCGGTTCCGATGACCACGGGCTCCTTGACGGCTGGTTACATTGACCAGCTCAGGCAGCAGCTCCAAACTGCTTTAGAGAATGTAAGCTGAAACATATTGATTGGGTCTCGCGGGCTCCTCGAGGCCATCCATAACTGATAAAAAATTTCATTTGGTAAATTGAATCATGTAATACAAAATAACGTCCTTTCGTTTCCCCCGTTTCCCCGACACATATCCACAGAGTAACAGTTTATTAGAATTTTCGATCGATACGGCCATGGGTGGCATGAGTCATCCTCTAGTGCCGGTAGCTTGGCGGCGCTTGTTTGCCCCGCGTTCATGAAATTCTTACCATGATTCAATCAGGGTGGCAAATTCGTGTTGATCGTTCTTTCGGGTAAACCATCTTACATATTTTCGAAACGATTCTAGTCGTTTCGAAAGATTTACACAATGTCCCACACGCTCAACTAGCGAAATTTCTTTTTTCCCGCGAGATCTTATGTCAGCACGGGGGTTTTCTCGTTTCTGGCTATTGCCGGTCTAGCAAGTGGTCGATAAAATATAGGGTTTTGAATCCAATAAATTCATTGTTTCTCAGCGGTTTTATTCCGACTGTTGTAGGATGATGAAGCGAAAATCGGTGCTCTGGTGGGCGAGATCGAGAAGCTGGAGTTGACCAAGGAACTTTTGGAGGTGAGCAGCATGGGTTCGGGTGCAGCAGGGCTGGGCGGCCCATCCACCCAGACTGACGCCCTGTCGGGGTGCCACTCCCCAGCGCGTCTGCAGGCTCAAGTGTCTAGACTCTCGCCAAAATCAATACGCGCTAGGGGACAGCCCGATCAGTCTAGGCGCCGCCGCCATGCCTTGCACTATGTGAACAAACAAAGCGCAAAAACCGTATTTCCTTGTAGAAATACGCGGGGTCGCTGGAGGAAATCGCAAAATTCAAATTTGAGGGGATGGTAGCAATGTATGGTTTTTCAGAGTACCCGGTTCGGCGGTGACATCAATGTCCTGCGACGACAGATCGCCGATAAATGGCCTACCATCGCCAAGCAATGCCGGAATATCATCAAGAATTGGAAAGTGCTGGTCGAGGTAATTAGGCTTTTTACGCTTTTTAATTGTTACAGCCTACGAATACGTCTAGTGGAACGTCGTCGGCAAATGGGACACCTCATATTTTATCAAAAAGGCTCACGCCGGCCACACCGGCGCAAAGGCGGCTAGCATCTACCGGATTCACAGGTTTTTGAATTGACCTGACTTCTATGTTCTTTTTCGATTTAGATACCAGACAAACGCTGTCGCCCTCCGGCGGCTACGCACCAAAGTCTGCCATCTCTCCGGCGCCTCTTTTACACAAGTCGCAGACGATTGCCGTTGAATTGGCTGCCAAGGCTGAGGATGGAACGATACGGAATGGAAAGCGCCGTGCCGATGATGGTTTGTATTTCAGCGCGTGCTCTTTGTTTATTTGACAACAACAATGTCATGGGAACCTGGTTTGTCCTGAAACGGAGAGAGGGCACAGTATCGAATGGAGGGGCGAAAGAAGCCATAGCAGCTGGGTCGTTATGGTGGCCGCTTGTGGGTACCCCCAGGCGCCGGGCTTTTTGCCACGCCTCCCGCAGGGCGGGTTTAAGCCCCGGGCTGTCCCTCCAGGGATAATTAGCGCACCAGTCGCCAGAACTGGTGTGAAGGAAGGACGCGGGTAATGGTGATCAAGGTGTCACTGGATTCTGAAAAAAGCTGGGTTTTGAAGTAAAGTAATCTTTTCAGACATCAATGCTGCACCGACCTTGAAGCGGAACAAGACAGTGGCAAATCAGTTGGCGTCTGTAGGCACCCCGACGCAATCTGTGCTGGCTGCCAGACGGTGTGCAAATGCTATCGCATTCATGCAATCGTCTTTAGCCAAGCCTCTCAATCGACGGCTGATTTGATTGCGCAATTGTCGTCGAATCTACCGGAAAACCTCAACGTCGGGGCGAACGTGCGGCAATACGAGCAGAAGGTCAAGCGCGAACAGGCAGATGAGCAGGTATCCAAGCGAAGGCGTTCCTTGATTTTTTTTATTATTTTAGTATGCCCAAAGTCTTCAAACGGCCACCCCATCGCCTTACCTCAAAGGCAAAAGGAAATATGAACGGAAGCAGGGCAAGAAGGATAGCCCACCGGCACCTTCTCCGTTGGTCAAGACGAGCCTCGAAACGCCAAAGAGCGGTACGGAACCCTCAATACCTCATAGGAAAAGAAAAATTTCTAGGCGGCATCGTTTTGCGTCTGAATATGCTGCCAAAAGCTGAACCACTCGAAGAAAAGCCATCCACGTCGGTGCCTGTACCATCTACCTCACAAACATCAATTGTAATTGGAATCGGTTGATCTTTATTGCCATTTAGCCGCCGACGCTTCCGAGCAAAGCATCCGTGGGCCGACCAAAGGTGGACTGGATGGCGATGCTGCCTTCGCTTGCGGAGCTACAGATTCGTGCCGACAAGATGCGCCCTACCAAACCCATTCAAGACGGCAAGAATATTCATCTGATCAAGGTTTGTCATTTATTTTTTGCCCACATTTTCGCAAGATCTGATGATTAATTGGAGCTCGGACGCGACCCTGATTTACCTCTCCAATTTAGAATCGAGATCGTACGATCAAAGCTCTGCCTCTGCTTGCCGACGTGGCAGCGAAACCGGATTTTCTCTTTTACAAGTGAGACAGTTTCGCATGGTTTTATCTTACAACTTTTTAGGTATCCGACCCAGTCGCGGTACTATGCCGAGGAGAATTTCCTCTACGGCGCCGAACGGCCCGAAGATTGAATCAAACGGTTACTGCCTTCTTCCCATTCCCCGGTGTACAGTTAGGATTTTCCAATTGTTTGTTGTGGTTCCCCTCGCTGGGCCAAATTTGTGCTCTCCGTCTAGGTCTTTCCCCTTTTGCGGTTCTCATTTGTTGACAAGTAAACTACGGGATAATCACGCGCATCAGAATTCTCGCCTCACGGTTCTACCCATTTCACTCTATCATCACCTTCGTTCAGTCAAACCTAGAGCTAGAATGTCGTCGCCAATTTGTTTTTAGCTGTCGAAGCGATCTCATATTTTGTCAGCTTGTCCGGGCTCAATTTTGCACTTATAGGCCGGATCGGAGGCTTTGTGCCCGCCGCCTTGCCGACCAATTCCTCTTTCCCTCTCCCCAAGCAATTGTGCACCTCGGTGTCATTTTGTAACAGATAATTTATTTCCGGATTTCTAATAAAGTTTACGTTCATCATGCACGTTGCTCAATCTTCTGCGCCAATAAACGTATCGATATACCATCCTGACAAATGCACCGGGATCAAGCCTTGTAATCGACCGACTGTTTGGGACTTGATTTTCACCGTTTCCGCATCCTAACATGCGACCCGGTGACAAAACCCGGCGCTCTGCGTGTCTACCAACCATATTAGTAGCGTAATTTTTTTCCAGCTTTTGCGATCCGGCTTCTGCGGCTTTTATTTCAAGATGCCGTTCCGGAAATACCGAGCCATCACAGACTTCAGCAAGAACAATACAAGGATTTTCAAGAGAATCTACAGGAACAAGTTGCACGAGAATGCCCCCGAATTCAGAGTGCCAGAACAAGTCCGGGTATCCTCAATTTGTCTAGAAATGACTAGGGTTTTAGGCAATGGGTGTGACCGTCTGGGACCCGAATGATAAACAATTCCCTTACGTCCATTACGCGAAGAAATATGGGATAAAGGAAGAAATAACTCCAGATGGCGCCGTCACGGATCCGTTTGCGCAAGCTGTACGCTCTTTTGATTATACTATTCTTACCAAAACTTTTTCGGGATGAATAGAATCTCTAAAAATCTCTATTTTAGTCAGAGGATCCGAATTATAAGACCGACGCGTGCTACCTGTTTGAGGGAAGTGAGCCACTGTCGGATGGCTTGACACAGGTGCCAATTAATTTAGGTTGAAAATTTGTTGTCCTTTAGGCAGCTTCGCTTGCCCACGCGGTACTTGTTGAGGAGCTCCCCGAGCGCGTCCTGAAAGGCGTTAGCGGCTACAATTTCGATGCGCAGAAGGTTTTGGCTTTTGCTTTCCGGCAAGTCAGCAATTTTAGGTTACTGATCATATCCTGCACGCCGAGAAGTACGATCCCACCCTGGAGAAGTTGCCGCGGCGCTTTGATCCCGTCATCTTTTGGAACCCACATCCGCGCGTATTCGGCACCCCCGTGGTCAAAAGAAAGTATGGTTCGCTTCCGAATTGCAATTTATTTATTTTTAGCAACATTATGCTGGACAATTTCTTCCGCTATGTATTTCTCTCCGCCATTGAGAAAGGTGCGAAGGCAGACAGATTCAAGTAATTTTTATTTGTTTTTCTAAACTCGAATCAGGTTCGACCGTGATACCTACATTACTGCCACTCTACGAGCCGCCAGATTCCATACGCAACCAATGGTTCTGCGATTCCAGCCACACATTGTTGCGCAGTCGGCGGCGGTACCACCACCCTGGGCAAAGGATGGAGACCTGACTGAACTTATGTTTGTGTTTTGTTTCACTGGCGAAAACGTTTTTTAGGAAACTGCCGGTTCAAAGCTGCGCCCCAGTCGATCCGGTGATCGACCTGACTCGCGAGCACGTCTACAATGATGGTGCTCATCTGGCGCGACAAGATCAACCGATCCGCCTCAACACCCTGATGTGGTCGCGTGAACAAGATCAGAAATATCCATGGACAAAGTAAAACATACTTCTTAACGGACTTATTTTTCAGGGAACAAAATGCTGCCAACGCCGTGTTGCATACTTTCGGCGCAGCTGTTGCCCAGGCGAAACGAGGGAAAGATGTGGAAGACTTGAAAGAGGTTTGGATTTTTACGAGCAATAGATTAGAGAAGTCTAGCCCAAATTAGCTGATGACCTTAGTTTACAGCTCATATCCATCTTTTTAGCCTGTTCTGGTAAAAGGCGTACAGCTGGTCGATGGCCTGATGGATTTGGTCGCGGTCCAGTTGAACACTTTGGATATTCGGCCGGATAATCCGACCAAAAATGTCGTCTGGATAGAGAAAGGTAATTTTTATACATTTTCTGATTTTTTCGCTTTTAGGTGTTCGACTTTACCGACCGAAGCCCTTCTATGAACCCATGGTTGAAGTCGAAGAGCTGAACATGGACACTTTCGATAAATTCGCGGCCGTGCTGCTTTCCTAGTTGTTTTATGACGCTTTATGATGAGTTAGGAATGTCATTAGTGTTGTTGTTTTTTTTGTGTGGGATGAAATAAATAAATTTATGGCAAAGTTGGTATCACGAGCGTTTTATGGATTGTTGCCAGTGCACCCTGTATTGACGGATGCAGACATTTTGGTGAGAAATAACCATCTTTTAGAAATGTCTGACCAATTGCAATTTCGGAAGCATCACCGTTACTTCGTGCGGCATCTGAACAGTTTTCCGGGTCAATATTCATCGCTGGATAGCACCCGGTTAACTATGCTCTATTTTGCCGTCTCCGGGCTCGACCTTCTGGATGAAGTCGAAAAGGTGCTTGTGATTGTCGCAAAATGACAACATTTTTAGGTCTTTGACGCGGAACAGAAGGCCAAGCTGATCGACTGGATCTACTCTCTTCAGTTGACATCCGAAACAGGTATGACTTTTGCTAAAATTGATTGGCCCAGAACCCTTCCTCACTTTCCCCTCTTCTCCCCATTTGTTCACTTCCATCTTTTTCAATTGCCATTGAATAAATGTTTTCATGAAATCTCTTCGGTTATTTGTCGAGTCTGCTTGTATCTGAAATAAACTTCGGGCCCTAAAGCCCCAAAATCAATTCAGGTTTATGGTGAAGCGATGGTTAGATGTACCAGTACGCTCATTGGGCGTCACAGATGCCGGGTGCTCCGGTTTTACAGCGATGGCGTTCGATGGCAAGGAAGCTGGCCAATTTATTGTCGAAAGCAACCTGGCCTATTTCTGGGATCGACGTGAGCTGTTCGGCGATTTCGACACATTACCAGTACCGGTTGTCCCCAGTCGTCCACTGCCCGGGGCATTAACCCGTCTACCTGGTTACTTCAGATACGATCTACCTGAGGTGAGCTTTGGAGTCCCTTCAATTCATTCTTGTAGGCCCAACTGAATCACCGTAATGCGTTGGTTGCAAAAAGTGTCGGCAAGAAACGCATGAAAGTATGGACCGTCAGCCAACAAAGTGACACAAAGACTATGGAGGAATTTGTCTTCAATATTAACCCTGGTTTGTAAGATTTGGCTTCTCCGACGAACTTTCTAGATGCATGCACCCTGAAAAAGGGACCTGTTGCAACCGCGGTGGACGATGAGGTTCGACAATTAAAAAGCGCGAGCGAAAGTTTTGGTGGAGAAGTCTGGATCCGAACTCGATTGGGGCTATTGCTGAAACAAGGCGATTCTACTTCGCAGGTTTCGCATTCCAAAATCTCCATTCCAACCTCTTTAGGTCTTTCGTGGTCACGTTCCCTGCTTTCATGAACATCCATATCTTCCGGAAATAACGATATGTGACGCTCGCGAGTTTATCTGGATCGGTCAGCCTGATAGATTGAGCCGTGTGAAGAATCTATGCGGCATCACGACAAAGGTGACGAATGCGTCACATATCTTATTGAGGGATATTCAGTTTACAGCGCCGTACTCTCATCCGAAATTCTTGTTTGCCGCCAATGAAGATCTGGTGCGACTCCTTGATACGCGATCGGATACGCGGCCTGAGATTCTATATACCGTTCCTGAATGGTACTATCCTCGCAAGGGATTGTTAGAAACGGTAAATCTCCCCACGCCGCCAATAAATGTGTTCTAGACGGCAGAGTTCTTCGGAAAAGATGAAATCCGACATGTCGAAGCCGTGAATGGATCGGAGAGATATTGTGTGCTCATCACCACTCGTTATTTAATCATCGTTGATTCGCGATATCCCGGAAGACATTTGCTAAGAATCGGCCATGGATTTGTCGGGACGGTAACTGGTTACTACCCTTTTACTGATAGGTTTAGGTTCATTATGTCGAAACCTCGCCTCCGATCGATGATCCGCAGAACGGCGGCAAAATCTACAATGTCAATCTGCTCGGCCACACGCCACCCCTGACGAAGACGCTCTCTTTCTATCAGCATTGTGATGGACTTTGGTATATCTTGCTTTGCAAATCAACAAAATCGCTTCAGGTCCTCGTTGCGCCCTGGATATGATTGGCGGCATCCACACGGTTTTATGACTGCGTTTCGGATGGATACTCCCGGGCCTTCGTACAAGCATTTGTTTCCACCCGTCCGCTCAATTGCAACTGTGAATGGTCTTGGGTAATTCCTACTCATACGTCGTAACTGGTTTTCAGGGACGAACTTACGTTCCCGCGAGAAATTGTATTGTCCGCTCTTGATGACGGGTCTATATGGTCTGAATACCGCGGCTATCAACGGATCAGTGAAGAAGAGCACACGCGCAGGATTGACAACTCGATGAACTCGATCAAAGAGTACGTCGAAACTCATCGTTCGACGAAACCCACCTATTTTCATGATATTGACGACGAGCTTTTTTGTGACAGGTATGATTTTACCTCCTGTTTGTAGCCTTGATTTAGGACAAAGCAGAAAAAGGCTAAGATGGTCGTTTCTGAACGCGAAATACACGATGTTTATGCGCTCGAAGAATTTGATCCAGAGATGGTAAACTTTAATTTTGGTCTCAAATCAAAGCTTTTGCAGCCGTTCCGGAGGCACTGCCCTCCAGCCGATACGCCAGTTATTGACGAGATAGACCCGACAACCGCCACACTTTCCGAAAAGGCTACTAATATGTACCTCAACAAACCACCGACGTTGGAGCAGTATCAAGAATCTTATGATCATCGCTTCCGCCACGGCACTCTACGCGCTGGAATTGATCGGAATTTACGCGCCAACAAATTCGAATCCAATGACGTTCATATGGAGCCAGTCGAAGATGAGGAAAACTCTGAAGACGAACTGAAACAACTCAACCTTTATTTGTGATTATGTATCATGGCGGTCACCTATTATTTCTATATTGCTATGTCCCGGTCCCACCCCCCATAAATTGCTTGATGTTTCCAGATTATTGTTGAGACTAAAGTGATTTTTTTCAGGTTGCCCGGCTTCATATTGTGGTTTTCGCGGATCGCACACGGTAGCAACCGCCAAGCCGAACGAAGATGATCAGCCTGATGGCGACCGGCCTTGGAACAGTGGGATTCCCTTTCAGACTCAGCCCGTGCTTTAGAATACGATCATGCCAACTTGGCGCAGACCTACTCGGCTCTACTGAGTTTGCTGGTTCTCGGCGACGACCTTTCAAGAGTCGATAGGCGTGCTGTGCTAGAGGCGATTCGCTTGGCTCAACGTGACGATGGATGGTGATATTTTGGGCTAGGATATCATAGGGAATATTTTCGTCGTATAGAATTCAACCCGCCGAAATATCAGCAGGGGGGACAGTAATTTTTACCGACGAGGTTAAATTCGGGCCGGTGATAGAAGCAAATCGATATTTTTTTCGTTTTGCTTCTAATAATAATTTTTAGTTTCTGGGCTCAAGGCCCAGGCAGCGAGTGTGACATGCGCTTCGTCTACTGCGCGGTGGCCATCTGCCATCTTCTCGGAGATTTTGTGACGATTGATTGGACGAAGCTTGCCAGGTCTCATTATATTTTTTTTTGAAATTCACCCTGGATTTAGTTTTCTACGTGCTAGTTTCTCCTACGAAGGTGGATTCGGTCAGGGTCCTATGGATGAAGGGCACGGTTTGTAATAAATTTCCCACGGAACGACTTTTTCTTAGGTGGCTCTACGTACTGTGCTGTGGCTGCGTTGTCCTTGGGCGGAAAACTGTGGGATGGCTCGGTGCTGAGCGACAAAGACATCAAGCTCCTCACGAAATGGGTGCTCAATAAGCAAGAGGTATTTTTCAGGAATATTTACTTCACTGTTTCCTAGGCGGGTTTTCACGGCCGATCCGGAAAACCAGACGACACTTGCTATGCGTTTTGGCTTGGTGCCACCCTCAAGGTATGTCTTAAAGCTTTTTTTTTGGAATGTATATTTTTCCTTGTAGATTTTGGGTGCTTATCATCTATGCGATGCTGCGCGGATCCGCACCTTTCTGCTCTCAGCCCAACACAACCATATGGGTGGATTCGCTAAGCTTCCGGAGCCCGGAATGCATTCAGGTAGCTGGAATTTCATTAACGATATTTCTCGACTGCTGATCACAGAACGACTTTAAAAGTGTTGGACCTGGCCAGAAAGGACGAGATTTTTTAGATCTTCTTCACAGCTATTTCTCCCTGGCTGCGCTCGCCATTCAAGGCGAACCCACGCTATCCGTCATCAATCCATCGGCCAACATTTCTCAACGAACATATGAGCGATTGATGAAACTTCGTTTCGATTAATCCCCCCATTCCTTTTGGTAATGAATGCGAGTATCAATTATCATTCCCCCGGAATTTCTGCCATAAGTTAAAAAAGTAATTTAACCTTTGCTTTACGCCCCCGCTCCTTTGATATCCGCTTTTTGCTCAGTTTTGCCAGCTCCCCGGTGTTGTTTGGAGTCATTTTCCCATTGTGCATGCTGCTCACGACGTTGTACATAAATTCTCCAACTTTTTAGGAGAATGTTCTTGCGAATAAACCTTTTCATCTTCATGTTGGCTGATGCGCCCTCGAGGGTCTAACATTTGGGCGGCGCTGGCTAGCGCGCAAAAGGGGTGCCATTTGAGCCATCCCGTACAAAGTCTATGTCTGATTGTTTGTGGTTTGTAGCAGCCGTGCCATTTCATTATCAAGGCTATCGAAGGATGGGTAAATAGAGACCGGCGGATGCTAGATTGGGTCGAGAATGGAAGAAGAATGGCGGATTCCTTCTGTCCCACCGGATCTTGGCCCCGAAGAAACGATCCATCGAATTCTCGATGCAACACAGCAATTTCTGAAAGTTAGTTAGTTTATAAGGTGATGAAGTCGCTGAGGAAAACACTGCGTAAAAACAAGATCTTTAGAAAACCGACGAGATATTCAACCGGGTTGAGAAGCGAGCTATCCAGCTGGAAGATCGGATTGCCAGAACACGAAGTCGGGCTACAATCATAGCCGACCGGGTCCATAATGTGAAAGAGGTGCGCTAATCATTCTATACAACTTAGCAAACTTTACTTATGGAATAGACTTATAAAGAAGCCCCGCTTTTAGCTAAATAAGGCGTTGGTTCTCGAAGCACCTTCACGATTGGTGGCCGATGAATGTCCACTTAGGGAAACATTGCTAGCAACGACCGGCACCCTCCCCGGCTCATCAGCACAATTTTCAGGTCGCTAACTTTAAATGTCTCTTAATTCTCTTTTAGAGCCGTTTGTCTTCAAAAAACCTCCATGTGATACGGACCTGAAACGAGCTTTGGAGGATAAGAAGACGTTCTTCTTGCCATCACACTTGTTGAAGTCTTATAAGGATAAGACAAAGAAAGGTACGATTCCCACTTACTTACAGAATTCCTTGATTAAGGTCAAATGAAGGTGCCGACCAGCTTGAACAGCGTCGCCGACCTCTATTTTTATGACACACAACGGGTTGCTTATGATAATGTAAGTCAAGGAAGTGTCGGCTCAACTTTGTCATTTTAGGTAAATCTCTCGCTTAATCAGCGTCAGCGGCGTTACAGCGGTACTACTGTCAAAACGGTACGCCTTTTTCACTAGACCTATTTTAGTTTAGGGTGATTCCTTCGGGGTCCCGGTCTCGACGCCAGCCCTGGCTTCTGCTATTGGCTACCGGGCCCGGGACGAAGATCCATTGGCCTATCGGCCGCAAGCGATGACTTTGGAGGACATCGATTTGCCGAGTATTTTGCCGGATCTTCCCGGTATGAATTTCCGGATGAGAACTCTTTTCCTTGGACTTAGATTTACTGCTATAAACAATATTTGATTTCAGGCGTTGCTGAGGATATCTCGTTCTATGGCCACGACGGCTCATTTTTCGGCTTCTCCCCACCGCCGCTCCCTGATTTTGTCGACGTGCCAGACATTCCTACGAAAACAACATCATCCACAGACCAAAATCCAACGGTGAGACGTGAGCCAGTGCTTGATTATTTAATTTATTAAGCGCATCGTGCGCCGTTGCGCATTCTGATATATGTAGTGGCGTAATTAAAAATTATACGTTATTTCAGATGGTTTCCGCTCCGCCACCTCCACCAACATCAGCCCCCATGCCGCCCCCACCAGCGTTTTCTGCTCCTCCGCCAGCTATGGTAGCGATTTTCTTAACTTTAAAAGCATTCGAATTCAAGTCCACAATTCCTCCGCCACCTCCGCCTCCTCCACCTCCGCCTCCGCCTCCGCCAGCTTTACGTCCACCACAAACCGCATCGACACCAGTCCCGGAAGGCGGCAGGTTTGTGACACAGCCAAAAAAGGAGCAAAAAACCTTATAAATTATATATTAGAGATCTTATTTTAGAGCCAATCTCATGGAAGCTATCCGTGCAGCCGGTGGAGCGGGCAAAGCTCGCTTGAAGAAGATTGAAAAAGATGGTGCTGAGGGACAGAAATCAAGGAGGACCAAAAAGGTAGGCTTTCAAAGGAAAAAGGCACTTGTCTTTGAAGTTAGCAACTGCAAAATTGTTTTATAGTTTTAGTATGTTTACAGCAGTAATTATTTCAACCACATTTTTTGAAACTACATTCTTTAATCCTATTCTATAGAGAAACTTTGAAAACCAACTTTATAGGAAAGCGAAGCCAAGGGCGCTTCCGCGCTACCCCAAGGCGGCCCAGTCGATCTGATGTCCGCCCTTTCGCTAGCATTGAATGCCCGTCGTAAATGTAAGTCGAAAAATATTAACAAACACAAATTAAAGCCTTGACTTAATAAAGTTTATTTAGACATATCTGGACAAAATGACAGGACGGATGAACGGACAGAGTCCACATCCGCTAGCAACATTCCGCCACCGCCCGGCGGGGCCAGTGATGAAGAATGGGGATAACTTATGAGAGTTTTTTTTGGATATTTACGGTTTTGTTCTTTATTTTTGTTGTACACATCTGATGCCACGTTGCCTTGTCGTCGCTTCAACAACGATGTTTATACCCTGGTTGTGACCTTGTCCGTGTCTAGGCCATTTTCATGAACCGCGTGCATTCTTGTCACTTACATGCCAAAATTATCGACACGAGTGTTGCTCAATTTTTTCTTCAGTTATCCGAGTGAATAAAGTTAATATATTTTACGTTGTTGATGGCCGCAAGGTTGTTACACTTAGAAATACTTCAGCGGATTGTTCTATGGCATTTACCCGAAACTTTGGTACTGGACTGTTAGCGGGGGGGATGGATTTCTCAGCGTTCGATTAATTAGACGTATGATTTATGTAGCTTTTGCGCCACTTTTAAATATAGAAAGTTCATGAACAATTATGTTTTTTGGTAGAAAATCCATGAAAATCTTATTTTAAATTTTTTCTTTTTCTTTTAATTTTTTTTTCAGCCTATTTCCACCTCTTCACTAATTGAAAGCTAGTAAAAAGTTTAGTAAACGACCATAAAACCGGTAAGAATTTTTCTAGGTCGGCCCAGGATATGCAGCCCCCCCCCCCCGCAAACAGCTCAGTACTGAAATCTTCACTAGCCTCATCTTTAGTTCGTTTATGAGCGAACGAGTCCCACTACCCAGCGAGGAGATCCACACACCAAATCCGCACCCAGCAAGAGGTTTTTGGTGTTTTTTTTGCCTTGACAAGTTTTTAGGAATCTACGGCTTCGTCCTCTACATCGTTGGCTGGCTCGGGCTTGTCAGCTACCTGGTGTGGGCCATCGTACCGACGCCTATTCTGGAAAGCTTTGGTATTGTTTTGTTAAACTGTTTAGCTTCTACCGCAAACATATACCGTTAAAATCTTTCACTTATAATTTTTTCAGGTATCACCTACGTTCCCGCAAAAGCCTGGGCGATTGCCGTACCACTGTTCGTGTTCCTATTGACGATCATCTACCCGTTCACGCTTCTCGCGTTCAACATCGTTCGCTTCCGAGGGATTTTTGAAGACGTTGGGGTTAGAAACTGATTGCTTTCTCTAATAACGTGTTTATAGTATATCGAGAAGGACTTTGGCGATCACACCCTACCCATCGACCCTATTGAAAAGAAGATAAACTAAAAGCGAAAATGGGCAAGACATCCAAGGACAAACGCGACATCTACTACCGGATGGCTAAAGCCGAGGGCTGGCGCGCTCGCTCTGCCTTCAAGCTGACCCAAATAGACGACGAGTTCAAGGTGTTATCCGGGGTCACGAAGGCCGTCGATCTTTGCGCAGCCCCCGGGAGCTGGAGCCAAGTTCTGTCACGACGCCTCTTCGAGGTTGACCAAAAGGCCAAGATTGTAGCCGTGGATCTCCAGCCAATGTCACCCCTCCCCGGCGTCATCCAGCTTCAAGGAGACATCACCCAGGTGGAAACGGCCAACCAGATCGTCTCCTACTTTGACGGTGAAAAGGCCGAGCTGGTCATTTGCGATGGAGCGCCCGACGTCACGGGCCTGCATTCTCTCGACGAATACATGCAGAGCCAGCTCGTACTCGCCGCCCTCAACATCACCACCCATATTCTGATGGGAGGCGGGAAATTTGTGGCCAAGATCTTCCGGGCTCGCGACATCACGCTCCTGTACGCGCAGCTGAAACTGTTCTTTGATGACGTCTACTGCGCCAAACCAAAAAGCAGCAGACAGAGCAGCTGTGAGGCGTTTGTGGTGTGCTTGGGCTACCGCCCGCCTGTCGATTATGTTCCTTCTATGACAAATCCGCTACGTCTACCGGACTACGATGATCTTTCGGCTCAAAACGGCTGCAACGCGACAATCGTGCCCTTCGTGGCCTGCGGAGATCTTCACGGATGGGATTCCGATCGCTGTTATCCACTAGATGCCGATATTATCATTGGAACATTGCCGGAGAAGTATGTATACCGCGAGCCCGTTCAACCACCAACTGAGCCGGCTTATAAACAGGCCGTCGAGCTGCGGAAGAACGGCGCTTTGGTCAAAGCTACAAATCAATTGGCGCAGACGCTGAAGCCGCACATCGAACGACAGAGCGGGCAGAATTCTTCGAATGCGGGGATCGATGAAAGCGTCATAGAGGGATTTGAGAGCTTCTTTGTTTGAATTGTTATTGGGTGCTGGTTCTTTATGTTATTGCTGGTCTCTTTTCACGGTGTGCCTTCCCATTGTTATCCTTGTTGCCGATCAAAATCTTATAACAAAAATAAATTACAGATAAATGCCCCAGAATGCTCTCCTCAAAATTCACATCGATAGTCCTGCCACGTGCCCAGTATACCCAGATGATGCGAGGGGCACCGCGTCGGTTTGAGAAAGCGGACGGATCTCGTGGTAGTAAGGTATGGAATTCGATTATTATGTGAAACGTCCATTGCAGGTTGCAGAAATTCAAAAGCGGCTCGCCGAATTTGAAAGAAATGCACGCGCCAGTACATCTCAAGTCTCGAATGAATATGCCGTCGAATCTATGATGGCTGAAAAACAAATACAGTAGGTTCATTAAAATATCTTCAGTCTGTTCATTTTTAGGACCGATGAATCGTTTGAGCGGGTCGTCGAGCGGCGTAAGATTGAGCATGAAAACAACCGAAAAATCCGAGCGGATGTTGCGTCAAGTCAACATCAAGTCTCCTTTCCCTATGCCCAAAATACGGAGGTTCGGCAGATTTTCGAATTCATAGCCTAAAATCTAGATTAAATACGAGAATCGCATGGGTAAGAACGACGTCGCAAATGCGTCCTCATCGGCCGACCGTGGCTTTTACATCAACGGCGACCTCTACTTTGACGAATACCAGGCGGGCACTTCGCTTGATTTGCCGGAAGACAGGATGACGAGGTTAAAAGTTGGAGCTCTTGCCAATAAACATTTTTAGAGCTTTTGACGTCTATGGTGCGGAAGATGCGGTTGAAAATATTGAATTCCAGTTGCCAGGCCAACTCGCGGGAAAGGTAGGAAAATGTTGGCTAAATAAATTTAAATTGCTAGGAGGAAGAAGGTGGGCTGGAAGAGACTTCTTTGGACTCAACGGAGCAATTCGGAACCGTCGACCCTGACCAGCCGGTCAGCAAGCATAATTGTGGCGGATGCGGGGCGAATTTTCACTGCAAGGTCGATTTTAATGGGAAAATAACCTATTATTTTTAGGATTCATCATTGCCCGGCTTTGTCCCCTTGGAAGTCCTCGAAAAAGTTGATAGAAACAAGAAAGCGGCCGAATCGCAACTATGCAAACGCTGCCATCTTCTGAAACACCATAATTTTCTGGTATCAGCTGTTTTATCTATTAAAAACTATATCAATCTAGCTCAATGTCAATGTATGCCCGGTGGATTACAAGTCGATGATGTCACACTTGAAAATGAAGGAAGAGGCTTTGGTAGGGATTATCCAGGCATTTATAAACATCATTTTTAGATCCTATTGATCGTTGATGTGACAGATATTCCTGGTAGCATCCATCGACAACTTCCAAACATTATTGGGTCCAAGAAGCCGATGATTGTCGTCGGTTAGCTTGATCGATAGATTTTTTAAACGTTTTTTCAGCAAATAAGGTTGATCTCTTGCCACCGGATGCTCGTGGTGGCTACCTGAAGCGCTTCAAAATGGTCGTGGAAGAAGCAATCAGAGACGCCGGATTTGCCGATCAGTAAATTATACAAAACATATAGCAACTTCCTGAATTTAGGTTCAACATCCTTCATACAGCCCTCGTCAGCGCAAAGACTGGTTACGGTGTGGAAGATTTGATTACGGTATTAAAAACCTGAGAAAATGCTTTACTTGAAAATGTTTTAGGAGATCCACATGAAATGGACGAACGCCCGGATGAGCATGAGAGCCGATCTCTACCTGGTTGGCTGCACAAATGCCGGGAAATCGTAAGGAGGAATTGTTGATTTATTTTTGCAAAAAAATCTTAGGACGTTGTTCAACGCCTTCCTGCAGTCCGACCTGTGCAAGGTGCGAGCCGTCGATTTGATCGAAAGAGCCACCACCTCGCTGTGGCCTGGGACTACGGTAGAGAACGAAATAAAGAGATAGAACGCTTTGATCCAGATTTCCCTGCTGAAATTCCCGGTGATGAAGCTGACACCACATCGCTTGGAATTGAGAAGGAGGAGGCTGTTGTCGAATAGGTAAATCACTATAAGATAAAAAAGAATACGAGTCTTTAGTGCTTGGCAACAACGCGAGAATTACACAAAAAAGCTGGCTCTGCAGCAAACTGGCAATGATAAATACGCGGTGCTGACGGGCACGATACAGAACACCTATAAGGTACATATTTTCATCGGAACCCGTTTTGCAATTGCCGTTTTAGGAGCAAGAGGATGAGGCTCAACCGGTGAGGCTACGCGAAATTTTCGGAGAGGATACCCCGGAAAAAGAGCACGAAAAGCGCTGGTCACTGGACGATCCGATATTCACGAAGGGAAATTGGTGCTACGATACGCCGGGCACGGTGAATGTTGATCAGGTTGACACCTTTTTTGGTCTTTCAAACTTGTATGCTTAGCTACTGAACATATTCACACTTTCCGAGCTGGTGACGGTGCTGCCGCGGAAGCTGATCAGACCCAGGACCGCGATTTTATCCCCTGGTCAGTATTAGTCAGATTTTTTGGGCCTTTTTCAGTGACGGGGGGGGGATAATTTTTTCCTAGTTACAGATGCGCCTATCAAGTGCAATACCAAGTCTTTTAACAGTATTTGGTGACATTTATTTAGACTTCAAGTCAATGAAAAAAAACTATTCAGATAAAATTTTAAGCTTTTTCAAATGTGAACTTTTATGCGCAAAATATATATTTTCGATATTTTTAATAAACATTTGTAGCGGTTTTACCTTTAGGAATAGTAAAAAACGGTGCGCAAAAGAAACGCTTTCTAAGATTATGCTGGAAAAATTTGTTCCTAGGGAATAAATATCCCCCTTGATATTGCCAAAAATCAATTTTTTTTTACAAATGTTTTAGGGCGATCCTTGATTATCGGTGGGGTTGGAGTGGTGGACATTGTGGGAACGGACAACAACGAACAGTTGCTGGTAGTACTTTCAAAATTTTTGAAGCATTAAATCAGTTGACCGTGTTCGCCAGCGATGCATTGCCACTGAACGTCATCCACACCACTGAAGTATCCAGTTTTCTGGAACGACAATTGGCCCAAGGTTTTCCTGTTTTCTCTGTCCAATTTTATCCAAATTCTAGGGACTCTGGTGGTGCCCCACCCCGACCCAAAACGCCTGGAAAAATGGCCAAAGATGAGGGGTGAAACGTTCGAGCTAGATGGAAAGGCAGAAGGCGCGACGGCGGATTTGGTGAGCAATTTCGCTAATTCTCCTATTTTTGAAATATTCTTTCAGGTGCTCTCAAGCATTGGCTGGGTGACCGTCACCTCTCCGAATGCCTCGATCATTCATTGCCGAGTGCCGACGGGCAAGGGCATCGCCGTCCGCCAGCCCATGCTCCCCTACTCGGCCTCATTGCGCGGAAGACGTCTCCCTGGCACTGCATTCTATGCGGTAATCTTTCAAGTACTAGACTGTTAGCAGGGGGGAAACTATTTAGCCTATACTTCTCTAGCGAGAAAAATTGTTAGCGGTTAGAGTGTGTTTTCCAGTATTTTTATTACCTTTTCATTATTAAACGGTCTTCTAACTTTTTGTAAATTAAGGAAAATTGAAATTGACATTCTCATTTTTAGAACAAAAATAATATTTTTGAAAATTTGAATTTTTTTATGAAGTTCTTTGATCAAAAACGGCGTTCTAGGCATAATTTGTGTGTATTTCATAACGGAGACTTGGCCTCCCCCCGCTAACAGTCCAGTACCGGACCTTTTTAGGTGAAACCTGTGTCCTTCCCGGTCAACTTCCGCCGCTTGAGCGCGACGAAGAATAGATCCAGACACAACAGCGGCAGTCGAAGAGATGATCCGACAGATAGATTTTAGTGTTATTTAGTTGTTGCTTGTTTTTGTTATTTTTTGATTTGTTTGAAGCATAAATACTGACAAAAACCTTTGTTTTTCGAAGGTACATTCGGCTGTGCGAGCTGGGCTTCTTGAAAGACTGACGGGCGAGTGGTATTTGGCATTACAGATGTCATAAGCGAATGGATGTGGCCGTGAAGCTGCATCCGGCGGTTTTTGCGGTGCCGCCGCTGCTTTTGATAACATTTTACCTAGAGTTCAGGTAAAAAAATAAAACTGCCGTAATAAAAAATAAGTAGTAGTAACATAAATAAATTGACGTCTTAGCATTTTTGCGCTCGCCTCATGCGTGCTTTGTGGGTTCGGTGGATACAAGCTGGGTGAATGGCTGTTGGAGGACCGGCGGCTGCAGAACCTGGTGAGCTTGAGCTTCGTATATGAAGTTGAGCCCCCTTGCAGATCAGCGCCCGATTCGGAAAGTTGTCTGACCGGAGCGAAGACAACTTGAAAGAAGAAAATTTGCCGGCCTGGAACGGTATTTGCACAAAAAGCACTGACGATATCTGTAAATTTCTAGAAATCCAAACGCCGCAACTGGTCAGCGACGCCGTCGAGCAGTTCCTGGAGCAGGTGGTCGATCGTTTTGTGAACAATTGGTATGAACCGGGGATCAGCCGGGATCGTGCTTTCCTCAATGAAATCCGGTAAATGTCCGAACTTTTTCTAATGACGGGTGGTTCAGTTATCAACTGAGGTTTGCCAGTTGCCAGCTTCTACGCCGGATCTCTATTCACGAATTAACCGAGATTATCTTTGAGGTAGGAGTAGATGCTGATTTTAGCTTTTGTTCGTTTTCGTTTAGAATGGGATCCCCTTGGCCTCGCTGCATTTGCAACGAGTGGCGGATGCCGAAAATTCCATTGAAAAGCAGGTAGGAATATCGAAGAATCTGAGCGCAAAATTTTTCTTGCTTTAGACGCCACCCCCACTTGTGGAGACCGAGATAGCAAAGCAAATGGGAAAGCTGCATTACGCGCTGGGGAGTCGCACAAATGAGGAGGATTATTTGAGGTAGGAATACAGCTTTAAAATTAGGGAAAGCATGACTGTTACAGACAAATTTCCGACTTCTTGCTGCCGATTCTTTTTGACGACTCGCGGCTAGCTGGACGTGCTCTTGATGATGACAGCCCGAGACATCGGAATGTGGTTCGAAATCGACACGTATGTCCAGAAATAACTCCAGGATTAAAGCGAGTTTTAGAGAGCTTGGCCATCCCAACCATCACGCCACTTACTGAGGGAAATGATTGCTCATTCCGTATTGCTACCCCTGCTCGATCTGATCGCCGACCCGGACACGATCAATCATCTCCTGATACTGCTCTTCGACCCTGAACCTGTTGCGACAGTCGAACAAATACCGGTGGATAAAAAACTATTTTGTAATCTAAAATCCATTCTCTAGTCGCCAGCTGTCCCTTTCCTCCATGGACTCACTGATCAGGCAGCCGAGTCAGTGCCCGATTCACTTTTGCAGCTGAAATTGAGCGAGGTATGTATGAAGGTTGTTTTCAGCCCGATAAAATGTTGAGTACCAGAAAACAAAACAGCTTCAAAATCAATTCTTTTGAAAAACTTCGATTTTGAAGATTTTCCGTAAGTTCCGTCCTTTCCAGCTTCTCCGCGACCCGAAGCTGTTCAGCATGTTCGAGCTGTATCTACGGGATATTCGCGGCCCCGAGAATGAGCTGTCGTTTGTGGCGAGGGCCGACCGCGTGCATGAGGATATTCAGAAAAAGGTGGAATATGGTAGAAAATGAGATAACCGTTTTTTTCCAGATCCTCTGCTCGTCCGAGATTTCGAATGCGATCTGGCAATTGTACTGCCAGTATATCCACGAGGGAACCGAGGATAAGATCCCGTTTGACGAGGCCATTGGGGAGGAGTTCCGGGCCGCTTTTGCCAGCAACGAATTGCAGCGGTTGGAGCGGATTTTAGAAAAGGTTTCGATTGAATGTAAAATTGAAATTAAAAGTTTGTAGAGCTACCAATGGGTCTATCATCGATTGCAGTGGACGCACGTCGTGCCGTTTTGCCAGGTAATCGCTGAAATTCGGAAAAATCGCCATTTTTAGTCTGACGCATTCCTCGGACCTCTCTGCGGCTGCCCACCGATAGCCCTCGAAATAATTTCGGCGCCTAAGGATGCGGAACGCCGCGGCTCGATACCGGACAAGACCTTTTCCCTCGCCCAGTTACGGTAACTCAATCAGAAAGTTCAAAAAAAAAATCGAAATTTAGCTCTCGCCTTCGTAAAGCCATATTTTTGGAAGCGGATGACGAGGGACGGGATCAATTCGATGGATCTTATGAGGTAAGATTTGATTTCTCTATGCAATTCCCGCTTTAGCAGGGCGTCGAAGCAAGCATGGAATTCGGGACGCCGGTGAAAAAATTTAGCGACCGTCGAGAGTTCAGTGAACCCCTTGAGGTACTTCAAAAGTCGTTTTCCGAAAGGAAGTAAATTCCAGGGAACCCAGCCTTTCCATCAACCACCGCATCACTCGCTCTCGATGCCGGATATACAGGTAGATGTGTCTAAAATTAATTATAAACAAAAAATCTAGACGCCCTCGATCGATGTGAGCTACTTGGGCGAAGAGGCTGAAATGGCGAGCCCGGCCAGTGGACAAAGCCTGGTAAAAAAGGCTTAAAAATTTTGGAAAGACTTGTTTAGAATGAGGGCAGCTCCGAAGAGGGCAGCGGGCCAGACAGTGGAGACCGAAAACAACCGGAAGAGCCGCTGCCAGATTTGGTTATCGATACCGAGACGCGAGATATCGGCAGATGGGCGGTCACCATCCCGAAAGTCGTACCGACAAAAGACCCAATCAACGGTAAACTTCACTAGAAAATAAAATAATTTTGGGTGTTTTTACTATTCCTAAGCGTAAAAACTATTCATTTTTGTTACAAAATGGAAAACATAGGTTTTTCATCGAAAAATTAAATTTTCAAGCGTTTTTCGAGGTTGTTAAGATAGTTTTCACTTGAAACATTTATCAAAAACACAGAATTAAAATACTTATTATCTCGTGGCACTAGGCATATCTGGGCTCACCAGCCCCCCCGATAATGCGCAAGAACCATATTCCCAAATTAGGTCGAACCGTGTTCGTCTACCAAATCCAAGTAATACGACACGACGCTCAGCCGCCTGAGACCCGCCATTGGACCGTCCTTAGGTAAAAACACGCTTTTCACGCTGATCATCGAGATATGGTGTTTCTGCAGATCTCAATCGGACACAATCTCGAGATACATTTATTTTCTAGGCGCTACAATGAGTTCTACGTGCTCGAGAGCAAACTGACGGAATTCCACGGCGACACCCTATGCATTCCGACGCTCCCGCCAAGAAAGGTGGGTTAAAATATACCAAAACGAAATTTCTGTCTAGAGCTTCGTGTCGAAAACCAATGCCTTTATCGAGCAAAATCGACTGGCTTTTGCCGCATTCCTGGGAAATTTGTCAAGACAGCGCCAGCTAGCGCGCTCCGATCTGCTGTTTGCGTTTTTGGCATCGAATGAGGAGTTCCGGTCAGTTTTTCTTAGGATCTGATTTAGGGCTTGATTCAAGTTTACGGTACTCGCCCAAAATGCGGTTTTTTGTGTTCAAATCGCTAAATAAAGGTCAGAAACGGACTCAGCGACAAAAATTAGGTGGCGGAAGGCACTTTTTAGGGGAGAAAACCTCATTTTAGTTTTGAGATCGGGTACCGTAAAGTAGTATACGGGGGTGACTACTTTACGGTACTCGCCCAAAATGTTCCTTTTTCTGCACGAATAGAAGCAGCAAGTTCTGAAACGTATTAATCAGCAAAAATAAGTGGGCGGAAAGGCCTATAAAGGGAAGATTCGGACACAGATTCCATCTCTCAATCACACCCAGTTTACGCCTAAAAATAAGGCTTCGTGCCACTCGGGGCCTAGTCGCTTCGGATGGGTGCGAGCTCGTACAGTGTTTCGAAATCGGGGCGCCCGAGGAGCGCGAAGCGCCCAGGCGCCCTGATTTCGAAAGAGTGGAGCGGCAGCCCATCCGAAGCGACGGCCCACCTTGCGCGACATGTCATAAGCCTCAAACTTCGAAGTCTCAAATCGCTCATTTTTAGGCCTTTCCGCCAAATCATTTTTGTTGCTTCATTCGTTTCAGCCCTTACTGCTTCTTTTCGTGCAGAAAAACTAAAATTTTGGGCGAGTACCGTAAAGTAGTCACCCCCGTATACTACTTTACGGTACCCGATCTCAAAACTAAAATGAGGTTTTCTCCCCTAAAAAGTGCCTTCCGCCACCTAATTTTTGTCGATGAGTCCGTTTCTGACCTTTATTTAGCGATTTGAACACAAAAAACCGCATTTTGGGAGAGTACCGTAAACCTGAATTTTCCCTCTGATTTTTATAGGGACTGAGGAAGTGCTTCTAAACTTTTTTTGTCATTCGTAAATGCAAAAACTTACTTAAAAATATGAAAAAAATATAGATTTTTTCGACCAAAAAAGGGCAATTCTAGGGACACGCTACTGCTATCCGATTTGAACCCGTGGCGCGTGGTGAAGAAGATGCCAGGCAAACTCTCCCGAGAGCGAGGCCAGAATCTCCGGCCATTCCTGCTCAACCTGCTAGCGAGCACGCTCAGCCCACCGAGCCCGATCATTGAGCGGAAAAAGGACGATGATACCGGGTATCTGAAAGCATCAATTTTCTGAATCACTTATGATTGCAGGAGCATATCGTCCTTGTCTTCTGACGCCAAGGCACCACTCTCGCTCTACTCGCCCATTTTCGGCAACAATCTCCCCAACGTGAACATTGGGCTCGAGCCGACTGTAAAGGACTTTGGGTGGTGTGGCTCGGACAGGTGAGAGAATCCGGGATCTTCTTAAAAAAATTTAGCGCCTTCATCGATTCGGCCATGATTCTGCTCCGATCCACGCTGTCGATCTTCCCAGCCGTTGTTCAATCGTTGTTCGTCGTCTTCCGGGCAGTCTTCAGCCCAGCGGCGGATTCATGGATTCGGCAGGTGACCGAAAAGGTACCTGGCATTTTTCATAACGCATTAAACCTAAATTTAGCTCCTACAGAAAGCTCTCGGTGAGGAGAGCCTCGTCGCGCTCGTTCGATTGGCCGAGCAGTCGGTGTTCTGCGCCGAGACAGCGCCATGGCCGACGGAGCAGGAAAAAGCGTTGCGCCGAGAGTTGGCAAAAAGAAGGACGATCGATTGGCTCATCGACACTCTTCCTACACACGTCGATAGGGTACTTTCAGCTTCTCCACCCTTTTCATCCCCTTCTTTTAGCTCGTCGGCCAACAAGAGCTTCGCTCCGCCATCTCGAGACTGCATTCGGCCCTACAGTACCCCAGGCTCAACAAGCAGCTCAGCTATGTCCTCCTCGATGCAATTATCAAAAGACTTTTCGAACATGAATCCAAATAATCGCTGGTCCTATCACTTCCAATTCCCACGTTGACTAGTCGCTTCACCTTCATTCCCCCCTAATCGTGCCACATACGGATCACTTCTTTTGACTTGGCCAAAACCATTGATCTCAGTGCTCGCATAATAAATATAAGTTTATACCGCAACGTTTCAACATCACAACAACAAAGGCACCGGCGTGGCTCAAACGTAATGATTAAAACCTTACTACGCACATTCAAAATCCCATTTGAAGGTTTTTGTGAGGTACAGCTTGAAGTTTTGCGTCTTCTTCCGTAGCACATCATCCACGGAAGTGAGATCTGCAGAAACACAATGTAGATTATGGTCAAAAAGCTGCAACCAACCTCTAATATTCGCAAACAGCATGGAGAGGGTGGTCGTCAAGAAATTGTCTCTGGAGACGATGTCCACAAAAAAGTCGTGCGGGCATTCCTTCAGCTGGAAGTATAGGACCTGAAAAAAAGTATAAATTAAAAAGTTAAACAAACCCGAATAAACGCGAGGTACAGATCATTGTGCGTGCGCAGAGCCGTGGGACAGGAGCATAACAAATGGATCAGCCGTTTCCACTGCTCGAAGCCCTCGAACACCTAAAGATGTTGGTAGAGAAAAGGCAATGGGCTTCGTACCTGGCCCAATAAAAAGCAAGCGAACGCATATTGGCATTCGGCTAACAGCTGCTTCCAGTCTCCATTTAGCTGCTGAAACAGAATCCGTTAATTTTTTTGAAATTTTTGAGCATAAAAGAATTTGAAAGCCATTCTTTTATTCTTTTCTTCTCCCATAGATTTTGAAAACGACCGACTCATCAAAAACGAACCTTGGACAACAATTTGTTCAGACGGTCCGTGTAGTCGATCCCGGCCCGATTTTTAGGGATCTAAATCGGGTACGTCATAACTAGAGAAAAAACATACCGCCAGTTGCGGAATTTCGACAAATTGTATCTCGAATCCGGGCCGGATCTTCATTATAGGAAGGCCTTGTTGGTCTGGAAAAGGTCCCATGAAAAGTTTTGTACATTACCGACGAATCGAATGCGTGTCGGATGGTCACGATCCACACGAGTCGAGCACCCGGCGCCCTCATTCAACTAAAAAGGTAAAATCTGAATAGGCGGCCAAACATCGCTGTTCTCCATGCAGGCGGTTTCCATCGTGACGAGCTCCGCTTGCGCCGAAATCATTCCTAAAACTCATTCATCAGAAACGGTAATTCACCAACCTTTCTCAGGATTAACCCGATTTATCGTCGCCACGTTCACGAAATCTGTCAACGCATACCAACTTAAAAAATTATTTTGAAAAATCAGCCAAAGGGCCCTACTTTCTATAAGTCTCATAAGGATAGGGGCCCAACATTCCGTCGATGTTCTTCAGGTTTGCCCGAAATCGTTCGACCTAGAAATCCAATAAAGCAGATCAAAAACACAAAACCTCATCCTCACTGGCGGCCTCCTCCACAAAAGTTTCCTTCGACTTGTCCCACTTCTTGACCATAATCTCACGCGCGACAAAGTTGTGAAAGAACCCTAAAAACATATTAATTGCTGAAAAAAGGATACCTATCCGCGGAGCCCCTTTCACACTGCAGTAGACAAAGTGAATGCCGGGCGGTATCATCTTGACGCCCATGAATTTTGGACCCACCTGAAAGGCAATTTTTCCTAGAGAATAAAAATTATACCTTAAACGTTTTGTAGTCGATGCCAAACTCGTTGCCCTCGGGAAAATCCTTGAATATCTACAAAAAATTGCAAAAATTCTAGCGTAAATAATTACCAAAAAGGCGCCATACTCATACATGTAGTTGACCACATCGGCAGGCAGATCCCCACCGCTGCGCAGAGAATTCATTATCAACGCTTCCATCTAAAGCTTATTAAAGGGATAGGGGCGGCATAATGCAATCGATTACGCGCGGGAAAGAAAATGTCTCTGCGCCTCCCCCCTGGGCGCGCTCTCTGCCCTGTTGGCTACTTGCCAATTTGTTGATGGGGGGGGGGGGGATCGACACATGCCGTCGGCAGCCCTTTAATGTTTTTTCATCAACAACGTTGGCAATGAGGTATGAAGCCGCCACAACGGAATTCAGCGGGAAAAGAATTATCTTAGCAGTCCAAAAATAGTTTATCCTAACTACAATAAGCACATATCAATCCGGTATTCATGAGGTCATCTGTCCAGGGTAGGCGTCTGTCCGATTCTTCCGCACGAGAAACTTCATTTTTCTAGAATCGATTTTGAGCACGCGTCGCAAAGAGTTACCTGGCCATGTCTTCGTTGAAAATCGCCTTCGAAGCCTCCATCGAAAGGGCTTTGCGTTGCATGAAGGGTTTCTGGTAATATTGCGTGTTCCTGATGATTTTCATAAGACCCTCGACCTCCATCAGCCTAAGACGAATAAAATAAAATCCCGACCACTATCTACCGATTTAACAGATGGAAAGCACCGTCAACGTCGTTCTCCTTGACCATCACCGTCCGCATGTGATACCGCGGATGGGCGTTCCATATGCCTAAAGTTTTATTGGGGGTAAAACGACGAAGTACACTACCTGGAAACATCTTGACCGCATACGGCTGCGTGAGCGTACCTCTCCACGTACCTCTAACCATAGATCTAAATTTGTGTTTTGTTTTAACGTCAAAAATTAATTGAAGGGTAGCAGTTGAAAAATTCGGGACCCCTGGGAAAACCTTTCGTAAAGCATCCCGGCAACACCGCCATACAAAAGACACGGAAAGGGGCGGAGGTTTAAAGGGAAGTTTAAGTTAGAAAAGTTTAATAAAAAAGCGGAAAAGGTGAAATAATAATGTTGTATCCTGAAAAGAAGTCAAGAGGAGGGAATTGGGTGAAGGGTGCCGGAATTGGCAGGCAAGTGCAGATGGAACGCGTGGCAGGACGGGGCTACTGCGCTACTAACTTACAGTATTTCCTCTTATATATAAATCCTCCTCTAATTCTAAAATACGATAGGCATTTTTATCTGGATTCGCCAGTTATGGAAAAAGAACAGAAAGAACGCACGTGTACATGCAACAAAGTTAATTTTAAAATCGAGTTACATAGTAGTATAATTTAGGAGACGGGCACTTGCTCAAATTTTTTTCGCGATAGAACTGGCTAGGTCTCATCCGAAAACTTGGTTCACACAAAAACGACTCCTTCCCAAAAATCGCCCCAAAAATGCGTCAGCTCGTTGTAAGTCAAGCGTACGCACGCGTAGACTCGGCTTGACCGAAGCTAAATAACCAGGCTTCTAAGCTTACGAACTTACTGCCTTCTCTGTTTCGGCCGGCGAGGTGGCCGGCGAACCACGGCGAACTTCGCCTGGCGTACTGCGCCGGCCACCTCGCCGGCAAGGGGTCGGCGAACTTCGCCGGCGAACCAGCCCGGCGAACTTCGCTGGCGAACCTGTGCGAGCTAGCTGATGCTTAATCCCCTTGATTATTATTCATTAAACAATAAGGATCTACGAAGAAAACATGGATTAATAGAACCAGGACCGATTGGACCCAGATAGCGACTGAGGAAAAGGGGCTTAAATCAATTTATCAACAGTAAAAATTTAACAACGGGTGAAGAAATGAATTTCCTCGCAGGAGAAGCGGCTTGTGGAGGCCTGAATTCGATTCGAAATTGTACCTTTTTGAGATTGTCAGAAGCGAAATGTGTGTTTGGTACCGGTTTACGCTTTCGGCGGTATTCCTTTACTGACTACCTTCTTCTTCGGTTGTGATCAACTTACCGCTACCTTACCATTGTTTCGTAGGAGAGCTGACGCTGCAGTAGCTGTTGGAGCGCCGGGTTGTCCCCATGCCGTTGGATCTGTCGCGTAAGGACTTTTCCGTCCATCAGTTCGGGATCTACCTGAAGGGTGTTGAAATCGATACAGGGGTTTCAAGTAATTACCTTGACGGTGCCGTTATGTTCGCTCCCTATAAATACCAATTTTCCATCGTAATAAGCTGATTTCTAATAACATCACCGACCTGCGTATTCTTCCATTTCCGGCACTGTATCCTCCACCTCATCTGGATCCGATTCATCGTTCACCGATCGTAATATTTCAGTAACGCGTTGGATCGCCGTATCGCGCATCCGCCGCTTCTCGTCGGCAGCTTTCATATCTATAAGTCTTTATAATAATAGTATCATTCTTAAAAAAACCTGTAGTTGCAGCCGCCGATCGCACGCCGGTAGTTTTTTTTTGCAAATGACTTACGACTTTTTTTCCTCTCGCAGCCCGCCACTCCGGTCGCGTCGTGGTTCGCCGGCGAAGTTCGCCGATCCCCTCTCGTCCCCTTTTCCGGCGAAGGTCGCCGGTGGTTCGTCGGCCACCTCGCCGAGCTCTGGTTCGCCGGCCACTGCGCCGAGGTTCGCCGGCCAGCTCGCCAACCCCTTAGGTTCGCCGGCCACCTCGCCGGCCGAAACAGAGTTATTGGCTTCAAGCCCGATCGGGGGCTTTGGCCTGTCTGCTACAATGTGCCCCGCTCAGGGGCGGAGTGTCGCGGAACTTCGGACCCCGTGGTTACTCCGAGAGCTTTTTCCTCGCAAGTTGTATTTTTCCACCTCTCCGTCTTATCCGCTTTTTTTCCTAAGATTCGGGCTGGTGCATCTTCACTTTGTTTTCTGCCTGTTTTTAGTCATGTTTGAACGCTTGGGCTGTCTAAACTGGCTTGACTTGACTTTCGCTTTTTTTGGCTGGAATGGCTCAAATAGTTGACTGGCTCTAGACAGCTTTAGCTTTTATGTCCTTTTTGGCCAGCTTCAGCTCCTCGCCGCACAATAAATATGATCCTCGGGTCGCTTGACCTTAGTTGAACTGTAGCTGTTTTTGGGCTAAATTTCGCCGCTTTATTCGTGCCAAGTTTTTCTTTATGCCCTGCATCAAGCTTTTTTTTCAGGTACCCTCAACTTTCAACGATGGATAGCGCCTCGCCCACGATGGAGCACCCCCGAGATTCACCATCAGTCCGGTAACCCCTACTCTCCGTTTATTAGACCAATTCCAGGACACGCCTGAGTCGCCACGAGGCGCTGCTCGAGAGCTCGGACGACAAATACAAGAAACTGGTGCTGCGCTACAATGGGTTGCTCGAGGATAAAAAAAGGCTTATGGTACAATTTTCCTTGCACCTTCCTGAATGTTTTTAGGACTTGTGCCACAAGAATGATGCGTTGCTGGACGGTCTCTCAGCGAAAGTGAACGAGTTAGAAAGGCAACGGCAGGAACTCGTCGGAATCTGCTTCTCTTTGATCACGGAACAAGAAAAACTTTTGGCTGACAACGACATCATCGACCGACTGACGAGCGAGCTCAAGCGAATCAATGAGGTTAGCCTTGATGAAATTATCTGTATTTCTGATTAGGAGCGTGGTCTCCTCGACGCTTCGAGGAAGTCGAACGACTTCTACGACGACTACATGCGGCTTACAAGGGCGACGACGCTCCACGAACAGCGCGCCACGATGTCATCTACCGGCACCCCCAGCATTAGTTCGTCCACGAAGAAGCCAAGCACCCTGCGCAAGGTCATTCGCAGCATGTCATTTATGAGTACCTCAAGCAAGGACTGAATTCCCCGACATTCCAGTGCTTTTCCACTTTGTATAGCACGATTTTACTAATCAATGCTTTGTATACTTTTTGTCCCATTTGGACCGTATATTTGACAAAGCCGCTTTTCCCACTTCGTAAAGCTCCATTTTCTACGTCCGAATAAAGTATTTTGCCTGTATTTCGCTGAAACGACACTACAATTAAAAAGCCTTTGCTAGGTCCTACGTATCGATATCAAACGCATATTTCAAAACCTGGAGCTTCAAAACTATCCATGCGCGTTGGATATACGTAATTTTTGAGGCAGCTAAAGGTTTTGGTTGGCTACCTAGGCTCTTCCTTTCATGATCTGCGCAGCTTCGAATGAAAAAAATAGCATGAATTAATTTAGATGACAGACCGAACACAGCGCTCACGCTCGCGGTCACCGAATGAACGCAGAGGCATCACCTCCGTTTTTAGCCCGCAAACCAAGCAGTCTGTAATGTGAGTTTCATGAGCCTCCCTCAATATGCGGTCATTATTCTACAGAGAATGGGTTCGCGGTGCCTACAACAATGAAGCGTACCAGGAATTGGGCTTCCTTCATGTGGCGATGAGTAAGGGTCACTAAGTTTTAACTATAAATTTATTTTAGTCTACATTAGTTTTGCGGTGATGATAATGTTCGCGCATTTTTCGGTGTTTTTTCGCAAGCACAAATTGATCGACGCGAAGGAGATGCTCATGGCAAAGGAGAGACCCGAGCAAGAGGTTTTGAAAGACCGTTTTAATACACGATCCGTCAGGATTTCACCCCACTCGAGAACGGATTTGATCAAATGCTTGTCAACGATGTTTACCGAAAGTCGACCGATATTATTAATCGGTTAGCTGCTCGTTCGGGAGGAGCATTTTATTGTGGTGTTTACAGGCCAATTGTCGGCGTTCCGGGCGCGTTGGTACGCTTGAAGGATCGAATTACGAAAAATTTTGGCTGGACTTACGAGTATGTTAGTTTTTTCCTTGACGGATATTCTATAGATATACGGGCACCGAAACCGAGGTGATCAACATGGGCTCCTACAATTACCTCGGCTTTGCGCATAACGACGGGCCTTGTGCCGAAGCCGCAGCCGAATATATTGACAACTTCGGCCTTCACGTTGGTGCACCAAGGGACGAAGCTGGTACATGACTAGCCTAAGCCTGACGAAGAATTTTCGTGGTTTTCTTAGCGAATATTTCTATACTGTTTCTGGTATTTTTTTGATTAAGAAAAAGTGATAAAACTTTTGAAAGGTTTTAAAATAGACGCCATTTTCAGACATTAGTGTCGAAAAACCGATGGCTTGAAAAATTTTCTAAGGGTGATGAACAAAATTGGCTTTTTCAGTAGTGATGCAAGCGCAACGCGACCTCGAAGAATGTGTGGCCAACTATTTGGGCGTGGAAGACGCCATTTGCTTCCCGATGGGTTTTGTGACGAATTCTATGAATATTGCTGCCCTTGTTAACAAGGTACACGATGTTTTTAGTTTAATGGGTCGCGCTTCTAGAATTCACTGGTCCTCTCCGACCAGCTGAACCATGCTTCCCTCGTGCTTGGCTGTCGTATGTCGGGCGCGACTGTTGTCGTCTTCAAGCACAACAGTAGGATAGTTATTACTCGTCAAAGATTAGTTTTAGATGCGCACGACTGCGGAGAAAAACTAAGAGACGCCATCTGTCAGCCGAACCCAAGGACCGGAAAGAAGTTTAAAAAGGTGAATTGAGTCCACGAGTGAAAATGTTCAGTAGATTATGATCGTTTGTGAGGGCATTTATTCAATGGAGGGTACGATTCTCGATCTGCCTGCATTCATCGCCGTCAAGAAGAAATACCGGGCTTACCTCTTCCTGGACGAGGCGCATTCCGTTGGTGGGTGACCGGCAAGGGAAATTTTTTCCCCAAGTCTGCGTTTATCTAGTAATTTAACAGAAAGGCTGACTAGTTGTTAGATGAAATTTAGCTATGCGGAAACTGGAAAATTCTTCAGAAACCGTTGGAATATTTTAGATGTTGGTCGAAAATACGCGTTTGTTACAAAAAATTATTGTTTTTTTTTGCGTTTAGGAATGATAAAATCAGGAGAATATGTAGCTATACTTATGCCAGAAAAATCGACCATAAGAAAAGCCTGTTTCCAAATAACCGAATAGCCTAGCCTTTGTTTAGGTGCTCTGGGACCTACGGGCAGAGGTATCGTCGAATACTGGGGAGCCGACCCCAAGGACGTGGATTTGATGATGGGCACGCTGACGAAAAGCTTTGCTGCGGCTGGCGGATACATTGGCGGCAAAAAGGTTTGCTCGGTGGCTTGACAATAGGTTTGTATCTTCAATTCCAGGAGACCATTGCCCATTTACGCATCCATTCTGCCGGCTCTTGCTATGGATCGCCGATGTCACCCCCGATCATCGCGCAAGTCTTGAGCAGCATGAAGGTAAATATTCATTCTTTTTATTCTCTTTGTTTTGCAATAGCCGGAGGGGAAACCAGGTTTTTTATTAGGATCCAATTTTTTTTAATATAAATCGCCGTGCTGTTACAAAACTATTTTTTACCATACCTAAGACTTTACAAAAGTGTTTAAAAACACGAATATATCCAATTTTTGACAAAAATTCAGGCTAGAATTTTTTTCGACGTTGTTTTTTAGTTTTGTTTTCCATTTACGACGCAATTAAATTTCTAAAATATTGTAGAGACAATAATTATTATGTGATTAGGCGTTTCTGGACTTATAGAATATAGGAAATCTCAAGGAACTATAAAATTTCATTTCCAGATCATGCTTGGAGAGGACGGTACCGACATTGGACAGAAGAAAGTCGTCGCCTTGCGCCGCAATTCGCGCTATTTCCGCGCAAAACTGAAGGTTGGCCTCTTTTTTGGTCTGCTATTCGTTTTAGGCACTCGGATTTCTGGTCTACGGCCACGATGATAGCCCTGTGGTACCACTGATGACTTTCCATACGACAAAAGTTGTGTACGTTGTTTGCTAAAAAAATTACCGGACTGCTTTAGGTACTGGGGCCGTGAGACGTTGCGCTACGGTATCGGTGCTGTCCAGGTTTCGCGTTTTTTTTTGTTGGTAAAATCGAGGTTTAGGTGGGCTACCCGGCAACGGCTCTCACGAAAGCGCGCGTCCGCTTCTGCATCTCGGCCGACCATACAAAGGAGCAACTGGATTATGTAAGTTTTTCTTGTTTTTGCATAGAAAAATATCGATTTTTCGACCAATTTTCTAACTTTTTAATTTTTTTGCCATTTTTAGAAATTTTTTTCACACTTGAAATATTGTTAGATGGTACTAAGAACTATTATGATATTTGATATGGTCTATCTAGGCTCATAGCGTAAAAATTGCCTCCCCCCTTCGTAATGCGAAAGAATCTACTCCTGACTGACTTAAAAATTGTGTTACTGTGCCTTTTTCCAGGTGCTAGCGATCTGCGACAAGATCGGCGACCTTAGCAACACGAAGTACGCCTTCGATCCTTCGAAAAACTTTGACAGCATCGAATACTAAAATGGCCCGATGAGCGCATTTTTGACTAACTAATAATTTTTTTCTATCTGTGATTCATCTATCTTGGTTTTTACTTATCGGCTGGTATCTTGTTGCTTTTTGTTTTCGTTTCTGGTGAATAAACCTTGTTTGCGGATGCTAGCATCAACTATAATAAAAAAGTTGTGGTGTCTGTGTGTCTGTCCGGTCCCGGATTCAACTCGAAGGGGAAAGGAGCTAGAGCTTAGCTCTCTTCGGATTCGGATAGAGCGTGGTCAGAAACCCCTAAACTGATAAAAAAATTATGAAAAAGTTTTAGTTTAAATTATTAAAATTAACTTTGAAAGTGGCGCCTTAATAAAACGAGTGGGGGCCCCTCTCCCCGGGAGGCCACGCCCCCTTTCTCTTCGCCCCTCTTCCCCAGGCCCCTTCGCGCGCCCAGATGCCTTTTTGAGTTACTTTAATACTTTTAATACTTTTTAATTATGTTAATTAATTATTTAAATTATTTAAAGTATCTAAAGCCATCAGGAAGGTATTGAGGTAGTTTTTGAAGGGGATTTCAGCCATGGGGGGTATCTGAAGCCATCAGGGAGGTATCTAAGTAGTTTTTGAAGGGGATTTCAGCCATGGGGGGTATCTGAAGCCATCAGGGAGGTATCTAAGTAGTTTTTGAAGGGGATTTCAGCCATGGGGGGTATCTGAAGCCATCAGGGAGGTATCTAAGTAGTTTTTGAAGGGGATTTCAGCCATGGGGGGTATCTGAAGCCATCAGGGAGGTATCTAACAAGGAGACGTTTTTGAGTGTCGTCGGGACTTTGGCATGCTACTAAGCCTATCTTGTGCAGAATTTTACGCTGATTCCGAATATAATAACCGTTTTTGCGGAATAGCCATTTCTCGAAATTTATGAACGATTTAAACCTCAAAAAACCCAAAATCGGCTACTTTCGATAGCCATAAAAGGCTTCGGAATAGGTTTTTAGACAAAACCAGATAGTGCATTTTGTTCAGAAAAAAATTCTCTATAAAATAAGCTACTTAACTAAAAAATGTGAGGATTTTGAAAATTTTTGTAAAATTAGGGGCCTCCCAATTTATCAAATTTTTCCAACTTTTCAATGATTTTGGAGAAGATGGTACATTTTATAGAGAATTTTTTTCTGAACAAGATGCACTATCTGGTTTTGTCTAAAGCCTATTCCGAAGCCTTTTATGACTATCGAAAGTAGCCGCTTTTGGGCTGTTTTGAGGTTTAAATCGTTAATAACTTTTGAGAAATGGCTATTCCGCAAAAACGGTTACCATATTCGGAATCAGCGTAAAATTCTGCACAAGATCGGCTTAGTCCCATGCCAAGGTCCCGACGACACTCAAAAACGTCTCCTTGTAAGTAGTTTTTGAAGGGGATTTCAGCCATGGGGGGTATCTGAAGCCATCAGGGAGGTATCTAAGTAGTTTTTGAAGGGGATTTCAGCCATGGGGGGTATCTGAAGCCATCAGGGAGGTATCTAAGTAGTTTTTGAAGGGGATTTCAGCCATGGGGGGTATCTGAAGCCATCAGGGAGGTATCTAAGTAGTTTTTGAAGGGGATTTCAGCCATGGGGGTATCTGAAGCCATCAGGGAGGTATCTAAGCAGTTTTTGAAGGGGATTTCAGCCATGGGGGGTATCTGAAGCCATCAGGGAGGTATCTAAGTAGTTTTTGAAGGGATTTCAGCCATGGGGGGTATCTGAAGCCATCAGGGAGGTATCTAAGTAGTTTTTGAAGGGGATTTCAGCCATGGGGGGTATCTGAAGCCATCAGGGAGGTATTTAGGTAGTTTTTGAAGGGGATTTCAGCCATGGGGGGTATCTGAAGCCATCAGGAAGGTATTTAGGTAGTTTTTGAAGGGGATTTCAGCCATGGGGGGTATCTGAAGCCATCAGGGAGGTATTTAGGTAGTTTTTGAAGGGGATTTCAGCCATGGGGGGTATCTGAAGCCATCAGGAAGGTATTTAGGTAGTTTTTGAAGGGGATTTCAGCCATGGGGGGTATCTGAAGCCATCAGGAAGGTATTTAGGTAGTTTTTGAAGGGGATTTCAGCCATGGGGGGTATCTGAAGCCATCAGGGAGGTATTTAGGTAGTTTTTGAAGGGGATTTCGGCCATGGGGGGTATCTGAAGCCATCAGGAAGGTATTTAGGTAGTTTTTGAAGGGGATTTCAGCCATGGGGGGTATCTGAAGCCATCAGGGAGGTATTTTGGTAGATTTTTAACGGAATTTCGACCCGGAGGGGTATCTGAAGCCATCGGGAAGGTAGCTATGTTTTTGTGGGGGGGTTGGCTAGAGGAGGTATCTGAAGCCATCAGTGTAGTTATTGCCATGAAGGCATCAGCGTAAGGTAGGGATTAAATGTGGTGGTGTAGAATATGGAGGGTGGCCCGAAGTCCAGCCGATTGCAGTCGCGAAGCGGCTGTAATCGGCTGGTTCTAATCACGTTTCGAGACTCGCAGCAGCCTTGTAATTTACATACAAAATTTAAAAAATATGCTGCATTTCCGGTTCTGCATACGTCAGCTGGTACTTAAGCGACGGGGATGGGGAGGATCTCTACTTCTCGCCACCCTCAGCCTTGACGGATGGCGGAGCAGCAGCAGCCCATCGACGACGAGAAGGATCCTCCAGCGCCCAGCGAAGACAAAAACATCAAGCGGCGACCATCACGACCTCTAGTCCGCACCGCCAGCGATGATACTCAAGATGTTGGTTGTTTGGCCTTGTTTTAAATCCAAAATTTTGACCCTGTCACCGGTTTTCTGAACTATTACATTTTTAGGACGATCGCAACAAAGACAAGGAGAAGAATCGGAAGAGCAAAACAGGCGAAAAGACGAAGACCTCAGAGGAAGAGGACGGCGGCAAGAAGAAGCTCTCCAAGACCAGACCAAAAGCCTCGCCAGCGAAAACGCTCGACGACGACAAGCCGATGAAGTCGCATGATGATGAGGTATTTTTCGAAGACGTCTACTAAAAATGCATTTAGATCGAAAAGCCGAAATTGCAAAAGGCGACGCCCAAGTTCGACGCACGTGAGAAGACGGCTGACGAGGAGTTCAAACCGGCCGGACCGCGCAAATCGAAAGAAAAGACGAAGACGAAGACTTCGGAGGAGGATGAGGGCGTGATCAAGAAGAACCCAAAGAAGAAGATCCCGCGTGAACGTAACAAACCCCACATGGCATTGAAGACCGCCGGTGATGACGTTCGAACAGCGGTACTGCTTTTGATTCAGGATCATTTCAATCCATTATAGGAAGACCAGGTCAAGCAGAAAAAGAAGCCGCTGAAGAGCCTTGAGAAGACGCTACTGGAAGAAGAGGGAGACAAACAAAAGCCTCGATCCCCGAAATCGCCTGCAAATCCGGCTGGCAGCGATGTGATGGTTGTGTTTGAAGAAGAAGAAGACAAGCCATTGCCGGCCAAGTCACCTTCCAAGGCCGGTGTCGGAGAGCAGACGCCCGGTGAAGAGGCGCCGCCCAAGCCCAAGCTCAAGGCAACCAAATCTCCATCAAAAGCCGCGCTCAGGGACGGCGATGCTGTTGAAGACGTCAGACCAGCAAAGTCGCCATCAGCTGCCGCTGCCGAGTTCACCGCCAACGACGACGTGTTTGGAGGAAATGAGCAGGTTGGTCGATCCTGATTTTTAGAAAGTTTTCAACTTTTAGGGGGAGGGACGACCAGAAGGGAGCGGCGGGCCTGTCTCTGTCTTCCTCCAGCAGCCATTCCCATCTGCGGCGCCGGTTCAGTTCGAATTTACCGGCGGTGAGGAGGAATTTGCACGGCCTCTGGAGCCACTACGTCCGCCCATCCAACAAGTCGTGCCGGTATGTCGGTTTGGTTCGGATTCGGGAGCATCTTTTCGAAAGTCATAGGTGTCCAGTCTGTCAAAATTCGCTTTCAAAAAGCACATTTTGGGCCGTTGGGCTGTTCCCTTTCTTAATTTGGCATCTCAAAGGCTTTTTTGAGGTTAAGATAATTTTTCTTTCTAAAGGAAAATGTTTTCCAGAAATCCGTAGCATAAATGATTTACAGCGTGATTTTTTCATTCGCTTCAGAAGCCAGCACCTCCCCCACCTGTGGTGACAACTCCACCAGCGCCCGGGCGGCCCAAGGCACCAACGGATAGCAAGTCCGGTCGTTCCGGTCGAAAGAAGCAATCCGGCATCAACCGCGGCGGAATCAAGCAGAACCGCATCATCAAAAGTATGCATCGTAGTCCGAGGATCTGATCGTTATGATTTTTTTAGAGCCACCAAAACCCGCTACCCCCGAGGGCCTTGGACACCGGCTGAAGGGACAGAAGCCGAAGCCGAAGGAAAACGCCGTCGACAGGGCGGCGCGGAAGGCTCGAGCGAAGATTGAATGCGCTGGCTTCGTGAGCGCCATCTTAGATCTGTGACGGTCTGCTTCGTTTAGAACAAGCACCTCCTGAAGGCTGGCGATGACATACTCGCGCCCTCTGGCAAGAAGTACGGTAGCATCGCCGCTGACTAAATTTTTGGGCGCTGGGCTGTTAGCTGTGTGAAAAAGCCAGTTAGCTTTGATAACAGAGTTTGCATTTTCAACGTTTGCTAGGGTACTTTAGATTGCGCTTAGGTACTTTTTTAGGAGTTTTCATCGTAAAAAAAGAGTAGAAACTTTTTCCCTTTTTTTTTGTTTTTTTTTCCGGATTTTGAGAACAAAGAAGCTTCGTTTTTTGTAGAAGCTCCATTTAAAAACAGTGAAGCGGGAAAAGGTCTTCAAATTTTCCTAAAGCAATTTTTCTTAGGAGGCTGAAGAATGGCGGGCGCGAGGAGGACGAAGCCGCCACCTCCGTCCGCATCCAAGACGTCGGCCTACGAGAAGGTGTCGTCCTCGTCAAGAACAAGGACAACGGCGGGAAGCTGTTCGTTAAAGTTTGTCTATTTAGTTTGGTTTGGAAAGCTAATGTCACTCCAGAATCGGCCCTTCTGGACATCGCCGCATAACGACGACGACACAAATGAAGAGTGCCCGATTGCCTCATCGGTTGTGCTGGCCGTCGCGAAAGGCATGAAGTTGGCCGAGCCGCCCGAGGAAAGGTCTGTCTCATGTTCATGAATTTCTGACCTTCTTTTCAGCGTCGTCATCGATCCGTTTGCCCCGCTGGCCGACATGCAAGCGCGTGACAAGAAGTGGTTCAGCAAGGACCTCGTGTTTGGCAACACTGTAAGTAGCCCAACCATGACACTTGTGAAATTCTTTATTTCCAGGTCCGCGGCATCATCTACGCAATGTCGACCGATGACGGAACCGAGCCGACACCACCACCGGGCCCTGGACTTCCGCACGTGTCGTTTGCAAAGAAGCCGCCCGGGTTGATGACGTCGTACAGCTTCGATCCGGCCACGCACGACATGAAGCGGAAGCAGGGTACCTTACTTTCCCTTATTTTCAAGCTATGTTTTTAGTTCCCTACATGCGCTCGGGTCTCGGTGTTCTGCAGCAAAAGAAACGATTGAAGAATCGGCCTGGCGCCCCTTCTCCGGTGCGTTTTATCGATTAGAATTCTCCTATTTGCTCTACTTGGTTAATTTTCCTTTTTGCAGAAGCGCAACCCGCGGATGCCGGCCTGAACACCTCGATACCGGCGACCACGAAATTAAATCTCTTGCATCCAACGTCCATTACTTGTGTATTTATTCCCATTTTACTCGCTTGTAAACTATTCACTTTTCTTTTTCATGGATAACATCGGAGCATCAAAATATCGCTTGTCGAATAAAGTGATCGATTTATTGCGTGCGTGCTGGCGGCCTTTGATCCTGTTTTAGGGCAGTGGATTCGATGTTTTTGAACCTCTTCAAAAAGCGTTTGGAATTGCGGTTGGTCTTGAATCTTGAACTGGGCAGAAGCCGCCGGAAGTGTAATGACATTCGACAATAGAGGTCGAAGACTTTTAGCAGTTTTAAAACTAAAAAACGGGGTCGTTGATGGAGTACTTTCGCTTTCAAAAATTCGTCGGGATATTTTGAAGGATCGTTATCAAAATGATTACGTATTTCTCCGACCCTGGGTACCCAGGGACAGGTGCAATTTTTGCCACCCTTTCAGTTGCCTACCCTATTCCAACGGCTCGACATGGCACCGCAAAAAACACGCGTTGGGCAAACAAAGCAGCAGAACATGCCCATTTGATCAGTCTGGGCGAGCGGCGCTCGATTCCCAGCGCACCCCCCAAAAACCCGGGTCATAAAATTGACGTTGGCGCTGTCGATGCTTGCGCGCTAACTGCACTGACCTTTTCCACTTTCTCCTTTTGTAATGACGATTTTCGAGCGATTTTGGGTAATTTTGCAACGTTTCTTTTCAGGATGAAATTATGGGCCCTGCCGGTGCTATGGGCCTGCGCGGAAGCGATTTTGGAATCGAACGCCAGTGATCCGCGGCTCTTCTTTGTCCAGGCGGTTGGTATTGACAAATTCTGGCCGTGTTCTCACCCAATCCCTCCCCTCCATGACGATTTTTTTTCAGATGTGGCGTCATGGGGATCGCTCGCCACAGTCTACTTTTCCCGCCGATCCGATCAAGGCAGAGATGTGGCCGTACGGGCTGGGCCGACTTTCCCCGGTGCGTGGGCGTTTTTTTGCGTAGGCGTTTTGTGGAAGGAAAAATCGAACGCAACAGCAGCGTGCGGCCTTGAAAAGTGCGAGGTAGCAATGAAATTTGTGGCTATAATTTTTCTCGACAATCATACCCATTTCTCGACGGGCCGACAAAAGCCAGATCGCCGTTTCGAAAATTCGAAGATTGGAACTTTCGAAAAGTCATTTCTCGACGAAAAGCAGTATTTTGAAAAATTGGCATTTCTGTTTCGTACCTCATGTGGATTTTCCTATCGGTCTGGACGCTAATTTTTCAAGATTGTGTTTTCGAAAAATTCCAAAAATACAAATTTTCGATAAAGACATTCTCGGAACAAACACTGTCGAAAACAAGCATGAAAATCATTCAATTCTAACGTTATTTAAAAACAACTTTTGTGATGGAGCAATACTCATTTTCAGCGTGGAATGGAGCAGGGCATGAGGCTCGGGGCTCGGCTTCGCGAGCGATACGTCGAGACGGGCTTCTTGTCGAGCGAGTATGAACCGTCGGAGGTGCGCTTTGATTTTTGGAAATTACTCCTTTTTTTAGCTCTACGTAATGTCCAGCAGTTTCGATCGGACAATTAGTGCCGCCTATTCCGTACTCGTCGGTGGGTCATTATTGATCCGCTTGGAAGATAATTTTAGGGCTTTACAGCCAGAATTCGAGCCGTGTCATTCCGCATTCGGGGCCGGGGGACGCAATCCGCTGGCCAACCAATTATGTACCGATCCCCGTCCGTACAATGGAGGATGCAAGGGATCATGTGGGTTTGCGACATTTATTCCGCGAGCCATTTCCGAGGATATTGAGACGAAATTCAGGACAAGTGTTAAGGTGAACGGGGGAGACTGACGCCAAGTCGGGGGAAATATTTGCTTTATTTACACGTGGACGACGTGGTTCAATTGGCCGGAGCGGGTGAGGAGCACTTGCTGACGCTTCTCGTCAATGGCCCACTGACGGTCGACGAGGAACTAAAGATGTTGAGAAGGAATGGGGAGGCCGGGTTCTGTTGCATTATCAGGGGTGGGCTTACCCTGTATTCGAAGTGGCCCTTGGGAAGCTGAATCTCGACCACCCATCCGTAGCGGTCGCGGCGCAGCGGGATCTTCAGCTCCCAGTTGACGAAGGAACCCGAGATGAACACCTGAAGATCGCATTTTCCCGGCGGGGGGGGTGGCTTTTCCTTTGAATCCAGTTATGCATAGTAACGTAAAAGCAACTATTGTAGTAGTTCGTTTGGTGAAATTCACGGTACTGGACGGTTAGCGGGGGGGGGACCGCGACCAAAATCAAAAATTTTCGAACATTTTTTAAGCTTTTTGTCGAAAAACTGTGTAAAATGCTATTAATAGGATTATTGGGAAAAAAGTTGGTACCCCCGAGCTAACAGTCTAGTACCAAATTAAATATATTTCGTGAAAAAATGTGAGGAAAAGTTAGCCCCCCCCCCCCGATAATGCAAACCGACGTTGAGGAAGCGAGGCTTGGGGGCACTCACCGATTTCGGGCTGAGGTCATGCCAGCGGAAGGTGACCGGGTAGAGCGGCTGATTCTGGCAGTGAACACAGCCGGCCACCAGGGTCGAAGACGGCCACATCTGCATCATGGCTAAACGGTTGCCCTCAGAAGTTTCCTTTCCCGTATCTTACCCATGGCCCGGGCGTTGACGTCGATTGGCTTTTTCTTGAGCTTCGCGTTGGCTTTCTTCTCCTTCGATGGCTCCTTGGTGGTGGTGGACTCGCCAGGCGAGCTGGCAATATCCTTTTCCTTGCCACCATCAAGGCGGGGCAGGTTGCTAAATGGCTCGAGAAAGTGCTCGTTCGTTATCGGGGGGGAACACTTTTGCGTATTTTCTTGGGCTATCAATACGTGTTTTAACAGCATTTTTGCGATTTTTAGATAGAGGCAGTTTATCAAAATTAAACTCTACGAAAAAAATTTCTTTTTGACCTAAAATCGATGAAAAATTGTGTTTTCAAAAAGTTTCAAGTTTTTTAGAAATGTTTACAACGGTTTATTAGTCCAAAACTACTAGCAAATGATTGAAGTTTTATTTGAAGTATCGAGGTTAGATTGGCCGAAAAAGCATAGCAATACGGCAGAACAGTTACCTGGAGTTGGCCGTGTTTTCCTCGAAAGACCCATCACAGCCGCCAAACGATCTGTCGGCCTTCGGGTTGACCGCGTCGGTAAAGTTGGCCAACAGCGATTGGGTCGAGTTGGAGGCGTTTGACGAGGCCTAAATACATAATTAAGATTTCCGTTCTGACACGATATACCAGACTGGCGCTCGAAATGCTGGCGCTGGTGCTCCCGGTCAGTTGTTGAGCATCACCGGCCACCGACGGGGCCTTGACAGAGGCAGAAGAATCGGATGGCATGGTCGTTTGGCCGGACGAGGGTGTGCCAGAGGAAATCGTCAGATGCGACAGCGGAGGATTGCTAGAGGCCGGCGGGAGGGAGACGGACTGTGATTCGAGGGAGCACGAGCTGACGGTGGTGAATGTGCTGTTGGCGGGGGAGATGGCCCGGCAGGTGGTCACGCTCCGAGGGGATGACTTGACCGTCGGATCGGGCACCTCAACCCCACGCTCACTGTCGTGGCGTCCAAGCTGCTTGTTCGGGTCCTAAAGTTTGATGAGAGGGTTCTGGGCGGTTAGCGGGGGGGCTAACTTTCCTGTTTGTGCCCCCTAGGGTCCCAATAATTATTTTACACCCTTCATTTAAATTTTAACGCCGTTTTTAGGATTCAAGTCCAAAAAAAATCATTTGGATTTTCGAGTTTTTTTTTAATTTTTGTTTAAAACTATAGAAAAAAGCTTCCGTAAAATATTTCTAAGGTTTTTAAGAAACAAAAACTACGCGAAACGCCGGAAAACCTCAAGATAAGTAGCTCAGAATTTGCTAAAAGGCATAAGCTAAATAGCTTTCCACAGCTACCCCCTTCCCCCCACTAACAGAAGAGCTCCGGGCCTACATCAGTCGAGTTGAGGATGCGCATGTTGAGGAGACTCTCCCGCTTGACCGCCTTGACCAGCGAGATGTCCTGTGGCGAGTTGTTGGGCGAGACGAGCTGCGTCTGCGGTTTCTTCTAAAAGGAGAATCAGCCGATGTAGACGGCCCACTTCCTCAACGAGCGTCTCCGAAATGGCGACATGGTGCGGTGGGGGCTGCTCGACTTTCGGCTCGACGGGTTTTGGGGGAGACAGAACTTTGGGCGTTACTTGTCCTTGATTTGGCTGGAACGGGTGATTTTGCGAAAATTGTCAAAATTTCAGCTTTTTAATTATTTTCTCAGAAAATGACTCCCCCGCTAACAGTCCAGTACCTATATACTCGATTGAAAGAATAGTACGCCTACCTTCGTATAAAAGAGACAAACATCGACCGGCTCATTCATCCGCTTCACCACATTCGGCTTTCGGTTCGCCTGCAGACTGTCGGCTTCCACAGTCGGCAGCATGTCACCCGGGCAAAGGATCAGCGGCGTCCTTCTACGTCCCGTCACCTTCACCATGAAGAAGCGGTGAATCGACAGCAACACGTGGAAGATGATGTAGCACAACACGAGCGCCACGCTCAACGCGACGCCTAGAAGAATTAATAGTAGATGAGCAAAGAAGCCTACAAGTCTTGAAGAAGCTGCCCGGGTGCTCGCGCACAAAGTTTGTGTCCTCAACGGCATGCTCGACAGCGTGGATATAGTCGGAAAGGTGTCTACAAGAAAATCACATGTAACTTTCCTTGCAAAACCTACGGGTGCGTCTCATTTGCATTGAGCGTGACGTCGGGGGCGAATTTGAGGAAGCTACGCAACAGGCGACAAGTCGCCTTGTACACCCACGCGTCCTTGATCGCCATCGTGGAGCATAATAATGGGATTACAGGGAGCCGGAAAAATTTCGGAATTAAATTAAATTCAAGATTCAAATTTTTTTTTGGATTAAAAAACGTTATTTTGCTCAGATTTCCATGCACATTTTTGAGCGCTTTCGCATTATTGGGGGGAGGGGGGGGGGGGAGGGGGACGGGGACTTTGTTTTTGGGTAATTTCAAGTGGACAAAATAACTGAACTTTATATTTTTAACATTTAAAATTCGAAATTTGGTCGAAAAATCTACATTTTTTTTCTATTTCTTTGCTAAAACTTTGTAAAATTTTTGCGCTTATTAATCCAAAAAAAACAGTGTAAAAATCTGCCTATATTTATGTTAGAAAAATTGGATACAAAAGGAATAGACAAAAAAATAATTCGCTTCATTTTAGATCGCCCATGTCGACAGCACGTGTGCTCGCCTAGACGCCCTCTGGGAGAAGGTCGTGCGCACCGAAGAATACCGAAATTTCTTCTACAACAATGTGGTGGGTTTCTAGCTGTCTTTTTACTTATTTATTTCTTTCTATTTATTCACAATTATTATATTACATATTTTCTTACATTAATTTCAGACACAACACGTGATGTCGGTCGTGCGCGAAAACGCCGACTTCCCCGACGAGATCACGATGGTCACGCTGCGCTTCGTCCAAGACATCTTTCTATGCCAGGTTTCCGGTTCGAAAATATTTTTATTCAGGTTGTTTAGCTGTACAACAACATGTCGGCCCAGATGGCGCCGTTTTTCTCGCACGAGCTGATGGACCAGCTGAACTGGGTCGTCAACAAGGTCCACGAATTTTATGATGGAATTGGTAAGCCGGATGCGATTTTTTGCATCGAAATGATTCATCAGGTCTGGATACCGCAGAAAATGGCCCATATCTGCAACGGGAGATCCGGAAAATTCGCGCCGGTACGCACATGAACGAGATGGTGGCCAGGGTGAATGCGCTGTAGGTTTTATTTTTTTAACATTTTGGATTTTGGATTTTCCAAATAATAATTCATTGTTTTTTAGCGTTGGCTGTATGGGTAACGAGACGAGCGCTTCTTGCCTGAGCCTTCTCCCCACAAAGTTCTATGCTGTATCTGGGGTAAAATGACCGTTTTAGTCCTATTTTTTTGTTTAGCACGACTCGACGCTGTTCGCCTACTTGGCAGGCCTCGGCGCCGCGACGGGCGTCTCCAACTCGGAATACACCGGATACGCCTCGTCGCTCGTTACTGAGTTCTGGATTGATGACACTGATGAGAGTTTGTATTTTAAGGTGTGTTACATCGACTACGTGCTATATCCGTTGCAGTTATTGTTCTCTGCCGGAGCAGACGACTCGTTCCACGTCGTCACCCGCCATGTTGAGGGATGTCCGGAAGGCGAGCTGTGCCCCTTTGAAGTTCTCGAGCGGCTGGCTGCACGGATAAAGCCCGAACCAGACGTCAACTCGCTGTGCAATATTGTGCCATAAAAATATGTACAAATTAGGCTTGATAAACTATTTTTTTCAAGGCGACGAACTGACCTTGGGAAATAAACTTCCTATGAACAAAACTTCCTCTTTGCAACGTTATGATGGGATGGGGAAGGCGGATTTCTGATCTCCCTTTTTCAGGACATGCCGAGACTTTTCCGATCAGCCCACAAAAAGGGCACCACCTACTGCTGTTTCTCTTTTTGCTTTCCATTTGGCGGGGCGGATAAGTCGCGATTTCCCGCGCCGATTTCTCAGTTATCGCGCGTCAATCCCCGGGTGCGCAATGAGACGCTGTGTGCTTATTTCTGTGCTTATTTGCCAGGCAGTTGGCCTGCAGAAGGAGCAAAAGCATGACGATGAGCGGATGGTCTTCGTGCAAACGGTGAGTTTTTTGGTTTTAAATGCTAAATAGTTTCTCGGATCTTGTCTAGCCCTTTTTAGATGTGGCGTCATGGAGACCGGTCGCCGCAGACAACTTTTCCGAGAGATCCCATCACGGCAGAGATGTGGCCATGGGGATTGGGACGGTTATCACCGGTATGGAAAACTAGAAACTTGAGAGTTAGATGGGGAGATAAAAAGGCTATAGAAAAGTCTGGAGTTCCCGTGCTGTACTTTTATAGTCGAGCTGAATTTGCTTAAGTTTTGGAGAATTACCGCAAAAACGGTGGTTTCTACAGGTTCCAAGTTGAACTGTTCTAGGTGCTGGACTATTAGCGGGGCGTTTTTCCCAGTAATCCATATGACAAAGTATAGCTCATTTTTACAGCAAACTACGCGTTTTTAGATATAAAGAACTCATAAAACAAAATTTTTTAAATGATTTTTTATAAATTTCTAGCAATCAAAACATTTCTAAAAAGACCATAAAAATACATTTTATATTATGTTAGTTTCCGCTGCTATCCCCTCCCCCCGCTAACATTCCAGTATCCAATTTTTTTTAGTTAGGCATGGAGCAAGCGATGCGAATCGGGGTCATGCTGAAAGAAAAATACGTGGATACGGGGTATCTATCCCGTGAGTACGAACCATCTGAGGTAAGAAAGTTTCATTAAATTTAAAATAATGACTTGCAGCTCTACTGTCTCTCCAGCACGTTCGATCGAACGATAATTACGGCTTATGGTGTGCTAATAGGTGAAATTAGCTACCGTACCCAGATTGCGATACTTTAGGCCTTTATAGTCAAGCGCCCAGCAGATCAATCCCGCATTCGCGTCAGGATGAAAAGAGCAGGTGGCCGACAAATTTTGTGCCGATCCCGGTGCGGACGATCGAGGATCCGAGGGAGCATGTGGGTTTTTGGGTACTGGTTCATTAGCTGTCCCAGATTCCCAGCTTTTTCGTAAATTTTGCTGTTTTTTTGGGGATTGTTTCACCGCAATACGATAGGTCGCCAAACAGCACAAAAATTCTGAATTTCTGAATTTCTGAACGCAGGATTTAAAACAAGGGATTTTGACGTAAGAAAATGCGATTTTAGGTGGCTCACGTGGACAGCCCATGTCCCAGGTGGCCAAAGCTTTGGGAGATGGTCACGCAAACGGAGGAGTACAAGAGGTTTTATAACAGTGAGAGGGTAGGTTGGATTGTACTTTGTAGTCTACCAACAATTTTAGGGGTTTTAAAAATTAAAAAATTGTAGTTTGCAGTCTAGAACGATGTTCTAGACCCAATACGTCCTGCGGGTGATCCTGGAAGAAGCCGCCTATCCGGAGGGGGCAACCCTCGATTCTGTGCGCCACATGCACGACACGTTTTTGTGCCAGGTAGGTTGGCTTTTTGGTAGTTTGTAGTTTTCTAATTTCAAGCCCTTATGCTTCTCTTCACAACGCTTTAAGTTTAAAAATTAAAAATGAAAACACTTTTATTTAAAGGCTCATAAAAAGTATCAAATATTTCGAAAAGTTTTGGTTTTCCGACAAAAAATCCATGAAAAATGCCCGAAATGTGAAAAATTTAGAATTGCAAAGTTTCAAATACACTTTTTGACGCTTTAAAAATCAAAAACTCAAGGATATCACAAAATTAAGAAGCGATTATTAGCAGTTGGGCGAAGGTAAAAATCAGCTCCCCCCGCTAACAGCCCAATACCAAAAACGTGGCCACTAGCTATACAACAACATGTCATCCCACATGGCCCACTTCTACTCGGTGAAATTCATGGCCGAGATGAAGGGCGTCGTCGACGTGGTCAGGCAGTTCTACGATGGGATGAGTGAGTCATTTCTTAAATTTAATTTCCCGATTTCCGATCTGGAAACGGCGCCCAACGGCCAATTCCTGCGCGAGGAGATCCTGAAAATTCGCGCCGGCAGTCATCTGAATGAGATGGTCGATCGGATGAAGGGAAAGTAAGGGCGATTCCGTTCATTTTCTATTGACGCTTACATAGGATGGAATGTCTGCGGAATAGCAAATCATCTCGCTGCCTCGAGTTGCCCACAAAATTCTACGGGATTTCTGCTGTGAGTTGCCAATATTTCTAAGTTTTGCTAGGCTTTAAACGTTTGTATTTTTTACAGGTATTTTTATACATATAAAGAATGGCAGAGCAGAAACAGAAATGTTTAATAATGTTTTACTAGTGTTTTAGTAACATTTAAATTTGATTTCAGGAGAAAAACTATCTAAAAATTGGAAATTTGTAAATTTTGGTCGAAAAGGTTACTTTTTGCATTGTTTTAATGAAAGTTGGTAAAGTTCTTGCAGCTCGGGACAGTAAAAAAGAGTTTATAGACGCTTTCACTATTTATATTAGAAATATTAGAAAGATCGGGTCCAAGGAAAAGCCCCGCCCCCTCCCCGATAATGCGAAAGATCCCAATTCTAGCATGATTCGACGGTTTTTTCGAATATGGCAGCCCTCGGAGCTACTGGGATGACAAAGGGCCGATACGCCGGCTACGCATCTTCAATCATTTTTGAGCTATGGCAAAACGTGGCGACGGACACGTTTTCGTTCAAGGTACGTAGCCTTGCGTACTCTTACGTTGCGTATGTCATTTTCTTGAAATTGATTGTTTAGTTCTGGTTCTCGGACAACGATCTGGACCCTTATCACGTGGTCACCCGATGGGTCGAGGGATGCCCGGAGGCAGAACTGTGCCCCTTTGAAGCTTTGGAGAGGCTGGCGCGGCGGATAAAGCCTGAACCGGATGTGAATACCCTGTGCAATACATTGCCGTGAATGTATAAAGTGTTATAGGTATCATGAGTTACGTTCATTTCGCCGGGGTTCTTTGGCATTGTCGGGGGGCTCTGGGTTTTTCTAGAGGTCTAGAAATGGCTAATATCGTAACGTTAGATGTTTTAGAAACTTTTATAGGCAAATGTGGCTATGTTTCAAGTGGAAAATCTTAAAAAACGAGTAAAATTTTCAATTTTTGTAAAAAACTCGATATTTTTCTATTTTTACGCGAAATTGGTAGCGGTTGTACGTTTCTGAATAGTAAAAAACGGTTTAGACACCTTCCATATTTAGATTAAGGATATTGGACCGTAAATGAAAGTGTGCCGCTCCCCCGATAATGTAAAAGTACCAAATCAACAAAAGAAACAAAAGTGTAAAATCAACAAAAGGGTCAAAATTTTGAATTTTCTAATGAGGTTTTAGCAATTTTTTTCATCAGTTTCCAGTAACAACCGGCTAAAACACTATAAAAATATGTCAATGCTTTCCAGATAAAGGGAAAAAGGTAAAAAGTTTTTCCCCGCCTCCAAGGCTCCTCAAAATCCAAGGATCTTTGCTAGCACCCCGAAAAGTGGGCATCCCTGGCCCGGGCATGATAATTAGTAGAAAGCCGCCATTGTGGCCGGAATGGTCGTTAACAGAGTGCGCCTCCTCCGAATTGAAATGCATACGAAAACATGGATGCTCTCTCTTGCTCCCCAGGAGGGAGTTCGAATATTTTTCCGGCTTCCCGGAAAACTCTGGAAACTGTAGCCGGCGCAAATGATTTACTATTTGTTGCCCTTATTGCCAATTTTGTCCGTCTGCGCTCAAAATGATACTAACATTGATGTGACGCCGGAAACTCCCAGGATTTTCGAGCCACCGCCAAGGTTTGTCGGTATTTTTTGAGCAGAAAGACGAAAATCCGGACAGGCGAAAATACCAACAGACAAATGCCGAAAACCGAAAATGCCGACATCCATAATCTTTACAGGACAAAATACCGATGAATAATCTTGATTTTCGCTGACTGCATTTTGATCTCTCGGGATTTTGGCCTGTCGGTATTTTGACTCGGGCAATTTGGCTTGTCGGCATTTTCACCTGTCGTAATTTTGGCCTATCAACTTTCCATTAACTCAGTTTTGGAAACTTCCAAAACGAAAAGTTGTTAGCAAGCATTTTTTACGCCTCTAACATGTGCTGGACGTAGCGCTTTAGATGTTTTATTCGTCTTGAGGAGCACAGAGTAGACGCGGGGAGGCTTACAAAGTTCTTTTGCATTAGCGGGGGACCTCACTTTCCAATAAGTCCAAAAATGCCCAGTAACGCGATAATTCGCGTTTATAATGTTTCTAATAAAATGTAGCTATATTTCAAGTGGAAAAACTGACTAAAAACCTAGAATTATGCCAAGAACTCGGATCCACTTCCATCGGCGACAATCGGCCATTTTTATTCGAAAAATCGATATTTTTGTCTTTTTTATAAAAGGTTTGTAAAACTTTTACGACTAGGACGAGTACAAACTGTGTAGAATTTATAAAAAACGGCGTCTAGCGGAAATCCACTTTTCAGAGAACACCTAGCCGACTCGCAGAAGTGCCGCCAAGAGTGGTGGATGAAGAACGAGTCGATTTACTCGTGCTTCGGGGCAACGTTCGTGAAAAGCGAGGGGTTGTAAGTTTTATATCTGTTTTCTGATTTTTAAAAGATAAAAACCCAAGCGTTTAAAGTTTACGGTTTACAACTTTTAAGTTTCCAACCGTGCAACCAGCATTCGCATTGCTATGAGTCGCGCGAGCCCCAGGATTGGTGCATTTTGCCGTATGGGTTTCGATGGAGGTTTGTTCCAGCTTTTTATCGATTATTAAATAGATCATAAAAAAAGTTTTATAAATTACAAAAATCTAGATTCTTAACCAAAAGTTCATAAATTCTCGAAAAATTTCCAATTTTCCAAATGCCATTTTGAAAATTTGCAAACTTTAGCGTACTTGGATTGTGACGAGAGAGAGAACTACCTAGTCTCAACCTAACCAGCAAATTTAGCCTTTTTAATTGTATTTTTATAGCTTTTTAGCAGTGCCTGGTTATTAAAAAAACTATGAAAACATCCTTAGAAGTTTAAAAAAATCGAGATCCTTAACGAAAAATAAAAAAATTTCCATACTACCAACGACCTAAAAACTACCTAAACGGTGTGCATTGATTATTGGGATAGACCAAAGTTATGTTGCCACCCGCTAACAGTTCAATGCCAATCTTAGCCGCTGGGGCTGCCACTGCGACTACAAATTCAACTCGTGCGTCCACGAGAGATGGAACGCCTTTGGACATCGGATGGAATGGAGGTTGCAAAATTATAGTAAAATTCATGGTGTAATTTTTATAATTCTAGTTACTGCACCCCGAAGAAAACGTTCATTTGCCGCCGCGAGGCTCCGAAAAGCGCCGAAAAAGTGGACGCGTATCTGATGAAAATGCGCGGAAAAGCCTGATTTTTGCGAAACTTTGCCAAATTCTTGCACTGCCTTATTGAGCTTTATTATAATTTATACGTTTCGGCTTTAGCTTTGAATAAATGTACGCTATAACTTAACAAAATTTTATTAGCAAAGGAATACATAAAATATAGATTTTTTACCGAAATTTCGAGTGTGAGATTTTTGATTTACAATTTTTTAGATTGTTTTCCAGTTAAAATCAATTTATTTGCCTAAAACACGTTTAAAATAATTACTATTACGTTACTATACATTCTGGTCAGTTCTCCCCCCCCCCCCCCCCCCCGATAGTGTAACAGAGCCCAGAATTTATAACCCCAAAAAAGCATGGGATTATTGTGGGGAAAATTATCCCCCCCCCCCCCGCTAAGCGATCAGTACCAAATCGTTAGCCGGAACTTCACGTTTTTATTAATTTTTTAGAATCTTTTACTAAATCGTTGGAACACCCGTTCATTTCTGCAGGTGAAGCCAAGGGGTAATTGAAGGCCTATATGGCCACCAGCTTTTTGCTTAATTCCCTTTTTTCGGGGTGTTGGAAGGGATTATAGACAATAAGCCCTTGAAATGAGAAGGGGGCATTCATTCGATTTTCATTGAGCCTTATTATTGCTTCCTGCACAGCCGAAACAGCCGTTGTTTTTGTGCGAAAATATGATTTGTAATAACAGAAATAAATCATTAAAGGGCTAGTTCAACTTTTAGAGCTTGGGCTGGTACCTTGGGAAACTATGGACGTAGGCACAGTGCGCCCCAACGTCCCCCATTACGACAGCTATTAGAGATCGGGGAAATGAGAGAGGCGCAGACACCAAAACGCAGAGAGGGTTCGACTCCTGGCCGCGGAAATTCTTTTGTTTTATTGGCTGAACTAGCCCTTTAAAACCGAAATTTTAAAAACTTTTTTCCACGAAAAAGTGTACGGATCGCTCCGCCTTACGGCAATTGTACAGCGGCGTAGTCGACAATTCGCGCACTAATCTGTCTTGTGTTTTCATTGTCGTTTGGCTTTTTCCAATGGTTTTTTATGATTTTTCCAATTTTCGCGTCGGTTCTTTGATTTAGCCCGATGGATTTTGTGACAAATTTTGCCGTGAACCACCAAAAATCGAGACGAAAGAAGAGAATCTTAAAGAGATCGGCAAAGCGCCCACTTTGTCCCTTCATTTATCCGCCTTTTCCTTCCGGTTTAGCGTCTGTTTTTCTTACTCAATCCCCCCGGGTTTTGGGTACATTTAGGCCCGAGGCTGATTTTTTTGGTTGGCCAGATTTGAGTTAGTTAGTTTTTTTAGCTAATTTTTGCTAGGAAATAAGAACTGCATAGTAACTTCATAATGCGTATTTTAATAGTGTTTTTGGCCAATTTAGCTTGATTTTTAATAAAGAAAACTATCTCAAAACTTTTAGGAAAATGTAGAAAATTTGGTAATTTGCCGAAAAACCGTTATTTTTGCATTGTTTCACAAAAATTTGTAGAATGTTGCATTGAGAAACACTACCTCTATCAACTATAATAAAAAAGTAGTGGTGTCCGTCTGTCTGTCATGTCCCAGATTCAACTCGAAGGGGAAAGGAGATAGAGCTTAGGTCTCTTCGGATTCGGATAGAGCGTGTTCAGAAACCCCCAAACTGATAAAAAAAATTATGAAAAACTTTTAGTTTAAATTATTAAAATTAACTTTGAAAGTTTTTCCCTTAGTAAAAGGGGTGGGGGGCGGAGGTTGGGGTGATATGGACATAGTGAGCCAGGTGGCGCCCGTTTCGTGGATGAAAATTTTCACGGGGGATTTCATTTATTTTTTTCTCTCATTCGATCCGGTCGGTCGTTATTTTCGTTTTTTAAAAGGATTTCGGCTAGGGGAGGTATCTAAAGCCATCAGGGAGGTATTTAGGTAGTTTTTGAAGGGGATTTCAGCCATGGGGGGGTATCTGAAGCCATCAGGAAGGTATTTTGGTAGTTTTTGAAGGGGATTTCAGCCATGGGGGGTATCTGAAGCCATCGGGAAAGTATTTAGGTAGTTTTTGAAGGGGATTTCAGCCATGGGGGGTATCTGAAGCCATCGGGAAAGTATTTAGGTAGTTTTTGAAGGGGATTTCAGCCATGGGGGGTATCTGAAGCCATCAGGAAGGTATTTAGGTAGTTTTTGAAGACGATTTCGGCTATGGGGGTGTAGAATATGGAGGGTAGCCCGAAGGCCAGTCGATTACAGTCGCGAAGCGGCTGTAATCGGCTGGTTTTTATTAGAAAATTTGGATACTGAACAAAAACGTTAGTCCCCCGGATAATACAAAAGATCCGGCATTACCTACCTGAACCCATCCGATCCGCGCACGACCTGGATTACCGTAGTTTGTGAGCGTCTTATTAAGTACCCGTCCCTTTTGAATCACCCCTAAATTCAATAGGCCCATTTATCGGAAATTTTTAGCACGTTTGGGTTATGGTTTTCAGCTGCCGAGATGCGGCACTTGCTGTACCTCTCGAAGACGTCGGTAGCCCGGTTTTTTTTTCGTATAGAAATTTCAGCTGTCGTCGGCGCAGAATTGGGCACAACCAAATTGTAACTATGAGTTTGGCTTTTGCGTTGTTGTTTTTAGAAAAGATTTAAACGAACCATTGACCCTTGATTGGTTGAAAATTCGGTTTCTTGTGCATTATCGGGGGGAGGTTCTTTCTTTGGATCCAATTTTTCATAAACATATCGAGAAAGTGTTTCTAAACCGTTTTTACTAGCCTTAAACATTAAAACCTTGCAAACTTTTATCAAAATTGCAAAAATGTAGATTTTTCGATCAAAATTTGCCGATTTTCGATTAAAATGCCATTTCTAAGAATTCTCGCCTAGTTTTCCGCTTGAATAAAGTTAAGTTTTGCCAAAAACACTATCAAGATACGTACTTATACGGAATTCGGAATTAACGGACTTATAGGATTTTGGTCCCCCGATAATGCAAAAGAACCCTAAAATTTCTAAATAAATTTTTTTCTACTTTTTAAGAATTATAAGGCTCCTAATAAAAATAAGATTGCTAAAAACGCACTGTAAAACTCTAAAATTAGTGCTAGTTGTAAGTTCAATACCTCCTCTCCCCCCCGCTAACAGCCCATTACCGATTTTAGTTTCCTATTTGGATTTTTTTTTTCAGGTGTCGTCGAGCACGTTTCTAGGGTCTCTCTGGTTCGCCTGGGCCCCAGTTTTTTTAAAGCCCCATCCCCGTCCGACCTGCCAAAGATCAACGGAAATTCGCCGGGGGGTAATTTCGAGTGGGAATCGTCGACTTTTCGGCCCTTTCCGGTCCCTTTAATGAGGTGTGTTTCGTGGGGGGGCAGCTGACACATTGCCCTCCCCCCTGAGGACCTGGGGGCTAATTCCAGTAGAGAACAAATCGTGCTGCTGTGCGGGTCCCGCGACGAGATCATTGCTGTTTCCACTTTTTCGGGGTTTGTTGCATTGTGAGGGGCTGTGTTCTCGGCTTAATCCGGAGACGACAAACGCCTGTTGGTTTCAGCGCCCGGAAGCTCCTTTAGCCTTGACCTTTGACCTATTTATTGGGCTTTATTCTATGTCCCCCCCCCCCCCGATTTTTATGAGTTTCCGCTTCAGGTAGGTCAAAATATGGAACTACTGTTTTCATTGAGGGATCTTTCCTATTACCGGGGGGGGCGATCTATGAGTAGAGAAACGCTTTTAATGGTATTTTTCGCAAAATTTAGCTATATTTCAAGTCGAAACACCATCTAAAAGCTCCAAAAATATTTTGCTCTTTCGCATTATGGGGGCCGTTTTTCTTAGAATACAGTTTTAAATATAAAAAGTTGGAGTGTTTCTAAACGATTTCTTACTTTTCTTAAACATCAAACTTTACTAATTTTGATAAAAATATAAAATCCAGATTTTCCACCAAAAAAGGCGGATCTTGATCGAAATTTTGTCTTTTAAAATTTTTTAGAAATTTTTTTGATAGTTTTTCCGCTTGGGCATAGTTAAATTTTGCCAAAAATCATTTAAAATCAAGAAATGCAAAAGAGATGCCGGACAAAGGACGTTAGCCCCTCCCCCCGCTAAGAGTCAAGAACTTTCAAAATACCGGCTCTGTGCTATCTTTAAAAACCTTGCAAAAGCGGTGTCCGATCAGATGTGGAGACCTTGCGTCTCCCTTCACGGAAAAATGCTGATTTTGTTTTAGGATTATCCGGATTTTCCGTATTTTCTAGCCTTCCCGATTCGGGCCGTACGTCAAGACAAGATAAATGGAGAATGTGGGTCATAGATCTCACCGGGATCCCATTCCCTTAGTTTAAATTTATGCGTATTCGTACCTACTAGATTTTTCCTGGATTTAAAAATATAAAAATATCTTCCGTCCAAAAATGACCGATTTTGACCAAAATTTGAAATTTTTCCAAGTTTTTGGATAGTTTTTCCACTTGAAATGCCGTTAATTTTGCTAAAAAAACATTAAACTCCTTATTCTTAAATGACCAGTAATTTCGACGCATAGGAAAAAACCTAAGTTTTGCCTCCCCCCCGATAATGCAAAAGTACCAATAAAACGAACTCCATTTCCCGCCAGACGACAATTGGGTTGTTTTGAGGGGTAATTATAAAGCATATATTTATTACGGGAGCTGTTTATTTTGAAGCGCACGCCAATAGTTCTTTATACTTTTCTTAGAGGGAAAATGACGGCTAGTAGAGAGAAAGAGAAGGATTAATTATTAAAGGGCAACAGAATATTAGTCGCGTCTTTTCATTGGGTCGTCAGAGGAGAGAGAGAGAGAGAGAGAGAGAGAGAGAGAGAGAGAGAGAGAGAAAGGGAGAGAGAAAGAGAGAGAGAAAGAGAGAGAGATAGCGAGAGAGAGACAAATGGATAGATGGATGGTCTTTGAACACAAACATCAGCTGGATTGCCCTTATTTTAGGGGGCTTTTCGGGGGTTCTCTGATGTCGACACGACATTTTCAACCCTGACGTTATTACGTTTTGAGG